CCCCCCCACTTAGGATTGTACTCAACACTCTTTGTGAACTTAATGGACTTAGAATCAGTCATCCATACCTTGTATGCACCTTTTTCGTACCCCATGAACAAACCATGTGCCCCACACTTCCCAAGCTTGTTGCTCTGTGGGGTGTGTACCCACATGTCAGAACCAAAGATTCTCATGTGCTTGACGTAAGGTTGCTTACCAAACATCTTCTCATAGGGAGTACAACCAATAGGTGATGACAGTCTCCTGTTAAAAGTGTAAACATACGAGTTCAAAGACTCCCCCCAAAACCTCTCAGGGAGATTGGCATCATGCAACAAGGTTTTCATGCCTTGAAGCAATGTTTGCTTTGCTTGTCACAAACCTCCCATGGGGATCCAGGACTTGAGAGGCTATGCTGGATTCCCTTCTCAGTCAGGAAAGCTTCAAACTGCTGAGAAGTGAACTCCCCGCCTCGATCAGTAAACAAACAGCCGATACGCTTACTGTGAACATTCTCCAACCAAGCACAGAATGCCTCGAACCTAGGAAACGCTTGCAATTTCTGCTCGAGCATAATCACATGAATGTACCTGGAAAAAGAATCAATTAGAACCATGAAGTACCTTGCTCCACCCAAAGAGGGCGCAAGTGGACCAACCAGGTCTGCGTGGACTAGCTGGTAGGGTTTGGAAGCCTGCCTGCTAGACTCCTTGCCTTTTGGAGCAACCTTCACCTTGTTTTCTGCACAAGATACACATTTCATGTGAACCTTACAGGGTTTGATGTTCAAACCCTGAACCAATCCAGGCATCTTGGCCAGTGCCTGCCAAGACATGTGACAAAATCTTCGATGTGCCTCGTGAATACATCCTGCATGAAGAACTTTGTTAGTTTGTGCAACACAACAAGAATCAACATTAGACACAGCAACAGCATTATCATCATAAGTTATACAGAACAAGCCATCTATAAACTTTGCATGCAAAATGTCCTCTTTGCCTTTACTGATGACACAGACGCTCCTCTTGAAGGAAATCTGAAAACCACGCCCAGTCAGCTGTGGGACACTGAGCAAATTGTCTGCAGCACCTGGAACATAAAGTACATCTTTGATGGTTGTGTGCAGACTTGCCAGTCTCACAGTCCCTTCTCCTGCTATTCGCAACGTCTTTCCATCTGCCTGGTGGATCTCTCCGTCTTGAGGCGTGAAGGAGATAAACAGATGCTTATCTTTTGCCAGATGGCGGGTGCATCCAGAATCTACAATAAACCTAGCCTTGGCCTTTGGAGCAGCTTTTCTGGCAAGCAAAACCTTGTCTTCCACCGGCGTGGGCTTTTGCTGCTTGCCCCCCTGCTCCTGGCCATCAAACTTGCCTTTAGCCTTTGGAGAAGCAGTGCCAGCAAACAAAGCCTTGTTTTTCCCTGGCTTGGGCTTTCCACCTTCCTTCTGCTTCTGGCCATCTGCAAGCATCTGTCTCTGTTTACCTCTGGCCTTCCGGTATCTGTGAGGATGACCTTGGCTCCCATGAGAATCAGAGCTCTCAGCTGCCGACTCCTTGGCTCCCCCTGGAGGCTGGAATGCTGCCTGGGATGACATCACAGTCAGCTCCCCCTGCAGCTTGCAACCGGTGCCCTCGGCATCCCTGCAAACACTCTCATTCTGGGAAACAGCCAGGACCTCCGATGCAGTCAAACTCTGGGCTGGGATGACAGGCAGATGAGCTACTTTCAAAGCATTCCACATCTGACGTGCTGTCGCACTGTCAGCTAGCGTAGCAATTTCCTCCAGAGAGACGGACAAGACTATTACGTCTATGGCCCTTGAATCTTGGGCCCTCCATCTATCTGTCAGAGGAACTGGAGGGGCTTCAGACACAGTATGCCACACTCCAAACTGACGCAGCAAACTCTCACAGCAACTTGCCCAAGTCTCATAATTGTGCCTATTTAACTTTGGGCACTCAGCAGCTTCAGAAGCTTGTAAAAACTCCATTCCAGCTCTTCACTTGAGCAGTGAGCCTTATTCACTTCAGAGACTCCTTATCTTGGCTACTCATAAATCTTGAGGCCTGCTTGGCTCGGCTCCCAGGCCAATTAGCCGGCCGGAGTTCAGAGACTTTGCCGCGGCAACGAAAAGCCTTGACTTTTCCACACATACCTCAGCAATCTGTCGCAGTCTTACTCTCCTGTAAGTGCTGTGAATCTGGGTCCGAAACTTAGTTGTTGGGATACTGCCAGGCAGACAAAGTCCATCATGACTCCACGTCGCCTCCGGACGATCCATCGATCTCCCGTAGATACAGTATCAGCAATTAGCGACACGAGCTTCCAGAAATAGCTTGCCACATTCCAGAGCTCATGCACGCTCTATCAGCAGAATTCACACAGCGAAAGATGCACGCAGGAGAGCATTATTTACAAGTTTATTCAGCGTTGGTCAGAACAAAGAAAACATGACTGCCTGCTTCGATGTCTCAGGCACAGAGAGAGAAACGAAAGCAATAGACAAACAGAAACATCCTGTGAACAGGAAATACGCAGACTCTGTGACTCACAAAGCCTGCTCCCTTTTAAGGTGGAACGGAAATATCCTAACATCTTCCCCTTCCTCCGAGGCTTCTATTTCCTTTCTCCATGAGCCTGGGCAGCCTGAGTTGTTGGTTCTTCAGTGGTGGTGGTGGGGAGGAGTGGTGCAGGGTGGGCATGGAAGGCGGAGAAGGAGGGCCAAGAGCGGTGGTGGCGGCGAAGCTCGGGCAGCACGATGCCTCCCTTCCCATCAGAGCAGCCCCAATCCCATTCCTACTTGCGTGCAAACAGAAGGGGGCAGGGATCCCTAAGCTGGGAAGGGAGGCTTCCAGTTGCCTAACTGATTCCTACCCCCTCCTGCTTGCACGCAAGGGGATAGGCAGCGTGAAGCCTCCCTTCACAGCTGAGCGATCCCCTTCCCGCTCCTGTCTGCACACAAGTAGGAGCTGGGAGGCTGCTCCGATAGGCAGCATGAAGCCTCCCTTCACAGCTTAGTTGCTGGGGTCAGGGAAGGTGGAGGCAGCCTGGAACCTGCACCACCATCACATGGGGACTTCCAAACAACTCCTGAAGACAGCCAGAGCCAACTGCTCCAGGCTGCTCAGACTGCCGGTGCTGCGTTTCCTGGGGACATTAGATGAAATCCGGGGACATTCAGGGCATGGAATTTGTCCAGGGACTTATTCACAAATCCAGGGACTGTCCCTGGGAAACCCTGGTAACCCTAATGTATGGGCTGTAGCTCAGTGGTAGAACCTCTGTTTGCTTGCAGAAGGTCCTAAGAAGAGCCTGCTGGATCGGGCCAAAGGAGTCCTGTGTTATCCAGGATCTTGCTCTCCCAGAGGACACCCACATGCCTCTTACGGGAAGCCAGCAAGCAGGACCCGAATGTAATCACATTCCCCACTTCTGATTCCCAGCAAATGGTAATCAGAAGTCTACTGCCTCTGTGAGAGGCGTACTCTCAAGTTCAATTCCTTGTAGCACCAGGGAGAAAATTTAGCAGCTGCCAATCAGCACAGACATTACTGTGTGATTGATTGATTGATTGATTGCTGCATGCATGCATGCATGCATGCATGCTAGCTCTGGCCCTGCCCACTTTGGGCAAAGCCCTTTTCTTTCAACAGCTTGCCTGCCGCCTACTCCTGGCCAGAACAAAAAAGACCATTAGACGGGGTTGGTAAAAGATGTTTATTGGCTACAGGAGAGATGGGAATCCTCCTCCCCCAGCCCCTATCCACAGAAAGGCCCCACTGAGGAATGAATGTCTGTGAAAGAGGAGGAGACAATGCACATATTGGCATCTGCACAGACACAAGCAGCAATTCTGGAGAGGAAAGTCAGGCTGACAAAGAGGAAATTCTTCTGTAAGTAAACACAGAACAGTCCTCTAGGGCAGGGGCTCCCAACCGGTGGCCCACAGACCCCAGTGAGGCAGTGTAACCCACCCAGGGGGTCCATGGCACCATTCACATGCCATAGAGATAACAACAGTGTAACCCACCCAGGGGGTCCACAGTACTCAGCTAATTGGGAACCACTGCTCTAGAGTCTTGTCCCAGGGCCTCCCAAATGCCTGTGCCTTTGGGGGACATCCTGAGGTGTGCATGGATCTCCAAATGAAGGCTCTTCTTACATTTTAGCTCCAAGTTGCCTGAACCTAGGAAAGCAATACCAGCCCCAGGCATGTGGCACAAGACCAGCCGTCACACTTGGCTTTCATTACAAGGAAGCCCAATCCCCCCACCATTACCTGCTCTGGTTCCAATGCCTACGGCCAGCTTGGCTTTGAACCAGCAGCCAAGGGCAGCAGCCAAAGGAGAAGATCACACAGTGGCCCTTCTCTCTCCCTGGAAAGAAAAGCACAGTGAACCTCTCTGGTACCTTGAGCCATGGAATACCTGCCCAACTCTCTCCAAGCCACTGCAGGTGCTAACATCTGCCTGCTTCAGTTATAGCCCAGCCCTTTCTCCATGTCAGTGGTAACTAGCCACCAGACGCAAGGTGCCCACACCATTTCCAAACATTTTGTTCTTGCTGTTGCTGCTGTTGCTGCTGTTGTGGGAGTTGGAAATAGACGGGAGGTTTGTGCAAAAATATGGCAAGGAGGAGGAGGACCAAGTAATACCTTCATGAGTCAAGTGCTAAAGGGTGGCTGAGTTCAATGCAGTGTGTGGAGAAACAGCAGCTCAAGAGTGTCAATCAGCACAGGTCATCTTACCCAGAACCCAACAGTCCAAACAGACAGCTGTAATCCCCACAGGCTGCATTCTCCATCCAGAGAAACAGGGCAAGAGCCGCACCAACCAATGAGAAGCTGTAACATCTTGATGCTCCGCAACATGAGGTAGAACCTGATCCCACACACACCATCAGAGCCCTCCTGACACCATGAAGTCCAGCGCCAAAGTTCCATTCATTGAAGAATCACTGGGATGTATCCTGCTGGCCTTCAGATGACATTCGGAAAAAATACCTTTGTCCTCAAGTCAGTAAGGATCCTCATCATCTGAATCCTGAACAGAATGCAAGAAGAAAAGGTCAAGCAACAGAGCCAACAAGATGACCCCCCAAATGCTTCACCTGGCAGAAATTTACTGTTGGGAAAATGAGTTGGAGGATTTTGTGCTAAACAACTCAGTGAACCCAGATCTGGAAATGTCTGCAAGGAAGCTCAGTTAGATTCCACCCCTCTCTTCTCTCTCTCACACACACACACAGGCCCAGCATGCCAGAGTGTACACCCTGGTCTTCTTCAGAAACCTCCATATGAGGATGAGACCACTGTAGGAAATGGACTGAGACACAATGCTAAATTGATGGACAACTGTGCCAGACTCTTAGACCAGGGCACACACTTGCAATGCCACTTCCTTGTGTAACCAACGGGATCCTTCAACTCAGACTTATTTTGTACTCTTGCTGACAACCTCCTTGCATACTCTGGCTGAACACCAGCACAGAGACGCTAAAATCCTCAGCAGCTCAGGCCCAAGAGCCTGCAGCCTGCATGTGCAATTGTGGACTTCACAACATTATCACATAGTAAAACCTCCAAGTGCCAACCACACAAACATTCATATTCAGAAACAAAAGGGACGGCCAACTCTCCCACCCATCCCATGTTTGGTCTTTGCTTCATTGGCAAACAGGGCTGGCCCAAAAAGATATTTTTCTACCTGTGGTGGAACAGTAAATGTCTCCTCCCCCAAGTCAAGGTACATAGAGCAAGTCATTTTGGCACCTGAATGAGAAAAACCTGAAAGTGCCTCTCTCTGGGACTAAAAATACAATAATGGATTAAATCGCTGGCCATTTGTTGCCCTTTCACAAGACCCTAAACCAGGGTTTCCCAAACCTGGGTCTTCAGCTGTTTTTGGACTACAACTCCCATCATCCCAATGGTCAGGGATGATAGGAAATGTGGTCCAAAAACTGCTGGAGAACCAAGTTTGGGAAGCCCTGCCCTAAATCATTTGCCTCAGCCAGCTGCTTCACTCAAGCCCAATGGCAGGACCAGCCCTACAAAAGGGGGGGGGTACTTCATATGAAGCTGTAGTATACTCCCACCCTAGACGCCAGCTGTAACAGGAAATTGTGCTCACTTAGCTGTCCTATCCCCCTTGCAGCCCCTGCCCGAAATGGTGCACCTGCTAGCAATGGCAGGAGGGAAAGAGGGAGGTTCTCCAGGGCCAGATGACTAGCATGCCTCCACCCTGCCTCTCATGACTGAAGGGCAAATGGAAACAATGGGTGGTATCTACGAGTGGGTTTGTTCCTATGCCCCCCAACCCACTCCCCCAGGCCAGCCCTGTTCACAAACACCTCCACCCTTCTGACACCTACAGCGGCAAAGGTAGGAGACTTCAGTCTTGGCCTCTGGATTGGGTCAGGCATGAGTGGGAATTTGATGGCAGGCCCAAGATGCTTTGCCCTCCCTGCTATCTTGCCAGCATCAAACTGGGTGTGTAAGAATGGCACTTTTGCTTACCAGACATCGCAGACACCAGGCGGCCAGCCTCTCCTTGCACTTAGGTCGCTCAGGTCTACAAGAAGAGCACAGAGGTGAGTCCAGCATGTGTCTCCTTTGCCTGTCTGGCACCTGCCCCCCTCAAAACCCCAGGGCAGCCAGTTGCACACTTGTGCCAGTCAGCTTGCTCTACCTCTGCCCATCCCCTCCAAAAGAAACCCAGTTATCCTGACAAGCAGCTCCTCACTGGTGAGGCTTGACCAGACTCGCCCTACCCTGCCCCCTGCATCTGCCACAAAGCTTCCATGGGGTTGCTGTTCATAGAATTGTGGAGTTGGAAGGGACCCCCAAAGCCATCTAGTTCAACCTTCCACAATGCAGGAATCACAGTTAAATAATCCCTGACAGGAGGCCACCCAACCTCCAATGAAGGCGAGTCCACCACTACCTGCTCCTGAGGTGGACCAACAGCCGCAGACCACCAAGTTCCCAAGATTTATGCAGGAGCTGACAGTAGGCAGAACATGCCTTTGAGGCACCAGGTGCAGTGGAGTGTCAATCATCAAAACACCTGCTGATGCCCTATGGAGGGTTCACAGTCTGAATCAGCTGCTCCACAATAACCACATATTCTGCTCATTATATTCCCCTTGGTCTGAGATCATGGGCATGGTGAGGGTTGTATGGGGTGGTGTCATTAATCTCCATTAAGTGACCTTGAGTACAAGCCCAGGGAGCCCAACAAGAACCCTCAGGGCAGCCCTCCCCATCCCAAACGCTACTTCTCTCTGCTTCTCCCTGGTTAAGCACATAACACAAAGTGCTCACTCTTCAGAGACTTCGATGGAGGACTTCTTGTAGTTGCACTTCTTCTTGCTTTTCAGCACCCCGAGCTTCTTGCCCATTCGAACCAGGAGCAAGGCCACCACAATGGCTGAGGGGAGGAAGACCAGGATGGAGAGAAGCCCAGCTGATGTCAGCTGGAAGGAGGCCCCTGGAGAAAGAGGCAGGAATCAGGCCAGAGGCACACCAGAAGGGCAGACTGGGTCTCTGGGGAACAGAGGCTCCAAGGGGAACACCCAAGATCAAACCACAACTGAGTTTCCAACCCATGTGAGCAAAGAAGGCAAAATGCTGAATTAAGGAGGCGTCACAGCCAGTCCCCAGAACAGAAGACGGGAGGTAAGCACATACCATGCTAATCCCTGGCCAATGCACAAATGCTAACTGAGTCTTCCCATCAGGGTTTGAATTTTTCAGCAGAAACATGGTGAAACATGAAAGCTTAACTAGGGATTTCCGCAGCAGACTCAGTTTTGTGACTGGAACAAATCCATCAGCTTATTAAAGCTTAACAGTATTATGGAATTTAAGGAAAAGAAAGTAACTTACAGAAAATAAAGCAAATTGCTTATGATGAAAATTAAAGCAGGAATACAATATAAACTGAATAAACTTATGAATGTTTTATACAGGGGACCCTCTGGATATGAATTTAATTCGTTCCAGGGGTCTGTGCGCATCCCGAAAATTTCATAAGCAGAGGCGCTGCTTCTGCGCACATGCAAGATGCACAGAGCACTTCTGCACATGCGCGCAGGGCGAAACTTCCAGGTTTGCCACGTTCGCAACCCAAAAGTTATGTTACCTGAAGGTAACATAACCCAAGGGTCCACTATAATTAGCATGAACTAATTGCAAGTACCAATCGTAGAACTGAGAAAGAATCAGAGAAACACAGACTCTGAACTTCTATACATCATTAAAGATCTTTGTTTTAGGTATGTTGCTTTTGTCTTAAGTTATTTGTTTCTTGGTCACATCAGGCCATTCTTCTTCAGCAATGGGCACTTGACACCAGTCCAAATAAAACTGAGGTGGCTGTCTATGTCCTTAGCCATGGTTCTACATTAAAATAAGAATGACTCAAAATAAACTTTTGGTTCTGTAGGCCTAGCAGGCTTTGCAATCTCCAAAAGGGGGAAAGGGAAGAGACACCCCAAAGAACTTGCCTCTCACCATGGCAAAAAACAGGTCCTACTTGCAGGCTCACACAGATACAGTGAGTGAGCCCCACCCCTTCTCTTTGCACACTGTACTTGCCAGCCTCTGGGGACTAAGGCAGGAAGTGAGCAGATCTGACGCTCAACCCCAGCAGCCCCCAGGGTAGAATGAGGGCCTGTCTTACCATTCACCTGAAATAGTGCATGCTAGAAAATGCAACTGGTGGAGGATGGCAGGGGGGAGATGGCACTAAGAGGCTGGGATTTTCAGGAAACAGCAACAGGGTTTTAATGCTCTTGACAGGAAAGGCTTGGGAGGCAGAACCACCATGGCCACAGGGACTAGAAACATTGCTTTACCTCTCTGAGTGACAGTCAGCATAGTCTGGGGGATGTTATGCTGCACATCCGGGGGATTTTTCACAGCACAGGTGAACGTCCCATTGTCATCCATCGTTGGGTTGTTGATCCTAATGGAAGCATCCCGCTTGGCCACGTTTCCAACCCAGGATACCCGGTCACGGAAGGTGCCCTTCTTAGCTGGATAGGCATTTGACTGGTAGTGGAAGATCTAGAGGAGTTTAGAGATGGTGAGCACTGACAGCCGCATGGATGCTACTAGCCCAGAGATGGAAAAAAGACAAAGTCCCTACCAGAGAAGAATGGCAAGCTAAGATGTTGGGCTATGCCGAAATGGCAAAACTGACCGGAAACCAGGAACCAAGAAGACCAAAACTTTAATAAAGAAAGGGAAAAAAATATAATTTGTCTGGGAGACCACTGTAAGCAGATGAAAACATTAGCAGGATTGCAATAACACTTGTAATGTAGCAGATACTATGGACAAAATGGAGTGATATAAAATATAAGAATAATAATTAATAATAATAATTTATTATTTATACCCCGTCCATCTGGCTGGGCTTCCCCAGCCACTCTGGGCGGCTTCCAACAAAATCTTAAAATACAGTGGTCTGCTAAACATTAAAAGCTTCCCTAAAGAGGGCTGCCTTCAGATGTCTTCTAAAAGTCTGGTAGTTCTTCTCTTTGACATCTGGTGGGAGGGCGTTCCACAGGGCGGGTGCCACTACCGAGAAGGCCCTCTGGCTGGTTCCCTGTAACTGCCTGGTTCCCTCAATTATGGAACAACATGCAGTCGAAAAGGTTGACAATTGGACCCATGAAGGGGAAGGTGGGAAGTCCAGCGATTTGGAGAAGTCTCTAAATATGGATATGTATTTTGTATTGTTATAATTTTACACTTGTAAAATCAAATAAAAATTATTATTTTTTAAAAAAATATAGAGATGGTGAGCATCACGTCCCATGACAGCCAAGAGCCAATGGCTCAAGGCCTTTCATGAGCCAATCTCACTGCAGAGATGCACAGCAACATTCCAGCAAGGTAGGCTCATGCTTCTGCAGGAAGGATGATGATCTCAGGGATACTGAAAGCCATTCAATTGGCACCCCCAGAGCAGCAGGATAAAGACTCTGCTGTGCACCTGCCACCATATACACCTTGTGCACCAGTGGCACCCACCACAGCAGACGTGGCAGGCACATGTGCCACTCTGCCAAGAGCCAGCGGGCAGACAGTGAAAGCACCACTCACCGGCTCCAAACTGCCCCCTGCAAGAGGTCGGTATGTCCAATCGATGGTGAGCTTCTCTGTGACTGGGAAGGAAGACTTGAACCAGCACTTCAAGATCACGGCCTCACCCACAAAGGCCTGGACGTCTGAGTCAGCCTGGATCTCCAGGGAGTGGACTCTGGCAAGGGCTGCTGCAAAATATAACCCCAAGAGATGGGTTAGTCACCTGAGCAGGAGCGCAGAGGTGTTGACAGGAAGAGTTCCTGCTGCTCCCTCTTCTGCCAGACCCACTTTGCAGGAAGTGCTTAGCTCAGCAAAGGAACCGCCCACTGTTTTTTCCCTTGGCCAGGCAGAGATCAGGAACTCAACAGAACCAGCCACAAAGGACTCCCAAAAACAGCACCTTCTGGTGCTCTGCAGCCTCCAGACATAGCAACTACCAGCAGGTGGCGAGAAGGGGCCCCATCATTAGACAAAAGGAAGAAACTGCCTTGAGCGGATGACAAGGGGGAGCAGTAGCAATGTCTTGGATGGATGGTGCTGTGCCCCCCATGGTCTCCCCCCCCCCCAATATAGGCTGCTGTGCCCTGGAAGTGAAGGTTATCCTTTGCCTATGGCAGCACAATGTCTAACACCAGCCCCAGAGACAGGGACCTAAACATTTAGTCTGGGGTGGGGGAGGATTGGTGTGGGTTCCATTAGAAGTGCCAGTCTCAGTGCTTTATAGACTCCACCTCAGAGGGAAATTCCCATTTTCTTTCTTGTTGGGACAGATTTTTATTTTTCACTGTATCCAATAAAGGTAAAGGGACCCCTGACCATTAGGTCCAGTTGTGACCGACTCCGGGGTTGCGGCGCTCATCTCGCTTTACTGGCCAGCATGACTAAGCTGCTTCTGGCGAACCAGAGCAGCGCACGGAAGCGCCGTTTACCTTCCCACCGGAGCGGTACCTATTTATCTACTTTCACTTTAGCAGGGACAGAGCAACGGGAGCTCACCCCGTCGCGGGGATTCGAACCGCCGACCTTCTGATCGGCAAGCCCTAGGCTCTGTGGTTTAACCCACAGCGCCACCCGCATCCAATGCTGCAGATCTAATTTTATTCAATGGGTCACTCATTTCAATGGGTCTACTCGGAGTAAGAAAAGCACTCAATACAACCCATCAGTGATTCTTTCAGCCTACGACAAGGACTTCTGGGCATTTGTTTGGCTTTCCCCCCTGTTCAGCGCACTTCGAGGGCCTGGGCCAGCTGCTCTCTTGACAACAACCCCGCAAGGTAGCTCAGTCTCGTGGTCCACCATCCCTACAGGAGCCGGGAGGGCCGAGCCCCGTCGCCTCGCTCCGCCACTTGGCGGAGTCGCGTCTCCGGGTAGAAAATTCCCTTAGCCGGGCTGGCCGTGCACCTCTTCCCCGGACAGCAGGCAAAGGGGCACCAGGCTTCTGGCCCCGATTCGCTCCCGGCTGGAATCCACGAAGGGAGCCCTCGCCGCACCCCAACATCTCTCTTGACCCCGTACCGCCGACAGGCAGGCAGCCAGCTGGACCCCGAGTCGACTTGCTCCGGAGGAGACCTGGCTGCGCTTCTCGCTGTTTGGCACCAGGCCCGGGCGGCTGTTCTCGGTCGGGTCGGCCACAGGACCAGAGCCAAGCCCGAGATCCAGGACAGCGCTAGGGAAGGGAAGGGCCCCGGGGCCCCGCTCCCGCCTCCGCCCCTCACTCACCCCACAGAAGCAGGAGGACCCCGCCGCCAGGCTTCTTCCGCGAGAGCCCCATTTTCCTCGACACTTCCTCGGACGACACCTGTCCGCCCAGGTGAGGCCGGAAAGGGAGGGGAGAGGCTCAAAATGGCCGCCCGGAGACACTCCCTGCCCAGCAGCCGGCACTCTGCACATGCTCAGAGGCGCCGAAAAGACGCCAGTCGCGACTGAGTCATCCAAGCGCTCTGCGGCGTCACCGGTTCCGCAAGCGGGATACGGAGCAGTGATATTGCCGCCCTCGCCAGGCCACCTCTCTCTCTCGGGCGCTGCCGGCCCGCGTTGCCTCCCTCTCCCGAGACCTTGCCGCGGGAAGAGGGGCCTCCCGGCTGGCCGGCTTCCCCACGAGAAGCCCGGAAAAAAACGTACAAAGCAGGCTGAAAGTTCGCTTGACTTCCAAAGGTCTACGGTTTTTATTGTGAAATACAACTTATTTACATACAATTGCGTAACCAGACTCATACGGACAACTAAACTTCAGGGCCAGGCCGGCAAAGGACAAACCCGCGCCCCCAAGGTGCCCCCTCCCCCGACCACTTTCCATATCCAGAAGCAGAGCGGGCCCGCTTGGCAGTTGACTCGGGGGCCCAGGACGACCCCCGGCTCCCCTGCAAGGCAGGCTGGCAGGGGGAGGGCAGGTCCTCTAGCAGAGGAGGAAGGGGCTCTACAGATGTGACCTCGCCCCCTCCCCAAATAGTGGGGCAAGCAGAGGCTGAACTGGCCTGGTTTGGAGCGCTGAGAGGCAGTTTCTGAGCAATAAATATACAGCGCAGAGAGAGGCTGGCGGAGGCTTCCTGAAAAGCCTCCAGTCCTGAAAGCTGCTGAATTGCAAATGGCCCTGGGTGCAAGTTCTGCGGGTGGAGGGGTTTGTCGCAGCATTTGGACAAGTCCGTTTGCATCTCCAGATACCACAGCGGCTGAAGAAATCCAGGAGGAGGAGGAGGAAGAGAATCCTGGCTTGCGCATGGGGAGCAGTGTGCGCAGGGAAAGGAATGGTGATGGCTCACTGTGAAGAAACAGAAACCCAGACGCCCCACCCATCATCAGCTTCTTTCTTCCTGGGCTCAAAATGTTGACCAACCCTACAGATATTGGAGCTACTGTGGATACTGAACTGCTGGTTATAGGATGATTGGAGCACTGTGGGCTGTGACTCCGAGCAACACCTCAGCTGGCAGAGCAGGAGAATCTCAGGGTTGTGGGTTTGAGCCCCACCTTGGTCAAAAAGATTCCTGCATTTCAAGGGGTTGCACTGATGGTCCTTTTCAACTCTATGTTTCTATTCTCCGTTTAACAGCAAATTTAGCTGTGTAAGAGTAGGGAGGGCTTCTATGGGTACAAATAATAATTTTTTATTATTATCCTTTAAGCCTCAGGAGTCTAGCCAGGCTGAGCTCCCCAGAAACTTAGAAAGCTGGACTGTATTTGTGCAAGAGTGGCATAGTCCTAGTTGAGAAAGGGGCTGTGCGTTGGAGTCTTTGCCTTTTCTGAAAGTTGTACATGGAGGGCCCCCTTTCAGTAGTTTGCTTGGAATAATTCCTCACAGATATGCACCAGGCCAGGGCTGGGGACCCCCCCATGACCCCCCCACACACACACTATAGCATCACTAGGAACTGCCAAACTCTGCTATAGGCCAAGCCTTAAGGTCTTTCCACCAACAGCTGCAGCCTCAGAGGGCCTTTGAAGATAACAGTGATGATGCACTTCTCTAAGGCAAGGGAATCAGGGACAGCTGTCTTGTGGCATCCGCCACCTCTGATCCAGAACTCTGAAGAACCAGCCTCCAGCTCCTATGGGGGTGGGCAGTAGACCTGTGAGGAGGACAGACAGGTAGACAGGTTACTCTTAGGCTTTGTCCCTGAGCCTGAGGGCAATGCTGGAAAGGGTGATGGGTTCAACCTAGGCCAGCAAGGGCAACACTGCAGGGGTGTGCCAACAAGTTGCCTAAAAAGGTTTCAATTCCTCTATCCGCAAGGTATGTAACAACATTCTCAGCTCCCTCCAATTTTATTTTATTCATTTAAAGTATTTGGATCTTGCTGTTCAGCCAAAAAAAAAATGCTACCAGAGTTGTTTACAATGCTCAATAATAAGATAGTCCCTACCCTCAGGTTTAGAATAAAAATGGCACAACACTAAAGGAAAAGGGGAGTGGAGGAAAAAGGAAAAAGCCAAACTCAAGCACTAGATCTTATTTTAAAGCTCCTATAAGTGCTCTTTCTTGCAGGGATAGGGGAACACAGGAAGCTGCCTTATAGAGAGTCAGAGCACTGGGTCCATCTAGGTCAATACGGCCTGCACTGGCTAGTTGCAGCTCTCCAGGGGTTCAGACAAGGGGTCTTTTTTGAGTCCCACCAGGAAATAGTGCTAGGGATCGAACTGGGACCTTCTGCTTGCAAAACAGGTGCTCTGCTATTGAGCTGTGGCCCTTTCCCCAAACATTTGGAACGGCTAGATGGAGACGCCTTCCACTGGGCTTCTGCTGACCCACCTTGGACTCTACCACCCACCTGGTGACAGAAATGCCTTCTGGAGAAAGGGGCAAGGCCTGTTGGTTTCTGATTTCCCTCACTGAGCAGCAACTGCAGTCACAAGACATTGTTTTACATTCCACAGTCTGTACTGTTGGAGTTTCTCACGGGAAAGGGAGACTGGATGTGACGTACACTGGTTTCCTGTTTTTCACTCTGTGATTCTCTCCAAGCTGTCGAGGAGAGAGGATGCATTTTTCTGCTCTTGCAGAGGCAAGATGTCTTTCTGTAATATACCAGCTTTGAACTGTAAATAAAGCAATATGGAGTATGTAACACATTTTCCTCATCCTTCCGCTGGGCACCAGAGACTCTGCTTTAAATCAACACGTGGTTATGGGCCCAGAGGTCGAATCGGAGTGCCGGCAGAGGATCGGAATGCAGAGGGACGGATCGGAAAGGAATCTGCTCTGCGCGTAGAAGTGATTGATGAGGTATGTGCTACTGCTCCGGGCAGCCTGCCAGCTTCAAGATAATGGCTTTATGGCTGGACTTTGAACTTTAAAGCCGGTTTTGCCGGGAATAGGCAAAAGGCTCCCAGGCACAAGTCACTATGCTGGGGAAATCGAAGTAACTTTTAAGTGTGCCTTTGTAATGAGGCAGCTGCAGCAGTGACGCAGCAAGATTTAAAGCAGCACAGATATGACGCTGAAGGCTAATGCCAGAGTCATGATGGCCCTTCAGGATGCTTGTGGGATTCCTAAGCTCAACAAGAAAAATTACAGCGACTGGGTTCAGTATGCAGAGGCAATTCTGCGGAAAGAGGGTTTGTTTGAGGTGATTACAGGAACCCCCAGTTCCAGTTACAGATGCATGGGAAGCTAAGGATTCCAAAGCAAGGGAACTCTTACATTGATAGTATCCCCAGAAGAGCTCTGTCTATTGCGTGATAAGACCTCAGCCAGAGAAATTTGGGACGCTCTGAGAGAGGCTCACTTAAGGACAGAAGCTGGATCCACTATGTTTTATTTTAACAAGCTGCATAATATGGCTCTTGCTGAAGGTGGAGATGTACGTTTACATCTGATGGAGATGCAAAATCTGAGACATGAGCTGCAACAGAGAGGACTCAACTTTCCAGAGGCTGTGTATTCTTTCATGATACTACAATCTTTGGGTTCAGGTTGGGAGTCTGTTGCAACCCAGATTGCTGTGCAACCAACTGCTCAGCTGACAGTGGACTTTGTTACTGCCGTGATTTTAAATGAAGCAGATCGCCGGGTGCTAGCTGCATGGGCAAGGGGAGTCTACACAGACGTCATCCCATAGTGCAGTGGAACCACCAGATGGCGCCAAAGCTTTGAAGGCAGTGAAATGCTACTCGTGTGGACGTCTAGGCCATATGAAGAGGGAATGCAGACATCCCAGGGCCAAGACAGAGCAGCGCAGCGAAAGCTCATCGCGCGGAAAAGGCCGAGGCAAAGGCAAAGGTCCGGTGTCTAGGACAACGCAGCACAAGGCTATGGTTTCACGCTTCACTCCAAAGGTTGCAGAGGTCCAGAAGACGTCTAGATCTTTCTTCGTTGTTGATTCAGCGGCCACCCACCACATGTGCAACGATAAGAAACTGTTTGTGTCTTTTACACCGCAGGAAGGTGCGATTCACCAGGCGGATGACCACACTATTCCCAGTAAAGGCTACGGAACTGTTGTTCTTCACAGTTTGGACTTATCGATACAGAATGTGCTTTACGTGCCAGACGCCAAACATAATCTGCTCAGCGTTGGACAGCTGAATGAGCGGAACATTGACGTTTCCTTCAAGAACAAGAAGTGCATCATCACAAAGAAAAATGATTATGTATTGCATGCAGAATATGTTGATCGTTTGTTTGTTTTGTATTATGATGATGTGGTGCAGGATGACACTTGTTGCATTGCAGGTTCTAACAAAAGTTTGCATGCAGAATGTATTCACGATTTTCATCGCAAATTTGGTCATTTGCATTTTGAGGCAGTATCTAAAATGCCTGCCTTGGTTGAAGGTATGACTATTAAACCCTGCAGGTACCACATGAAGTGCAAAGCATGCGCAGCAAACAAAGTGAAAATGGCTGCGAAAGGTAAGGTGTCTAGTAGGAAAGCTACAGAACCATACCAGGTTGTTCATGCTGATTTGGTTGGACCACTTGCGCCCTCTTTGGGTGGAAATAGATACTTCATGGTTCTCATTGATGCATTTTCTAGATATATTTTTGTGTACAATCTCAAGCAGAAATCGGAGGCTTTTCCTAGGTTCAAGGAATTCTGTGCTTGGTTGGAAAATGTGCATGGTAAGAAGATAAAGACTCTTTTCAGTGATCGCGGGGGAATACACTTCTCAGCAGTTTGAAGCTTTTCTGACTGAGAAAGGAATTCAACACGATTTGTCTAGTCCTCGCTCGCCATGGCAGAATGGACTTGCGGAACGGGCAAATCAGACATTGCTTCAAGGGTTAAAGACCTTGCTGCATGATGCCAATCTTCCAGAGAGTTATTGGGCCGAATCTCTCTCGTGTTTTGTTTACAGTTACAATCGCAGGCTATCTTCAGCGATTGGTTGTACCTCTATGAGAAGATGTTTGGCAAGAAGCCATACATCAAACACATGAAGATTTTGGTTCTGACATGTGGGTTCGCTCACCACAAAACTCCAAGTTAGACAAGCGTGGATTGCATGGTATCTTTCTAGGTTATCAGAAAGGGTCTTACAGAATAATGATGACTGACTCTAAGACAATTAAGCTCACGAGAAGTGTTGAGTACAATGCAAAGTGGGGGAGAATGTGGGAATTTTCCAATGTTATCCTGATGACGGTGATGAGACTGAGGATAGTCAAAAGCAACCACAACAGCCCACACCCACTGATGAAGGTTCTGAGTCTGAATCTGAAACTGAATCGGGTGATTCAGAGGATTTCGAGAGTGCGAAAGCCTCTATGCGACCCTCTGAAAGCTCTGATCAAGAATTGGAGGAACCATTGTTCACAATAGGTCGTTTTTCTCCCAAGAAGGAAGAGGAGAGTGTTGAAGACTTAAGGCTAATTCGTAGGTCACAGAGAGCCACAAAAGGCAAACCTCCAAAGAGATTTGCTGATGAGTTTGCTACGATAGCGGTAACAGCTGTTAAAAGCTCCAAGAAGGTATTTGAACCTTCAAGTTTCCAAGAAATCCAGGGTTTGGATACAAAGGAAGCTGAGCCATGGTTAAATGCCATGAAGGCTGAGCTTGATTCCTTAGAAAGGAACAAAACATGGGAGCTAGTTCCAGTAGTTCCAGGAATGAAACTGCTTGGAAGCAAATGGGTCTTCAAAGCGAAGACAGATCAAAATGGCAAGATAGTCAGACACAAAGCCAGATTGGTAGCCAGAGGTTTTGCACAGGTACCAGGTGAAGACTATCACGAGACCTATTCACCCACAGTGAGATATGAAAGCATTAGGCTTATGCTTAAGCTAGCTGCAGAGGAAAATCTACACATTAGTCACCATGATATTAATACAGCTTTTCTGTACGGATCTCTAGATGAATCACTTTATATGCTTCCACCTGATGGCGTACAGGTAAAACAGGGATTTGTTTGTGCTCTGAAGAAATCCCTTTATGGTCTCAAACAAAGTGCACGGTGTTGGCACACAAAACTCACTGAAGTATTGTTTTCTCTAGGTTTTCAGCAAGGGAAAGCTGATCCATGTGTATTTGTCAAAGAGGAGGGGCAAAAGAAACTGTACTGTTTGTTTTATGTTGATGATTTATTATTCTTTTGGAAAGATGTTGCAATGTACAATAGCGCCCTAGCTCAACTGAAAGAGCACTTTGACATGAAAGATCTTGGTGAGGTAAACAACTACCTATCTCTGGAAATAGAAAGAGATCAAGATGGTAACATTCTAGTACACCAGTCACGGAAAATTGCTGATGTGTTAAGCAAACTAAATCTGATGGATGCTAACCCTGTAGACACACCGATGACAACAGGTTATCAGGTAGATGACACTGAAGAAGCATTTTCTGACACTACACTGTACAGGAGTGTGCTAGGCAAGCTAGACTTCATTGCCAGATGTTCAAGACCAGACATTGCTGTTAGCTGTAATTTGCTAAGCAGACAAGTCAACAATCCTAGTGTCAAGGATTGGAAAGCTCTGAAACGCATAGCGCGGTATTTGAAAGGCACTATGCATTACAGACTGAGATTTAACAATCAGAAGTCTGGTGGTCTTGAGATATTTGCAGATGCAAGTTTTGGAAGTGACGCTACAGACAGGAAAAGTACGTCTGGAGTTTGCTACATGTACAATCAGGGTCTTTTGATTGGTCATGCAAGAAGCAAACAACAGTTAGCTTAAGTACTTGTGAAGCTGAACTGAATGCACTGTCTTATTCACTTAAGGATTGTGAATGGTTAGTACAATTGTGCAAAGATATGAAAATTCCTGTCAAATGTCCAATCCAGGTTTACCAGGACAACAAAGCATGTTTGGCTTTGCTGAAGTCTGAAGGTTGTAAGCAAAGCACAAAGCACTTGCAATTAAAGTTGCAGCATGCTAGGGAATGTATTCAGAAGGGACTCGTAACGGTGTCCTATATGCCAGGTAATGAAATTCCTGCTGATGTATTGTCCAAGATTGTATCGAGGGATCAACACTGTACCTATGTGCAGAAGTTGGGTTTGTACTGATATTGTACGAACACGCTGCCCAGTGATGTTCACAGAAAGGGGGAGGATGTTGGTTTCTGATTTCCCTCACTGAGCAGCAACTGCAGTCACAAGACATTGTTTTACATTCCACAGTCTGTACTGTTGGAGTTTCTCACGGGAAAGGGAGACTGGATGTGACGTACACTGGTTTCCTGTTTTTCACTCTGTGATTCTCTCCAAGCTGTCGAGGAGAGAGGATGCATTTTTCTGCACCTTGCAGAGGCAAGATGTCTTTCTGTAATATACCAGCTTTGAACTGTAAATAAAGCAATATGGAGTATGTAACACATTTTCCTCATCCTTCCGCTGGGCACCAGAGACTCTGCTTTAAATCAACAAGGCCAAAGGTACCTACCGGGCACATTAGGCTCCCTCTTCCAGCAGGTGCTTCTCCGTCTCTTTCAAATTCTCCTTCTCTGGCCTGTTATCAAATGCAACAAAGGCAGTAGTTAGGAAGCCAGCCAAGTTCTCTGGCCTCGGGGTCAGGGAGGAAAAAAGAGGCTGTTGTGTAAAATGAAAGGCAGGAGTCCCTCCTGGATTTGGGAGAAAATGAGGAGCAGCAGGAGGTCCAACCTCAACCTAGAAGCTAGTGAAGCTCAGCTGTCCTGGGTCCTGCCAAAGTCACTGTCTTGATCCACTCGGTGCAGCGCTCACTGTGTAGGTCACAAGCCTGTCTAGTACCACAGCAAATGTGCCCCACTTGCAAGCAGTTGTGGAGCAACTCAGTTCCGTTTCTGGCCCAACGTTTCCTCCACTTCAACACAAAGCCATCAAAAAGTTTTGCAATGAATTTCCTTCACCTTGTATATGTAGCAGAAGAATGAGATAGGAGAATGGTCTGCACCACACTGAAAACTGTAGCTGCAGGGTGTGGGTCCCAACTTTGAATGGCCCTACAATGAAAACTGCTTGCGATGGAAAACTAGCACAGCTGGGAGTGGAGTGGAGTAGAACTTTTCTCCCCAAGTGGGCTAAACTTCCAGTGGCAGGGAGGTTTTATTTATCTATTATAAATAGATAAATAAACAGCTTATCATCCTTTTGGGACTTCGGGTGGTATGCAATCAATAATCATTTCAACCACAGAGCAATAAACACAGTTCATAAAACTAATTTACAGCAAACACTTTTGCCTGGGGCTGAAAAGATTTCAGTGTTGGCACCAGGCGAGCCTCTCTTGGGAGGATGTTCCCCCCGCTGGGAAGCCACCACTGAAAAAGCCTTTTCTTTCATTGTTGAGTACCAGATAAAGGAGACACCTGAGTGAAGGTTTTGGCTGAAGACCTCAAGACACAGGCAGACCAATCCCCCTTCAGGAGTTTGGATTCTAAGATGTTTAGGAGGAGTTTAAAAAATGCAGTCTGTTTAGAAGTGATGAATGCTGGATGCTTCTATGGTCTCCCACCTCAAGCCCACTTCATTCTGCCACATGTGTAGAGACTCAGCCTTTTTCATTTTAACTTCCCTGGTTCACCAGAGCCTGTCAACAACCCGGCCCACTGACACTCGCCTGTGACCCATTAAAGCTTCATGGGATACAGGCAAGTGAATTCTGGCACTCCTGGTTCCTTGTTGCAGCCATTACTTGCTGATCCCAGCCCCAAACCATCCCTTGCTCTGTCTCTCAAGGCTGTGTGGTCATCGTCTTCATCTTTTTTTGAAGACAGTGATTTACCTGTATCAATGAACAGTTGGTGTCCATTTTCTGTGACGGCCAAGAGACCAGTTGTGGTTCCCACAAGGCCAGGCAAATTGCCTCTAGCCAGCTTCCTTACACACACACACACACACACACACACACACACTTACAGTTCTGTCTCCTCCACCTCTGACTCCGTATCTCCATGCCTTCTCTTCCGGTAGCGGCAGATGACAACCACGACGACGATGACAATCATCAGAAAACAGACAGCGCCAATGATGAACGCTAGGATGTGGATCTCTGAGAAAGTCACTGTGCAGGGATGAAAGGCATGTTGGGTGTGCAAGAGGGATATAGTAGCCCCTGTACCCCAGCAGCACTGGCGACTGAGCAGCCCCTCTCCCCCGCCCCCAGCAAACCCACTTGACCCTCCCCCCGAAGTCACAAACCTTTCGTCACCACTCGTAGCTGGATTTCGCCAGTCGGACCGTCCACATCGGGTGGGTTCCTCACGTGGCACTGGAAGGTCCCGTTGTCACTGGGCTTGGTGTCCCAAAGGATAATGGAGCCGTCGTTCTTGTGGATGTTGCCATCCCATGTGACTCTGCCTTTGAAGCGGCCTGATGTCGGTGGAAAAGGCTCCTCACTGTAGTAGAAAACCTATGAAGTTGCAAGGAGAAGCCCAGCTATCATGCCTGCCACTGCTGGTATTAAATGACAGCCACTTTTCAGTGACCTCGGTCCTCTGTGGATAGCACCTCCCACTTCTGCAGGAGGTTTTGAAACTGAAAATGGCCTGGAGGAGCAGGAGGTTCTCTAAATGAATATACTCCCTGGGAATGGGTGAGATTGACTAGTCAGGCCTGGCCCAGCCATGCAGCAGAGTGAAGCAACTTCCTTCAGGCAGCACCAAAGAGTTGGAGAGGATTTGTGTCCGAGTGGTACAGCAAGACTTTTCAAAGTGCAGGTCCTGGCTAGGGAGGGTGAACACCTTTTAACTCTCTGCCTTAGGCAGCAAAATGCCTTGGGCCAGCCCTGCCAACAGTGGTGAACTGCTCTTGATTAAGCCAATCTCCAAAGAGGGATCTGAACCATCTTCCCATCAGGGACTGGTTTTTGTTGCATGGATGTCAGCTGCAGCTATTCAGAGCAGAGACATTATAATACAAGCCGTTTTCAGGATCTGTAAACATTTGATCAGCAAGAGCCCCTTACAAGTCCCGCTTTATTTGGCGTGATTGGTCTCTGGAGCTTCATAGCCATGGTACAAGGTGACACCCACTCCCCTTTGCTCCACAAGGGTGCAGGGTGCTTATTCAGAGCATATTGGACATGGGTATAGGCAGGTGGTGAGAAGATTGCAGAAACCGGGCTGCAAAACTCCCAACTTCACAGGGAGGTATACCAGCTGCTCAGGATCCTCTGGAGGCCAAGCACCAAACTGGGGCCACGACCCTGGGGAAGAGCCCAGGTCACGTTCCACAAAAAGGCTGCAGAGATGAACTTACAAACTCAGATCTGCCAGGTTCCTCAGGCTGGAAGTGCCAGGACACTGTCAACTTTGACCCGACTGCGGAATAGCTGCGGAAGGTGCATTTCAAGCGCACTTCTGTCCCGTTCAGGACTTCCAGGGACTTAGGGGTGTAAATGTCCACAGCTGACACAGGCCAGAGCACTGGAGGGGAAAGAAGCATAGAAAATGAGCTCCTACAGGGGGGAGGCACACACACACACACACACACACACACACACACACGAGTGTCAGCATTCCAGCTTAGCACCAATAATCCCCCAGAGCCAAGAGAGAGGGTTGGTGATGCCCTGGCTAAACCTTCCTTGGATGATTTTCAGGCAGCCTGGGGTGCTTCAGCCTGGAAGGGGAGGGCTTCTCAACTGCCCTGAAAGATGGCTGGACTGAATGCCCTGCTTGGCTTCAGCTCCTGAAGAAGATGGGCTCCTGCTACACACTATAAGCATGGGGAGAAACTTTGGTCTCTCCAGGGGACGTGGGTGGTGCTGTGGGTTAAACCACAGAGCCTAGGACTTGCTGATCAGAAGGTCGGCAGTTCGAATCCCCACTATGGGGTGAGCTCCTGTTGCTCGGTCCCAGCTCCTGCCAACGTAGCAGTTCGAAAGCATGAAGTGCAAGTAGATAAATAGGTACCGCTTCAGCGGGAAGATAAACGGTGTTTCCATGCGCTGCTCTGGTTCGCTAGAAGTGGCTTAGTCATGCTGGCCACATGACCTGGAAGCTGTACACCGGCTCCCTCGGCCAGTAAAGTGAGATGAGCGTGCAACCCCAGAGTCGGCCACGACTGGACCTAATGGTCAGGGGTCCCTTTACCTTTACCTTACCTGCAGCTGTCAGGCAGAAAAGGCTACCCCAAAATAAAATGAGTTTCTTCTTCCAGTGTAGCACCTACTCTTTGGAAACCCCTCCTGTACATAATAGACAGGCACCATATTCACTGATTTTCTTGGTGCCTAGGGAATAAGTTCCTTTTCCAAAAAGCCTTTTAAATGGAGATTTTCATGCCCGTTTTTATGTGTACTGGGTTGAGATTGTATCTATGTTTTCATGGTTGTTATTTTTATTGTTAAGTCACATGGGGATGTTTTAAGGAAAGCAATTCATAAATTAAGTAAATAAAACTGAGCAGTGGCTTTGGAGACTGGCTGCTCTAGAGTAAAGGATTCCCATGCCTAAATAACCCAACGCTGGCTTGTGTTAGTCTCTGGGCTGCTAGCTGCCCATCTCTTTCTCCTGCTCACCCTGAGAAGCTCCTTAATTTCAGTCTTCAGGGAAAGGGTCTCTGCCCTTACCCAGATGCCAAAGTTTGCAGCCTCCGTTTGGATGCTAAGGCACTCTGTATCTGCTTAGGGCACAGGTGAAAGGACACCTGGGAATCACCGCTCCCTTCCCATTGACCATGATGCAACAAAGGCAGGATATCAATGCACAAAATAAAACAGTAAAATAAATAAAGCAGCTCTCTTTTAGAAGTTGGGCAAAGCCAGTACTCATGGGTGGAAGGTGGCAAGGTCCCCAAAGTGGTCTCTTTGCCCTTGGGCAGCAGCTGGACCACCTGATCCATAAATCCCTAGGCTACTACCACCATCCTCGTCAGGTTGGAGGAAAAGCCAAGAGCTGCTTCTGCAGAAGAAGGAAGAAACTTCTGCCAGGACCTTGGCTCTGCTTCGCCTCTAAGTGATTCATGGTAAAGTAACTCCTTATGATAGAGATGTTTGATTCCTACATCCGGCTTACAAAACACGTGAGTTGATTCTGTGTCCACAGCGAATGAACTCTGTGGCCGTGTGATGCAACAGGTAGAGCACTGGGCTTGGGCATGCTAGGACACAGGCATTGCCAGGCTGGTCTTGCATAAAACGCGGCTGCCTTCTGGCCTTGGTTTCCGGCATGGAAAAGGGGAATGGCTCGGAAAGCGAAACAGTGAAAAAACAAAACCTGCCAAGTGTCTCTTCTTAAAAGTGCTGCATTAGGGAAAGGTGTGAAGGTCTGTTTTCTCAAGGGAGGGAAGGAGGGTCTCCAGAGAAGCCAAGCCCTTGGGGAGAGGAAACTGATCCCGCATTCCCGCATTGGCCTCCCTTTATCTCTCAGTGGAGCAGAGCACAAACATTCCTTCTTTTTGGCAGAGCCCTCCAGAGGGAGGGGAAGGTTGGCAGAGAGGAAAAAATACACGCAGAATAAACAAGAGCTCAGGACAATATTTTCACCGCAGCCCTGGTTCAATCACACCAGGATAAACCGTCCACAATCAGATGGAGTTTGACAGCTGGAGAAAAGCAGAGTTGAGGCCACATTGCACAGGTACAGGCAGGCAATAGCGGCGCAGCTGGCCTGAACAGAATGAGACCACTACTGGCCATTCCCTCCTGGCCCTGGGCCCTCTGCTGGGCACCCTCACATGGTCATTCCCATAGGAGGCCAAGGAAATGACAGTGGAGGGGAGTCTTTCTCTGTGCCTGGAAGACACCTCAAACCTGTTTGTCCAAGAGTGCCTGTGAGCTCTCCACTGTCCACACAGCCCAGAAAGTGGCTGGCTTGCCGGCCGGTCGGCCGGCTTGCCTGCCAGCTTGCTTTGGAGCTCTTGCCCCTAAGAGCAGAGCCCAGGGCAGGGATTGACAAGCAAAGGGAGAGAAGAGCAGGGCTGTAGTCCTTACCTAGCAGCAGGAAGCCCACCCAGCTGGGGCCAGGCAGCCCCTGGGAACGAGGTGCCATGTCCACACTCCACAGGCAGTGCCAGCCGCTGGGACGGTGGAGAGGAGGCAGACTGCTGCAGCAGAGTACAGCCACTCCTCTCAGGTGCCCTTCTGGCTCGGGACTAAACAAGGTGGAGCCACGAGGGCTCTCTGCTTCTCCTCCTCCCCTCCCCTCTCCCTCCCACAGGCCAAACCAGGAAGCCTCTCCCAGTCTTGCTGCTGCTCCAGCTGAGGCTGCCTCCACCCTGACTTCCCTGGGGCAGGCGGTAGTTTCCAGAGGAACTGGGGCTGTAGTTTGACTGCACGTAGCACTCCTCAATGTGTAGGGCTGGTTGCGATTCGTCAGGGGAAGCCCTCTCCACATGCTCAGGAGCTTTCTCTTTCTGCTAACTTCAATTCTTCCATAGCTGAGCAGGGGGTGCTTAGCTCCAGTGACAGAGGGGGAGAAGGAGATGTTGCCATTCTCCCTTTTGGCATCTACCTGATGATCAGACCAGGAGCACCTCCTTAAGTCGTGGCAGAAGCAAGAGGCGAATGCTGGTGCTCTGTGTAAACGGCCTTGCAAAGTTCTCCACCCTGTTTGTGGTCAGAGGAACTGGGAGAACATAAGAGCCCAGCTGTGGGATCAAGGCAGCGGCCCATCCAGTCCAGCGTCCTGTTCTCACAGTGGCCAACCAGATGCCCATTATGGGAAGCCCACAAGCAGGACTTGAGTGCAGCAGCGCTTTCCTCTCCTGTGTTTTCCAGCAACTGGTATTCAGAGGCATGATGCCTCTGACAGAGGATATACAAACTACCCATCCTGGCTAGTAGCCACTGGTAGCCTTATCCTCCATGAATTTGTCTACTCCTCTTTTAAAGCCACCCAGATTGGTAGCCATCGCTGCCTGCTGTGGGAGAGGATTCCATAGTTTAACTATGCCCTGCATGAAGAAATCCTTTATTTTTTCTGTCCTGAAGTTCTCATGTTATGAGATGGAGGGGGAGGGAATCTCTGACCACTTTCTCCATGCCATCCATAATTTCAACACATCTATCATGTTTCCTCTTACTCAGAGGAGTTACCCTTTCCCTGAATTTCTTCAGAGAGAGATGGCAGTGAAAGTTGCAGTATTCAGGACTTTTTAGTTTAATGTGCCCCAGATCAAACCTTGTTCCAGGGCACAGGGATGGGGGAAAATATGTGGAGAACGTTCTGAAAAGTGGCTGCCTTTTTTTCCCTAAGGGTGTGAGGGGGGAAATAGATATTGGGCAGTCACTCAGAAGAAAAATGTCTTCTGAGGAATTTCAGCTCAGCCCTAGTGAATACCTTCCAACCTTAATGCTGCTGGGATAAGAATTTAAAATGATTTCTTGCAAGTGATCAGTAAGAATTAAGGTTCTCAATGAGCTCCAGTGCAGATGTCAAAATGAAAGACAGAGGCAGGGAGATCTTTGCTGGCAGGGTGGGCAGAGACAACAGGGAAGCCTTCACAATGACAAACTCTAAAGCCTAAGAAGCATGCATGTGTGTATTGAGGTGGGGGTTACAGGGTCATTTCACACATGCTCAGAGGCTCTCTCTTCCGTTGATGAGCCAAGCCCTGCCTTGCAAGCCGGTTCTGGAGCAGGCACCTGCTGATGTCTTATGCACCTTAGGCCAGGTCCAAATAACAGGCAACATGACCATGAGCACAGGGGCGGCTGAAGCAGCATGCAGCAGGGTTGTTTAGGGCAAAGGCCCCCCCACATCTGGCCTGCAAGCCCTTCCCCACTCCCAGCAAAGCTTCCCTGCCGGTCCGGCTGTTGCCTTCCAAGAGTGCAACAGAGAACTCTTGAGCATGGATTGTGGCACCGCGAGGCCTCCTTCTCTGGGGCTGTGGGAAGGGCATACAGCTGGGGTCAGGTCTCAACATGTAGCAACAGCAGCAAGGATTGCTGAACAGGTTCCTACACTGGTGATGGGAGGATGGGAGGGAGCTGGGCTGGCTCCACAAAGGCACTTTGTGCTTTCTGGCCTGGCCGAAAGCTGATCCGACAGAAAAGGATGGATTGCATTTGAGCCGGTTTTCCCTTTGTCTGGCCTGAGAAGTAGCCTTCAGAGTCAGCCATCACAACCAGGATTGGGCAGTCAGCTCAGAGAACCGCAGGAGCTACTTCTCTGGGCTTCTGAGTCTCCAGTGCTCTGCACTCCCTTCTAAACATTCTCTAAATATCCCCTAAATATCCTCTAAATATGACCATGCAGTGTGTGCAGCAAGACTACTTGGGAACAAAATATCTTCCATTCATGTTATATTGATGTCACTTGGCTGCTGGGAGAGCTTTCCCCAGGGAGATCTTATTGACCCTCCCCCCAGATAATTTAATATCCTCTCTGCCTCTGCCCTCCTCCCCAGGTTGTCCTCTCTTGTCCTGCGGATCCTTTACCACAGAGAAGAAAGCACACATCCCAAATGAGCTGGATTCAAAGGCAAGAGGAAGCCACTGACAGGGGCATCAGAATAATTCTGGACCAGATGCAGCAGGCAAAACAGAACCCACAAAGTACAGCATCCTATTCTCACAGCTGCCAACCAGATGCCCCAAAGCATGGGTAGGCAAAGTAAGGCCCAGGGGCTGGATCCAGCCCAATCACCTTCTAAATCCGGCTCACGGACAGTCCAGGAATCAGCGTGTTTTTACATGAGTAGAATGTGTCCCTTTATTTAAAATGCATCTCTGGGTTATTTGTGGGGCATAGGAATTCGTTCATCCCCCCCCCCAAAAATATAGTCTGCCCCCCCCACAAGGTCTGAGGGACAGTGGACTGGCCCCCTGCTGAAAAAGTTTGCTGACCCCTGTCCCAAAGGGAAGAGGCCCACAAGGAGAAACTGAGTGCCAAAGCCACTCTCAGCTTCATTGACTGTGAACCCCAAAATTTGCAGTGCCAAAGTTTTGTAATAGTTTTGTAGCGTTCTGCAGAGCAAACCCCATGTTTTGCAGCAACCGAGCTCAAACTGGGGGGGGGTCATAGGTATCACCCCAAAACCCAACATAGTCTGGTTCACTTCAAACGGGTGCCAAAGTTTTGTATTGTTTTGTAGTGCAAACCTCACTTTTTGTAGGACCCCCCCAAACTGAGGAATTGATACTTCAAAGCAGGGTTCGTATTCAACACCCCCAAACCCAACACAGTCCAATTTACTGCAAAATGTGGGGGGTTTGCACTACAAAATGCTGCAAAACTATTACAAAACTTTGGCACCAGTTTGGAGATCCCAAATCTTGGGGTTCATAGTTAATGAAGCTCACTCTAAAATCCTGGCAACTGGTATTATTCAGAGGCATTTACTGCCTCAGGGGGTAGCATGCAGCCATTGTGACTAAGAGTCATTTGTGGCCTTAATATACAATCCTAACTCTGCACCCACTGCTCAGTTTAGGAGACAGTCCTCCTAGGAAAGCCCAAGCCATCTCCTATCCCTCACATGGCTGGCGGCAGCAGTAAACACACCCAGGACACTCCAAAAATTGTTGATCCAGGACAAACCGCCACCTGCCAGAAATTCCCCCCAGACGTCACTTCCACCTTTGAAATCCCAGGAAAATCCGCAGCCCTACTCCCCATAAGGTGTAACCATCCTGGCCCTCAACACTGACCCACCCAGCTCTGACATTCAGTGAGCTTGTGAACATGCCAGAGTCACAAGAAGCAAACACTCATCTGCATGTTATTATAGAGAGCTCTTGGCTGCTGTATGAATATCACCACAAAGGGGTGCTCTGCTGGCACTTGGAACCCCAACCCTTGGTTCTGGCTCCCTGCAGCCACTCCTGCACCCAGGCATGGCACATGCACATGGCTGCAATGCTTCCATGCTAGTATGAAACATGCAGTACGCACAGAAGCCTGTAATTCTCACATGCAATCATGACACTCACAATGATCGCTTGATGTTGAGGCCCGGATGCCCTCTCAAGCTGGTCACCCCAAGAGTTTGCACAGACGATACAGAGAGACAAACAGTTAGCAAGTTTTATTCTATTGTAAACAACACACTAACACAAGGCTGCATTGGAAGAGTTTGAAACCACTGTTAAGCGTTTCTCAAGGTCCGCTAGCTTGCTTTTCAGCTCCCTGTTTTCTTTATGTACTTGTTGTAAATGCTTTCCTTGTATCTGGTTCTTCCTCTCCAAGGAGGTAATGCTGCCTCTGAGAGTATCGACCTTGGCCACCATCTCTTCTAATTGTTTCATCAGTTTAGCCATTTCTTTGGTGGTTTTGTTAACTTTCTGGTCAACGTCTTCTGGGTCCTGTTGTGGTTGTATTGTGTGACTGTTTCCTGGGGCCATGGCGGTCTCTGTGGTTTCGGTATCCCCCTTGGTTGTGGCCATTTTGGCTTTCCCGTCGATCTCTTTCGGGTTGTGTGGTGTGGCTTTTGGCGGTAGGGGTGGGGTTCTGCAGGTCTCTTGCTGTTGTGTCTTGCTTTCACCTTAAGTACCCCTCGCTGTTGCGTCTGGGCTGTGGGTCTTAAATGTTGCAGTCGATGATTTTGGTGAGCCTCTTTCCTTTTACCATGCCCTTGTTTCGCTCTTGCTTCCCTAAGGACAGCTGACCTCCCAGGAGCGGGTTGGTTGGTTCAAGGACTTCTCTCGGACCGCAGTGGCTGAGTGGTGGCAGAATGCCCTGGTGGCAGAATAATGGACAGACAAACAAGGACAAACAATCAGACAGAGGGACAAATGTGCAAGCATACAAGATACAAGTAAAAATATACAGGGCAGAGCCACAGCTGGGTGATCTTGCGCCCCTGGCAGAACCGTCCAGATTGTGCCCCTTAGCCACGGACAAATTAACTCTTCTTTCCACCCATTCAATTCACCCTCTGTTAAAAACCTTTTCTTATGATGCAATAAATGATATTTTTATTTACAGATATATTTATGGACATATTTTAAGCCGATTTTGCAAAAAAAACCCCAAACCCTCACCTGCACCCTTGGCAGGGGCTTACTTCACCACCCCCTAGCTATGGCCCTGGTACAGGGGGAAGGAAAAGGGGGGGGGAGAGATGGGTGGTGGTAGGGGATTGTGTGTGTGTAAAATATTGAAGTAAGAAGAAAAATGAAGATGTGCAAATAAAAAGTATAAGGATAAGGATAAGAATTTAAAGATGAAGGTAAAAAATCAAGGTAGAGAGTTAAGTTTAAAAATGGATGGTGAAGTTAAAAATTTAAAGTAAAAAATCCTGGTTTATTCTGCTGCATAGCTAAAATATCTTTCCCCCGTCTCCCTGGTGTGGTGGGAAGGGTGGGGAATTCAAATATTGATAATAATAATGGTGATAAAATTAATAAGAAAAGAAGAAAAAGGGGGGAAGGGAGAAAGCAATGATAAGAGGAGTAGTAGTAGCAGCAACATTTTAAAAAATTTAAAAAGCGGGGAGGGGTCATGATTAAGGAATAAACGTAAGACTAGAGTAAAAATAAGGAAAACTGATAAAAAGGAAACATTTTTTTAAAAAATTATCTGTTTGTTTATTTCTGAAAGTCTCCGTTGGGGCGCACCAACCTGAGGGTGGTTTTTGTAGCTTTTGGGAACTCACGAGGCTTGGAGATCGGTAGCGTCCGCAGGAGGGAGCCTTTGTCGGCTCAGGCCTCCTCCGTGGGCGCCACCATTCTCCGTCTCCTCCGCGCTCACCCAGTCCAAAGCGGACCGGCTGGGCTTGGGGGGTCCCGACCCGCGGTAGCGGGCTCCGCAGACCCAGCTGGCCGAGGGTCAAAGCGACAGCAGTGGTTTCAGGGAGGCAGCGCCAAAAGCCGCCGCGCGCCTTCTCCTGCGCCTCGCGATCCCGGCTCTCCGGTGGCGCAATCGCTGCGTCCCTCTCTCCAAAATGCGGCTAGAGTCGCTGGCGACTCGGGACCCGGGTCTGAACCTGGGTCTCCCCTTTGTTGGGCGGGGGGGGAGATCCGGGGACAGAGCGAAACGTGGGGATGATCTCCCCGCTTCTCTTCTCCTCCCGTGTTTTGCTTCGGGGTCTGCTCTAAAGCAGAGCGCATGGCCGGGCTCCCTCCCCGCTTCTCCCGGCGTTCAGCTGCTCCCCTACCTCCACTTCTGCCTTTGAAGGTTCGATGGGGCTTCACCTTTTCTCTAGCCCGTCGGTTTAGGGTCTCCTCCGTCTGGTTCCGAACTCCTGCGTCTGGATCAGCCCTGGGTGGCCTGGGAGAGATGGCTCCCCCTAATTCGCCATCTTTCCCGGAAGTCCAACCACTGCAAAGAGTTACCGCTAATTCTAAAGCATTCCTGGGAGGAACACAAAGGAAAACTAGGAGATGTGGTCAGGCAAAACAAAACAAAAAAAGGGGGGTTGTTGGCTGGGAGGAGGAAATTTGGCTGGAGTGCTGAAAGGGTTACTTGCTCTAGGAAGAGAAGGGGAGGTTTGCAGAGGAGGAAGGGGGTTGGGTAAGGGAAGGTTTGAGGGCAAGAATCGGAAGAAAGCAACTGGAAGAGTTTGGGGCATGGAGGTTTTTAAGCAGAGGTTTGGGTGGCCATCTGTCATGGATGCTTTAGCTGAGATCCCTGCATCGCAGGGGGTTGGACTAGATGATCCATGGGTGTCCCACCCGATGGGATTGAAACCTGAATACAGGGGAAGAAGGGAGAGAGTGAGGGGTTTGCCTGCTGATGGGCTTGCCAGGGAAGAGTGAGGGGAGCGAGCCTGAACACCTGCAAGTATTTATTTGAGGATTTTTAGTATTTGTTGATCAAAAGATTCCTAGCTGGGAAAGGCACCAGCTTTTATGCCCAAGTTGAGCTCAAAATAATAGGAACATTTATGACTTTCCGGCAGTGTATGCAGACTCTCCAAGTGTCCCTATTTTCCAGGGACATCCCTGATTTAGAGAAGACTTCTCCATTTCTGATTTGATCCTGGAATGCCCCACTTTTCCTTAAGATGCCCCTATTTTCATTGAAGAAATGTTGGAGGGTATGATAGGATGACTCTATTTTTAATTGGAGAAATGTTGGAGGGTATGGAGTTATCCAACCCCTGAACCATCTGAAGGCAATCCCCGTATAGGGAAGGTTTTTTTATTGTTCAATGTTCTATTATGTTCTTATATACATGCTGGGGCATTCCAGTAAGATGTGTGGGGTATAAATAGTAAAATTCTTGTTATGGAATGGGACATCCCTATTTTCATTGGAGAAATGTTGGAAGGTATGGTGTATGGGTGTTTAAAAGTTTTCAAATGGTAACAACCAGGAAGAGTTTGAGAAATGGATTCTAAAAGTGCATCTCCGTTCCTCTTTTCAGCTGAGTACTTAAAGGGAAATAAATTGGTATATTTGGGGAGATCTACTGGAAAGAGCCTCAGGCGATTAAAACTACTTGGTTAGATGGAAAACTGATTTAAAATTTACAGATTGTTCCCTGTTGAAGGAGAATTATATGAAGATGATGTACAGATGGTATATGACACCAGTGCAGTTAGGGAAAATGTACAAAACTAGTTCAAATATATGTTGGAAGTGTAAGGAAAAGGAGGGGACATTTTATCATATGTGGTGGGATTGTAATGTAATTTTAAAAATTTGGGAAATGATATACAATGAATTAAAGAAAAAGTTCCATTTAACATTTGTTAAAAAACCTGAAGCATTTTTGTTAGGGATTGTTGGGAAAGACCTGCCAAAAAAACCTGAAAAACATTTTCATGTAGGCGACAACGGCCGCAAGAGTTCTAAAAGCACAAGGATGGAATACTGAAGAAATCCCAACTAAAGAATCATGGCAAGAAAAATTGATGGACTATGCAGAGCTGGCAAAATTGACACATAAGGGACAAGGATAACTGTGACTTTAAATATGAATGGGAACCCTTTACAAAGTATTTGAAGATGCAACAAAGCTAACTGGACTCCTTGGCAGGTTTTGAATAAACATTCACAAACTTTTTATTGACAATAATCAGTTAAACAATTTAAGGATCTATACAACTGTGCAACATGCAGAGAACAGCATTTGCAGAGAAACCAAAGACTGGAACTGAGGGAAGTCAGGGGGGGAGGGAGGAAAAATGGGGGGGAATTAAGGATGATATGTTTTTGGATAATATGTTTTGTTTAAATTTTCAATAAAAATTATTTTTTTTAAAAAAACTACTTGATTAGTAGATGGGGGGAAGGAGAGGGAAAGGGAAAGAACTCGCATTATCTTGGTTTAAAACTTCCAGAAAGAATCTGTGTTATTTTGTTTTTAAATTTACAAATGATAAGGGAGGCTGGCAGAGATTTACACTGAGGAGACAGCGGTCAACGGACTTGCCAAGAGGTGTTGCAATGACGCTTGTTTGAACATGCCAGCTGGCCTTCCAGTGATGAAGGCTCTTCTTCTGCCTCTCCAAGCCAAAACCAAACTTTCCTTCTTAGGAACAGGATACCATTGCAAAATCTGGTGCCTGTGTTTGAGGGTGATTCACAACAATGCAGTTGCTTCCCCTCCATCCCCATGTATTCACATGCTGCCCTGGAAGAGGTGCCAGACATCCCATACATAGACATCTCCCCAGAAGGGGGACATGGGGGATCAATGCCTCCCCAACAAGGAGCACCCCCCCACATGCCTCCCATTTCAGAACTCCTGTCATTAACATATAATAAAACAAATAATTGGTTTTTTTGTCCAGGGTAGGGGAGTAGCAGCTGGAATGGATATACAGTGGTACCTCAGGTTACATACGCTTCAGGTTACATACACTTCAGGTTACAGACTCCGCTAACCCAAAAATATTACCTCAGGTTGAGAACTTTGCTTCAGGATAAGAACAGAAATCATGCTCCAGCGGCGCAGCGGCGGCAAGAGGCCCCAATAGCTAAAGTGGTGCTTCAGGTTAAGAACAGTTTCAGGTTAAGTACAGACCTCCGGAACGAATTAAGTACGTAACCAGAGGTACCACTGTACACCCAATGCCTGAGCCAAAAATTCACCTATATCTGTAATCAATAAAATTGTGGCTATTTCTAATCCAGATCACTGTGCGCTTGAATTTATTAATCACACCTTACATTTAGCCAGGGACAGGGGTGGGGGGCACTGTGAGTGGGCCTGCGTTATAAGAATTCTAAGGTCTCAAATATAGAATAGATGTTCATAAATGTACCAGGCAAACACATACATAAGCATATAAACCATGGGTATGCAAATTAAGGCCCGGGGTCCGGATCCGGCCCAATCACCTTCTCAATCCGGCCCGCAGACAGTCTGGGAATCAGCGTGTTTTTACATGAGTAGAATGTGTGCTTTTATTTAAAATGCATCTCTGGGTTATTTGTGGGGCATAGGAATTTATTTGTTTTCCCCCCAAAATATAGTCTGGCCCCCCACAAGGTCTGAGGGACAGCAGACCAGCCCCTTGCTGAAAAAGTTTGCTGACCCGTGTTAAAACCATGTGTCTGAAATAGTACAGGAGAGCAATCCTGAAACCATTTTGGCTCTCCCAAATTGACCTCAAATATTTCTCTGCGAGGAGGAAGGAAATGGGCAAAGCTTTCCAATTGTCTTTGGACTTTCCAATTGTCTTTTTACACCTCCCTGCAAATACAGTCTGTTAAGCTGAGCAAACTATCAATATGCGTAAGAGATTCAGGAACTAAAGCATTTTCCATCTCAAAGGAATGACCAGGCCACCCAGAAAAGGCAATCAAGTAAGTCATTATCAGGTATCCTGGCAGAAGAGAAGCAATCTTCTCAGATTTCTGCTGGAGACCACCTCCTTCTGTGATGGTGTATATATGATGTTTTGGGGGATGGTCTTGGGCTACAGGGTGGGCAATTTCAAAAGTTTATAGGGGCTTGTGCACCATTGTTCTGGGTCTCTCCTACCTTCTTGCAAGGAGGGGAAGGAACTGTTGCAACAGAAAAATAAAGATCTGCCTTGCTTTCTATGGATCTTGCCTCCATCCACTCATCTCTGACTGATCATGGACTGATCAGTCCCATAGGGAGTTGGGAAGCAAAAGCCAAACCCCCTGTTTTTTCTATAACACCTGCAATAAATAAACAAACCTTGGGGTGAGTTCCCTCACCTTTTTTCCAGAAAAAAAAAGCACTGGCAAAAAATCCCCACACTTTGAACAATTTTATCTTATGTTTTGTTCTCTTTTTTGCAAGATCACACACCACCAGAGGTCCTCCTGCAGCCCTCTCAGCAACAGCCCTAACAGGCTCGGCTGCTGGACTACAACTCCCAACATCCCTTGCAGCAGGTATTGCCCTGCAAGATTAGAAATGCAATCCAGCCACAGCTAAGGGACTCCAAACTAACACAGAGGCCAACAGCTACTGAAACAGATGGGCTCAGCCCAGGGCAGGGAAGCCCCCAGCAGAAACCTTGGGGTGGGAGCAAGGAGCACCCAACCCAGGGGGCAAGGAGGACAGCTGGACACAATATGGGTAACAGGGAGGCGTTGCCACAGAGTGGGTGCCAAACCTATAAGGGGCTATCAAAAGGGGATCTCCCATTGCCACAGAAGTGGCAGGTCCTACAATCACAATTCCAGCCATGTAACAGGGAAACCCCCCACCAAAGGGTCTCCTGGGGAAAGGGCTCAGGCCCAGGGGTATTGCAGCTATTGGTGAGGGATAGCATTTTGTGCGCTCTGCCTTCCTATCCCCACTTGTGTTCACAAGTCTTCCTATAAATCAGAGTCCAAGGGCTCTGTGGTTTGATGGGAGCTCAAATGAGGAAATTGGCATGTATCTGGAGAGCCCACAGATACTCAGTGGGTGGCCTCTGATGCAATCCTACTCAAGAGGAGACCCACTGGAATTAATTGGAAAGGCTGGCTTGGGCTTATACATTTCCCTGCGTCTGCTCTGCGTCGTTGGCGACGTCCCAATATTTCTGGCACAATGCAGCAGGCTGACTTGAGGAAACTGAGGCAAGGCTTGCACTAGCCTCAGAGGAGAATGTTAAGTTGTGGGTGAACATATCAGACGACACAGCGATTCTTCAAACAGCTCTTCTTTATTCAGATGCCAGAACAGAACTAACTGAGGAGCTCAGTCAGCCTGCTTATATAGAGCTCCAGAACCATTGTAACTGTTGCCACTTTCTAAAACTATCCAATCACAGAACGTCACTTTTCGATCCTTCATTTGCATACAAACTATCCAATCACAGAATGTCACTTTCGATCCTTCATTTGCATAACTATCTACAGTATCTCCCTGTTGGCCCAGGGTGAGAACATCAGTACATAACAGAGAACTTGGGCCAGAGTTCGTTTGGGCTGCTTTCTTTTCTGTCCTTGTCCCAAAGTCCTCCTTTCCTCCACAGTCAGCAGCCTTTTGTGCTCTGTAATAAACAAAAATCTGCCCTTATTCCCTTATGGGGGACACAAGAGTCCTTTGCAGGTTCTCCATCGGTCGGAGAAAATAACAGAGGCCAACCAGAGAATATTGAGAAGCAAAGCAGCTAGTAAGCCTGATCTTTATTGAACTGTTGCAACAGGGTGCCCCCTTCACACGCAGGAGAAAGAGGAGGACCCAGAACAAAAGTGTGTCAGCCCTTATATAGACATTTTTAATTGCCCGCCTTGGAGTCCAAGACCACCCCCAGAAACATACCTACATCACAGAAGGGGTGTAGCTCAAGAGCAATCTGAGTACGTTGTTTACCTCCTGCCTGGCAGGTTACCTGTTAATGCTTACTTGTTGGATACCCTGGGGAGCCTGGCCAATCTTTTGTAATGATAAATACTTCCTGAGCCAGGTCACAGGCTCACCCTATTCATACACAGATATACCCTTAAGATAGGTTTTGTAAATGAAAAGACAATGGGGAGGCTTTTCCATTTTCCTTTGACCTTGCAGAGCAAACATTTGGTCAGTCTGGGAGCCAAAATGGTTCCAGGGCTGTTTTCCTGTGCTGCTTCAGACATGTGGTTTATATATTTTTGTACGTGTTTGTTTGGTAAATTTATGAACATTTATTATATATATAAGACCTTATTTTTTTTATTTCAGCTCCATGTCAGGAGAGCTGTAGTAGGCAAGCCTTTGCTGCACCACCACCACCCGCCCTTTACGCTTCTGCACTTCCTGGCAGGGCTTGTGTGTCGCAGACACTTCAAGCTGCTCCGAGGATGTTGCAGTGGAAACTTTGAGTGTCTTCAGCCTCTCTTTGCTGAAAGACTTGCCAAGACTCCTACTCAGCGATTCCAGGACACCCCAAAAGCAGACCTTCCCTTTCCCTTTACAGGAGTAAACAAGGTGGCACGAATTGGATGGGAGAAGTCTAATTCAGCAAGAGCCAGGAGATAGCTGGAAACGGAGAAGGATGCACCTGGGAGTCTGTCTCGCAGCCTTGGGTCTTGTCCTCCCTTTGTGTAAGTATACCTGGCTTGTTGTGGTGGGAGGGCTAGATTGGGTGGGAGGACATCAGGAGGACACACATCACCTTGCTGGGTCAAAAGGGCCCTCCAAGGTCCATCTAGGCCTCGGTTCCTAGCGGTGGCCACCAAAGGGAACCTGGAAGCCCACAAACTGGGCACGAAGGCAATGCCCTCCTTTGCTACCATGGTGGCCCATTTGGGTTACATCAGAGCAGCCAATCCAAGAGTTTGCCCCTTGCTGATGATGCTGAAACAGGCTCTCCTAACACCTCAAGAAACTCCCAGACCATTGCTGTGGTGCAGTGGATCAGTGCATCTGGCTATCAACCAGAACATTGGTAGTTCGAGCCCACCCAAGAATGGCTGTGGGCAGGATTCCTGCATTGCAGAGGGTTGAACTAGATGACCGTAGGGGTCCCATCCTGCTCTACAGTTCTATGATTCTATACATGCAGCCAGGGGGCTGTGGGGACAGGGAGGTAACCTGGAACTCATTTAAAGCGAGGGTTTGGTAGCACCTCTGCAGATGCTGCAGGAGCCATTGTGCCAAAGGGCCTTGAAGAACAGTCCTTGCTAAAATTCCACCTAAGAAGCACTTTTAAGGGGCTGAGCAGGAGGATCACAGGTTTTGGGATGACGTCCTCCCCTCCTCCTCCTCCATGCTTCAGCCAGCTCTGTTGAGGGAGAGATGATTGGGGCACTAGGGAGGGGCCATCGTAGACAGTGCCGGGGCTGCCTGCAGGCGGCTTCCAAGTTTTGTTTTGTTTTAATGATATTTATTAAAGTTTCAAAAAATACAAGAATTACACAAACAAAAAATAAAAATACAAGAAAATACAAAATACAGAAAAAAGAATAAGGTTTTTAAGATATAACAAAGAAATGAGAGATAAAAAGAAACATACAAAATAAAAACAGTTAAAAACACGTTAATTTTCCATAGCCTATCTTCCTTACACTTATTTCCCCGGACCTCCTCGTACCTCCCTTTTTTGTATTCCAGTTCAATTTGTTAGTTCAGCAAATCCTTACCATTAAGCTTTTACCCATTTATAAGCCTTTTTTCGTATCTCTTAAAGCATTACAGCTGGAAACCACTTAGTTTCTATCCAACATCCTTCTAAGATTCCTTAATTTTACAATATTTCTGTAAATAGTCTTTAAATTTCTTCCAGTCTTCTTTCACCGACTCTTCTCCCTGGTCACAGATTCTGCCAGTCATTTCTGCCAATTCCATGTAGTCAATCACCTTCATCTGCCATTCTTCCAGAGTGGGTAGATCTTGTGTCTTCCAATACTTTGCAATGAGTATTCTTGCTGCTGTTGTAGCATACATAAAAAAAAGTTCTGTCCTTCTTTGGCACCAATTGGCCGACGATGCCCAGAAGAAAGGCCTCTGGTTTCTTCAGAAAGGTATATTTAAATACCTTTTTTATTTCATTATAAATCATCTCCCAGAAAGCCTTAATCCTTGGGCACGTCCACCAAAGGTGAAAGAATGAAGGTGAAAGGCTTCCAAGTGTTTCTAGCCATAGGTGGTTTGGGGCTTAAATTATGCCAGGAAAAGGACACAGGCACTGGGTAAACTGGGAAATGTCCTCATCCCCATCAAGCTCAAGAGCATGTTTACATGGATCAGGCTATCCCTGGGCAGGTGAGGCTCTCAATCCTTTGAAAACCAACCCAGCAGTAGCAGCAGAGCTGGATTCCTCACAGCTTCCTTGCAGACACTAATCCTGGGGATCTTAACTTCCACATTTCTCTTGCATAGCTTGCCCCCATCTTGGCCCTGCTGCAGATTGGGGCTAGGCCCCTGCCCACATACCTAACACAGACCCCACCCTCCAAGTACTTGTCCCTATTTTCCAGGGACAGTCCCAGATTTACAGAAGCCATTCCAGTTTCTGATTTGATCCCGGAATGTCCAGCTTTCCCCTTAAAGGTAAAGGTAAAGGGACCCCTGTGAAGTCCAGTCGTGGACGACTGTGGGGTTGCGGCGCTCATCTCGCTTTACTGGGCAAGGAGGCCGGCGTACAGCTTCCGGGTCATGTGGCCAGCATGACTAAGCCACTTCTGGCAAACTAGAGCAGCACACGGAAATGCCTTTTACCTTCCCACCGGAGCGGTACCTATTTATCTACTTGCACTTTGACGTGCTTTCGAACTGCTAGGTTGGCAGGAGCAGGGACTGAGCAACGGGAGCTCACCCTGTTGCAGGGATTCGAACCACCTACCTTCTGATCGGCAAGCCCAAGGCTCTGTGGTTTAGGCCACAGCGCCACCCGCGATGCCCCTATTTTCACTGGAGAAATGTTGGAGGGTATGGAGTTATGCGACCACCAAGCCATGGAGATACATAACTATACAACCTTTAGAAGACATGTGAAGGCAGCCTTGTATAGGGAAGGGTTTTTAAAAAAATGTTTAATGTTTTATTATGTTTGATATACGTTGGAAGCTGCCCAGAGTGGCTGGGGCAACCCAGTCAAATGGCCAGAGTAGAGATAATAACAATAATAGAATAGATGTCCCTTTTTTCACTGGAGAAATGTTGGAAGGTATGCTAACTAGAGGGGAGGGGGCGTTGCGCTTGTTTCCATAATTTATACCCCGCGGCTTCAACATAATTTCTGCTGCTAAATGTTCTAATTCAAAACTATATGAAACAAAACATCCTAACTGATTTTCCTGACTAAAACAGCCGTGGTCGGTTCAAATAAAAACTCCTCTGAGTTAAAAGCATGAGTCTTAGCATCTCTTAAATGCCCTGGTAGAGAGAGAACTGTCACAGATGGGAGAAGCTGCTGTTACTTTCCCCTCAGCTCTGCTCCCCCACTACATTCCACATGGAGCCCCCCCCCCCCGCAATGCCCTTGGCATGAGAGGTCCTGAAACAGAGAGAACCAAAGGTTTCTAAAGGCCTTGGACGAGGCTTTTCCGAGGGGCTGGTGAATGAAATCAGAGCCCTTTCTCAGCCAGAGGCACCAAGGAAAGGGCAGAGTGGAGACTTTTTTGCCCTAGCCTTGTGGTCACCTGTCTTTTCTTCTGTTCTCCAGCCTCATCCTCTGAATTGCACAAAGTGGGCATCTCTGGGCGCCGCGTGACTGTCACCTGCCCTCTACCAAATGCCAATTGGAAATTGGTCAATAAAAAGAAGGGAAATTATGATGTCACCGAAGAAAATGAAATCTTGACCATTGAAGCCATGAACAACATGGAAGTGGTCAAGGGTGACTTCACCTGTCAGAATGGCACGGCATCCCGCAAGATTTATCTGCAAATCAAAGGTCAGTGCTCAAGTTTGAGGTTCTGGTGCTAGAAATCCTCTGCGTTCTTCAGGCAAGAGCTACTGTGAGGGTTGACTATGCTCCAACCCCAGTATGCCTCTGAATAATACCAGTCGGTGGAATCGAAGGGGGGGGGAGAAGAGTGCCGTCCCGCTCTTCTCCTGCTTGCAGGCTTTGTTTTGGGGCATCTCATTGGCTGCTGTGACACTGGGCTAGCTGGGCCACCTTTGGCTTGACCCAGCTGCAGGGCTCCTCTGATGTGGGAGGTGGAGGGATCCAAGGGAGATGCAAAGAGCTTCTCCTCCTCCTGTGCCAGAAGCCAAGTCTGGGGTATCCATTCCCTGACCTTGCAAACAAAGCCTGCCCAGCCCTAGCAGACTTGGATAAAACTGGAGGAGACAGCCGCCCCACCCCAGTGAGATCTTTCTCCAGAGCCAGATTGTGCCAGGACATCCCAATACATTTTGCTGTCTGCAGTGAAGGACAAGACAAATCCCTCCCACCCCCTTGTATGTGTAGGAGCATCTACAGGCTGGAGGGCAGCTCTGTGCAGAGGCTCCTCTGCTGGACTCCGGCGCACAACAGAGCTTCCTCGCATGGTGGCTCAGCACTACCAGGCTGCCCAATCCACCAGGGGATGCAACATCTTACCCACCAGGTGCCAGCAACCTATGCTATGCCACTGGCTCTGTGCACCAACCCCTTCCTTGCCCCATGCTGCCTAATTGTAGGGCTGCCCCAGTTTCCATGGCTTGACTCTCTTGCTCTCCTGGGCAGCCTGTGATGACTGCGTGGACCTGAGCATCGGGCTGGTGGCCGGCATCATCGTTGCTGACCTGCTCATTACCCTGGGGATCATGTTCCTGGTCTACTACTGCAGCAGCAAGAAGCCTGCCACCAGCTTTGGTGGGGGGCCCGCAGGGGGAGGCGCCCGCGGACGGACACGAGGTGAGTACTCTTGTGGTACACCAGGGCTCTCCACAGGGGTGCCTTCGGCTTCCTCCGTTGTCCCACAGAGAAAATTGGAAGTCATCTAAGCTGGGGTTGGATTGGTAAATGAATGCCGAGCATATATGGCTCCCATCTGGAGCTGGAGGTGGGGAGGGTTGCAGATCTGGTGGCAAGGGTGGGTTCTGGTACGCCCACAGCTTAAGAATTTGGGAGACCTGAAGGCTCCTCTGGGTGTTGCTGGGATGGGATCAGCTGGTTCAGGGCTTGCTTCAAGGGCTGAACTGGAGGAGAAACCAGCTGGCTGGCTGGCTGGCTAGACCCCAGCAGGGATCCTGACTGGCCCAGCCCAGAGGTCATAGCAGCAGCAGTTGCTCTGGGGTGGGGTGGGGGGACTTTACAGCCCCATTGTTCTGACACAAAGTATTTCAGCTAAAGCACCCTTATATGTGCGGACAGGGGCTGATGCCCCACGCTTAACCACCCTGCAATAACCACCTCCAATTCTTGGCTGTGCTAACAAATACCCACTTTGCATTGTCTTCCAGGCCAAAAGGTGGACCGCCCCCCACCTGTCCCAAACCCAGACTATGAGGTAAGCACAGCAGAGGGTGGCTGCCAGGGGCCGGGAGGGAGAGTCTATGGAGGGCGGCCAAAGAACCTGGAGCCTGAACGCCATCAGCACTGGGAGGGCCAAGGGCTAGACTGGGCACACCTGGCAGGAAGGCCCTGCAGTCCTCTGCGGGCAGCTGCTTGCTCACCTGAGGCAATCAGGCCCTGCTTGCTGGTGATCCCCATGGCCTCTCCAGGGGGAGACAGCAATGGCCCCATCACAGAAGGACCCTTGGTGAGTAACCTCTCCTCTTTATTCCAACAGCCCATCCGGAAAGGCCAGCGGGAGGTGTATGCTGGGCTGGAGCCCAGGGCCTTCTGAGACATACCACAGTCTCTGCATGGAGCCACAGTGCCACGAAACCTTATTGTTGCTGACTGCTGGTGGAACCGCCGTCTCCCTTTGCCACTAGCAGCTTCCCTTGGTGGCAGGTGGGTCGCCACACACCTCTCCCTGAGTCTCACAGCCTGGAAAACCACCCTCCTTCTCTGCAGCTCAGTCCACTCCCTTCAATGGGTCCAAGTGCGCCTCCGATGGGGTCCTTCCCAGCTCCTTGATGGCCCAGTAGAAGAGCCTCCTTCTGGGTCAGACAATCATCATATCCAAGCCATGCCTGGAGCAACTTTAGCCCTGCACTGCAGAGAAGGATGTGGGGCACAGAGACCTGGGACAAGTCACAGGGACTGGGAAGGGCGCTATGGGCTTAGGGTCATAGGCCCACCTGGGCTTGCACTGTGAAAGGTGTTCCAACCCTGAGCCAGCTCAGATTCTCCCGATTCCTCCTCTCCAGCCACACACCTGGGCAGGAGCTGGTTGCTGGGTTATGCAGGTGGGGGGAGAAATGCTGGGCAGAGAGTCTTGTCCCATTTCTGGAACCTTACCTATGGGGGCTGATAGAAGTCAAGCCCTGTTCTAAGGCATCTCCCCTTTGTTCATTCATCAGTCCTGGGCCTTCTCCACCACATCAGCCCACCTTTAAGCCCCTTTGTGGTTTGGTCCCCACCCCACCCCAAAAAGTGCTCCTGTGACCCAGGGAAAACGGTCGGTCCTGATTAAATAATCTCAGCTGACTTCTCTGCTGCCCTTCTCTCACCCAGCCATGCTGTGTTTGGGCACCACAGCAGATGCGCTGACCTCTTGGGGGACAGAATTGTATGTATTTTGTTGTGGTTGTGTTTGCAAGGAATTCTAATAAAGTGCCTTCCAGGCCAGCGTGCTGCATCACACTGGCTCTCTTTGCACGTCATTCTTTAATGGGTTGGTATGTTCTTTGCTAAGGGGGATCAGAAGGTCGGCGGTTCGAATCCCCACAACGGGGTGAGCTCCTGCCAACCTAGCAGTTCGAAAGCACATCAAAGTGCAAGTAGATAAATAGGTACCACTCCGGCGGGAAGGTAAACGGCGTTTCCATGCGCTGCTCTGGTTTGCCAGAAGTGGCTTAGTCATGCTGGCCACAGGACCCGGAAGCTGTACACCGGCTCCCTTGGCCAGTAAAGCAAGATGAGGCGGCAACCACAGAGTCGTCCGCGACTGGACCTAATGGTCAGGGGTCCCTTTACCTTTTTATGTTCTTTGCTGGGAACTCCTGATGACTTTGTAACTAACAGGGGACTCAAGAAAATTTACGGATGTAGCATAATGGGAAAAGGCAGGGCAGAAAAGGCAGGGATTACTGGTTATGCCTAGGGTGGGAAGACTTTAAAGCTGTCAGGAAGACAGGTGAGGAAGATACGCTAGTCAGAGCGGCGGCAGCAGAAGGCAGGATTGCATTAACGCCATGGGCCAGAAACTCTGGCTGAGTAGCCCCTCAGCACGCTCTCGGGAGCCCCTCAATTCTCTCTGCTGCCCAGGGACTGCTTGATGGGGAAGGGCAACTAGCAAACACTCATTCCCTCGCCCCACAGGAAGTGGCAGTTGCGGGAAGAGCTGTGGTCCCACCTAAGAGCGCTCAGCACTCAGCTACCACGGCACTTGTTCCGCAGGATGTGGTCAAGGCAAGCGCAGCTGCGTTTTCAAGAAAGGCGAAAAACAGCTCCCACGTGCAAAAGGCATGTGAGTCAACGTCCAATGTGTGTCTGTGCCTTTGTGCAAGTTGCTGACTTCGTGTGGAGCTTAAACTCTCAGAGCAAACTACCGATCTTCCTTCAAAACACATTCAGCCACACACCACTCGAAAGACTGCAATTTGTTTTCAGTAAAATAAGTAATTTAGAAAGGTATCCGCCACAGACAGATGAGATGCAGTTTCGTTGGAAACTAGAGCTGCGTTTCCTTTATTATTATTGATTTCATTCTATTGATGCATTGCTTGCTATAAAACAGCTGAGAGCGAACAGACCATGTTCAAAGTGGATTGCTGCAGAAACAACAAAAGCCCTTTTGGCTTTCTTAGTTATTGGAGCCCCTCCAAATCAGAGGGGAAAGTCGTGGGGAAGGAAGAACAAAGGGAGGCCAGCTCAATAGTAGGGACAGGGGTTACATTTTGAAATGAAAGCACAGCAAGAGTCAAACTATTTCTACACCCTTCACTATAGCTTGAAGCAACCTTCCCTTTTGAGCTCCCCACGGCCAAAGGAGGAGCCATCAGCAATTCACGCTTCGCTGCCACATCAGAGGAAGAACGCTTTGTCCCCTTCTCACCGGTGGCGGGTCTTGGCCACTCCGATGTGGCTGTACTGCCCATTGTTGCGTTCTCCGAGAGGCTGGAGGGGAAGAGAGGCATGCAGTTAGAACAGGGGTCTGTACTTTTCTTAACCTGCCCTAGGAACTTGCAGGTTGACCGAGGAGGATTTGGGCAAGACTGGTCTGGCTCATGGGACTGCTAGCGGACCGCGTCTGCATTGAAAGCCCCCCCACCCCCGGCTGCACTTGACCCATCCTGACGCCACTGGAGATGGGGGTTCCCGTTAGCTATCTGGAGGCTGCAGGGATTTCCAGGGGGGCAGCTGGGTTAGTCTGCTGCAGCAAAACCAGCAAAGGCTGGATCCATTTCAGCTGCCCAGCCTGGAGTCCCTGCCCTTTGTTTATTCATTTTTTAATGGCAAGAGGTTGCGTGGTGTCATGACCTGCCCATGACAGATTGGAGTTTTCCCAATATTTCTTCCATCTCACAAAAAAAAAATGACAGTTTCTGTGGAACCAGCAGCACAATCACTTCTTTCTTAGTACTACTGCCTGCCTTTTCATGGCACGTTAAAAGATTTAGCAGGTTTACCAGAGCAGAAGCTTTTGCAACCTTAGATTCACTTTCTCTGTCTACTCCTTGTTTTTTTAAAAAGACCAGGAAATCCAGCAGCTATTCCAATGAACTCCCAGAGTAGAAACAAACATGCACAGACCTTACAGCAGGCTCTGTATGAAAGAGTTGCTGCAAGGGCTGCTCACCCTGTAGTCCCCTGACCACTTGAAATGTCTCAATGCTGGGCTAACCTGGTTCTGACCTAGCCTGTCCCTTTAAGAGTACCCAGTTTTTCTAGACCAGGAGCTGGGAATCTCACCCCTCCCCTGCCTTTGCTGAACTACAACTCCCATCAGCCCCAGCAAGCCTGGCTAGCGGACAGGGATGGTGGGAGTTTTAGTTCAGCCCTATTAGAGTACCAAAGGTTCCCCACAGCTGCTCTGATCCTCTGTCGTGTTAAGTGGGGAGCCTGCACCCCACCCCACCCCACCCTAGTCTCCCCTCCAATGCACAAGCAGAGGGAAGTTGGGCAACTCCTGCAGTGATGAAGTCATGAAAGCCCAGTCTACCCACTTCCAAAAGGTGGCACCCACCCTGGCACTAGGCTTCTCTTCCTATCAGCTAACCAGAGCCACCCGTCAATCAGAACCCACCTGAATCAAGAGCTCTTAAAAACAGAACATTGTCAAAATTCCTTTTCCCCTCATGATCTTTCAGACCACGCAGGATGATGCCACGTTACTGCTGAAGAGTGTGGAAACTTGCTTGTAAGCTGAAGAACGTCAATAGACTTGAAATGCTTATTTTCGTATGCCTCATTCAAAATAAACTCTCTTAAAATTGTGCCACTGGAGTTTGATGTCCGTTTGCAACTGCTCACTCTGGGGGCGAACTTTGGTAATATGGTGCCCTGAGCAAGGACAAAATTTGGCGCCCCCCCCATCTTATTTTCCCAACAATTCATTTTGGTGCAGCTGATTTTTCGTGAATCTTCTTAGTACAGTGGTACCTCAGGTTACATATGCTTCAGGTTACATACGCTTCAGGTTACACACTCCGCTAACCCAGAAATAGTGCTTCAGGTTAAGAACTTTGCTTCAGGATGAGAACAGAAATTGGGCTCCAGCAGCGCAGCGGCAGCAGGAGGCCCCATTAGCTAAAGTGGTGCTTCAGGTTAAGAACAGTTTCAGGTTAAGAACGGACCTCCGGAATGAATTAAGTACTTAACCCGAGGTACCACTGTAGTTACCTATATAAATATAGGTATTAACAACAACACTATCATGCGCCCCCTTGACTCAGTGCCACCACCCTAAATCTAGTGCTGCTTACTCATGGGAGAGATTGTGTGCCTAGACCTCTTGGATTCAGCCTACGCATTTGTGTCCGAGGAGGCTGCTATCTAGGGAAGAAAAGAAAGCTGCTCTGTTTCCTGTGGAAGGATAGGTGTAGGCTGAGTGCTACTTCCACTTAAGAATGTAGGCTTAAGAATGGCCTTTGACTCCAAGCCAGAGAGGAAAGGGCTGGGAGCACCAACACACCTCATATTTGGAAACAGCTGCTGCTCCTGTTTCAAGGGATGGAGGACTCTCCCTGCTCCCTGCTACAAGCCCCACATCACAGCAAACTTCAGTTGTCCAGAAAGGACTGCAGGTGTTCTCATCATCCATTTATTCTTCCTTTAATATTTTTTTTTCAAACGAAGTTGCTTTGGGGATTTTCTGCCACCACAGTTTCTTCATTTTACCCCATTGGGAGGCTAATCTCTGGCCATGAGGGCTAGAAACTAGCTTTTTAAAAGAACACACAGACAGAATCATGATTCCCAGAAGAATATATTGCCTCTGCAAAGCAGCACCCTAGGCTGAGGCAGAAGAACCTTTGCAGAAGTCAAGGAATTCTTGGATGCAAAGGGCCCCTCATTTCACAGCTTGGGAGGAGCTGTCCAGGAAAACACCACCATGGAGCAGAGGAAGAGACTGACCACAGGCACCCACTCACCTGGTAGAGCTGCTCATTGGCTAATAGGGTCTGCTTGTCAGAAGCTGCAAAGTCAAAACAGGAAATTTCAGGATGACTCCAAATGGGTGATTAACACAATTAAAAATTAAATATACCAGGTATGGGAGCGTGGATGCCAACACAGACATTGCTCCCTTTTTCAGGGCTGTTTCCCCATCTCCCAGGAACTGCCTGTCCCCCAATGCTCACCCTGAGATCGTCGGCCCGGCTCCCCCGCAGCAATGCAGTACACTCCAACAGCCAGGAAAAACGTAGCCACGATGCTGGCCAGCAGAATCCCCATGATCGCGGCAACGTCCAGACGAATACAATTCTGGCACACTGTGTCAAGAGGGAGAGAACTCAAAATGCATCCTATGCTCACAAGCACACCTGAGTTTTGTCCACATGTGGCTTGATTTGAATAGAGTGTGCCTCTGAGCACATGGAAACTGTACTAATTTTGATGTTTGCCACTCTGGGCTCCTTTGGGGGGAACAGGCAGGATAGAAATTTAATAAACGACAAGAATAATCAATACAGTGGTACATCGGGTTGCAGATGCTCCAGGTTACAGACACTTCAGGTTACAGACTCTGCTAACCCAGAAATAGTACCTCGGGTTAAGAACTTTGCTTCAGGATGAGAACAGAAATCGTGCAGCAGCGACGCAGCGGCAGTGGGAGGCCCCATTAGCTAAAGTGGTGCTTCAGGTTAAGAATAGTTTCAGGTTAAGAACGGACCTCTAGAACACATTAAGTTCTTAACTTGAGGTACCACTGTAAATGGATGGTCCCTCGCCACTGAGTGACTAGAAACAACCAGCACTTTTTTGGGGGGGGGGAATGCAGGGGTATGTATACCCCTAAACATTTTGTGATGTACTTTTGTCCATTTACTGTATTTATTTCCCCCGATTTGAACTATAAAATGGTGATTTTCTGGAGTCAAAATGAGAGTAACCCTAAACATATTTTGTTTTGTTTTGAAAAAAAGCACTGGAAACAGCCATTTGCCATCTGGGACTAAATGAAAAGCACTTCTGCTTGTAGGGTGGGTTTTCTAGCTAAACACAACTCCTAACATCCAAACAGCCCATCAACCCAACAAAACAAACCCCGGAGCCCAGGGACTGTTGCTGCACCACAACCAGCAGAGAGACCTGCGCAATATGCTTAGCAGGATACTTACCACTAACAAAAGAACAAGCCAGCTGAGAGGCTTAAAAGTGGAACAGAAACAAATTTTGTCACTCAAAATTCTCATCTGAAAAGTATTCTAAGTTTGATGTCATTGTGTGACATCCAGTGATATTTGATATTTGATTTCAGCTTCTTTAAAAAATGAAATCACAGTCAGATCTGATGTGAGCAAAGGCACTTAGTATTTGACAGCTCCCATGAATGCTGCCAATGGTGTCTGAGATCTTCCATGCAACAGCAGGTAGTAAAATGTTTGCTTTTGAAATAAGATTGTTCATTTAATTTAACCAATTAATTAGGAAACAAGCCCCAGAAAAAGATAGTACTCTCTACAATATGTGGTGATCTTGTAAGAGAGTAAAAGCTTTATGGGAAATGATTTATAACGAATTGAAGAAAATGTTTAAGACAACTTTTAACAAAAAAACAGAAACTTTTCTTTTAGGGATAGTAGATAGTGAGATACCAAAAGACCGCCTAAAAAATTGTTTATGTATGCCACAACTGCAGCTAGAATGGTTTTTGCCCAGAGATGGAAAGAAGATGTAGTACCAACCCTGGAAAAGTGGCTAATTAAATTAATGGATTGTGCCGAAATGGCAAGGTTAATGGGTGTAATAAGAAACCAAGAAGAAGAAGAAATTCCTAAAGATTGGGGAAAATTTGTGGAAAATTTGAAAAACTTATGTATGCAAATAGCTCATTAGCAGGATTAATGTAAAACAAGTGGTTAAACGTATGATTATGAGAAACTAAAGAATAACTTTAGATGGAGTAATGTGGAAAATGCAGCATGAAAATTAAAATCAAAAGGAAACCACAAAAGGGAGGAAGTCAAATATATGTGCATTAGAAATGTATGTAATTTGTGTTTTTGCAATTTGTATGTTTGCAAAAATAAATAAATTGAAAAACCAAAACATAAAATTTATATATATATATAAAAGGAAACAAAGAAAGCAGGCTCCACCAGAGCCATTGACAACATCACAACTGCCAGGCTAAGCACGTTCACACTGGACAGGGTTGTCATGGTCCCCACCAAGTGGCCACAAATCTGGGTGTGTCCCCTTCCCACCACCCCCTCAGTTGTGTGACTCTGGAGTAGCACTGCTTTCCTGTCCCTTCACATGGGGGAGGAAGGGCTCACGCACTTCGGACGAACACCTGAAGACGTGCGCTATTGCACTCGAAGACACCTCTCGGGTCATCCAGGATGTCACCCAAAGACAGGCTAGAGTTTCCATGGTTTAATGCATTCCCATCTTTATTCCATTTTATTGGGAGGTTTTTATCCTCCGCTTCGCAGTAGAGGACAATGTCATTCTTTTGCTGCTTCACTGTGATGGATTCCTCAGCAATACCTATGAGGAAGGAATGACAAGGTGGAGGAATACACCCAAACAGAGCCCTTGGGTCCATCTAGCACTCAGAAGGACCCAAGATCAGCCACAGCTGGGATGCACGAAGGAAGACCACAACCGTAAGGTAAAGGCCCTTTCACAGGAACACCCATAAGTGATGAAAAACATGGACCATATTGCTTGTGCTAGAAGAGGAGGAAGCTACAGTGGTACCTCGGGTTACATACGCTTCAGGTTACAGACTTCGCTAACCCAGAAATATTACCTCGGGTAAAGAACTTTACTTCAGGATGAGAACAGAAATTGTGTAGCAGCAGCGCGGCGGCAGCGGGAGGCCCCATTAGCTAAAGTGGTGCTTCAGGTTAAGAACAGTTTCAGGTTAAGAACAGACCTCCAGAACAAATTAAGTTCTTAACCTGAGGTACCACAGTACTAAGCTGACTCCCTCCTGCAATGCAGGAATATACAGCTGTCCCATATGGGGATCAAACCTGCAACCCTGGCGTTATCAGCACCATGCTCTAACCAACTGAGCTATGAAGAAAGGTAAGTCATTCCACTGTCCAATAAAAGAGGGAGGGAATTACGTTAAGTTGTGCCAATAGTCAGCCACAACATTGCGCTACTTCACCCACTTCTGAAACAGAAACACGACCTTTTAAATGTTTTGTGGGAAGGGGCTTATTGGTGTCAAGGAGTGGTAACGATGCCCACATCTGGACACAGACGTCAGGACAATGTCTGCAGCCCAAACACAAACACCTGCACCTTCCCACTGCAAAGCAATGGAAGCAATCACTCGGTGTTCAGCAGCAGTGGCAGAATGAAAAGGACAAATACCACACTAGGGACAGTAGGAAAGGGACAATAAGATGGACACAGCATTGTGTAAATCTAGTGTGGCTGCATTTGAACTACTGGCTGCCACATCTCGATAAGGACACCAAAGAGCTAAAGAAAAAGAAGTGGGGGCAGCCAAAATGATTAAGAGGCCAGAACACCCTCTGTCACAAGGAAAAGCTAATGTATTTGTGGTGTCTTAGTTTTAAAAAAAATGATGATGGGGAGATGGGACGTGATTGAGGTATATGAAATTATGCACATTGGACAGAGGAAAGTCAGCTTCTGCTCCTCTCTCTCATACAAACACAAACAGACACTCACACATACTCTCTCTCTCTCTCTCTCTCACTCACACACACACACACACACACACACACTACTACAACCTAGAGTCGTACAATGAAGTGGAAGAGTGGGACATTCAGCAGAGAGGGAGAGGGAGAGAGACACGCAGAAGAATATATTTCTTGTGGAATTCTCTGGTACAAGATGTGGTGATGACAGCTATTATTAACGTAGATTGGTGATTGATCCTGATGGCCAAATGGAACCTGTCTCCTGTGGTTGGTGGTTCTGCTTTATCCTCTGAACAAGGCACTGACATTTCATGGGGTTCAACAATAGAGTCCAGCCAGTGAGGCCTGATGCCTTTCAGGGTGGGACACAGAAGGTAAATGTGGCGAGCATCTGCTTTCCAAGCATTTGATACATACAGGTTTTTGGAAGCGTTTTAGAGCACAATTACAGGCAAAAATAATATGGGAAAGGATCTGTCAATGAACATTTTAAGGTGAATTGGTTAGTTGCCTCTCTTTCTCTTCCCACTCAAGGACCCGACTTCTTCACTTTTCTGTCTTTGTTCCCCCACCTCCACAAATGTCAGATCCTTTCCTGAGGCTGGACTCAAGGGCCTTTGAGTGAGGTCCTACCTTTGGAGAAGAGCAATCCAAAGAGGAAGGCTGCACACAAGAGATGCTGGCTGCGTCCCATGACCCTTCTTCAGAGTGTGTGTTGATAACCCGCTTATTCTTTCCCTTGAAATGAAATTGCTCACTTTGCAAAAAGACACCCACAAAGAAGTGCCCTTTGCTCAGTGCTGTGCTGAGCTGGATATGAAAGTAGAAGAAAACATCTCTGTAGTCAGCCAGGAACAGGAAACCTGTGGGTGGGAGGCCTCTCTGTCCCCACTGTGCATGGAAATGAATGAGTGAATAGATGTTAAGAAAGAGTACAATTTCTGAAGAGAATTACAGGGGAGGGGGGGTGCTCTTGTGTTTGAGTCCTGCTTGAGGGTTTCTCACAGGCAGGTAGGATTGTATGTGAATAGGATGCTGGACTTGAAAGGCCATTGATCTAATCCAGCAGCCTCTTCTTATGTTCTTAAATGGAAGGAAATAGCCTGCAGAACATGGAAATTTAACTGATTCCTCACCACACACTATTTCCCCCCCACTCCCAGATCTGCCAACTTCATGAACTGTTGTCTAGAGAAATGGTGTACTCACTAGGGGTGGCATGCAGCCATCACACCATCAGAGGGTGGGTATTTTGGTGGGGCCAATGGTGAGGTGAATCCTGGAAACCTGAAACAGCCGCTGGCAGAAAATGACAATTGTGGGCCGGGGCTGGGCGGGATATAACTTCCATTGTGGCATTACAAAGCACTGTCTAGTATATGAGAAAGATGGATTGCATCGCAGGGTTGTTGTATAACTCCCCCTCTCCTCTCCTTTGGATAGGGCGGTTTTCTCCATGTCCTGTGTGTGGGCTTCCCAAGAAGGCATCTGATTGATGACTGTGGAAAACAGGAGACTGAATAAGATGGATCCCCATTGGGTCTGGTCCAGCGACACAGCTCTACTTAAATTTGGCCACAGCTCTCATACTGCAACATGGAGATAATACTTGTGGATTTGATTTTCATTTCTGAAATATTTTAAAGAACCATTTAAAACTGCATTGATTTTTCACAAGAATATCTGAGTATAAAACAGAATGAACTCAGCTGCAGTGCTAGAATAGATATAGATATATAGATATAGAAAGAGTGTGTATGAACTTCCACCACCACTTCTATATGTGTGGGCAGCGGGTAAGGATGGATATGCTGCTGTCCAAACAGAGCTACACAAAAGCAAAGCAAAACTGGATCTCTCTCCATTGTTTCATATGAACAGCTGTCACTTTTACCTTGGCAGACCAAGTGGGAAAACCAGGGCTTCAAACACAGCCAGGAAGTCCCGCCTTCAGAAACGTGAACGGTCAGTCTGATCCTATTACAGAGCTACGATTTCAAAGTGTTTACAGTTTAAAGAACCTTCAAAGCGGTTATTGAGCTTCTGTAGCATCGGTTGCAAGCAAAAAGCAACGAACAGGCCCGTGGCTCCTCGTGTTCCAACAAATATCCTTATGCTATAATCTTTCGGGGGCAAGAGGCCACTTCCTCGGATGCATCATCCTCAGTTGCAATTGCAGGGATATGAAACACACATAATCATATATATATAAATTTTTATTAGTTTTTTTAACATATCATTTTCAACAGTAATTAAACATACTTTTACATCTTATTCAAATTTTTGACTTCCATCAATCCTGTCTGAAACACACATCATCATGGCTGTAAGCGGGGGCGTGGGGACGACTTGTGTCCAGGGAAGCTGCGGGGCAGGACCTCCTGCCATTCTTAGGAGAGCTGTTGCGAGTCAGAGGGGGCGATTTCCCCCTCCCAGCTGTCCCTATTCAGAGCAAACGGCCCTGCAAGCCTTTCACGAGATGTGATCCTTCGGCCACAGCCCCCTCTCTACAACTTGCGGCATGAGGACGGCAGAATGTACAGTACAGTGGTACCTCAGGTTACCGTAAATACTCAATTCGTTCCGGAGGTCCGTACTTAACCTGAAACTGTTCTTAACCCGAAGCACCACTTTAGCTAATGGGGCCTCCTGCTGCCGCTGCACGATTTTGTTCTCATCCTGAAGCAAAGTTCTTAACCTGAAGCACTATTTCTGGATTAGCGGAGTGTGTAGCCTGAAGCGTATGTAACCCGAGGTACCACTGTATTTGTTTTGGAACTGCTGTTGGCTAATTTTGCAAATACTGGCGCTTACGGGTGGCAGGTTGTGGGAGAAGCAAACGTTTCCTACGAGGCGACACTCGGGTCTTCTGCTACCTTCGGGGCGCAGTGCAACGGATGGCTGCTGCCCAGCCAACAGCTGTATTAAAAAGCTTGGAGTTTACACATCTCAAAACGGGAAATAGGAAGCGAGCTAAGAACACAACCACGTAGTCCTCTTTTACTTTTTCCTATCTCTGTGGCTCTAATTTCTCTCTCCCCCCCCGCCCCGCCCCCATGCGTTCCCGCCTCCCCTTCTTCCATTGGTGGGGCCCGCTTCCGACCCTGTAGGATGACGTGTAGGCGCGATCCAGTGGCGTCACGCGTTGTCAAGTTTACTGACTGGGAAGTGGTCTCGAAGCGGTCGCGGACCGGTAAGCAGGCGAAGAAGCGGCGGGTCCCGTCGCTGCGAGCCTTGGGCTGGAAGGGCCAGGCCAGGCCGGTGGGGTTGCCCTGGTTTGGGGGAGCCTTGGTGCGGTGCGGGTCGCTCGGCCCAGCCGGCAGGCCCTCCGTGCGCGGGAGCCGCCGTCACCGTCGCCTCCTGGCCCGGCGCTTCTGCCGCAGCTGCGGGTCAGCGGCGTCGGGCCTTCCTAGGCTCCCTCCTCGGGCCCTGGAAAGAGGGCTTCTGAGACGGCCTCTGAGGCCCTCCTCTCGCTTTGGTCCCCAGCCCTGGATGGAGTTCGCCTGGCGGGGAAATGACCGACCAGGAGAACAACAACAGTATCTCCAGTAACCCCTTCGCCGCCCTCTTCGGCTCCGTCGCCGACGCCAAGCACTTCGCCGAGATCCAGAAGCAGCAGCAACTGACGCCGCCCGTTGGTGAGAGGGGGAGAGGTGGCCTCTCTTTTGCGGGGGGGTTGACGCCCCTGGCCTAGGAAACATTGGGTCAGATCGAAGGTTGAATCCCACGTGGAGGCATTGCTGAAAGCACTTGGCTGATCTTATCTGTACCCCCACCCCTCCCTGTCCTTATTTTAAACGACAGACCATTTTACCACCCCCCCAAAAGCTGGGCATCAGTAACCATAGATTGCAAAAACTAATCTGGATTTTAAGGAATTGGTGCGAAGAAGAATTGAATTAAAATGGATAAAAACTAGTAGGTGCTGAAATCCTCAGTTTTTCACTGGTTTAACCCCAGGCTCCCAAATGGAAGGGTTTTTCCTCTGCTTCAAGTTGTGCAAATCTTTGGAAGAGCAGAGAGAGTTTGTGGTGGTGGGATAGTCACTGAGGCAGCCTTTCTGTGTCTTGACTGGCCCAGTTAGCCAAACAAATTGTGTTTGGGTGATAAGGTATAAGTGGGGCCCATGTGGGGCTGGCAACCAGTCTCCATGCGTTTTCTAGAGGCGACAACAACATGTTTGTGATTTGTGGTAAGCTGACTTTGTGGCTGGTAGCTATATTTGCCTGATGCCTGACACCTTATCTATATTTACCTGATGCCTGACACCTTATCAAGAAGCCAAATCTGAGGCAAAGGCCATGCTGGTCCCTCCTTCTTCTTGACGCAGAGCCCTCCAGGGCAAAAGGCCAGGGTGCGTGGCTGGTGCCTGGTGGGGCCAAGTTAGGCTGCTTCTTAACTAGTTCTACTTCTCCAGTGGAGGAAACCTCGGCCAGCCAAGATGATTCTGACAACAGTGTGTCTGAAAGCCTGGATGATTGTGACTACTCCGTGGCTGAGATCAGCCGCTCATTCCGTTCCCAGCAGGAGCTCTGTGAGCAGCTCAACATCAACCACATGATCCAGAGAATCTTCCTGATCACACTTGACAACAGTGAGTATGGGGAGTTAGTTCCTGGGATCCAGACTAGGAGGAACTCTCAGTTATACTAGGATTTTTGCAGCTTCCTGAGAGTAGGGCTGCAGTATTCTATGGTGGCTGTAGACTCAACACAGATAATCTTCCACTTGTAGTTCCTTTTGCTGTACTATGTGCTGCAGAATCTCCTAAAGAACTTGGCTGTGTGTGGTTTCTCTTACACTATGCTTGTCATTGTATAAATGCTTTCCTGACACATCAAGTGTGGTGGCAGGGAGTAGTGTTTCCTGTAATAGTGCTGCTCTATTCTGTTGCACAATGATTTGTGTGGGGCAAGAAAACCCCTCAAGCTTGGATCCCTATGTGCATCAGTTTCCTTAAAAGTCTCTCAAGAGTTCCAAAATGCTGGAATGGCTGTGTCCCTCCAGGCATGTTCTGTGCCACTGGCACTCAATAAAATAAAGCTTAAATCTCTCCCTTCCTCTTCCCCAGTGAACTGATAAAAATAAATTCTGCCTTTAGGAAAAATGAAGTTAGCGTCTTCCAAACTAGGGAGGGGGGTTATTGGGTTGTTGTTTTTATTTTGATTATATATTTTGTGGTTTTATATGTTGATTTTGTTCTATGAACCACCCTGAGACTTCTGGGTACAGGGCGGTATATAAATTCAATAAATAAATAAATAGAAAGATGGGGCGGGAGGATGATGTATGGGTTGGGGGCTTGGGCTTGTAGGGACACAGATTCATGCTTGTGGTGTTACTGATGTTGCTGGTTTGATGATTCCCAACCTGCAGGTGACCCCAATCTCAAAAGTGGCAATGGGATTCCTGCACGCTGTGTGTACTTGGAGGAAATGGCAACAGACTTGGAGGATCAGGATTGGCTTGACATGGAGAATGTGGAGCAGGTATCTGTGCATATGCAAATGCAGTTGATTTTTCTGCCTGACTGAGGGCTTGGCAGAGTGTCCGTGAGCCTTGGTGAAGGATGCAGGCTTTGCCCTTCAGGACACACTGTTCTCTGTGCTGATGTTCTTGAAGGACCCTTCAGCTGGATCAGTCTTGTGAATGGAAGACATTTGCCTTCTCTCCTTTTGTAGGGCTCACTTTATAGAGCAAGGCTGACTAACCTATGGACCTGCAAATGTTGTTAGACTTTAGCTTGAATAATCCTCAACCACTAGCCATACTGGTTTGGGGCTGATGGGAGTTATAGTCCAACAACATCTGGAGGGGCACAAGTTAGCCACCCCTGTTGTAGAGCCACCAACATTGCATTTTGGACTTTTTGTTTAATCAAGCAGACTTGTCTGACCTGGGTGCCTGAATCCTATCACCCATTCGCTTACAGCTCATGACAAAGTGGGTGAAGGATCTGGCCTTAGCCACAGAAGTTGTCTTGGATGACCTTCTGGTCTTACTGTTTGTTTTTGATACATAGTTGGGCACTTGCTCTCTGTGGCTGGTGGGTGGGCAGGGTTGTGTACTGACCATTTATGTCTGGCTTGGCATGTCTCTCCAGGCTCTCTTTACCCGGCTACTCCTCCCTGAACCAGGGAATCACCTGATTCACATGACCTCGGCTGGCATACAGAATCTATCAGCTGAAAGAGATGCAGGGGAGAAGCACATATTTCGCTACCTCTTTGCCAGCTTCCAGAGGGCAAAGGAGGAGGTGGGTCAACGCCCCACATCCCTGTCAGCAAGTCTGACTGCCTGAGCAGAGCAGCCCAGCAGACCAGAGACAAAGTGCTCTCCTCTGTTCTCCTAGATTACCAAAGTGCCAGAGAACCTGTTGCCCTTTGCCATGCGCTGCCGAAACCTTTCTGTGTCCAACACTCGCACGGTCCTCCTCACCCCGGAGATCTATATCAACCAAAATGTCTACGAGCAGCTAGTGGACTTGATGCTGGAGTCCCTTAGAGGAGCCCGTAAGTTACAGAGGCAGAGCTGGGCACCCTAGAAGAAGATAATGGGCTACAACTGCAGGAGGTCCCTCAAAGATACCCCACCTTTTTATTATAGTTGTAAATGTGTTGGGGTGCCTGTATCCTTCTATGAGAATGCATAAAGGATTGGTGTTCACTTCTCTTCTGCTCTCTTACTGTAGGTTTTGAAGATGTAACTGAGTTCCTGGAGGAAGTCATAGAAGGCCTCACTATGGATGAGGAAGTGAAGACCTTTGAGGAAGTAATGGTACCTGTCTTTGATATCCTCTTGGGACGGATCCGAGAGCTGCACCTTTGCCAGATCCTGCTCTACTCCTACCTGGACATGCTCCTGTACTTCACTAGGCAGAAAGATATAGCAAAAGTGAGCATTTGGCTAGCCTCTTCAGGGTGCCAGGGAGCAGCAAAGCAATCAGCCATGGCCATTTTCAGCTTCCCTCCTGGGCAGAGGGGTAGTTGCTTGTTCTCTTCACTGTGAAGGAAGCATGGCCTTCCTGATTCTGTGCTGCGGTTGCAACATGCATCAATGATAGGCTGGCCAATATGGCAGAGCCATCATTCCATAAAAGGGTGTCCTTCATTCCACTACTTACATCGGGGCTTTACCTGTACTGGCTGACCAGCAGTACCTTCTATTTCTGTTTGTTCAGGTTTTTGTAGAGTACATCCAGCCAAAGGACCCAGCCAATGGGCAGCTCTACCAGAAGACTTTGCTGGGAGCTATCTTGAGCATCTCATGCTTGTTGAAGACCCCAGGTGTGGTAGAGAACCATGATTACTTCTTGAATCCCTCTCGGTCCAGCCCTCAGGAGATCAAGGTGCAGGAATCCAACATCCATCAGGTGTGTGGAGGTGCACATTTCATACCAGTGTAGCTTAACCAGGCAGAGTAGAGGGGACAGCGGCGGAAAATGACAGCTTCTGTCTCTTAAATTTATCTCTCTAGTGTGATTTTGTGGGTTCTTGGTTGTTCCTTAAGTCACAGATTGTCAACATCAAAGTATAGTGAAAACCTCTGCAGGAAATTCATGATGCTTGGGGTATTTGAGAAGACCAAGACCCATTAACTGCTGAAAGTTAAGGCATTTAGGAGAGAGGAGGCATAGCTCAGTGGGTAGAGCACAGATACTGCATGTGGAAGATCCCAGTTTAAGTTGACTGAGCAAGTGTGTGTGTTGTACACATCTTAAGACTTCTGATGTTTTGGTAACAGTTCATGGCTCAGTTCCATGAGAAGATCTACCAGATGCTCAAGAACCTGCTGCAGCTATCACCACAAACAAAGCACCGAATCCTGTCCTGGCTGGGAAACTGTCTCCATGCTAATGCAGGCCGCACGAAGATATGGGCCAACCAGATGCCAGAGATTTTCTTCCAGATGTATGCCTCGGATGCCTTCTTCCTGAACTTGGGGGCCGCCCTCCTCAGGCTATGCCAGCCCTTTTGTAAGCCCAGATCGCCCCGGCTCCTCACATTTGACCCTACCTACTGTGCGCTGAAAGAGCTGAATGAGGAAGAGCAGCGGAGCAAGAATGTGCATATGAAAGGTGAGCCACGACTTTGCAGGTGCCCAAATCTTGTCCTCATACTCTTGGCAAGGGAGCCTGTAAGGGAGGAGGCTGCTGGCCAAGGGCAGAGGAAGAGCTGGAGGAAACCAGAGTGCTCCCATTGGCTCTGGCATCCTCCTGGTAGGTGTTGCTTGGTGGGGAAGCAATTCCTGTTAACTTCCTTCAAGGTTTGGAGAAAGAAACCTGCTTGATCCCAGCCACAACTGAGCAGGAGCCAGAGTTTGCCCCCAGCTACAACCTCGTGACGGAGAACTTGGTGTTGACCCAGTATACCCTCCATTTAGGATTTCACAGGTACTGCCTCCAGAGGGTATATGGGTGTGTGGGGATGGCAAGGCCTTGCAAGTGCCTCTTCCTTAGACACTGAAAATTTGCCTACAGCAGGATTGGGCTGTAAAAGCCTGGTTGGCAGCCTTTGCAAGCTGAGGTGACCTGAGATATCCTACTGACAGGCAAAGCCTGTAACGAGAACAGTGATATGAGAGCACCCCAATCAAATTTGTTTAAGCAGATATTGGTTTGGGGAAAGGGGATTTTACTGGTATAATGAAGAAGCTAAACCAGTAAAGCCAATGCACGTGATTTCCAGCTGTCCCCTTGAAGCCCCCCTCCTTGATGTGGAAACCCCCTCAAATCAAAGCAGCTATCAAATAAATGATTGCAAAAAGCCTCTGGATGCAGTAGTTTGTTCCAGTTTGCTGCTTGTGTGATCCAGAAGAGAGAATTGGTTCTGTTCCTGGGGAACCTGAGTTTGTTGCAACTCTAGTTCAATGGGGGAGCCTTGGACATCTCCCCCCGATACTCACAGAGGCTATCTTGTACACCCCACTTTGCTTCTGTCCTTCTGGTTAACGTATGTATTTCTGTTGCTTGTACAGGTTGCATGACCAGATGATCAAACTAAACCAAAGCCTTCACCGGCTGCAGGTGGCCTGGCGAGAGGCTCAGCAGAGCTCCAGCCCTTCAGCAGACAACCTTCGGGAGCAGTTTGAGCGTCTCATGACCATCTATCTCTCCACCAAAACAGCTATGACAGAGCCGCAGATGTTGCAGAACTGTCTTCACCTGCAGGTCTCCATGGCTGTTCTCCTGGTCCAGCTGGCCATTGGAAACCAAGGGACCGAGCTGGTAGACCTGACATTCCCTCTGTCTGAGGTGGAGAAGAATGCTCTGGCCTATGTCCCAGGTGACCAGCAAGGGGTTTCCCCTTCAGAAATGTTGGGCTTATCTCTTTGGCCTATATTGGCATCAAAAGATTTTGAACACTTCTTTTCCTCCAGCAGTTTCCTGAAAGTTAAGAGCACCCTTGCTGTTCTAGTCTGACTGATGGGCATCTAGAGAATTATAAAATATACCCTTGTGTAGTTCTCATCGGGGTTTAGTTGACCTAGAAAAGTTCTGGGATGGAGCGAAATAGTTTACAAGCAGGGGCCTATAGTTCTGCTCTCTCTGGAGCAGGCCTAGCTGATTTATTGCAGCATCCCTGGGTAGGTAGGTAGGTGGCAGTGGTGACCATGGTCTAGGATTCTTAAGTCTGGCAACCCAAAAAACATCCACGCACCATCACTGAATTAATCGGGGCAAAACATTGATTGGCTGTGCTTGTGTGCAGTCTATAGTTCCAGTCTAGAGATGGAAGGTTGAGGCTTCTGGAGTTGTGAAGGGAAGAGATGCTGATATATAAGAGGGCCTGAGAATTATGCTGGCAGCAGAAACACCAGACATGGAAGCCCACACGAGCAGGCACTGAAGGCCCAGGTGGTTTTAGGCTTGACTTTGCAATTAAGGACAAATGTATCTTTTTCCAAAAAAAACAAACCAGCTGTGCTTCCCAGGACACCACACAAAATACCTGAATTGGACATCACTTGCTATACAGATTCCACATTGCTCTAAAAGATTCCCCTGCTACATCTTAGGGACCTTCTCCCTTGGTGCCAGAAAGATGTACAATTCCAGAAGAGGAGTCTGTCTTGCTGGCAGTGATGGTGTATGCTACCTAAAAAGCTAAACTTAGAGAGACAGTGAAGTGGATGGGGACACACAAACACATCTGTCTCTATCCTTAGATGTGAAATAGCTGCAAGTGTGCATCCATTTCCAACACCTTCCATGTTGACAAATAGGTTTCTCTTCCTGTGAGCTTTAGGCAAGGCCAGGTCGTAGTGTATTGGAGTATGCTTAGTTTGACCCTGGAGAAGCTAAAATGCTGTCCTGCTCTAGAGGAGTCTTTGTACTATTAAGTAAGTTCTTTATTTCTGGTCAAGGGCTGGGTCTGAACATTCTCCCAGCAAGCACCTCATTTGGAGCTTTGTATTTGCAGAATTTTTTGCTGACAACTTGGGTGACTTCTTCATATTCTTGCGCCGCTTTGCTGATGATCTTCTGGAAACGTCAGCTGACTCCCTGGAGCACATCCTTCATTTTGTGACTATCTTCACTGGGGATGTGGACAGGTAATGGCCTCTCCAGCCACTTATCCACCTCATTGTCCTTCATCCAGGCTTCAAGGGTGGTCACCAGTAAATATTTGGGAGTACAAAGGCAGGGAGAGAGGTTATGGCCAGATCAAATCAATCCCCTTTGAGCCAAGCAGTAATGCTACAGCTCCTACACCTTAGCACAGCGGTGCAGAAAGCTTAAGCCAGTCAGGCAGCTGGTAATGGTTTCCTGTTCTGCCTCCCTCTGTATTCTTGAACAAAGACTGTCACCTTGAGCCGCTTTCTCCAAAGGAACAACAAGGGGCTTTGAAGTCCTATCCTTACCTGTCAGGTGTGGCTTTCTGAAAATGGCGTGGCAGGCCTAAAGATACCTACAGATCCATGTTTGGTCAGTAGGTTGGAGCTTCCCCACCCTCGCTCTTAACAACTATATTGACTGTTGCATTGTGAGATAGCTATTTATTTTTGTTTATTTGTTTATTCAATTTATATCATGCACCTTCCTCCAAAGGAGCCCAGGGTGGCAAGCATGTCCATACTCAAACAGCACAACTGAAACTTCTAAGAACAGTTAAAAATGCCTAAAATTAATTACCTATACTCAGACTAATAATTTAAAGGTTACTGGGGACAAAACTTTCAGCCTTGAAATGCCAGGGCAAACAGGAACGTTTTAATTTTTTTCATAAAAGTTAATCGTAAGGAAGACAAATGAACCTCACAAGGGAGGGTATTCCACTAAAGGGTAACTGCCACTAAGAAGGTCTTGTTTTGGGTCACCGCCAGCAATGGCACCACCAGCAGGGCTTTCCCTGCTGATTATAGGGTTATCCTCTAAGGTCCTCAGTGTCCAAGCTTTTGGGGTTTTAGGAGATCAAATTCCACATTTCCACTTGAGCCAGGAAGAAATCAGGTAACACTTGCAGAAGTTGGGGCACTTGCCTCATGGTTCTGGCATCTTCCAAGTTCTGCCCCAGTTGGTGTCTCTGAATTGCGGTCAACAGCAGACAAAGAGGAAGCCACTAAGAAGCAAAGCTTCCAGGATATGTTGGCAGGGCTAACAGTCATCCTTGAATGTCCTCCCAGGTGGTTGATCCTCATTTGCCCTCCTGCAGGATGAAGAACCCACACCTGCGAGCCAAGCTGGCTGAAGTGTTAGAGGCTGTAATGCCTCACATGGACCAGGTGCAGAATCCCCTTGTCTCCAGTGTCTTCCATCGCAAGAGGGTCTTCTGCTCCTACCGGCATGCTGCCTACCTTGCCGAGGCACTCATCAAGGTCTTTGTGGACATTGAGTTCACTGGTAAGGGGGCGGTGGGAGAGAGGGACCTTGCTCTAGCGGTGCCACTTTCATCATCTTCCTCCTCCTTGAGCCGCTGTCATTTCCATTCCTGCTGAACAGAGCCATCCTCCCAGTCGCATGCTTTGCATCTGTGATAGCAGCGCTCAGGGGCGAGGGGGCTTTCCTTTTCTCCCAAGCCCTCTGAGCACCTTGTGCTGCACCAGACATGGGTGACATCTCTCCCTGTACCATTCATGGCTCAGGGCACATTTTTGAGCTGTCCATGCTTTTTCTTGAGTGTAAACCATGAAAGTGGAGGGTGGAAAGAGCCAGCCCTTTGCTGCTCTCTCTGGACATTCAGTAGCACACTGCCATGCCAAGATGCAGCTTTGAAGCATGAGGACCTGCCATATTGTGAGCAAAACATCCCTTCCTTGGTCTTGTGGTGCTGCCAGATCTTGGCATTCATTTTGGCTTGGCCTGTTCTTTTCCTCCTGCCTAGGGGATCCCCATCAGTTCGAGCAGAAGTTCAACTATCGCAGGCCTATGTACCCCATCCTCAGGTATATGTGGGGCATTGATTCCTACCGGGAAAGCATCAAGGTAAGGCTTGGGAGGTACATGAGTTGCTTCAGCCAGGACAGCAATCATCTCTGGGTGGGAAACATCTCTTTCTCCCCCTCCCTCTTCTTGCAGGCACTTGCCGACTATGCCTCAAAGAACCTAGAAGCAATGAATCCCCCTCTCTTTTTGCGCTTCCTAAACTTGCTCATGAATGATGCCATCTTCCTGTTGGATGAAGCCATTCAGGTAAAGCATTTTTATTTATTTTTTGATGATGGGAGGGAGCACCAAAGAGGAAAATAAAATGGTCCCAAGATCTATGAAACAAGAATTTCTCATAGCCATGAATGGAATTGCCACCTGCAGTTACTCTGATAGTACCAGGAAGGTTGTTTGTTTGTGTGTGAGAGAGGGGGTGGGAGGAGAGTTCTTGAAAGTTCTAGGAAGATTATCTGTCTCTGAACTGATTGTTGTAAACTAGCTCAGGAGAGGGAGTGAAAGGAAGTTTCTCTGGCAGCCTCTGTGCCACTAAGGCCAGTTCCCCCGAAGGGTTTGTGTGCGTGGAGACACTTTAAACCAGTGGTTCCCTAACTTTTTTGGGTCACCACCCCTTCGGTTCCATGGACTCATCCCCAGTGCCTCCCCCCCCCCTTTAAAAAGCATTATTCGAAATAGTGGTCCACTAAGGAAAATTACAACACAATGAAATTCAGAGCAGGAGCAATTAATTGCATATTTGTTCAGAGCCCAGTTAAAACTGTTTAGTTTAATTAATGCAACAAAATTGATGAGCAAGATCCAGTGATGCCAACTTTTCAAAGTTTGATAGTAATTTACACCTTCAGTGCCCCCCCACCAATGCCCCTTGCCTCTTAGCACCCCCCTAGGTAATCCCACCCTCACCCCTGGGGGTGGTACCACCCACTTTGGGAAACACTGCTTTAGACCAACTTCATTTGCATTACCCATGCTTGTAAGATTCATTCCCACTGCCCCTACTGAATACTATTGTGTGTTCATCACTTGCTCTACTGCTCTTTCTCTGCTGGTGTGAACTGGAGAATTCTGTTCTGCCATGTCTGCCTGAGAGAACTGCATCTGGCCTGTGTTGAGGAAAGAGGCCCATTCCGGAAATTCAGTCTGGCTGATCTGTTGCTGTTGCCCCTCTCAGCTGCTGTTCACCTCCTTAATAGAAGATTGTGGAAAATGGGCCAGAGGACTACTGAGCTATGGTTACGTGTGCTTCATACACCCTCTTCCTTCTCTCCCTTTCTCCCCCACCTCAAATCGCTCTGCAGTACCTGAGTAAGATCAAGATCCAGCAGATTGAGAAGGACCGGGGTGAGTGGGATGCCCTGTCTACAGAGCTGCGGCGTGAGAAGGAAGCCAGCCTGCAGATGTTTGGGCAGCTGGCTCGCTTCCACAACATCATGTCCAATGAGACCATTGGGACCCTGGCCTTTCTGACTTCAGGTAAAGACAGCAGTCTCCAGCTAGGAGTGAGGAGGGGAGCTGGGCTGTTGAGGGGACCTCACAGAGACCTGGTTTACATTGCAGAGATCAAGTCCCTCTTTGTGCACCCCTTCCTGGCTGAGCGCATTATCTCCATGCTCAACTACTTCCTGCAGCACTTGGTGGGCCCCAAAATGGGGGCTTTAAAGGTCAAAGACTTCAGCGAGTTTGACTTCAAACCCCAACAGCTGGTTTCTGACATCTGCACCATCTACTTAAATCTGGGGTATGTGTATTGGGAAGGAGAGGGCAACTTGGTGGTGGTGGCAGCAGCCCTCTGAATGCTTTCCCCCATCATTCCCTTTTTTGGAGCATTTCGTTGACCACTGTTGCAAAAAGAGGGCAGGGCCAGCTGAGCCTTTGGTCTGTCTAAGCCAAGAGCATTGGTATGCTTGTGGAAGTGTGAGAGAACAAGAGAATGCCAAAGGTGAAAGGCTGTAAGGCAGACTGACTGGGCTTGCCTAGGGAAGAGAGCAGAGAAGCTCCCTTCCTTGCTTGAATGTGCAGAAGGGCCTTGCCACTCCCACTGTTGTCTCATCCCTCTTCTATTTCAGGGATGAGGAGAACTTTTGTGCCACAGTGCCCAAGGACGGGCGATCGTATTCCCCAACTCTTTTTGCTCAGACGGTCAGAGTCCTGAAGAAGATTAACAAGCCTGGCAACATGATTGTGGCATTTAGCAACCTGGCAGAGAGGATCAAGGTGAGGGGTGGTGGAGGGGAGCTGGCGCTAGCTTCCTCTCTGCTTTCCACAAAGGAACCCTCCTTTTTGGAGAGCTGCATGTTGGTGCCTCATCCTCTGCTGTTGGCATTTTGAGCTGGGCAGCTTGTGTATGCTCTTGCGAGAAGGAGGCTTTCTCTACCTAGTAGCATGTGCAAGGAGCAGACCCTCTGAGCTATAGGCTTTCACTAAGTCCCTCCATGAAAGGAAAGGCAAGGAAACAAAACTGAGTGTAGTGGGAGCATTAGCCCCTTCCATAAGCCAGAATTACATTCCTTGCCGCTTCCTGGAGCTATGCCAGGCCCAAGAATACAACTTTGCTCTCATTTGTTGCCCTTAAACAAAGGCTCGGCGGCAACTAGTCATCTGCTGAGCTTCTTGGGTGTGTTGGGGAGAGGTTTCCTTCTGTCATCCATCCCACCATTGACCTGAGCAAGCAGGGACCTCTCTAACAATTGTTGGGCTTTCTTCTAGTCCCTTGCAGACCGCCAACTGCAGGAAGAGGAGACCTATGCGGATGCCTGTGATGAGTTTCTGGACCCTATCATGAGTACTTTAATGATGGACCCGGTGCTGCTGCCTTCCTCTCGGGTCACTGTAGATAGATCGACAATTGCAAGGCACCTCCTAAGGTATTCACAAGGCTGGGAAGGGGTCAGGGTCAAGGCTGAACAACTGATTGCTTATCTCTTCTAGGAAAATATTAGGTGGCTTTAGCTTCAAGCACCTCCCCTTGCCCAAAGTCATTTGATGTTAAGGTAGCCCAATTTATCCCTGAGTCTGCCTCACTTAGCTCTACTGTTCCAGGCATACCCAATTTTCTAAAATAAGCAAATTCCTTTCACTACAAAAGGCTGCCTCACAGCAATGGTTGCACATTGGGGGTCTGTCAGAGCACCATATTGGGCTTCCACAACTGTGGCCAAATAAAAGGCAGTCTTGGTCTGCCAGATGACTTCCTCCTTGATTTGATATCCATCTGGTGGGGTAGCGGTGGGCCTGTGTGTCCATCTCCAAAGGTTGGTGGCACTGCCTCCTGCCCACATATCTGTGCTACTAGCTAGTCTCTCCTTTACCTGCTTCCTGGTGTTTTTTCCCCTTGTAGTGACCAGACTGATCCTTTCAACCGGAGCCCCCTCACCATGGACCAGATCAGACCAAATACTGAACTCAAGGAGCGGATCCAGCAGTGGCTCGCAGAGCGGAAGAAAGAAAAGGAGCAGTTGGAAGGGACTCTGTGACCTGGATTGTGGCCCTGGCTGGGCTTCCGCAACCCCCAGGACCTTTAAGCTGCCTGCTCCTTCCCTCTTTTGTGCTACCACTGCAGAGTTGTGAGGGGAGAAGTGTGGGGGTTCTATGGGCCTGTTTTTGGTTTTGGGTTTTTTGCCGTTAGGACTTTTGTCAGGAATCTTTAGCTGCTCCCTGCCTTTTTGGTTCACCTGCTGTCCGGTTTCCACAGCAACTGCCCTTCCCCGTATCCCTGCCCAGATAGGTTTCCCTTCTGTTGCAGCAGCATTTCTCGTGCCAGAAACTTTTTTTCTGTTTTAATGTGAAGGCAAAAGCTGCACTCTCCCCATTGGACAGACCTTTCTTTATGCAATCCTGACACTATTGGTGGAGATCTGCAACTCACTTTGGTCCACAGAGGGGGACTATTATCCACCAACAGCCTTTGTTTAGAGGAAGCTGATGCCAAGAGGCTGGGTGAATGTTTGCTGTAGCATTTGCCCCCTCCCCGAGCTTGACATATCATACTGTGGTGATGAGCCCCCGTTGTTGCTTTTGCTGGCAATGACTTAAGTCTTCTGGGCTGGTGGGCCTGCGCCCAAAGCACTGTGTACATGTTCATGCAGGTGCCCTATAAATCCTGCCTGCATTTATACTGTGCCTGTTGCATGTCAATATGTATGCAGTGTGTATATAGTATGACATTCACTTTAGACCAATAAAAGTGTCAGGTGTCCATGTTTCTTTGGTGTTGTATGCCTGTTGATCCTGTAGCCACCTACCTTCAACCACTTCCTCTCTACCAGGGTCACTGCTGCAACCTTATTGGAGTTGGTGTGCTGAACATGCCCCTTGGCTGCTCTTTGTTTAACTCTTCAGTATTTCCATTTCAAAACAATTATGTATTTTTGTTTTAAATATTCTATCCTGCTCCATTTAAATGAGGTAGAGCATATACTTGATCAGCTCTCCAGAAGTAGACGCTTTTCGTATATTCTTGTCGGCTTTCCTCCCCTCCAGCCTGGTGTAGAAAACCCTAACCCTATAGAAGACTCCACAATCCTTCCTCAGGGCCTAAACACATTTAAATCTTCCCAGTGGAGATCCTACACTTTGAGCTGTCTAGCTGGTCCTGTGTAAGGAGATAAAGAGCAATTATGAAACTGCTTTCTTGAGGTCCTTGGGCTTCCTAATTTTTCTTTTCTTTCTTTTTAGGGTTGCACGACTTGTTTCCCAATATCAGTGGTGCACCAAAAGTGCTTCTTCTCACCCCCTTTCGCAGTGTGTGATATCCAGATACCCCCAAAGCAGGCAACATGCTTGTCACAGGCCCGTCTTTTTATACCCTGTGACACTTTCTTCCTCCTATCCATAGCTTCCATAACCACCTCCCCTTCCTTCCACAACTTGCCTGTATTCAGGGGTGCATTGGCTTGGAGAAATTTAATTAATTGGATAGGGCTCCATGACATGGTCTGTCTAAATGTGTCCCACAGTATCTCCCCCTACACAATCTGTTTTTTTTTAACCACTCCCCATGGAAGAAGACCTGAATTTGAAGAAGCAGGTATCCGGGGGGGGGGGGGTGAAAAGCATGCTGCTACTCCCACTACATTGAAGTGGGGCACTGGGTGGTTTGTCTAGGATACGGTTTCCCAAATTTGTGTCTCTAACTGTTGTTGGACTACAACTCCCATCATCCCTAGCTGGCAAGACAATGGAATGATGGAAATTGTAGTCCAAAGACAGCTAGAGACCCAAGTTTGGGAAACCCTGGCCTAGGGAGTGTTCCACCAGTGATGGATGGGGCTGTACTCTGCTGTGAAAGCTCAGATTTAGGAATGTCAGAAGCTGCCTTAAATAAAGTCAGATTTATTATGATGTCGGGTTTATAAAGTCCACCTAGCTCAGAGTTGTCTACATTGGTGGCAACTTTCCATGGTTTGAGGCAGGGATCTAAGACTTGCCTGGAAAGGTTAAGCACTGAATTTGAGGCCTTCTGCATGCAAAAAGTGCTCTTGGATCCGCCTTTTATCTGTACAGTCAAGTGACTATGATGGTTTCAAAAACTCTTTCACGGGCACCAGCTGTTATGTAACTGTAACGCCCCCAACCCATAACCTGCACGCAAATATCTATGTATTAGGAATGTGTGTTATGACGGCTGCCTTCTAAGGGTGCCCTCGTTGCCTGCCACGGGCTCTTTTTTTCCCTTTTCGGCTTTCCCTGTCCAGGCTGCGGACAAAAAGAAAAAGACCGCTGCTACCTCTCCGGGGAAGCCAGCCTGGGGCCGCGTTCCGCTTCTGCGCGTGCGCTTCGCTGGAAGCGGCTCCTTGCCTTTTTCCACGGACTTCGTTCACCCTCCTTCCGTCAGCGCCTGCGAAGGGCGCACGCGCGCAAGCATTCTCTCCACCCCCATAGACAGTTGTCTTCGATAAACGCCTGCTGGAAAGAAAAGAGGAAAAAATATTTTAAAAATCGCAGGTAAGGCAGCGAAGACAGCAGCCACTGAGAAAGGCCGGCAGGCACGTCCGCCCTCCCAGCAGCTCGGCGGCTTCCTCCGGGCTAAGTGCGTGGGCGGCGCGAGCGAGACCGGCACAGCTTGGGCAGCTGCGGCGGGGTCCTTACACTCCGCCTGGCTGTGACCTTCAGGGGGCTTCTTTCGAGCGGCTCCTGCTTGTCCGCTGTTCCTCCTCCTCATTCCTCTCCGGTCCTCCTCCGTCCGCTGCTCGCTCCCGGGATGGCGCAGGCTGCGCAGAAGCTGGTGACGGCCATCACCACCCAAGGGCCCAAGCTTGTTTCTGGTCAGTCAGGGAGGGGCGCCGGCTCGGGCGAGTTTCCTTCAGGGGCAGCTGAAGAAGCGCTTCTCTTTCGCCCGGCTGCCGCCGCTTTCCCGTCCGCGCTGGAAGAGGAAGGGCAGGCGGCGCCGGCCACGGAGCCTGCCCCCTGTTAAGGGGCGGGCGACGAGCCGGCGCCGCTCTTGGCAGAGTGCGGCCCTTTGCTTTGCCCGACTCCCGCTGCTCCTTCCCCAGCCTGGGTGCTGGGGGCGGCCGCTCCGAGAGCTGTGGGGCCGAAGGCCGGGCGGGGAAGGGGTTTCATTTGAGGCTTGCGTCGAACCCTAAGGGAACCTGACGTCCTGCCCTGGCTTCTGCCAAAGGAACGAGTTTGCTGCTTAGTCGCACTGTGGCGTTAAATCCCATCCCACAGTAATACCGTGCAGCAAGTAATACTGGAGCTCATGGTAGAACATGTATAAAATTTAATCAAGCAGCTGTTCAATAAAACTGTTTGATATGCATGCAGTGGGACTGACCTTCGCATGCCCAGAAGAATAAGGTGGTCTTGAGCCCCTCAGGTCGGAAGGCGTCCAACATGCTACTGAGGAAGAGCGGAGGACAAGTACAAGTAGATTCAGAGCTGATGAAGCGGCTGGGCTAAAGCCGAAAGGTCGCTCAGTTGCAGATATGCCTGGAAGCGAAAGGAAAGTCCAATGCTGTAAAGATAGTGTTCTCGAAGCTACCAGCATGAGTTTGACTAAACTGCGGGAGGCAGTGGAAGACAGAAGTGCCTGGCGTGCTCTAGTCCATGGGGTCATGAAGAGTCGGACACGACTAAACAACAACAGCAACCTAGCATCTAAAACCATACCATGGACTTAGCCAGGATTTATGTTGGGAGGGTGGGAGGTAGTCAGGATTATGAGGGGGCAGGACCTGTCATCATCCTCTGTCTGGCTCTGTTTAGCAGATTCGGGCTGAAATGTCTCAAAAGTTGTTTTGAATTATTTTCTTTTGATCCCAGCTGCTCAGAGAAATCTGTCAAAATCTTTCTCCAATTTCTACTCTTAGTTAAGTATTTTTATTTATTGACTTGGTTTAGGGGGGCCAGCTGCCACCTCTGGCTACGCCCATGAACCATACCATGATGACACCTGGCAAATAATGCCGTGCTGGGGAGGGTATTCTTACCAACGTGGCAACACTACAGAGATGACTCTTTTCTTAGTCACCATCACCTGTGTGGGAGCTTTACTTATTGAATGGTATTCCAAACTGTTAAAGGCACTTACCATTGTTGCCAGTAGGGACCAGAATTGCACTGTTTTGCTTTACTTCAAATGCTTAAATTATTTTAAATGTACTAAAACACTCAAGTGAGTTCTGGCACTGAATATTTGGATGCTGCAGGTTTTGACCTACGTGTGCAAATAGTTACCTAGAGAGTTGGAAAAATTCCAAGTGCTGCTTTGCTCTGGTGCTTAAAAATGTGCCAGTGCTGGGGATTTGGACTACTTTTCTAACCTTGGTTATTCACTAAAGAGTTCATATTAAATGGCCATTGTGTGCATATTGAGAGCAGTGATCCCCCACTGGACGCAGGTGTTTAATGACGGTAGTTTTACCTGCTGTCAGGAAACTGCCACTTTTGGCACAGTGGGACATTAGTTTATGGTGATTTGTAGATGTCTGCTTTGCACACCTGCTTTTGCTCTCATCTCATCCCACTCTTATCTCTTTCAGCTGCTATCACTTATTCAAAGCCTCGCCTGGCCACTTTTTTGTACTATGCTAAAGTTGAATTGGTTCCCCCAACTCCTGCTGAAATTCCTAAGGCCATTGATGGCATGAAAGGATTGGTGAAGAGCATGCAGACTGGCCGCATCAAACAGCTCACTGTCAAGGTAACTGCAAGCCAGAAGTGAAAGGTCATTACCCTAAGCTATAGCTGTTCATATCTATAATAGGTTATATCTGGCTGTATGTAAAAAGTGAACTCAGTCAATATGAAGCAAAAGACCAACTGAACACCTTGTTGGTGCTTTACCCTTCAATTTCATTGTTCCGCAAGGGACAATGACAATAAAGCTATCGTATACAAACATTGTGACTCTTCTAAAATGTTACAACTTGTAAATCATTAAAGTTGTTTTTTAAAAAAACTCCTGAGATTGTGGGCTAGGCCTCTGACGTCATCCTGGCAGATTGCTTCTTTGTCCAGAACTAACAGTGATGCCTGAAACAGTCAGTCATAGTCTCAAAGATGTTTGTAAACTGGCATGCAGTTGCATTTTTATTCTTTTATCATAGGTGATGTAACTTGCAAAGCTTTACTTGGTTCATAGGAGCTCCTATTCCTGAGGCTGGAATCTTGGATGAATTTGGGGGGTGCATGCTGAAATGCTGAAATATCTGCCCCTTCTTTCTCAATCCTGTGGAGGAAGCATGGGCGCAGATACTTTCTAGGAACTAGAGTGTGCCATGTAATGCACCCTGTCATAGATCATAAGGAAGCTTCTGGAATGGGGTTTGTGTATTGAAGGGATGATTTGCTAAAGTGGCAAAAGTTGTGAAATATTTCTCTTTTCTTTCAGGAAGTTCTGAGGAACGGCTTGGTGGCTACTGAAGTGCTAATGTGGTTTTACATCGGCGAAATCATAGGCAAACGTGGCCTGATTGGCTATGATGTTTGAAAGTTTTTGGTTTCTACTCCTAACAGTGTCGTAGTATTAAATTACAGTGCTGAGATGAAATTGTGGTGGTCTCTACAAATACCATTCAGATTGGGGCAGAATCAGATGATGGTGACATGAATGCAGACAACGATCCCTAAAATACTCCTACTCTTCCTCCTCCTGTTGGGGGGTAGGGTGGGCACCAGTGGTTGGCTGTTCAAATAAATGCTATACAAAGAATGACTCGGAAGTGAATGGGAGTATCTCTTGATTGTTGCCCTGTATTTTGAAGTGCTTTTATACTGTCCTGATGCTAGAGTTTGTAGAAATACCAGGCTCTTAAATTGAGGCAGTTTACCCAAATACTGTAACCTTGGCCTCTCCTGGATCCTGTTTCAGTTCAAAATTGCAGGTAGGTGGGATGATTCCCTCTGAAGCTCTACTGTTTGGGCACCCTACAATAATATAAGTTTCCTAGCAAATATCCATTCTTCACTTTCTTCACATGTTTTTTTAAATACCAATTAGAATATGACTTAAAATAGCATATATACTTCTCATCCTTAAAGTACTGGGTGAAAATACTGTTTGGGCATTAATTACTCCTCCCAGAAAGCTTAAAAGAATATGAAGGAGGCAAACTTAGCTGGGTTGCATCCACCCAGGTGTTCAGTGGCAAGGCAACCACTGAGAAAAGCCTTGCTCAGGCATCACTTCTAGTACTTGCCTTCTGAAATATTAGTTGCTTCCTAAAATGGAGTGGAGTCACTAATAGCAAGGGGGGGAATTGTGAAACAAAGATTGATTTGTGTATCCATGTTAAATAGCCTTTGATCAACTAATGCTTCAATAATGTTTTGGTTGCCTAGGAGTGAGTGTTAAACTGGCCTTAGCTCTGTGCTAGGGTCTGCGTGACACCACTGACATGTTTATAAATGCAGCACATTAGTGCTGCCAGCTGCGGAAGTGGTTTCACGACTTAAAAAAAAAGCCACCAAACCTATCATGCTAATTCCTTGAAAACCAATGTGACTGTGCTGTTGGAAGGATAACTTTACTCAGCCTGTCTTGCTTTAAATATAACCTCATTATTGCATGGCTTTGTATTTAACTTTGTGTGGAAGTGCAGCAAACTATGGCTTTCCTTACTCTGGCAGGTCTGCTGGAGTACAGACCTCACAGGAAGAAACAAGATGGTGTGATGGATGAAGCTTGGTTGTTAATGAGCATGAGGTTTTAGCAGGGATTTCTTTTTATGTGCTGTTGTATTGCAGCTTGCTCCTAAAAACAGTAGGCCAGAATTCCAAATGAATATTTAATCCTTTTCCTAGTCAGGAGCACCTGAAGGCAAGTATGGCCACAGTCCTTCCAGTCTCCTGTGTTGCAAAGAGGAGTGGAACATATTTGTCCATCAGCATTGCTAAACTGGGTATAATGCCAAAAATACACATCTTGATCAAAGTGTCCTGGTCTATATGGTAGTGGGACCCAGGAGGCGATTTCTCACTTTACTGTCTCTATGTCTCTCCCTAGCAGAGAAAGTTATATGGCTTCTTAGCGATGTAAATGCTTCACTGCCTCATAAAGTCGTCCTTTTTGCTTTGGCTGCCAAAAAGATCAGAAAGAAGACCCTGGACAACATAGTGAACTGTAAGGGAAACAGAGATCCAAATAAGAGACCATTATTTGTAGTGCGACACCCCTTTTGTTTGCATTTTTTTTTCATTCAGATTTGTCGTGGCCAGGGGCTACTACAATAAAGTTATTTGGATCAGATATATGGTAGTGCCCCTTAACAAGGCATCCTCAGTAAAGTTAGTGTGGGTTTTGATCCTTGAAATTTAGTGTCTTTTCTAGATCGAAAACTCCCAAGAAACATCATCTTCCCTTTAGTCATTTCCTGACTATTAATACATTAGCAATGTCCAGCTATATATAGATGTGGATCTGTGCCAAAGGAATGCCTCGGTTTTTAGAGAAAGATGAGCCTTAGTTGCACAGTCTGATAGCAGACCAGGTGGCACAATGTGCTGCTTAATTATGCCTAATACAGGTTGTACCCATAGAGGTGGCAATCCTAGTTCTTAACGTTATTCTGCAGTTTGTGAGGAGGCTGCCAGAGTTATCACTTGGGGCCTATGATGCAGGGAAGGAAAGGCAAGGGAATCCACGCCTCTCTGGTGAGTGCAGTCTGTAAGGATGTATATTCAGAGGTGCATGACTGGAGTGATGGTTCCCTTCCTTGCCCTTGTTTGGAACTACAGCACTCCACTTTCTAGGACTCCAAAGTTTTAAAACAGGTGGGTAGGAATATTAATGTTTATAATGGAGTTGCTGTAGAATAACCCACCAGTCTGCTTGACAGCAAGGAATGCTCTCTACTAGGGCCCAGGAATCTAAATGCACCACAAACTCAATACTGGCACAGCTTTACAAAGACTTGGGTCTCTGGTGCAGAGGCTTTCCAACCTCCCTCTCCTCCCCCCTCCCCCACCTGTTTCCAGCTGAGAAATCACAGTATTGTTTCAGTGTAGTTGCTTAGCATCCCAGCAGGCAATGCCTACACGGAACTTAATTGTGGCTTGCTGGTGAGAGACCCCAGGATTGAGAGACCACAGAAGGGGATCGGAAGCAGCAGCAACAGCACGGTAACACCAATTTCTGCAGCTCAGATTGTATTTAGCGGTGGCAACCTCCCTGGTGGGCTTTGCTACGTATCCGCTGTCTGCCACTAGAGAAGTCCATGGCAGAGAATAGAGTTTGTATTACCTTGGCCTGGTCAATAATGCTGCTGTTTGTGTGGCAAAACCGAGTCTTGTTTTTATTATGCCAGGATAATGACATCTATCTAGGAGTTGGACTACATGACCTGCTGGTCCCTTATTATTTGCCCCGTGTTGCCCTTAACCAGCCCTGTTAAGTGCAGGTGGGGAATTGCCCAGCACCCTAAAGTTCTCATGGTTACAAAGGGGGCTGTTGGATATTCATGGATAAGCAGGCCCAGCCTTCAGCAATGGTGAAAGCAATATATGGACACCCAAACAGCACATTCAGTCTGAGGGAATCTGTTTGGGTGAGTCCTTGGCTTAGCCTATCCCATCCTCCTCAGCTACAGAAATTTAAGAGTGAGTCACACCATCAGTCCAGCTAGGCTTGTGCTGCTTAGTCTGCCAGGCTGTGGCTGTCTTTAAAGAAAGGCCAATATGGGAAATGTGGCCATTGAGGGCTTCCTCTGGTAACCACAAAGCCGAATACCCACCACCTTTGTTATGAAGTGTTGAGGGTGGCTTCCTTTTAGTCCCAGAATGGGTACATTAAGCTGAAGCAGGAAGTTAGATGAGTGATGCTATTTCCCACTTGGCTCGCGCACAGCATGCGGCCAAAGCAGATAAAGGTAAAGGGACCCCTGACCATTCGTTCCAGTCGTGAGGGACTCTAGGGTTGTGGCGCTCATCTCACTTTATTGGCCGAGGGAGCCGGCGTACAGCTTCCGGATCATGTGGCCAGCATGACTAAGCCGCTTCTGGCGAACCAGAGCAGTGCACGGAAATGCTGTTTACCTTCCCACCGGAGCGGTACCTATTCATCTACTTGCACTTTGACGTGCTTTCGAACTGCTAGGTTGGCAGGAGCAGGGACCGAGCAATGGGAGCTCACCCCGTCGCGGGGATTCGAACCAGATACGTCTGCCAAATTTGGGTTTCATCAGCAAAGCTGGTGTGAAGCTTTCCTTGCTCCCCCCCGCCCCGGAGGCAGAAGGGCATTTCGCACTGGTGCCAAGAGAAGAGAAGGGAGGGCAAGAGAGCAGCCTTACTAGAGGGGGAGAAGCGGAGACTTCCAGTTGCAAGGCAAAGCTGGCCTTGCAACCTTAGAAAGAAGAAAGGCCTAGCAGGGTGCGCCACCAGGATGCTCTTTTCTCTAAGCGCCTTTTTTCGCTGTTTTGCCGCCAGGCTAAGTTTTGGCACGTGAGCGAGGCCACACCCGCGCCTGCTCTTGATCTGGGGCGGCCGCCTTGCAGCGCCTCCAGCCGCGCTGCACCTGCTGCCCTTGTCCCGTTGCAGGAGGCTGCCGCGGGCGGGCATCCTCGCAAGGGCGGCCGTAGGAGCAGCTGCTGCTCCTGCCGCCGCCGTTTGCTGCGGTCCCCGCCAGTGGCCACTGGGCGGACCAGGCGGCCGCAGTGAAGCCGAAGGCCCGCCCCAGCCGGGGGCCCCGCGCCAAGCATGCCGCCCAAAGTTATGCCGCGCAGGCCGGCCGGTCTTTTGAGGTGTCCCGCTTCCCGGGCGGGGGCCCCGGCCCCTGTATAGGCTCCGCTGTTATGCCGCGGCTGCTGCGGCGAGCCATGGCTCAGGCGAGGCGCGGGGCGGCGCTCTGGCGGGGCCCCGGAACCTGGATGGGAGCCGCGTGTCTGCAGCGCCCCTAGGGGCGGGTTGTGCGCCAGGCAGGTTCCCGGGCGCGGCCCGGCCCCGCTCTCTGGCTCGTCGCCTCACAGTAAAGATGGCGCACAGCGGTCGGTGGCGCTTCCCGGCCCGGCCCGGCAGCTGTGGCTGGGGCCGCCGCGGGCTCGGGGGCTGCCGCGTGCGGGTGCCGGCCGTGCGCAGCCTGCGCGGGGAGCCGCCCGAGGAGCGCCCGGCTGGCGGCGGAGGAGCGGCCGCGCCGGCGGGAAACAGCGGTGGAGGGGCGGGGCGGGCGGCTCTTCCTCGGCCTCCGCCGCCGCCGCCGCCCTCGGCCCGCCGCCTCCTCCGCCTCCACCCGCTGCTGCTCCCGGCTCGGGCGCCGCCGCTGCCTCCTCGGTAGCGGCGACAGCGGCCAGTGCCGGGGTGGCGCCGGGCTTCGACGCGGCGCTCCAGGTCTCGGCCACCATCGGCATCAACCTGCGCCGGTTCCGGGCGGCCTGCGGTGCTGAGGCGGGCAGTGGAGAGGTGAGGAGCAGGCGGCCGGGCGCGCGGGGGAGGGAGCGGGATGTGTGCGGCGGGGGGGGGGCTAGCGGGGGAGACTTCCCTAGCACGCGCGCTCGCTCGCTCGCGTGTGTGGCGGGGGAAGAGAGAAGCGCGCGCGCACGCGGGGCGGCAGGAGATGGGGGGCGTGCCTGCGCTCGCGCCCGGCGGGAAACGAGCCGCCTCGGGATGGATGGAGCGGGAGAAGGCGGAGGCTTTCTTTACCCCCCCCCCCTTTCTACAACCACCACCTCCCGGGGGGGGATCCGCCCACCTCGTGCCCGCCTCGCAACCAGCAGCCTGGGCCGCCGCGGGAGACTTGACAGGCACGCCCACCTCGCCTCCCCGGGAGGAGATGCTGCTGCTGCGCGCGAAGAACGGCGGGGCGGGAGAAGCAGCGAGCGAGCGAGGACGCCAGCGCCACCCTCTCCCTTCTCTCGCTCTCTCCTTGGAAGCATCCGCGCTTCTCGCCGGGGAGGGAGCGGGAGCGGCAAGGCCCGCTCGCACCTGCATTTCTGCCCGCTGGGAGGGGAAGAAGAGCTCTCCCCCCCCTCGCCTCCTCCCGACTATCAAAGCCGCGGGGCCACGATCCTGCCTGCCTCCGCACTCCTCCCGCAGGGAAGCAATCTCGCCACAGTTGCAATGCACTTTGTGTAGGGATGTGTCCTTGCCAGGCGCTTTTCTATCTGCTTGCCGGCCTCCCTGCAAGCAAGGGTGTCCAGGTGGTCAGGCATCACTGGTTAAGGGAGCGTATTTATCCTGGAGAAGAGGAGACTGACAGGAGATATGATAGCCATCTTCAAATACCTAAAGACCTGTCAGGAGGCTAGGACCTGAACCAATGGCTTCAAAATACAAGGAAGGATATTCCAACTAAACATCAGGAAGAACTTTCTGACAGAGCTACAGTAGTAGATAGTAGAACAGCCTCCCTCAGGAGGCAGTGGACTCTCCTTCCATGTAGGTTTTTAAGCAGACGTTGAATGGCCATTTGTTATGTATGATGTGGTTGAAATTCCTGCATTGCAGGAGGTTGGACTAGATGATCCTCAGGAATCTCTTCCAACTCTATAATTATATGATTCTATGGTTTTCTCTTTCTTCTGTTCAGTACTTTCCCTACCTTCCTATATTCCTGTAAAACAGGGATGTTCAATCTGTTGGCCTTTCAGATATTGGACTACAATACCATGGGGTATTTCTATTGCTTAGGTTGGGAGGCTGGCTAAGTAGCTTGCTTTGCGGCAGTGTTCCCCAACCTGATAGCCTCTAGAGCTTTTTGGACTACAACTATCAGCCCCAGCCTGTATGGTTGTGCATAGTTGCAGTCCAAAACATCTGGAAGGCTCCAGGCTGAAGAAGGTTGTTATACAGTTGTCCCCCAAAATCTTTCTATATGGGAATGGCCATAGATGCTCAGTGGTAGAGCATCTAGCTTGTATGCACAAGGTCCCTGGTTCAAGCCCCAGTGGCATCGCTAGGTAGCACTGGGAATGTTTCCTGCCTGAAACCATGGAGAGCTCCTGCTATTCATTGTAGAGAATACTGAGCTAGATGGATTAAGTGGTCTGACAATATAAGGCAGCTTCCTATGTTTGTTTGTTTAGTTTAGTTTATTGAATTTCTGTTCTGCCTTTCTTCCAAAGATAACAGAGTGGTTTACAATATAAAACCACACACACACTCTCTATATAATATTTCATAATATATATTATATATAACATAATACCAAACAAAAACAATAACCCCTCCAGTTTAAAAGTTTAAAAGGCCAGTTTAAAAGGCCATAGATTGTTTGATTAGTCAAAGGCTGTAAACAGTTATGCAGCACTTAATCATTATTTATGATTTTACTGTGGTTGATACAAGCTGCTGCTTACCTTCTCCTACCTAATGACAAGGCACCAGCCTCTGCTCCTCTCTTGAATGAGCCTCTTGAGCAGTTTGAGGTAAGCCCTAAACGGTGCTAGGTGCCATCTCCCTCATGAATTTAGCAGTTGGATGCAATAATTTTATGTAAACAGGTTTTAAATCAGGTCTTTTCCAGATTTATTTACATGTGAAAATGTGTGCATGGAATTGTTGTAACTAAGCAAAGGTTAATAAACCGCAAGGCTGAGAACTGACTTTACCCAGTCTCAAAGAAGCTCAAGAGAATTGGGGCTCATTTTAGTATCACTTCATTTCTTAAAAAATGGCTTATAAATGAGAAAGATTAGCTTCCAGGCCCAGACAATTGAACTTGGATTTTTCATACATCCAGTCCCAACCACTTTATTGAGTTTATTGTTCTTTCTTTCCTAAAGGAGTCCTTCAAATAAGCAGCTCTTTCAGTCATTACTCTTTTGGGGGAAAGTGGGGTGTTCTAGTGAAAACATTGTTAAAACAGCTGTGTTGCTATTAGGATAGCTGGACTAACCTAGCTGAGACATATTAGGGCAATTACATGTTTTAAGAAAAAAACTTTCCATTTTACATTTTTAAAATAAACTTTGGACATATGCTCAGTAAAGTCCTATTCAGAGACAGAATACATTTAACCAAATTGTGTAGATGTAGTAATTTTTAAAAATATGTGGACCTCTACTCATGTAAAATATGGAGCCCTAGTTATTTACAGATGAATCAGTACATATCAGTGCAGTGGCACAAACACTGATAAGGAACCTTTATTGCAAATATGTCACTTATTATCTTAGATCTTCCAGTTTGGATTTGTTTTATTCAGGTAGGGCTTGAAGAAACTTAGACTGAAGTTGCCACTGGGAAGCTTGATGTTATCGCAACTTTTCTAAGAGGAAAATTAATTGCATGCAAACTGATTTGAATGACGGGGGCATGTCCCACTCATTTCAAATTATTTGATATTGATATCAGTATGCCACACCTGCCTTGGGTGACAGAGATTTTGATGGTCTTGCATCTTTCGTTCTGGCAGAGCCTATTTCCTTTCTGAGGCCTTTCAGTGATGTAGCAGAGAATTGGCCACTTAAGTCTCTGAGCAGCAGAGCAGCTTCTGTTCTCTTTCAGCAACAGATGTTATAACCTACATCTGTTTATTTTTTTCCCCATAATTAAAATTTAAGTTTAAGAATGCTGAACTTGTTTCATACAACTTTAAGTCAACATTGATGAAAAAATTAATTTTTGCTATTTCATCTGAGTTTTAAGTATTTGAGAAAGAAGCTTAGCATGTAAATGACATCTTAGTTGCCTTTCTGGTACCCATCAGAGGTCTTTTAATGCTACTTTCTTTTTAGGCTAGTCCATTGGGAATCTTATTTATTTTTTGCAGCTGTTATGTTTTTCTTTTTTATTATCCTTATATGCTGTAATTCCCCCTTCAAAGTTCAACTGAAGGACAGAATATCAAACAAACAAGTAACCTAAAACAGTGATGTCACTATTGCACTGTAATTGTGAATGGATCATAATTTTTTAGGAGGCAAGCTAAAGAACTTTATTGAAATCATTGCAGGAAGGGATGGTCAGAACTGTGTTTGAATATATTTTTCTTTCATAATTTTGAAATTTTGCCACTCAAAATTGTACATTTTACACTGACAGCATAGCAACTTTGTTGCTTGGTATGTTGTACTTCTGGTCAGCTAGTAGTATCATGTTCTCAGCTGGCATCAGCTCTGGATTTAGGGTGCTGCAGCCAGTTCCCTATCTTAGAGTGCCAAGCCAAGGGATTGCAAAATAATAATAATATTGAGAAGATCCATTAAAAAGCAACTGTTCTAAAAGGAATTTTTGTGAAAATAAGAAATACTAGGGGGGGATTTTGTCCCTGCTCAGGGCACTATATTACCAAAGTCCACCTGGCAGCATCCTGCATAATTAAACCTCAAGAGCTAAGCTGCTGGATGTGTTCTTGGCTCCTGTTAGGAAAACATCAGCCCCCAGTCTTCCCTGGAACCTTGAAGCTTGCTGTGTACAAAACACCTTCTCAGGCCCTGCAGACTTTATTTCCAAAGAAGATCTTAGCACTTGGGGAACAGGGGAATATGTGAGTGCCAAGTCAGTCTATATCACTTGGGCTTATATTGACTTCTGCAAAAACAGTGCTTTATGGCAGACAAATGAAAGGTGCTACCTCTGTCCAATAGGACTTTGCTGGAGTAAACCCTAACCCTGAAGAAAGAGGAATTCATTTATTTGTAAAACTTATGAGTTGCTCAAAGTAAAAACAACCAACATAAAGAGTATCTTGTCTTATCTTAAACAGCATTACTGGAGACTAAGAAAGCCAAAAGACTATTCCCCACTTCCCCCCAAAATAATTTCTCAAGGTAATAATGGGTAGGGGCTCCCATTCTATGCTCCTGTTACATGAGATTGTTCTGGGAAAGAGTTAAACTTGGCACATTAAACTCAGTGCTGGTTTAATATAGTTATGTTTCTGTGCCTAGTCAGTAGCAATCAGTGGCACAGCAACAACTATGCAAACAAAAACAAAAATGTAATGACACTGACAGAACTCCCAGAGCATCCGTAAAAGCTCTGGTGCCGTCCATCAATTGGTGATAAGATCCCCTCATTAGCAATGCATACAATGCACCAATCAACTTACAGGAACCAGCAGAAGCACTCTTTCCACCCCATAGTCATATTCTAGTTCCCAGAAATAGAGCACCTCCTCCAGTAAAGGCATCCCAGTGCTCAGCAATCAGAGGCTTCCCAAGAGTAAGGTTAAGTCCTGCTATGGGGCCAGCAATACTACACAGGCAGTACAAGTAATGCTGCACAAAATATGTTTTTATTGTGAGGTGAGGGGGTGTTTTTGGCAAGGAAGAGCCATGCAGACAAACAAGAATGGAAGCTATATCAGCAAGCTTGCAGGAGGCCACCCTTTGAGCTGCCCAGGAGCAATGTGTTTGTGACCTCCACAAGGGGGGAAGCTCCCCTTTGTGAGCAGCAGTAGCTTTAGATGGGGAAAAGGGTGAGGTAGCAGGACTAGGGCTGGGGCTTCCTGGACCAGAGAGGGATAACTTAACCCAGAGATAACCAACACTGCCCTCTGGACATTAGTTGGACTACAACTCTCATCATCCTTGACCATGGACTAAGCTGAATGGGGCTGATGGCAGTTGGGAGTCTAGCAATATCTGGAGCGCACCACATGGGCTATCCCTGCCGTACTCACAGAATGCAGGAGCCTGTAAATAAATAAATAAAAACTATGGTTGATAAATAAAAACTATGGTTGGGACATTTTGATCTTCTGGGGCCAAGCTCCTGGCACGTACCACTTCCTACCCCCCCAATCCATCCATGAGATGTCTCCCACCCCAATCTTAAAAGTGCCTATGTTGTGGCATTGCACTGGTTAGCGTACATGAGATCATGGGTTCAATTCCTGGTACCAGTCTGCTGGGTTAGACTCATACCAGACAGTGCAGCAACTGGAATTACTCTCCAGTAGCCTTGTTCAGATAACTGACTCATTCATGCCACAAGATACCCAGTCCCGGCATCCGGTTCATTGACATACCCTTTTCGTTAGGATAATTACCAATGTCTGCTGACGATTTTCTCAAAGCACTCTTAGGACCCTCCAGAACTGAGCCCAGCTGCTACGTTAATTATCACACCAGGAGTTACTGGGCTGGACATGACTGGGAGGGGACTGAATTGCTGTCTCCTCAGCAACCATGAGTGGGGTGGATGGATTTCCTGTCATATGATGAGACTGGGAAGCTGGTCAGGCAGTGAAGGCAAGGTGTGCCAAAGCAGGCAGGGAGCTGTCCAGCCAAGGATTCAAGCTAGAGAAAGAAAAGGGTGTTGCAGCAGCAAGGACAGGCAGCATGCAATAGTTATTATAGCTGCCCTCTAGATCTGGTGTATGTTTCAGGGGTTTTTTTCACTTTGTCCTGCTGAGTAGGGCCCAGGGATGGTTGGTCTCATTTTGCTAGATGTGTGTTGAACCATTTGCTCTGCCTTCAGTTCAGGTTCATCATGTCTCTGCTGCTGAAGCAGAGGAGGAGGTGTCCAAGTGTCATTGGGTCTTCTGCCTTTAGATTCTCTGGGTGGATGGGGTGTCCCTCAGCATGGCTGATGCAAGGTGTTAATCAGGGTATGCAGACCCTCCTTGGCCTGGGTTGGTGGAGTTTTTTCTCTTTAGCACATGATAGCTGTAGGGGGTGCTGGTTCCTTATTTGTTAACTATCACAAGAGCAGAGGCACAGCTTTTGTTGAAATGTGCCAGTTGTGGAAGGGTTTAGGTGAATGGGCTCACCAGTAGTATTGGTCTTGCAAGATTCCTGTGCTGTGCTCTTGAAAGCTGCATGACAGGTAGAGAAGTAACAAATGCTGAAGTTTCTATTACTCTGTCTGCATGCTGCAGATTGCTGCACCCATTGCATGACTGTCTGTCACACAGACTGGAAAGGCAACAGAAGCTAGAACATTTTGATCTGTGGAACACCCTCCACAAATTCTGCCAGATGCCCAGCTTATTAGAATCATAGGGTTAGAAAGGACCATGAGGGTCATCTAGTCCACCCACAACGTAGAGATGAGTCGCATGCTTTACTCACTGAGCTATCCCAGGATGATGATGATGATTAATTCAATTTATATACCACTCTTTATCCAAAGATCCAAGGGCAGTGTACAACATTAAGAAAACATTTTAGGGAGCGTAAAAATAAAAACATAACAAAAAGCATAATAATAAAATAATCATAATAACAGTGTGTCCCCCCCCCAAAGCTTTATCAGGTTTTAACTTGGCATAGACAATAAGCAGCCAATATCTGATTCTCTTATCATTTTAATGAAATGATAATTTAGCCACTGGTATGATGGTTTCCCTTTCTGATGCTTTTTCAGGGTGATAGCTGAATTGTGTTAACATGTTGTTGTTTTGTATTGCCGTTCTTGAATATTGTTGATGTTTATGTATTTTAAATTGCATTGTAAACACCTGGGAATAAATCTGTAAGCTTTTTAAGCACTGGCTCTGCACTCCTTTGCACACCTGTGGGATCCCTTATCCTTGCAGTCCCTGTTGAAGGAGGTTCCTGAGGTGTGTTTGTGTCTGGACTCCAGGGGGAGTCTAGAAGTGTAAGGGTTCTGATAGAAGACTTAACATTATTCCTACTTTGTTATTAGTCTTGGCTGCTTGTTGTCTATTTCAAGTGATGGAGCTCCACTGTGTATGTCATTTATATATAAGTTGTGTTCCTTGCTGTGACTTTGGCATTCTTTTATGGCTGCTCAGTTAGTTGGGATCCTGGGGACAGGAAGTGGGGGCAGTTGTTTTGGGCTGTCAGAAGCCCCTGGGCTGCAACCAGGAATCTTTGGATCTGTGAAGCTTTGGATTGGCCCCCAAATACCATTTAAAGATGCATACTCTCTTTATTTGTATTTAGCTAAGTCTTAACTATTGGCCTTTGTTTTTATTATTTATAGTTCTTTTAAAAACATATTTAGGGTGGTTTTCTTTTATTTCCTACCTTTTATGCACTTACACCAAAAAGCAATACATAAAGATTAGAAATCAGGAAAGAGGGATGAAGACTTATCCTTTGTGATGGAAGTTAATCCTTTAAGAGAGGAAAGTCTGCCAGGACTCTAGATGGATCTTGGGAGAATTATCATTTCTGCATAACTATTTGAATCATCTTGAAAACTTAATTAGTGAAAGGTTTGCATGCTATTATTATTAGCATTGTAATTTATTACCCATCTTCATTACAGCTATTAAAACACGATGTTAAAAATAATTTAAAACAACTTAAAATTACAGAAATAATGTGTGTCCTAAAATGTACACCTCAGGTGTCAAAAGCCAGGACAAAGAGCCTCAGAAAATGGGGAAGCCTGAAGACAATAATGCCAAAAGATATGAGAAGGGTGGGGGAAAGCCCTTCCCAACTGACACTTTCTGCAGGAAGGGACAGCACCCAAACTGGAGTCATGACTTGTGGGGGCTATAAAGCAGTGTAGCCTACTTATTCCCCATCTCTTTTCCTTGGGCTGCCTGGTTTCTGCTGTAGCACAGACCTGTATCATAGCCCCAGCTTCTTAAGTAGGTAGGAAGCAGGCTCCCTGTTGCAATGCTGCTGCTACTGCAAAGGCTGTTCTTTCTGGAGCTTCTCTGTCAGTTAGGTTCATTGCTGCTTCATCTAATATAGAAGGTGCTGCATTTTCCTCTTGGCTCCGGAAAGAGAAACAAAAAGCCAAGGTATGTTGAGGGAATGCTTTTACATTGAAACTGATAAATCCTCTAAGTGCTGGCACAATAAGATCCTTGTCTCATCCACCTGTTTCTCTGGTAACTTGGGCTGGCTTTCTTCAGCAAATCTATGGCCTGCTTAAACATGGAATGCTTCTGGTCTGTCTGCAAAGCTCAGCTTGGGCCATGTTGTTCTTCTAAAGCCTCCCAAAGCCTTACAGACTTGCAATCTCTTTTTCCATTTCTAACTTACTTGGGGGGTCAGCATGATATACACCCAACCATTTTGTAATCCCAATTGACTTTATTTTGCTGTTGGGTCACTCAGACACGGTGGAGAGCCTTCTACAGTTGTCCTGTTTTAAAGCTTAAAGAACATAGCTAGGTGGGTTCCACTTTTGTCTCAGTTTTAAGAAGACACAACAGTCCCTGGGAGTGATTTGAGTTTTCGGGGGGGAGGGGATCCTGTACAAATTACCCTGATTTGCATAAGGTGATTTGCATTAGAAAAAAAATCAGTTGGAATCAGAAAATTTTCTGATGCCCTAGAAACTAATCAAATTCATCATGTCTGTTTTACTTGTGTTTAGTAATCAAAGCTAAAAATGTTGAAACTGTCAGTCTTGCCTAATATTTTGTTCACAGTTGGCATCTGTTCATTGTTAATAGTGAACTTATGAAACGGAAGAGTTTCTGTGGAAAAATAAAAGCACTGGGAATTTTTCCACCTTAAATCACTGGCTCCTGAGTCATCGTTCACTAGATTCCCACTGGAGATGCTTGTGGGTAGGGATGGAGGAATTGTCTCTTACAAAGCAAGGGAAGGGAAAGAAGGGAGACTCTTTTCAAGCCTGGTGGCTTGAGTGGCTGCAGAAAAAGGCTTTGAGATCCAGGAGTGCAGCCTCCGTATACTCAGACCATGAAGCTCTTGACTAATTAGAAGAAAATTGCAGCTTCACCCAATCCACCGCTATGTTGGCTTCACCCAAGACAGGAATTATTATATAAGGCCCCTTGAAAGTGAAAGAATCTGTCACATCAGACAGAAGCTGATGAATCTCCATTTTCATATTTTGTAAAAGAGGGTGTTCAGCCCTCTAACCTACTGCTGAGTGAATGGCACATTAAACTGTTATATGCAGAGCTAGCAGGGATGACTACTAAAATAAGAAACCAAAATGGCAAAATCTATAAAGAGGACTGGATGTTGTTTATGGAATATATGGGAAAGTACTATAAGTAAACAATTTACCTAGCAGGATGGGAAGATTTTCAGCAGAGGAAGAAATAATAAAGTATATAAAAGTTGTTGCGATAGAAAAGGTGAACTGAGAAAACATGGGGAAAGGGGGATAAAAGGAACCGTGGAAGGAAAGGTTAGGTCAAGGAATGTTTTCTGGGTTGGTTGTGGGGGGTTGTTTTATTTTGTTTTTGGTCTATTGTCTATTTCTCACCAGCTGATCAGATAGAAGGGAACTGACATGTTTGTGATGTTTTCATACATATACCACCACGGGCAGTGGGATAGTGCCATGGGGAAGCTGCTTCCCACACAACTTGGTATAAATAAGGGGGCAACTCTGGTGCACTTGTAATATACAAGCTTAAGAGAAAGAGTCTTTCCAAAAGGATCTCTGTCAGATAAGGTCATAGTATTTAACAACCTACACCAATGAAATCATGCAAAAACAATATAAAGGGGTTGTATATTACAGAGCTTAGGTGTGGGATGCTTACTGGTAAAGAAGAAAAATATCAAACTTTCACTTTGGGATCATTTTATACCCAGTAGAATAAGAAGAAGACTTATGCATAAAAATGATTATGTTCAAGCTGGTTGACAAGGCTCTCGAGGAAAGATTTCTATATGGTCTGGCCAAATGTTATGTCATAATTTATATAACAGTTTAAGTATATGCCCTTACATTGCATTCTTCAATTGTTCAAACACCAATCCCATTCTTAATGTAGAAAACTGCAACTAGACTCAAGGTTCTGCTTCTTGGTGGCTGGCGATCAAAACAGAAAAGAGTTCAGTGGCTGAGCATGGAACAGTACAGCAGGCCAGAAATTTAGTGATATGCGGTTGTGATCCAGAATTTGTTGCTTGGAGGGATTAAGATGAGTTGCTGAAATATGAAGGCACAAAGTGTTGTTGAAGTGTTTTGAGAAAGAGCTGAGGACTGGGATACCCAGATTCCATCCCTAGGTAGTCTGGAATTGCTTTGCCTTTCTGCCTCCCTCTCTTCCTCATTAAGTTGGACTCACAACAGCAGGAAATCATTGCAAAGAGTGGCTGAAGGATTTACAGCCTTTGATCTTGTTGAACTGCCTCCCTTGAAGCTGGTTAGAGCCCAGCTTTGGCTTTCCAGCTGTTAGTCAAGGCTGTTGTTCCTTTCAGGATGCCTGGGACTGATGTGCTTGCTTTCTAGGAAGGGGGAAATGGAAGAATTGAAGCTTTGGTCACATGCCCAAACTTCTCTCCCTGCTTGCTTGTCCATGGATCTTTCTCCCAGCTTAGTAGCTACAAAGGCTACCCTTGTGCTTTGCAGAGCAGTCTCTGTTGATATTAACCAGCTGTAATTTTCGGCCAGCTTTGTAGAGGAAGCCTCAGTCCTTCCTCAGCCGAACATTGTTTACTTCTTGCAGGGAGCCCCACGTGTCCAAGGGGAGTGGCTGGCAGAGGAGATATGATGAAGCTGCTGCTCTTTGCAGTGCTGTGTGCAAAACCAGGGCCTGTGAGTGATGCGCTTTCACCACAGCAATTCTCTTTACGCAGCTCTGCTTGATTCAGCTCAGATGCAGAGGCTGCAGCTGAATTTATCTTTCATGAAATATTCTGCTTTAGAGAAATCTGCAGGCGTGTTGCCTGCTTTTCTGTACACATCCTACCCCTCCCTCCTGCCAATGCTAGTAAGAGAATTTGCTGCTTGACGTAATGCTGAAAAACAAGCCACCTCTTTGCAGTCCAGTGTTGTGAATGTTGAGGAAAGGCAGCCAAAAAGCAGCTGTTCCTCAAGTTGCTTTTCTAGAACTGACTTCCAGCAGATGACTCTCATCTTGAATCAGCTGTTCCTAGCTATGGCCTGCAGCACAGCTCTTCCTAGAATTAATGTTTCTTCCTATATCAAGTACACCTCTGTGTGGGGGGGGGTATGTTTGTGCACATACACAGAGCTGTATTCTGGAAAATCCTTTAGGTGGCAATGGAATGATCTGCATTCCCTGGGAAGAACAGATTGCAAGGGTGACCTGCTATAGTTTAAACATGGAGAACTGGAAGCAACACCTGTAGTTCTGGGCAAAGCCAGGGTACTCCATTTACCCCCAAAAAGTATGCTGAAGGGGTGCACACACAAAAATGAAGGCTGGTCCTCTGGATGACCTTGAGTTAAGTGATCACCATAAGCCTCCAGGCTTGATAGATGTAAAGAGCTTGGAATACAGTGGTACCTTGGGTTAAGTACTTAATTCGTTCCAGAGGTCCGTTCTTAACCTGAAGCTGTTCTTAACCTGAAGCACCACTTTAGCTAATGGGGCCTCCCGCTGCCGCCGCACCGCCAGAGCACGATTTCTGTTCTCATCCTGAAGCAAAGTTCTTAACCCGAGGTACTATTTCTGGGTTAGCGGAGTCTGTAACCTGAAGCGTATGTAACCTGAGGTACCACTATATGAGTCAAAGGCTGCCACACGTGCCTCCTCCTCTCTTTCTTTCATTGGGGGTGTAGTTCCAGCCCTCCTCCTGTCAGACCTAGCAGGCAGGAATGGCACTTCCAGTTTAGGCTATCCTGGTCCTGCTGCCATAGTGGCTTCTTTCTGCTTGAGGTAGAGAGGACCCTCCTGCCACTTCACCCTGTGCATGGTCTTCTGCTTGGAATGGTTGCCAGCGGTGAACTCTTCCCATCCAGTTTGAATCCTGCAGTTGATTCTTCCATTAAGGTTTATGGAGCAAGTAAAATGCCTGCAACTGGGACCACACATGAGCAGAGCCAGCAAGGTTTGTCAGCCGCCTCATTTGTCCCAAAGCACACCTCTTTCCATTCAGATAATTGAACAGTTGCCACTTCCTGCTTAGGGAGCTACACTTGGGGAAAGGAGGATCCTTGTCGCAGTTGGTACAGGGATTTCCCTGCTGTGCTGACCTTGGGTGGCCTGTCTCATTTTTGGCAGATAGCAGAAGGATATGCTGTGTTTCCCCCAAAGGACCCTGCCCGGCACAGTGTCAGGCATTTTGGAAATAAACAATAGACTGATGCTGTTACTCAAGATGCCGGCAGTTATCAGTGTTTAATGTCACAGGCAAGTAGAGGAGTTACCCCACCCCTGAAATATGGGAGAACTAGCACCTGCAGGATGGGATGGCTGGTGTCCTTTTAGCTTCAGGTTAAGGCCACAAGAATTGGATCTAGTCTGGCATAATAGTAACTGGCAGTCATTCAGATGCTCCTGGGAACCCACATGCAAGGAGCAGCTCCACCCCCCTCCCTCTTGATTGTTTCTCAGCATCTGGCATCCAGGGACACAGAGGTTCCTTTTTTTTTTTTAACTCTTATTTTGCTTTAAACAGGTACATATAAATATAGACAACCGAAATTACAAAGGAAAATTGCTTAATAGTGATGAAAAAAAAAACTTTTTTAAAAAACTACAAAAAATATCGAAGTACATGACACAGAACATGAGCAACTATGGGAAAAATAAAAGAAAAGAAAAATAGAAAAGAAAAAGAAAAAGGAAGATGAGCCAGAGCAGGAAAGCTCATCTATTGTACACTTCCATCAAGCTCACAACAGATCATTATTCTTATCAATTATCTCTATCTGCATTCCAAAGGAATCCCTCATCTTGGTATCAGGGAACATTTCTCTATATGGTATCATTCTAAACATAGCCAGATCTTTCTTGTTGAGCCCTTGTCCCCTAAATAATTATTTAAACATTCCCATTCTTCTTTCACCAATTTTTTAGGTTTATCTCTTATTGCATCTGTCAGCTTTGCGAGCTCCAAGTACTCGCACAATTTGACTACCCATTCCTCTTTAGTGGGTGTATTTTTATCTTTCCAGTGTTTTGCCACTGTAACCCTTGCTGCTGACATTGCATACATAAATAGCCTAGTTTTGTTTTTGGGAATATTATCTGAAACCATTCCTAGTAAAAATTCTTCCTGTTTCTTGCTAAATGTAGTTTTTATCAATCTCTTTATCTCTTCATAAATCATGTTCCAAAATCTTTGTATCTCTAGACAGGACCACCACATATGGTAGTATGTTCCTATCTGTTCCTTACATCGCCAGCACTTGTTATTGTTTGATTGATTTATTTTTGCAAGTTTTACAGGGGTCAGGTACCACCTATAGTACATTTTCATAAGATTTTCCCTTATAAGGAATTTTATATTTTTAGTCCATAATTCATTCCAAATATTGAGTTTGATCATATGTCCCAGGTCCCTCTCCCATTTTATTGTAATTTCTTTGATATCTTCCTCCTTTCTTTGCCAATTCAGAAGTAGTTTGTACATTTTTGAAAGTGTCTTTTGATTATTATATAAAATATCCTTCTCCAGATAGGATATTTTTTTGTCAAATTCTTTGGTTCTTTTATCCTTTTCAAGGGCAGCTTTTAGTTGATAATACTCCAGCCAGGTTATTCCCTTCTGTTTCAATTCGCTCAGGTCATCCTGACTAGTAGCTATTGATAAGCCTTCCCTCCTCAATGAGTTTGTATAATCCTTTTTAGGATGTGGCCAACACCATACCTTGTGGCTGTGAGTTTGATCATTTAGTTCTGTGCTGGTGAGCAGAAGTGGTTACTGTAGAAGAGGAGTATGTCTGCCATGTGGTCCATCCAGCAGAAGTGGCCATAGGCCAGTGATCGTCAGATAGCCTTTCCAGAGAGGGCAGCCTCAGTGTGGTGCTTTTCTGTTTCATTCATTCGTTTTCGTGTCCTGCCCTTCAGTCCTAGATTTTATCCGGCATTTCCCTTGTGGTTTGTAAGAGACAGTTTCATTATCACATATAGCTGAGTGCGCATTAAGAACACAAAAAGAGCCCTGCAGCTGGATCAGACCAAAGGCTCATCTAGAACATCAATTCTCACAGGGGCCAACTAGATTCTTATGTGAAGCCCATCAGGAAGCAGGACATAAGCACAGCAGCAGCACTCTCCCTTCTTCAGCTGCCCAGACACTAGTATTCAAAAGTATGCTGATTCCTATACTGGAAGTAGTCTACAGCCATCATGACTAGTAGCCACTGATAGCCTTACATTGGTGGTACTCTAGCGCACACCCTGTGGGGCTTGTTACTACTTATTTTCATACTCCACTTACCTGGGACCAAGCAATCAGCATTGCTGTAGATATTTCTAGTTTGTTAAACTGCCCCTCTCTCTCTTTTGCAGGATGAGCAGTTCATAGGCTTTGGTTCAGATGATGAGGCCAAAGGACAAAGTCCCACCAAATCTCCCACAGGTATGTTCAGTTTGCTACTGTCTTGTCAGGTTCATGGGAGTTTTTTCTTAAAACGGTCTACATGGGCCTGGTCTGAAGACTGCACTAGTGCCACAAACCGTTGAGGTAACACATGTTATCTCTCTCCATCTTATCTGTAGGGATGTGACTAAGCTCTGCTACAGGGAGGGGGGGGGCTTTGGCTTGCAAGGATGGATGGGTTGAGTACTTAAATAGGCGTCAAATCAAGTGCATATTGTATAATACCTCTCATTTGTCTTTAACATGAGCAGCGTTTTAAAAGTAAACAATGCAACAATACATAGTGGGCTTTCAATTTGGTTTATCCTGAATACTATCCTTAGTCTACATTTTTGGAAAGAAACAAGTGGAACTGACCAACTAATCTCCAGAGCTACTAGTTTTCATGGTGAGGAAAACTTGCAGTACTTTAACTGTCAACTGGACAGAAATCCTTTTCCTGTAGCAGAAGCTATTGGTTCCAGCAGTTAACAAGCATTATATATAATGCTTGTTTAAAAACTTTTGTTTTCTTTGGTTTCAATAGCCTGTTTGCATATCGTGTGACTTTGAAATGCACACACTTTTTCCCATCTTGCAGAGAAGCTGAATGTGCACTTTCTTTCCCCTTCCTTCACTTTACCTGCAGCCTCAGTCAAGCCTAGCGCACGCAAACCTCGTGGGAGACCCCGAAACAGCTCAGACCGAAGTTCAGTTGTGCTCTCAGAGTCCTCACCTGTGTATTCACCTTCAAGCAAACCAGAACCCATCTCCATGGAAAAAATAAAGAGGAAAGAATTGAAAAGTGCAGAAAAGCGACGAGGGAGGCCTCCTGCACTTAGCAGTGTGAAGTTCAAGATCACCCGCAAAGAGGTCATTCCAGATGCTCAGAAAGGAGGCAAGGAGGAAAAAGAGAATCTAAAGAAAATAAAGCGAGCACCTTCCACTACATTTCAGCATGCTGCAAAAATTAAGAAACTAAGAGCAGGAAAACTCTCTCCACTGAAGTCTAAATTCAAATCTGGAAAGCTCCAGATTGGAAGAAAAGGGGTTCAGATTGTACGCAGGAGAGGAAGGCCACCATCTTCTGATCGCTTGAAGACTGCACCGGCTCTAGTTGTGAGTTCTCCATTAGAGAAGGCCCAGAAGCTGCGAAAGGAGAAAGATGGAGTCTCGCCCCTTTCGAAGGATGAGAAGCCAGCTGTGAGGCAGAGCCCCCGCAGGCCTGTGAGGATCATCCCTTCCTCCAAGAGGACTGATGCCACGATTGCCAAGCAACTCTTGCAGAGGGCTAAAAAGGGGGCCCAGAAGAAGATCGAGAAAGAAGCAGCAAAGCTTCAAGGCCGGAAGGGGAGGACGCAGCTCAAAAACATCCGGCAGTTCATCATGCCAGTGGTGAGTGCGATCTCTTCGCGGATCATTAAAACTCCCAAGCGCTTCATTGAAGATGAAGACTATGATCCACCAATCAAAATAGCCCGTCCGGAATCCACACCAAATAGCCGCTTCAGTGCTCCCTCTTGTGGGTCCAGTGAGAAGTCCAGCGGCGCCTCTCAGCACTCCTCTCAGGTGTCTTCAGATTCCTCACGGTCCAGCAGCCCCAGTGTTGACACGTCCACAGATTCTCAGGCCTCTGAAGAGATGCAGGCCTTATCTGAAGAACGCAGCAATACTCCAGAAGTTCACCCTCCGTTGCCCACATCCCCTTCCCCTGATAACGAGAGTGGCGAGAGAAGGAGGAGGAGGTTTTCTATGGCAGAGAGAAATTTTGTGCCCAAAGCAGCTAAAAAACTGCCCAGCCTCCAAAGTGTGTCCCAGCAGCAGCAGTCATCGTCTTCCTCTCCTCCTCCACCGCTTCTCACCCCGCCGCCACCGCTCCAGCCAGCTGCCGGCATTTCAGACCATGCCCCTTGGCTTATGCCCCCCACCATCCCTTTGGCATCGCCCTTTCTGCCCTCCTCAGCTGCTCCCATGCAAGAAAAGCGGAAGTCGATTCTTCGAGAGCCAACATTCCGTTGGACCTCTCTAAAGCACTCTCGGTCCGAACCCCAGTACTTTTCCTCAGCCAAGTATGCCAAAGAAGGTCTCATCCGCAAGCCCATCTTTGATAACTTCAGGCCTCCCCCGCTGACCCCTGAGGATGTTGGCTTTGCCTCTGGTTTTTCAACGCCTGGAGCTGCAGCTCCAGCCCGCTTGTTTTCTCCTCTTCACTCTGGAACAAGATTCGACCTACACAAAAGGAGCCCCTTGCTACGAGCTCCAAGGTTCACCCCAAGTGAGGCCCACTCACGCATCTTTGAGTCTGTAACTTTGCCTTCTTCTGTTAGTCGATCGGCAGCAGGAAGCACTGCAGCAGCATCCTCTTCGAAGAAGCGGAAGAAGAGAGGGTTCAGCCCAATTCGATCAGAACCCAGATCTCCTTCGCACTCCATGAGGACGAGAAGTGGAAGACTAAGCACCTCTGACCTGTCCACTCTCACTCCATCCTCATCAGTTTCTTCCTCGCTGACAAGCATTCCTGTGGGTTCCCTTACCACCAGTGCCTTAAACTCCACTTTTACTTTTCCTTCCCATTCTCTCTCCCATCCTGGGGAGTCGGCAGAGAAAAGCCAGAGACCGAGGAAGCAGGCAAGCATTCCGGCTGAGCCTTTCTCATCCGGGAGCCCCACTCCCCTCTTTCCATGGTTCACACCAAGTCCCCAAACAGAGAGGGGCAAGAACAGAGACAAAGCCTCCTGTGAGGAACCATCCAAAGATAAAGAAAGTGACAAAGGTCTTGAGAAGGAGAAAAGCAGAGAGAGGGATAGAGAGAGGGAGAAAGAGAATAAGCGGGAGTCCAGGAAAGAGAAAAGGAAAAAGGCTCCAGAGATTCAGAGCAGCTCAACTTTGTTCCCACTGACTCGAGTTTCCAAAGGAAAAGTTGTCCGTGAAGATGTAGCCATTTCCTCTTCTGCCAAAAAAACTGCAGGCCGGAAGAAATCGGCGGCTGCTGATCCAGCAGCAGATGTGCCTGCTGTGGTTCTTGTAGACTCAGCAGCAGCCATCATCAAGACCAAACTGCCCAAGAAAGGCCGAGGGGGGTTAGAGAAATCCAGTCTGGAACTTGGATTGGCTGCTCCTTCCATGGAAAAGGAAGAATCCCTGCGTCTCCCAGCTGCTGCTTCAGTCAACATTGTGAAACATTCCTCCATCAGCTCAGTGCTGGCTCATGCAGACAAACTTCCAATGACCGACAAGAGGGTGGCCAGCCTCCTCAAGAAAGCAAAAGCCCAGCTGTATAAGATTGAGAAGAGCAAGTCCCTGAAGCAGGTGGATCAGCCAAAAGGACAGGTATTTACCCCCAAAGTAGTGGTTTGAAAAAAGAGGTAGCACATGAAGCGAAATAACTATGACAATAGAAGGCCATGCAGTGCCTGGCTGGCACCATGAGGGGGAGGCCAAAACTCTTGACATAAGTGGCCTGAGTAGGTGCAGCGTCTCAGATTTCTAGGTCCCTGTAAGCAAACCAGAGCGTGACCTCAGATCATCATTTAGCTGCTTCTGCTTTGGAGTCACAGTTCCCACTGAAGTGTCTTTTTGAAGCTTCCTGTTGCCTTGATATCATGTCTTGCCCATCCCAAGGGAAAGCAATGGCTCCTTCCTTTTTGAATTACTGGTGAGAGTTTTCTCACTGCAGCCTTTTACATTCATGCTGTATTGTTTTTAACACTCGATTGGGAGCCGCCCAGAGTGGCTGGGGAAACTCAGCCAGATGGGCGGTGTATAAATAATAAATTATTATTAATATTATTCATGCTTCCACTTACCTTTTACCAAAGACAATCTCAACCCACCCTGGCCAGACATATACACACATGCACATACAAACAAATACACAACAGCCGAGGGATGGCAGTTACCAGATGTCTCCCCAAAGCTGTTGCACTTTTCTAACAGGTATAGGATTTGGTGGGCTTTTGGTCACGCATGAGGTGCATAACTAGCTGTTTGATGCATTTTATGTAAGTAGTGGCAGGAATTGTTCCTTTCTTTGCAAGTCTTAGCCTTAGTTAAGCATTTTTACACTTAAAAGGTTACTGTTCATTAGGGGAAGAAACTACTTCTGATTACTGCTGTGTCCTCCATTTGAAAACACATTTAGAGAAGGTTCAGAGATCTTTAACCTTCTACTGGACAAACTGCTTTTACTTTTGAACTTGAATCGCTCCCTGTGGGATGGTTGATTGTGTCTTAACAGCCTTTTCCTGTGTTCTTGCCCTGCTTGGAATTTAGGGTCAAGAGAGTGATTCTTCAGAGACCTCCGTGCGAGGGCCACGCATAAAGCATGTTTGCAGAAGGGCAGCTGTAGCACTAGGCCGCAAGCGAGCCGTCTTTCCAGATGACATGCCCACTCTGAGTGCCTTACCATGGGAAGAACGAGAGAAGATACTGTCTTCCATGGGGAACGATGGTAAGTGTCTGAATTTATGCTGAAGGGTTCTGTTTTCTCCAAGGGTGCATCGGTGGCAGGGGAAGGTATGCGAGGCTGTAGGATGAAGGTTTCTAGGAAACCTGGATGGGCCCCGCTGTGAAGCTGTTCTGAGAAACCAGCGATGGCCAGCAAAGTCCGTTCTGTTGAGGACTCACTTCTCCTTTATTGATTGCTGAATTAATAGCTGGTCTTTCATTTCACAGACAAGTCCTCGGTTGCAGGTTCAGAAGATGCCGAGCCCCTTGCACCTCCCATCAAACCTATCAAGCCAGTTACCAGAAACAAGGCCCCCCAGGAGCCCCCTGTGAAGAAAGGCCGGCGGTCAAGGCGCTGTGGGCAGTGCCCAGGCTGCCAGGTCCCAGAGGACTGTGGTGTCTGCACAAATTGCCTGGATAAGCCAAAGTTTGGTGGGCGGAACATCAAGAAGCAGTGCTGCAAGTAAGTGTGTGGCTGTGAAGCCCGCCCCTGCCCTCCCGTTGCTCTGGGAATAAGGCCCTCCGTTGTTGGTTTGTGGTGCTTCTACCCTGTCTTCCTATAAAAGATTTAGCCAGAGGAAGATCCTTTCACTTGCATCAAAGAAGAGCTAAGGAGCAGAAGACTAGTGACTTTGTCATCCTCTGAGCTTGGCTGCTGCTTTTCCTTCCTCTTGGAGTTCAAAGTGGCAGTTGGGGGCTCTCAAGAGAGTGGCAGGGAAATGGACAGGGTTGGGTGGGGCAGTGGAGAGATCTACCTCCTCTTTTCTTCAGACTTTTCAGGTTTTGGGTTGACCCTGCTGTGTATTCTGCTGAACGTGAAAACTAAAGTGTTGTGTGGAGAGTTGATCCCTTTGGTGAATATGCCACAGCATGCTTCCTCTGAGCAGCCTTCCTCACAGTGGCTTGGCCAAACCTCAGAGCAAGGTTTCAGATCTTAAACAAAGAGGGAGAATAGTTATCTTCTCCACATCTTGAAAGTAAGGCTTTTTGAAGATGCTTCAAAAGTAGTTGCTTTTTGGTATAGCAGAAAGGCTGACATAGCAGAGCTGGTCCTGCTGGGACGATCTTTCTCATCCCTTTAGCCAGATTGGTCTGCCATTGATCTCGAACTTTGGCATGGCTCCAGAGCAGATATCTTTCCACTTGAGATGCAGCAGCCTGCAACATGCCTGGGAATCCAAAGGCTTGTTTGTGTCGGGTGATGCATCTTGCCATCTCCTTCCTTTATTCTCCCCTAGGATGAGGAAGTGTCAGAATTTGCAGTGGATGCCATCGAAAGCCTATCTCCAGAAGCAAGCCAAAGGTAGGTGCCTTTTTTTCCTTATTTATATTGTGATGGGGAGAGAAAGGCATAGTTAACAGCTGCAGAATCTTTGCTTCAGCTTCATCTAGGCAGTGAGGCCGTGGGCAGGCTGGCGTATCCTCCTTAGGCACCACCCTCACCTCTGGCCGTTGCTCACTTGGGGGAGGCCAGTGCCATAGGCTGCGCTATCGGTCATTGCATCTGAGGTGCTGCTTTTGCTTTACAGCTGTGAAAAAGAAAGAGAAGAAATCCAAGTCCAGTGAAAAGAAAGAAATCCATGCTGGGAAGAGCCAGCCAGAGGCTGGACAGAAAGCAGCTGCTCCTCAGCTCACCTTGGCGAAAGAGGATCATGCCTCCAAAAGGGGCAGTGAACCTGCCCGGAAGCCCAGTGAGGAGAAGAGTGAGGAGGGCCCACCACCACTGACTCCGCCTCCCCCAGACACCAAGCAGGTCCCTCCCCCTGCAGCCCGGAAGGCTGGCAAGCAGCAGGCACCGCCCCCCACGCAGGTGCCTCCCACCCCACCGCCTAGTACAGGCCCACCAAAAAAGGAAGCCCCCAAAACCAACCCTGCTGAGCCCAAGAAGAAGGCAGCTCCACCACCAGAAGTGGGTAGGTATTCAATTGCAGCAAAGGTAGTTGTTAGCTGCCTCTGCAAAGTCAAGCAACCCACCTCTGGACTCCATGGAAGAGATGTGACCACATCTGCTGTACTAATTGGGCTCTTAAGTGGGTCAGGGAAGAGCAGCCTTGGACACACCTGGGCAGGTTAGCAAGTGTGTGGCGAGCTGCAGGAAATCCTACAGTGCCCACTCCTCCCTAACAAATTGGAATTGCTAGTTCGCTGTGTTTTGTTTTCGGCTTTCCACAACAGCGTCTTAAGAAGTTGCTGTTGTCTCCTTAAGTCCCCAAATTCCATTTGACTGCTAGAAGCAACTCTTGGCTTTTAACAAACTGCACTTGTACTTTTCCTAGGGATCGAGCAAAGCAGACAGAAGAAAATAACTCCTCGTCCAAGCTTACCAGTGAAACAGAAGCCAAAAGAAAAGGTAACCTGCAAGTTGCTCTATTTCTCCAGTGAACAGAAAGAGCTTTTTTCATAGTTGGTTCCTTGCATGTAGCTCTCCTGGCTTTTAGAGAGCCCATGAAGACAGCACAAGTTGAGGATGCCCTTTGGTACAAGTTCTGACCCTGTGATGGCAGCATCTGCAGATGGGCTGCTTTTACAGTGGCTCTAGGCTCTTAGGGGTCCTTTTGCTTGACTCTCCAAGGTTCAGGTTGGTGTGCAGATGATGATGCTTCTCACTATGTTTTTTTCTCTCTCCTCCCCCCAGCCAATAGTTTATGCATGGAATGGCCTTTCCCTCCAGAAAAGACAAGGCCATGCACCTTTTAATACTAATAGATTCCAATTCATGTTTGGGGGTGGATACCTACTGGATTGAGTTTGCCTTCAAAACAAGACTGACCAATTCAAAATTTCAGATTTTGCTTTCCAGTTTCTGAAACCCCTGTTGCTCTTTGCTTTTCAAAATGTGAAAGAAGAGAGTCCTCCTTAGATTCCAGCCCATAACTAACTGCATATATATTGAATGCTGGTTTTCCTTCTGCTGCTTGAGCAAAGAAAATGCCATTTTTTTGCCCTCTTTCACCAGGAGAGACCACCCCCAGTCAGCAAGCCAGATAATGGTACCCTCAACCTGTTGAGCACTTTATCAAATGGGAACAGCTCCAAACAGAAACCCCTCATAGATGGAGTCCACAGGATCCGAGTAGACTTCAAGGTAACAGGGTGGTTTGGGGAGGTCCCCCTGCCTTTCTCCACCAGAAACCTGGCCTTGGGGGTTTGTAGGACGTGGCAACATCTCTTCCTTGAAACTCCCATCTTTCTACAAAGACCTGTTCTGATGAAAGTTGTTTAGTTTTCTGTAGAGCCTGTTGCTTCTTAAGATAGCACACAGGAGGATGAGAAAGAGTGATGAATACAAAAGGGAATACCAGCAGTTTTCGTAAACCGAGGCAGCCTCCTGAGGCTCTTAATGCCCAAAGAGAGTCTTTATTGTTAGCAACAGCATTAGTTAGGCAGTACATTGGCATGCATATATTGCTGGCACGTGCCTTTTAGAAGATGTCTAGGTATGTATCACTGGTGTGGAGAGAACCGAGGTTAAGTAACTCCATCCAGCACATTCCTTTGTATATAACAAAAGCTTTGACAAACAAAACATTTTCATAGTGATGTGTACAGGATCTTCCTGCTTTGCTCCAGTTCTTGTCATTTCCACCACCCCTGGGCCTGGTGTAAGGATAATTCCCTTTCCATGTTCTTCCTTTTGTGTTTTTTAGGAGGACTGTGAGGCTGAGAACGTTTGGGAAATGGGCGGTTTGGGTATCCTGACCTCTGTCCCGATAACTCCCAGGGTGGTCTGCTTCCTCTGTGCCAGCAGTGGGCATGTGGAGGTAAGGGTGAGGTCCCACAGGGACAGTCCACACCAAGTTGTTTGGTGTATGTTTGTGAGATATTATTTCAGCTACCTAAAACTAAAGGAAATCTGAAGCTGGAATTGAATCCTGAATAAAGGCCATCAGTTAGAGCTGCAGCTTCAACTACCATTTGAAATGCTTCTTTACCTACCTCTCAAAGCAGGAGGTGTGGTGTCAGATAAGCACTTATGTCTCTAGGCACCAGTTGACCTTTTGTAGCTTCACTAATACATGCTGCTCTTGCAGAGGGGCTCTGGAGATAAAACAGCCCACAGACAAATGGTGCGGAACTTGGTGGTGGAAGAGGGCTCTCTAAGCCTCTTTGAAGCAACTGTTATGTGAAACTGGGGACCAAACCATGAGGGTGGGGTGACCAAAGACTTTCTCCTCCTCCTCCCTCTCCCTCTGGAGCCAGCCATCCAGGGCAAGCTGATGGGCAAATAGTTGAAGTGCGCAACTGCTGCAGGATGTGGCTGACCTACTGACTTGCCCCTTCCCTTGTAGTTTGTGTATTGCCAGGTGTGCTGTGAGCCTTTCCACAAGTTCTGTTTGGAGGACAGTGAGCGCCCCCTGGAGGACCAGTTGGAAAACTGGTGCTGTCGTCGCTGCAAGTTCTGCCATGTGTGTGGGAGGCAGCATCAGGCCACCAAGGTAGTCGGAGTCCCTTGATGAGCTTGCCTGTCTCCTTTTGTTCCTCTGGAATGTGGGGTTTGTGGCATCGTAAGGGATGGCCGCCAGGGATGCTAAGTTTCCCCAACACAGCTTCCTCATGTTGAACTAGGAGTCATCAAATGTCTAAAGCAGAGATTTCCAAACTTTTCATGTTGGTGACACACTTTTTAGACATACATCATTTTGCAACATAGTAATTCAGTTTTACTAGCAAACTGGAGGTTAAACTATCCCCTTTCCAGCCCCGGGAAAAGCATGGGGAGTGTTCGTACAACGCACCTACACACAGCAGCTGACACACTAATGCGTCACGAGACACAGTTTGGAAAGCTCTGGTCTAAAGCAACTACTGGAGCATCTAGGCTTGACTTGCTGCTGTTTTCCGTGTTTCCATAGCAGTTGCTGGAGTGTAACAAGTGCCGAAACAGCTATCACCCAGAGTGCCTGGGACCAAATTACCCAACAAAACCTACGAAGAAAAAGAAGGTTTGGGTGAGTTCTGTTGCATCGTGGGGACACTTGTAAGGCAGGGATACCTTCCCCTCTTATTATAATCAGACTGCCAGATGTCTTAGCCTGATGTTGAAAGTGGTCCATTGTTTACAAGGATATGCAATAAAATCGGTCTGAATCATAAACTGCTGGATATGGCAACCCCATCAACTGGCCATTGCGAAAGAGGCAGGCTGAGGCATGGTTTTCTGTTCCATGGCTCACCCGTAGAGGGAAGCATCTTTGGTGCCTGCTATGACTGAATCCTATTATCCCAGAGAGAGGCTGTGCAGCCCTTTATTCCTTGTCTGTCTTTCCAGATCTGCACAAAATGTGTCCGCTGCAAGAGCTGTGGAGCGACAACGCCAGGCAAAGGGTGGGATGCCCAATGGTCTCACGACTTCTCTCTGTGTCACGATTGTGCCAAACTCTTCGCTAAAGGTGTGGAGAGACTGGGTGCATGATAGGTCTGGTCTGCTGCGGAAGTATGCTGTATTATGCTGAATGGCCTGGGAAATGCTGGCAGCTGCAGTTCCATGTGCAGATGCAGCCCTTGCTTTGCTAAATTCCAGTACTTCCTCTAGGGAAGCGGGGGACGGCAGCAGGGAGCACCTTCACACTGAAAGGGGGCAAGTATAGTACTTGCTGCTGGCTGTTAACAGTGGCAGTCACTGATAGCCATTCTTGCCCTTTGCGTGGAGTCCCCTGACCGCTAGAGTGTTTGGCTTTGTATACTGATGGTGGGAAATCTGGACCGCCTCTCTGTTTTGCTTGTAGGGAACTTCTGCCCCGTCTGTGACAAATGCTACGATGACGATGACTATGAGAGCAAAATGATGCAGTGTGGGAAATGTGACCGCTGGGTCCACTCCAAGTGTGAAAACCTCTCAGGTGAGGACTGCTTCCAACCCTGCATATATGGAGGAGTAGGATGAACATTTACAACCAGGAACCTTGTGCTTGAGATCCTTTTTGCAATTTCATCTTGGTCTATGGGGTGGGTTGTTTCTTCTTGGACTAGGGTGCAGAAGCCAAGGAGCTGAATATCCTGAGCTAATCGTGCTTAGCTGTGGACTTCGGAGCCCAGCTTTGCAGGCTGCAGTTGTGCTGTGGGTTCCTGAGAGTGTGCAGAGAGACACTCTCCCTGTTGAATCACTTCCCAATACAGTCATTGGAATCCCTACAGCTGAGCCCCTTTGCACGATGTAACCTCCTACCATGCTGCCAGATCCCCCACAGATCTGACACTTTTAGCCTCCCGAGGCTTGCCCTCTGCCCCTAATGCTTGCCCTGTCTACCTTCAGATGAGATGTACGAGATCCTCTCCAACCTGCCGGAGAGTGTGGCTTACACCTGCATTAACTGCACAGAACAACCTCCTGCTGAATGGCGGCTAGCACTGGAGAAAGAGCTGCAGCTTTCTTTGAAGCAGGTTCTAACAGCCCTACTAAATTCCAGGACATCCAGCCATTTGCTGCGTTATAGACAGGTGGGCCTCCCTCTCCTTCTATGAACCATACAAATGTACCTGAATTCTGGCTGCTCAGAGTGGTGCTGTTGGACTTTAAAGCACAATATTCTTCCTAGTGTTTCTAGAAGAAAAGCGGCATTAGAAATGCAGTGCCAGGTGTGTGTGGGAGGGGGTGGGGAGAGGGAGAAAGTGTGACAAGCCAAAGGTTCCAACCAAATGTTTGATATTCTGTCTTGCAATGGATATCATAGAGGAACCCATAACATGAGCAGAACCCATATGGCAATGGCTAACACTCTGCCTTGCTAATTGTCAGCATGTGTGAGAGAGTATGTTCCAGGCAGGAGGGAGTCTGTAGGAACATCTGTATCTGCCTAACCTGAGCCAGGCCAGTGGTCAAGCTTGCACAGCGCTGGCTGCCCTTCTCTGTGGCCTCACTTGTGGCCCTTGCTCCATATCAACCAGGAAGGACCCTCTGTAAGAGCCATTCACCGTGGACCTCTCCTTGTGTTTATTCCTTAAAGCAGTTTTTGCCTAGAGTTTTACATGCATGATGTGAAGAATTACTACCTTTCCTGTGTCTTGTCTGCTAACTGTCATTTTGGGCTTTGAAAAGAAATACTTCCCCCTTTCGTGCTTTCTGCACCACTCAAGGTTGTATAAACTTCCATCACGCCCCTTCTGCTGTTTTTGTTTCCCCTAAGCCTTTTTTCCAACCAAGTAGACTATAGCCAGAAAAGGCCTGCAGGGCTCTGCCTCCAAGGGCTTTAGCATTCATGCATTAGATGTGGATGTCTGTGTCTAGAGCTCTGCTGTGTATTACCAAGGTTCCACCTCACGTAGAGGCATTTCCCCTGCAGATGCTCCCACCTATGGTGTGAATGTGAGGGCCAAACTTGGTGACCTGAGGTGCAGTGCAGCCCCTTCCAAGACATGTTGCCCCCTCCCACAATTCAGACATGAAGGGGGCTTGTCTCCTCCAATCCTCTGTTATGCTGTACTTTTCTGCACCTCCTTTCAGTCAACTAGATCCTTGTGCTCAGGTAGTGCTTGCAGGCTTCCCAAAGGCATCTGGTTGGCCACCATCAGAACAGAATGTTGGACTAGATGGGACTATTGGCCTGGTCCTGCAGGCTCTTTGGCTCTTAACCTCTATCCACAGACCTACTAAAGAAATGCTTTGTGCTGGGCTCAAAAACTGTTGTACTCTCTTACCGTTGTGTGTCCAGGCGGCCAAACCCCCTGACTTAAATCCTGAGACGGAAGAGAGCGTCCCATCCCGAAGTTCCCCAGAAGGCCCAGACCCTCCTGTGCTCACTGAAGTCAGCAAGCAAGAAGAACAGCAGCTGCTGGACCTGGAAGGAGTGAAAAGAAAAATGGAGCAAGGAGGCTACATTTCTGTGGTGCGTTAACAATTCAGTCAGCATCTCTTTCTTGCTTTCATCATCGCTTCCATGAGGAGAAGAAAATGATGGGATATACAAATCAATTTGCTGTTGTGAACTGCATTGAGGTGGTCCTAAAATGCTACATTTTTGCTATAAATTCCCCCCTTGTGCCTTGAAGGTGCATGGATGTTTTGGCCATGCTACAGTGTTTTACGTTGGCCATGCTGCTCTTCTGAAACATAGGCGGGGAATAAAAAGGAGTTCAAAAATTGAATAGGAAAAGGTGAACTTCTGCCACTTGATGTTCAGCACCCATGGATGGGGAAGAGGGCTGGATAAAGTATATCAGAGAAGAGGATAGGAAGCTGATTTCTGTGTGTGTCTATCTTGCAGCTGGAGTTTAGTGATGATATTGTAAAGATAATCCAAGCAGCCATTAATGCTGACGGAGGGCAGCCAGAACTTAAGAAGGCCAACAGCATGGTGAAGTCCTTCTTTATTCGGGTAAGCCAAGCTGCATCTTATTTTCAATAAATTGGCAACTGGTGCACTGAAGTTGCATCTTTAATACTCCCCAAGGAGCCCATATTTCTGTTCAAGCTACTGTGTGGCTGTCTGTGAAACAAATTAGGATCTTGTCTGGGCAGACCTTTAAGTTCATAATAAATTATTCCTGACTGTAAATTTGCAGAGATCTTGGACAGTAGACTTCTTCAAGTGTTTAGTGTTGAGTCCTGTAAAGCATTTCTAATACATTTGTGGGTGTTTTGTTTGTTTTTAAGCAAATGGAACGCGTTTTTCCATGGTTCAGTGTAAAGAAATCAAGATTTTGGGAACCTAATAAAGTTACAAGCAAGTAAGTAACTTGTTCCACTTCCAGCACTCACTTGCTGCAATTGACCTGCCTGTTTCAGCCAAAGGTGGTGCCAGCGCTCTTGCCCCTTGGAAAGAAGATCAGAACTGAATTTCCAGATGGGCTCCTCCTGCTTCTCAAAGCAACTGGCTGCAATTAGTTCCTGATCTAGAAAGTAGAAGTGGGTTGTGGTCCTTCTTGTACCAATCTGTGTCTTAGTCCTGCCCCTTGCCCTGCAGAGACGGCTTTGCAGTGAATGAAGGAGCTTTACCTGCCTAAGAGCTATAGTTGGGGCCTCCTAGCTGCAACCAAGTCTGATGCTACCTTTTGTTCATTTCTAGCAGTGGGATGCTGCCTAATGCTGTCTTGCCGCCATCACTCGACCATAACTACGCACAGTGGCAGGAGCGTGAAGAAAACAGTTGTGCTCAACAACCTCCTCTTATGAAGAAAATCATTCCAGCACCAAAACCCAAAGGTCCTGGAGAGCCAGACTCCCCAACTCCACTGCATCCTTCTACACCACCTATATCCAGTGAGAAACTGAGCCTTTTTGTCTGGGGGAAGTGCTAGGGAATGAGGGTGACACTGGGGGAGGCAGGCTTTAGACCCTGGGGAAAGTCTGGGCCCCGCCAGAGTCGGGTACAGAGAGGCTCCTTGCCTTACCTACCATCTGCCGGGACTTCGAAGTCTGAACCAAGCCTCTTTCTCTGCCTCCCCCTTACATCTGCATGGTTGGTTAAATTGTGTTTTGTTTTAAAGTGAAGTAAAACCTTTTCAATTCAAGCGAGCAGCTGAAATTGTTTGCTGCTCTGGGCATTTGCAAGCTACTTTATTCTCCAGTAAACAGTTCCCAGCCCACATTTTCTTCCAAGCAGTGTTTCTCAGGAGTGATCAGTCCTTTCTCTCTCTCTCTTTCTCTTTCTCTCTCTGTTCTGAGGTTCTGACAGAAGCTTGGAGGACAGCCCAGAACTTACCCCTCCTCCAGATGTGGAGGATAACCGGCAGTGTGCACTTTGCTTGAAGTATGGCGATGATGGTGGGAATGTAAGTGGCTCTGTCAAGAATGTGTGTTGTGAGCTGTAGAGGCTTTGCCTTCTGGTTCTAGTTAAGGTTGAAAGGCAGGCTTGATCTTTGTTGCACACTCAGTCCAGCTGAGCCAGACTAATATTACCTTTCTTAAAAAAACAAAAGCAGGTTACTATCTTAGTGAATTGTGGAAATGCTGTGGGTATAATTTAGCTGATAACAGCAAAGCATTTTACAAAGCTCCTTGTGATATTTTGATTAGCAAACTCTGTAAATGGGGACAGGCGATAATATCAGGTGGTTTCACAGCTGGTTAGAAAAGTGTCCTGTTAAGAGACACTTTTCAGTGGTTCCTCATGAAACTGGAGGGATGTTTTGAGTGGAGTGCTGCAGGCTTCTGTTCTGGGCCTGGCATTCTTCCAACAATCAATGACTTTTGGTAGGAACTGGAAATCTGATAAGGATTTAAATATTGGATGAGGGCATAGAGGGAATCCTTACCAGAGTTCCAAATGGCACTGAACTTTGAGGGACAGCTAGGACCCCAGAAGACAGAAGGGAAAATAGGCAGAACCCAACAAAAAGAAATTCAGTAGAGACAAATGCAAAGTTCTGAACAAGTGTGGGAGGAATCAGATGCACAAGGATAGAATGGGCAATACATGGCCCAGCAGAAGTGTATGTGAAAAGTATCTCAGGACTGTAGCTTATCACAAGCAGAACACAAGTCAGGGGTGTGATGTGGCTGCAGTGAGATCTTAGTCCGCATTAACAGAGCCATCATCATGTCACAAGAAGGAATAACTGACTTTATTCTGCACTAGTCAGACCTCATCTGGAGTACTATGTTCATTTCTAGCACCACATATCAAGGAGGATGTAGACAAATTGGGATGGGATCAGAGGAAGATAGCAAAGATGGTCAGAAGTATGGAAGACAAGTCCTATATAAGGAACCAGTTATGCTTAGCTGAGAAAAGAGAAGACTGAGGTGGAACCTAATAGCACTCTACAAATCCTTGAATGGGCTGTGTCACATGCAAGAGTTTGCAAAGGCTTGTTCTCCATGACTCCAGGGGTCAAAGGGTTATATCTCATAGACTTAAGTTACAGGAGGGTAGATTTGGATTGAACAATAGAGGAAATTTCTTGACAGTAAGAGCAGCTGGGCAATGGAGGGGTGGTGAAATACTCCCCCTCTAGAGGTCTTTGAGCAGAGGCTGGAGAGCCCTCTGTCTGCTGGGGATGCAAAGGGTGGTATAAAAATTAGTAAATCATAATAACCTAGCACTGGGTGTTCTGTTCTGAGCAGAGGGTTGGACTAGACAGCTGCAAAGACCCCTTAAACGGTCTGATTCCATGAGCCACCTTTATGTTTGCCAGCTTTTATTTCACTGTGGCTGCTGCAAGATGTGCCCAGCAGTTGTGGGGTGGGGAGTGCACTTGACTGATTTCTGAGTGTTTCTGGTGGCCTTCTCCTTTCTTGCAGGATGCTGGCCGTCTCCTCTACATCGGCCAGAATGAGTGGACCCATGTGAACTGTGCCCTGTGGTCAGCTGAAGTTTTTGAAGATGACGATGGCTCCCTGAAGAATGTGCACGTGGCAGTGATCAGAGGGAAACAGCTGGTGAGTAGGAACAGGTTGGGCTCAGGAGTCTGTCCAGGAATGAGGATTTACATTTCAAAAGCAGCTAAAATGTTTCTCTTCTGCTGTTACAACGGCAAAGAAGAATATTGGAAAGCCCACAGCATGTCTCCATGGAGAGACAGCTCATATTTGACGTTAATGGCCCAACTTTAAAAAGAGCAAAAGCCTCACATGATTCTCCACAGTTGAAGTAATGGGCTTCACAGGATGTTATATCTGAAAAAGACAGAGATCCTTGAATTCAGCTTCCAGCAGTTCCAGACTGCAAAGAATCAAAAGCACTGGTTACTTGGACATTCACAAGCAGCTCTATTATACTAGCATGTGAACCAGATCATCACCTGGCTTCTGCAGCAGACGGATGTGAGCAAGTGCCCGCGTCTCCTTGTAATGATTAGGAAGGGGTGTCTTCTGTGGCCTGAAGTGTAGGAAGTCACAATCGCAGGTGGCCAGCTTGGGCTGCTGTCCTGCAACTGCAAGCAGTTGCGGCTAGTGGCTGTGGCAGCTTTTTCGTGTTCTTAATCAATCACTGATCCCTTTTGCATGCTCAGAAATTGCTCTAAACTGTTAAAAAAAAACACCTTTCTTCTGAATTGGAATTAAATTGGGAAGTCCAGACAATATGTGAGTTTGTAAATGAACAACAATGAAAAAAGGCTGCGCTCAGATTACTAACAGGTTGTTTTGGACAAGATGAATTGTGTTTGCTAAATGAGTGGTGGAACAGCAGCAGTTCTATTGCTTTCTCTTTGTTTGTTGGCAACCTGATATGCATGTCATAGATAATCATATTAGGGGTGTTGCTGCTTTTGACAGTGCTGCACTAGTCCAGTTTATTTGTTTAGGCCATTGGCCATAACAACAAGATGCTTTCCCTAAAAACCCAACCCTCAAACCTTGCAGAGATGTGAATTTTGCCTGAAGTCGGGTGCCACAGTGGGCTGCTGCCTGACCTCCTGCACAAGCAACTATCACTTCATGTGCTCCCGGGCCAAGAACTGTGTCTTCCTGGAGGATAAGAAAGTCTACTGCCAGCGCCACCGGGACATGATCAAAGGAGAGGTGAGCCCAGCCACCATCCCAGGCCTTTGCCCAGCTGTACTTCCCCCCCCCTCCCCATTTCCCTGCTCTTCTCAGCTCAGGCTGTGTGTTTTCACCTTAATACTGTATAGGCCTCTTTTTGTGTGTGCTTGCTGTAGGTGGTTCCCGAGAATGGCTTTGAAGTCCTAAGAAGAGTCTTTGTGGATTTTGAAGGGATTAGCTTGAGACGAAGGTTTCTTCATGGTCTGGAGCCAGAGAACATCCACATGATGATTGGTGAGGGCCCTCTGCCTCTGGCCTTGGCAATGTGCCTAGTGGAATTTAGTTGCTGCCTTCCTCACACAGAACTTTGCCTCTTTGGTTTTCTTGTAGGGTCCATGACGATTGACTGCCTCGGGATTCTGAGCGATCTGTCTGACTGTGAAGACAAGCTGTTCCCCATTGGTTATCAGTAAGTAGGAGCTGTCTCCTGAATAGGCAGCAGCAGCAGCAGAATCCATGTTATTTTCCCTGGAAGATGCCGTGAGGACCACCCAGGAAGTCTTTGGCCTTCCTTCTCCTCTTGCCCCAGAGAAGGGCTTTTGCAGGCATGCACAGCTCTGTGTAGATGTTGTAACTCTTAAATGTTTTCCCAGGTGCTCTCGAGTGTACTGGAGCACAACGGATGCTCGGAAGCGCTGTGTGTACACTTGCAAGATCATGGAATGCCGCCCTCCTATTCTTGAGCCAGACATCAACAGCACAGTAGAGCACGATGACAATAGGACCATCACGCACAGCCCCAGGCCACTTTCAGGCAAGTTTCTGCAGGCATGGCTTGGCTTGAGATTGTGGCCTTTGTGCCAGACCTGTGGGTGCCTGTTTTTTGTACTGCTCGGCTCTTCCAAAGACAAAAGCTTCCTTCTTCTGGTCAGTCTTTGCTATGAGACAGGGCTTGTAATACCTTTTGGTGACAGCAGTAGCAGCACACACTTGGAGTAGGGCAAAAAAGGGGGGTTCCCTGGTAAAGATCACATCCTCTACTTTGGCTATAGGTTTTGGAGTGGATCCTGGCCCTTGTTCCATAACTGAGTCATAGAATCATAAGTGTTGGGAGGAACATCAAGGGTCTTCAACTCTCAACTCTGCTCTGTGCAGAAAGACACTCCAGCATTTGCCCAGGTGTCATGCGTTTCTGGAGACTAGATTATGGTATGCTTGATCTGAAACAACAAGGGACTTTGTCCTTCTGAGATGCTTGGGGCATGGTGGGGGTGTGCTTCTACCTAGTACTCTTAATGTTTGGCCCTCACCTGCTCCCAATGACACATAATGTCCAGCTTTGCATTCTGGTTTTGGCCTAGATGCCAAAAGACTGCAGCCTTTTTTCTTTTTTCCCCTCTTTTACTTTCTGCCTCCCTCCATGTATAAAGATTTTTCTGTTAACATTCCCTGAGGGAGGAAGAAAGGATGTTATTGAGGGGAAAGGCCTCTAGTACTCCCCTACTTCCCTGAAGCTGTTTTGTTCAAATGCACCCTAGGTTTTGCCTGAATCCATAAGTTCATTGTTTCTTTTTCTTCATCAGAAATTCCAGCCAGAGAAGGCCATGCAGTGTCAGCGGTTGTGAGCACTCCCTCTTCAGACTTCCTGCCACATTCTCAGAACTGCAGGGCTCTGCGGATCAGAGCGCCAAGTTTTCCTCCCGCCCTGCGATCTCCTGGTTCAAGGCCATTGCCCTCTGCAGGTCTGGCCCTCCACCTCCCTCTGCTGCTCTCTCTGGCTTTCTTTGACTTCTGTTCATTCTTTGTTTAGCAATTTCTTCAGGCTGTTCTCAATGGCATGGAACCTTGTTTCCACCATCTCTATTGGGTTTAGGGCTTAATAAGTGCTGGGGTGCAAAAGACTTGTTGTCCGTCCTCATCATCAAAGGCCAAGCACTGAGGATGCTGGTAGAGGGGGGCATCTTCAATCATTTCCCCTCCCGGTTTCTGGGCATCTCACCTACATACTTAACATGTAGTTTTTCCTCACATTTAACCTTGTCGAGTGAACCATGTTTGAATTGCTGACAACTTGTAAACCTCCCTGAGCTTTTGGGCTGAGGTGGGCTCCATTTTTAAGCAGAACTGAACTAAGAACTCTAAACCACACCTTGAAGGATAATGTTCTTTGGAAATTCTGCTCACCGACAATCCTAGCTGGTGACTGACTTACCTTGTGAAGTCAGAAGACCTGGCCTAGGTGAGAAAAGGCCTATCAGGATATTGAAGCCCAGAACTCCACCTGCAGCTCAGATGGCCACCCCCTCCTCTTCCCCAGCCATAGGAGTTTGTCAGGGGGCTGGATCAGAATTTGAAAGAACCCCAGGGAAAGTTCAGTCTGCTGTTCTTACAGTTAAGAAATATTTCTGGGTAGGCAAGACCAAACATGCTCCCGTGCAACTTGAAGCCAGAAGGAAAAAGTTATAGAGTGTTTTCCTTGTTTCAATGAAGCCACCAGTAGAAGGAATAATTAGATCAAGAAAGGGGTTGACTCCGGGGGTTTGGGCTTTGCTTTACTCCTTGCCTGCATAGATCCAGATATTTGCATTCAGTAGATGACCTCAAACTCAGTTCTAATATTCTTCCCCATCTTCTGTCTTTTCCCAGGGAGCCCCACCCACATTACACACGAGATCGTGACTGTGGGAGACCCCCTGCTGTCATCGGGACTTCGAAGCATTGGCTCCAGACGACACAGCGCCTCCTCTCCTCTGCCCCCTCCACAGTTGAGGTCCTGGATGATGCCTTCCAGCAGAGCTGGGGCCACTCACTCCTCCAGGCACAGCCTCTCTTCAACACCCAGCCTGTCTCCCTTGCCAGAGCATGACTTGAGCACAAAGCCTTCAGAGCGTTCTTCGGGCCCAGCAGCCGGACGCATTGCCACCCAGAGTAGCTCTGCCCCTCCCTGTGGTGGTCAGAGGCCAGCAGGGACAGGTGGAGGAGGCACAAGCACTTCCTTGGAGGGAGCACTGTCATTAGAAGCAATGGGGCCTCCGGGGACAGAGAAGAGCAAGTTGATGAGCCAAAAAGATACAAGTTCTTCCCTGGGTAATTTGAAGGCCAGTACTCCTGTGCAGAGTGCTTCTGGCACCGAGCCAAACACCAGCAAAGTAGGGAAGCTTCCAGAGCACTCTTCTGGGCTGTTTTCTTCCAAAGAGGCAGTAGCCTTTCCACCTTTACATCAGAGACCCCCAAAGAAGGAGCAAGAGCAGCAGGTGGATCTTGTAAAGCCAGAAAAAAACTGCTCTTACGAGGATCCAGAAGCAAAGATCTCCAAGCTTTCTGGGGCAAGTAACAGATCTCCTCCTTCCATAAGTGACCCAGCACCTTCTGCAGGCAGAGATAGGCGGCAGCAGAAGGGGAAAAGGGGAGCCAAAGAGAGACATTCCAATAAACTCTTTACAAATCCGAGCCTCCTCACACCTAGCAACAAAGACAGCGCAGAGCCAGAATTTGTTCATCAAGCTGTGACGCCTGAGCATGTGAACCAGAAGCTCTGTAACAATGTTGTGGCTTCAGAGAAGGCCCCCGATAGACAGCTGCTTAACCAGAAGACCTCCAAGGTTCCTTCCCAGGGCGAAGTGGCCACTTCCAAGGATCTGCAGGCTTCCCAGAAGCGCACAGTGAAAGTCACGTTGACTCCTCTCAAGATGGAAGGTGATAGCCAGTCCAAGAACATTCAGAGGGAGGGTGATGTAGAATCTCAGCCTAAGGAGAGCAAACCAGCTTCCCTGGCACAATCCTCTTCCACTCCAGAACGGTCAGGAAACGGCTCCCTGGTTCAAGACAGCCCAAGTTGTGCTTCAGTCCCTGAGGCTCCAAGCGAGGCCTACCAGAGTCTTCCTGTTCAGGAGAGCAACTTAATGCTCCAGGAGACAGCCAAAGCGCAGGAAGACGGGGCCTACAAGCGGCGGTACCCCCGGCGCAGCGCACGGGCCAGATCCAACATGTTCTTTGGGCTGACGCCATTGTATGGCGTGAGGTCTTACGGGGAAGAAGACATTCCCTTCTACAGCAACTCCACTGGGAAGAAGCGGGGAAAGAGGTCTGCTGAAGGGCAAGTAGATGGTGCCGATGACCTCAGCACGTCGGACGAGGATGACCTTTACTACTACAACTTCACCAGGACAGTGGTCTCAAACACGGAAGAGCATCTCGCTTCTCCTCACAACTTATTCCGGGAGGAGGAACAGTGCAGCCTTCCCAAAATCTCTCAGCTGGATGGTGTGGATGACGGGACAGAAAGTGACACAAGCATCACGGTGACAACCAGGAAAGTCAATCCAGTGACCAAAAGGAGTGGCAAAGAAAATGGAACAGAGAGCTTAAAACTTGATCGGAGCGAAGAGAGTGGGGAGAAAGCACAAGTCACCAAGAGCTCAGCTGGCCACAAAGCAGCCGAGCCCAAGATGGAGAACTGCCGCGTAAAAACCCAGAGCCAGGATCCTCTGGAAGCTCAGCTGAGTTCTTTAGAGGCCAGCCGCCGCCCTCGTGCCAGCACCCCTTCGGAGAAGACCCTGCTGGATACCTTCAGCACAGAGCTGCTCAAGTCCGACTCCGACAATAACAACAGTGACGACTGCGGGAACATTCTCCCGTCTGACATCATGGACTTTGTGCTGAAAAACACCCCCTCCATGCAAGCCCTCGGAGAGAGCCCTGAGTCATCGTCCTCTGAGCTCCTGACGCTGGGAGATGGGCTGGGCCTTGACACCACCAACCGGGGCAAGGATATGGGCCTCTTTGAAGTCTTCTCTCAGCAGCTGCCAACCACAGAGCCTGTTGACAGCAGTGTTTCGTCATCCATCTCGGCAGAGGAGCAGTTTGAGCTGCCTCTGGAACTGCCTTCCGATCTCTCTGTCTTGACCACTCGGAGCCCGACAGTGCCCAGCCAAAATCATGGCAGACTTGCTGTCATTTCAGAATCCTCGCTCTCCTCCTCCTCCTCCTCGTCAGGGGAGAGATCACTCTTAGCTTTGCCTTCTACAGAGTCTGCTGAGAAGAGGGTGACTGTCACAGAGAAAGCTGCCTCCAGTGAAGGGGAGCCAGCTCTGTTGAGCCCACGAGTGGACCCAAGCCCTGAAGGACACCTGACCCCTGACCCCTTTATTCAAAGTCACATGGAAGCAGAGCACATAGCCAGCCCCCCATGTGGACCAGGAGAGCCAGGCCGTTCAGCCAGCCAAGACTTGGCCAGAAATAGCGGGACACCTGGTCTCCAAGTGCCAGTTTCTCCAACCCTCCCACTTCAGAATCCTAAGTATGGCCCAAACTCCACAGAAAACCCTGGCCCATCTCAGATTTCCAATGCTGCTGTGCAGACAGCCCCCCTCCACCTCAAGGCAGCTGCAGAAAAGCTCCTGGTGGTTAATCAGAACATGCAGCCATTGTACGTCCTTCAGACTCTTCCCAATGGTGTCACACAAAAGATACAGCTGACCTCTTCTGTCAGTTCTGCGCAGGGCGTGTTAGAGGCCAGCGCTTCTGTGCTTGGGCCCCTGGGCCCAGGGCTGGCACTAGGGGCCGGTGTAAACCCCAGCTTGCCTTCCTCCTCCCAGCCTCTCTTTCCACCAACCAGCAAAGGGTTACTGCCGATGCCCCATCACCAACACTTGCACTCCTTTTCTGCAGCCCCCCAAAGCAGCTTCCCATCCTCCCTTGGCAGTCCTGCCTCAGGACTTCTGATTGGTGTCCAGCAACCACCTGACCCCGAAGCAAATCAGAGAGCCGAGATTGGGTCCACAGCCACCACGCCACCCTCTGGCCTCAGCAAGAAAAGGCAAATTTCGCGCTTGCCATCGCGCAAGAACAAAAAGCTTGCCCCTTCCGCCATCACCCCGTCTGACATGGTCCCCAACATGACGTTGATTAACTTCACTCCTTCCCAGCTCCCCAGCCATCCAGGCCTGCTAGATTTGGGAACTGCCAGTAACCCTGCATCCCACAGAACTGTCCCCAATATCATCAAGCGTTCAAAGTCTGGGATAATGTACTTTGAGCAGACCCCTCTGCTGCCCCAAGGGGTGGGAGCAACTGCAGCAGCAGTTGGAACACCCCCTAGCGTGGCTGGGCCAGACAGTGGTCATCTTGCAACCAGGCCAGTGACAGGCCTAGCCTCTGCTGGATCCATGCTGAATGTGGTGTCAATGCCAACGTCATCAGCACCTTCCACGGGCACATCAGTCCCCAGCGGACATGTGCTGGGGAAGGGGTCCGTTGCACTACCTAGCTCTGGGCTGCAAGGAGTATCTGACATGGGCTCCATCAGCAACCTCTTAATCAAAGCCACTCAACAGAGCTTGGGTCTTCCGGAGCAGCACGCCACAGTGCCACCATCTGGCTCCGGGATGTTTTCACCACTAGGCGATGCCTCATCGGCTCAGTCCACAGTCTCAGTGGCGGGGACGGCAGCATCCAGCATCTGTGTCTTGCCTTCTGCACAGACTATGGGCATGACCACTGACCCCGAAGGATCTTACCAGCCTGGGCCTCTGACACAGATCCTGGCCAGCAAAACTGGTGCCGTCCCGCCTCAGGTGGACCTTGCGTCATCCCAAGCTCCTCCGCATTCAGGCTTTCCCCAGTTGGTGGACATCACTAACCCTGCAGCACTGGAGCAAAACAAGACCACCTCATCCGTCACACGTGCCAGCTCAACTTCTCCCGCAAGCTCCGCATCCTCTGACCAGCTGCTTGGAAGCTCCTCCATGAAGGTCAAAGCCAAAGTGAAACGGTCTCAGCCCTCATCAGACAGCAGCATCAGCAAAGGGTCTGGGAAGAAGCACAAGATGTCTCACTTCTGGTCCAGCTCCCCTGAGAAGCACATTCCCCAGCAAGGCACCAACTCTGCAGCCCAGGACTTGGCTGGAGGGTAAGAGATGGAGGTCTTTGGTCTCCCCCCTGTTTTCCCAGCCCCTCCTGAACCTGACATCCTTTTTGTTTCTTTAGTACTTCTGCTGTAGAAACTTCTGTAACAAAGCCTAGATGGAAAACAAGCTTCATTCAGAAGCCAGCAGGCAGTCTGCTTTTCTGCCAATGTACATTTGAACCAGGAAGCTGTCGTGTATTTGATGCAGCTCCTGAATATGAGCTGTGATGCTTGAGGGCCTTTTCTTTGAAGGAAAGAGGGAGAAGCTGCACATGCTACTGATCTGCTTTATTTGCAGCAGTGGGTGTGATGGGACTGTTCTAAGTGGGAAAGTGGGGGGGGGTAGAAATTAGATTTGACGGTCTCAGTGGCAGCTCAAGATCACCTCTTTGACTCCATATTATTATGAGAGATTCCTTTAGAAAACCCAACAGCTACGTTTTTAAAATGGAGTTTCTCTTGTAAATGCTGCTTGATAAATGTTGCTTATTGGAGAGCCAGAGAGGTCAGTTTTGCATTGGCTGCAAGTGGAGCATTATTTGGCTTGTGACTAGTCATTGTTGTATCCCTGAATAATCTTGTCTGTTCCAGGATTCCTACCCTGAAGATGCACATGGAGGAAGAAGAGGAAGGGGCCGCAAGTGTAGAGCAGCCCCCACCCAAAGTGGCAGACAGGTAAGGCAGTCTCTCAGGTTGTGGTCACATCAAGAGTGTCTGTGTTTGATGTATGCTTGCGGGGCGGGAGGGATGTTGGCAGGCAGAGGTACACATGTGCCTGGCTGCACAAACATTGTTCTGCCCCAAGAAAGCAACCATACTTCTTAATATGTTTTGGGCAGTTCCAACAATGAAACATTGATAACCAGAGTCTACGGTAGGGTCACTCTACTGCTGACCTCAGAGGCTTTAAGTTTTCTCTACTTGCATAAAACATGGAGACCCCTCGCAGAAAGCTCCAAGTGATGTTCTTTGCATTGAACACCCCAATTTTCCACCTGCCCTACTGTTTAGAAGGACGGGCAGTGCTGTGCTGTGACTTGGTCCATTTTTTGGAGTGCTTGCCACTCAGCAAAACGTATTATAAGTAGCAGGCCTCTCCATCCAGTGGAGACTCACGGCTCAGAGTGTTTTGTTTAGCTTCTCCCTTTGGCATCTGCTGGGGAATCAAAACTCCTAAAAGGCTTCAGTTGTTGAAACAGGAGCGGATTCTTGCATCATTTCCAGCTGTGCTTCTCTCTACAGGCAAACAGCATCTGTTCCAGAATCACAGACAGCACAGAGCACTGCAAGTGAGCAAGAGCCCACAGGTATGTTGTCCATCGACCTCAAGTACAAACCGAGCAGCAGTTCACAGGCGTTCCACTTGGAAAGGCACATATATCTTCAAAATAATTTTTTGTTTTATTATGTTTTTATACCTTGCTGGAAGCCGCCCAGTGTGGCTGGGGAACCCCAGCCAGATGGGCAGGATATCAGTAATAAAATTACTATTATTACTCCCAGTTGTAAGCTTGCCCTATGATTCTCCTTGTATGACAGCCCTGCTTGAGAGAGCCCTTGGCAGCTCTCTTAGTTCATGAGAGCCTTTCCCTACATTCTTAATGTTCATTATTTGGTGGCTTTGGCTTTGCCAAGGACTCTGGAGGTAAGAAGATCTTGTTTTCTTTCCAGACTCCAGAGCTTCTGAGGATGAAGAGAGCACTTTCAGCTCCCCACTCATGTTCTGGTTGCAGCAAGAGCGGAAGAGAAAGGAGAGCCTCGCTGAGAAGAAGCCCAAGAAAGGATTGATCTTCGAGATCTCAAGCGATGATGGATTTCAGATCTGTGCTGAAAGTATTGAAGGTGGGAAAGGGGGCAGGTGGGGCAGGTGACATCTGCTGCAGCTGCTTTGGGGTTAGATGCATTTTCGCTGTGCTCATCTTACAAAGGTCACCTTTAACTGCTTTGCTGCAGGGGACAGCCCTGCGTGAAGTCTGCAGGAATGCAGAGCCACCTGGCAGCAATTGTGAATTTTACGGTTTAAAAAGGAACGAAAGGGAAGCTTTTCTGGGACACTCCTCCCTCCCACTGAATCATTTCTTGTTTATCTTCACCTCAGAGGCCTGGCAATCCCTAACTGACAAGGTTCAGGAGGCTCGTTCCAATGCCCGCTTGAAGCAGCTATCCTTCGCAGGTAAGAAGGGCAGCAGCAGGGTTGGAAATTCCAAACTCCTTGCATGGATAGGAAGACAATAAGAAACTGCCTTGAATGTCACTGCTGTCCTGTAGGCCAAGACCTAGGCAGGGACTTTGCACCTGGGCCTGCTTCCTTGCGCTACATAAACACTAGAAAGAGTCTCACAGGATGCCCTGTTTTCTTAGGATACAGTACTTTGGTTGTACAAACAGCTTAAGGACAAAGAATGGGGTCTGTGCTTCTTTTGGGACACCCTCTGCATCATTTAAGCCCATGCCTGGCCATGGAGATTTGGGCCCATTTGAGCTGCTCCACCAGTTTCTTGAGCTGCTTCTTGCCTAAAGGCTGGGCCATGTTGCAGCCACCACCACCAGGCTTCTTCTTACAAGGAGGACTGAAGGGAGCCACTGGGCTCAGCCTGGGCTGGACAGTCTCTTCTACCAGCAAGCTGCCTTCCCTGCCTACTCTCTCCTTATTCCAGGTGTGAGCGGATTGAGGATGCTGGGAATTCTGCACGATGCTGTTGTGTTCCTGATAGAACAGCTGTCTGGAGCAAAGCACTGCCATAACTACAAGTTCCGGTTCCATAAGCCAGAGGAGGCCAAGGAGCCCCCAGTGAACCCCCATGGCTCTGCCAGAGCTGAAGTGCACCTCAGGTCAGTGGCAGACTCTGCTCTCATAAAACCAAAGCACCTGCTTCAGAGACCCTTCAGTGGTTTGGGGGTGAGGCTTTCTGTGGAGAGACAGTGAAAATAAATTCTTCAAATATCAGTTTGGGAGGGAGGCACATAAATAGCCTGTCATCATTGAACAGACGTGGGCCCAGGTTCTCCCTAGTTGGCATATAGGAGGAATCCAGGAAGGAGAGGGTTAACTACCCCAACTGTCCAAGACAAGGAGGGTCACATGATGGAAGACCAGAGTATCTCTACCCCCAGGGAGGAAAAGGTTGCTAGAATCCCACAGAAAGCTCTACAAAGGGGCTGCTGTGGTTTTAGCTCAGACAAGACACTTTGAAGTTTCTCCACACAATATGGGGAGCCAGTGTAGAGCCTAGTGGGCTTCTGGCAGCCGGTCTGGGAATGTCGCATTGTCCTGGAGGAGAGAGGAGCATTGTGTGGCTTGTAAGGCAGCCCATTAACCCTGAGAGCCAGTCTCACACCTCTTGGATCTGCATTGCAGGAAGTCTGCCTTCGACATGTTCAATTTCCTGGCTTCTAAGCACCGCCAGCCGCCAGAGTACAACCCCAACGATGAGGAGGAAGAGGAGGTGCAGCTGAAGTCTGCCCGGTACATAGCGGGTGCGGAGGCGAGTTGGTGGGGAGGGCTAGAAGGCTGCTCCTTTTTGATCTCGTCGGCAGTGGTGGGAAACTAAAGAACGGGGAAGGGGTGCAGATTTTGCCTCCTGCAGCTGCCCCATAAGCCAGCCTCTCAGCAGTTGGCACTGCAAAGTGGCTTGTGGAGCAAGGTGGGGCTTGGCAGCTCAAAGGCCCCATTGGTTGAACTCTCTCAAGCAGCCTCTTTCCTCCTCTCTTCAGGAGGGCAACCAGCATGGACCTTCCCATGCCCATGCGGTTCCGACACTTGAAGAAAACCTCCAAGGAGGCAGTTGGTGTCTACAGGTAAGTGCGTGGGAGTTGGTAGGCACTGGCGGAGGAAGAGGGGGGCAGGGGGAGCACATTGCCCCCGGCAGCGCAATCCCGGTGGGGTTCCATCACAGCTGCTCCCGCTGGACGCCACCAGGACGCACGCCACGCCCCCGCCTGCTCTTCTCCGCTGTTGGTAGGTGGAGGCCACCTTAGCAGAATAAACGATGGGGAGGGTAGAACAGCCTAAGCCAGCAGGGCTTAGCAGAACACCAATGAGAAAGTGCCTGGAACGACTCTCCTAGGTCATGTGGACAGATCTGCTCCTAGCTGGGTTGCCTGCCTGCCTGCCTCCACGTTCAGGGTGAGGCTTGCTACTTCTATGGTTGCAGCATCTAACACCAGTGGCTGTGCTGTGTGTTCCTCCTTGGCAGGTCTCCTATCCACGGCCGGGGCCTGTTCTGCAAAAGAAACATCGATGCAGGAGAGATGGTGATCGAGTATGCCGGCAACGTGATCCGTTCCATCCTAACTGACAAGCGTGAGAAGTACTATGACAGCAAGGTAAACCTTAGCAACAGCGGAGGCACTGCTGAAACCCAGCTGGTCATGAGTGCTGGCCACAGGGGCCCTGGGGTTCTCCTGAGCGAGAACAAGGGCTGCCCAGGCCTTCAGTAAAGCACTGGGAAAAGCAGGCCCTGGGTTCTTTGGTCGGAATGCACAGTGCAGGGGTCACCCTGCCAGCACTTGAGCAGTTCCTCCTTATGTAAGGCAAGTGCCAGCACTTAAGCCTTGGAAGCAAAAGAGGGATGAGAAGTGGTGGCTGCACAGGAAGAGGTTGATTTTCCTGCAGAAGGGAGGGGGATCCTCGGCTGGGTTGTCCCTCCCACTTGCTTCACTAGGCAGGATTATGTAAATTAAGTTGAATTTACCCTTTAGTGGGTTGGCGACCCTTCCTTCCTGCCCATCTCCCAGTGCAGGTAGGGTGACAGCTTGCCTGTAATCCTTTTCTGGGTTGCTGAGGAGAGAGGTTCTGTTGCTATTGCCTTCAGGAAAACGGAAGCAGAAGATGGGTCAGAGAGCAGCTAGTCCTCCCTCGCAGTGACCCTTGTTCTCCCATCAGGAAAGGACATTTTGTCCTAGGAGCCTCTTGAGGTGACAGGATTGGTACCTGATTTTCCTAGGAGCTGGTAGTCAGGTCCTTCTCAGGTGCAGGCAGGGGCTGCTGCAAGATCTGGCAACTGCTGGGGCAGAGAGGGTGGAAGGCTTGTGGGGCTCTTGCCATGCATTCCGCCCCCCACATCATAGAAGGTATGGCTCTCCATCCCAGATTTTGCTAGTGTGTGTAGCAAATCCTCATGCTGGGATCTGGAGCTGGCTCTGCTCCCGCCTTCCCTATTCAGGAAACTGGTTTGGGGCTCCTTGAGCCTTATTAGGCTAAGGTTTGGGGAAAGGCTCAGCCTTTCCGTGTTTGGACAGGAAAGCCATCAGGTTGCCAGCCTTAGCAGCACTCTTACGACATAGGCTGAAATGTAAAACCTGATTGGAATGAGGCCTCCAGTTGTACTATTATGATTAGTGGTCTTATGCTTGCAGCACAAAAAAGAAATAGAACTGTAGAGTTGGGAGGGTCCTCTAGTCCAATCCTCTGCAATGCAGAAATCCCAGCTAAGGCCTCCATGACATATGGCCAACCAGCCTCTGCTTTAAAAAAATCTCCAAGTGGCTTACTTTCTTTTTAAAACAAAAGTATAAGTCATAAATAAAGAATACATTATAATAAAGACCTATAACAATTCACAGAAACTTCACAGACTCAAATAAATACAGACACCCATCAGTCAGTCTCCCTGGCATGTGTGAGCCATGTCCTTTGGCAACCTTTTAAAAGGCGTGTTGAACAGGCATGGGTTGGCTTTTATGTTGCAGCTGGTCTTGTCTGAAGGGTTAGCTGTGGTGGTGCCCTGTGACCTGAAACCAGCCCATCCTCTCTCCCTGCCCCCTCCTCTCCTGGCCCAGGGCATCGGCTGCTACATGTTCCGCATTGATGACTCTGAGGTGGTGGACGCCACCATGCACGGGAACGCAGCCCGCTTCATCAACCACTCCTGTGAGCCCAACTGCTACTCCCGAGTCATCAACATCGATGGGCAGAAGCACATAGTCATATTTGCCATGCGCAAGATCTACCGCGGCGAGGAGCTGACCTACGACTACAAGTTCCCTATCGAAGACGCCAGCAACAAGCTGCCCTGCAATTGCGGTGCCAAGAAATGCCGCCGGTTCCTCAACTGAACGCTGACCTGACCTGGCTGTCATAGGGGTTGGGCTCCGCCAGTCTCAGGCGTATGGAAGGTGGGGTGGGTGGGGTGGCCCTCCCACGGCAAGTGGGTCAAGCCAGGCAGCAGGTGGCCGAGGCCTGGTATTGTTTGCTGCCTCCTTGGCTTTGTGAAGGGTCCTGCCCAGATGATGGACTTCGTTGTCCTGTCTTGCAAGGAAAACTGCTGGAGTGTTGGGCTGCTGCAGCAGCCAAGGACTGCCTTGAGAGGTGGGGCTTCCCTTCCCGCACACTTTGGTGGGCCCTTGCCTCCTCAGACTAGGAGACATGGCCTGCAGGTCTCCGTGAGCTGCCCTTGTGTCTTGCCTCTGTCTGGCTGTTCCCTGAAATTCCCATGACTTGTCGAGGAATAGCTCATCAGTATTTGAGCAGGCAAGCAATGAGGACTGAGGGCTTCCATGCGCTTTGGATGAGGTTAGGTTAGAAGTGCAACCAAGGAGGACTCCCTGCCCTAGGAAGCAGGCTGTCCTGCCAAGCATTCAGTCCCTAGAGCCCTCTCCCTGCCCTGCGTCTGCCCTCCAGTTGGGCCTCCAGAGGAAACTGAGCCCCTCAGGCAGTGGGCCTGGCGCCTCTCTGAGCACCAGCCTACAGCAGCTGATATCATTTCCTTCCCTACCAGCTGCTCTCTGACATAGGAAAAGGCAGGGAGTGCCAACACTCCCAGTGAGCTGAAGGCTATGGGTTCCCTGGTCCAAGATTGGGGGACCCAAAAGGGGATGGATCTCCCTAGTGGGATCATGTGCCCGTTTAAAAGCAAACACAAGCAGCACAACTTCCTTTCAGCCTCCTTCAGTTGCACCCTCTTGAATTATTATGTCATTGGATTTTACTTGGTTCTTCTGTTTACAGTTTAGTATTTAAGGTTTTGTAAATGTAAATATATTTTGTATATTTTTCTATGAGAAGCACTTCATAGCGAAGAGCACTTATGAAACTATTTTTTCAATTGTGGTTGTCATCCTAATTTAAAAGAATCAGTTTTTAATGACCTTATTATTTTAATAGGATGGGCTTTAGGAGGTTGCTGGCCAGGCCTGCAGTCTGAACCTTCCTCTAGAGAGCAGTGGGGGCAGCGGGGAGAACCTTTCCAGTTTTCTGGAAGCTTCGGCTGGACCTCGAATTACACATTGTGGGAGAGAAGATACACACACATCTGCAAGAGGTGTTTTGAACCCAGCATTGATGCTGGGTTTTAACATGGGGGTGGGAGTACAGCACAGAGGGAACCCCCTGACCTTCCTCTCTCTTGGGAAGAGGCCAAAATCCCACCATGCCACACCTCAGTAACCCAACATTTCTGGTCTGCTCCATCTCATGCCACCAGATTAAACTTCCTTGGCTCTGAAACTGCAAGCAAACCTTCCTATGGTTGCCTAGTAAAGCCGCAGCAGCAGCCAGGCTTCTTTTGGGCCAACAAGCACATTCCCTATGAAGATCTTGCTTCTCCTGCAGCCCAGCTTCCAGTTGCTTTGGGGAGGACAGGCCAGCACTTACTAAGCCTTCCGCTCCAGCTGGAGTGGTACAGGGCATGTGTCCATTTCTCCTATGGGGGAGGGCGCAAAACCCAAGTTTGGGTTGCCTGTGGTGAATGTGGCAGAGTTTTTGGGGAATCGAGTAGCCCTCCAGCTTTCCTGTTCCAGGTTGCCACATCCTGTGGGCCAAAGAGGAACATAATTTGTGTGTCCCCTGCTGCTACCAAAGCCCTGGGCCAGTTGCTGCCAGGTCAAAAGAGAGTTCCGTCCCTTGCTTCTTCCTCTCTTCCACAAGGAAGTTCCAAGCAAGGAACAGGAGGAGGAGGAGCACAAGCATGTGGCTCAGGGCAGAGCTGGACTGGGGTCCAAGCTCACTGACATTTGCTGCTGCTGTTGCTGCTGCTAAACCCTGTTCTGACCGAGCTCAGCAGCAGGCAGCCACTATGGCCAGTAACCCAAGGGAAGAAGGCATGCATGCCACTGTGCCTGGGCTCCATGGGGAGGCCAGCAGGAACGGAGAGAAGGAAGGGTTGGGGTCTTGGCCAGTTGTGTTGACTCTGATCCGTGGAGCAAAGGGAGGAGCTCCACGCGGCTTCCTGGCAATATGAATGTATAATTTCTAATGACTGACAGAGATCATGATACCTGAGAATACTAAGAGTCAAACCTTTAAGGTGTTTATTTTTTTAAAGGAAAAGCGGGTCACTGCAAAGGGCTGGGGTATAATAATCTTCTCTTCATTGTCCTCCCTTGCGAAGCAATACCGGGTTCTTGTTCTTTGTGCAGAATCATGTCGTTCTCACCCAGATTGCTGCTCCATCCTCCTCCCCTCCACCATCTCCTCCTCCCACACACCTGCAAGTTTTTATAACTATAAATATGGTATATATAGGAACAAATATCGTACTGCACCATGTCTTGAAGCCTGGCTTTGAATTCTCTTTAACACTATAGATAAGAGTTGTGTTCCAGTTGCTCAAAAGGCAGGAAAACCAGCAAGCCAGAGGCTTCGGGGCCAGTTGACGTCTCCCTCCTCCAAGGAGGACTGGGTAAGGGACCGGGGGGGTGGATGCTCTGGCTCAGTCTGCCTGCATGCAAACCCCCAGGAAGCTGTTGGGGGCTTGGCTATGAATTCTCCTGACCTTCAGTGTTAACAGTCAGTTCTTGTACAACTTGTTTCTTGCCGCCTTCGCTGCCTCCTCCTGGGTTCTGATTGTTGAGGTACCAAAACGGCGTCATCTGTTTTCCTGGTACCTTAACAAGGTCCTGCAGCTTTGCCTCTCAGCCGAGAACTGTGCTCGTGATGTTCCTTTGATTCAACGTAGCCGTCTTTTAATAGCTCAAGGTAGTGAATAATTGTCTCAAACCGTGCAAAAGCTACGCAAACAGGGTTTTGTTCCAGAGAAAAAGCAACTTATCATGTAAAACCAATCTCTCTCTCTCTTCGTTTTATTTCTTGTGTTCTTCCAGATTGTTTGGGTTTTTGTTTGTTTGTTTGTTTTCTTTAAAAAGAGGAAACGCGTCTCTCGTGCTGCATCAGTGTTAATTCCCTGTCATCGTCACAGGGATGAAGGAAGTACTTTCAGTAGTTCAAGAAATGACTGAAAAGTTCCGTGAAAGACTGAATGTAAAAACAAGTGTATATAGTTGTACAAAAAAAGGAGTTTTTAAACATGTTTATTTTCTATGCACTTTTTTATTTAAGTGATAGTTTAATTAATAAACATGTCAAGTTTATTGCTTCAGAGGATGGTGTTTTCATTTATTGATCAAGGCTGTGGAGGTTTTCAGCAGGGGAGGGGGGCTAGTTTGTATATAGCTCTCAAGAAACAATAAAAAAGGAAGCCACCTCTTCTAGGCTGCACCATACAAACACAAGGTAAGACCATTTACTTCACCTCTTGGGCTTCTTTCCTTGTTGCAGTACAGTCGTACCTCAGAAGTTGAATGCCTTTCGAGATGAACGTTTTGGCTCCCAAAGACCGCAAGCCTGGAAATGATTGTTCCTGTTTGCGAACGTTATTTGGAACCCGAACGCCCGTTGCGGCTTCCGATTGGCTGCAGGAGCTTCCTGCTGCCAATCAGAAACTGTCCCTTGGTTCCCAAACGTTTTGAAAGTCGAATGGACTTCCGGAATGGATTCTGTTCGACTTTGGAGGACGACTGTATATCTCATATTCTGTAAGGTGAACGTGCTGCAACAGTCTTACACGCTTCCTTGTCCAGAAGCAAAAGGGAAACCTTGTGGGGAAAGAGATACCTCATAAAAACAATCCTGCTGAATCCAAATAAAGGCCCATATAGTCCAGCATCTTCTTCTCACAGAGGCTGAGCAGATGCCCCAAAGGGAAGCCCACAGTGAAGACCCAAGTGTAAAAGGTATCCCTGCCATTGGTACACAGAAACTGATGTGCAGAGGCAGGCTGCTAACCGATACTGGAAGTAGTACACAGCCATCATTGACTAGGAGTTTAAAAGCTCTGCCACCCTTTTCATTTTAGGTGCCAGCAAACTGGTTCAGGTGGAGCCCATCCCTTTTGAATTGGTCCAGCTTGTCCCCAAAAGTCCCATAAGGGTAAAGGTACTCCTGACCGTTGGGTCCAGTCGCAGACGACGGGTTGCTCGCTCATCTCGCTCTATAGGCTGAGGGAGCCCGTTTGTCCGCAGACAGCTTCCAGGTCATGTGGCCAGCATGACAGCTGCTGCTGGTGAAACAGAGCAGCGCGCGGAAACACCATTTACCTTCCTGCCAGAGCGGTACCTATTTATCTACTTGCACTTGACATGCTTTTGAACTGCTAGGTGGACAGGAGCTGGGACTGAACAAGGGATTCGAACTGCAGACCTTCCGATCCGCAAGCCCTAGGCTCTGTGGTTTAGACCACAGCGCCACCCGCATCCCTTGGCATCTTGCAAATCCATGCCCTGCCTCCTGACACCACTGTCTCATCCATGTGTTGAGACTGCTTGCTCTTGTCTTTTACCTGGCCTTGTGCAGGGCAAGAGTAGCATTTCAAGGAATGCATCCCAAGCTCAAAAGTTCCCACAAGAGTAGTGCAGCTGGCATAGTGTCACTGCACAAGAGAAACAATAATTGTGGCTGGCACAGGTGTGGTGTATATCCTGCCGAACACTGATCACCTGCATGGTTGGAGAGCGTTCTCATGCCACCATGAGGGTAGCCGGTGAGTGGGGCAGGGGGCTGGTTTTCCCAGATCAGCTTGAGCCCGTTGTTTCCCATGGGGCATGTCCCTGTGAACTGCCCCTTTGGCAGGCATAACATCCAGGCATAGTTGCAGTCTTGAGCAGGGGTTACATAAACAGTGGTACCTCGGGTTAAGTACTTAATTCGTTCCAGAGGTCCGTTCTTAACCTGAAACTGTTCTTAACCTGAAGCACCACTTTAGCTAATGGGGTCTCCTGCTGCTGCCGCACCGCCGGAGCACGATTTCTGTTCTCATCCTGAAGCAAAGTTCTTAACCCAAGGTACTATTTCTGGGTTAGCAGAGTCTGTAACCTGAAGCTTATGTAACCCAAGGTACCACTGTATATGGCAGCCAGATGGCTTCTAACAGGCCCCTTTTTTGCCAGGCGGATCAGTGGCAGGCCTGACCTTCATCCACCAAGCTGCCCATTAGTGGACATAAGAACTTCTGGCAGCAGCAGCAGAGTCCCAGCAGCATGGGCTCCCCTCTGCTGTGGAGGGCAGTAGCACTGCATCCGTGGTTTGAACTGCTCCGTAACACAGCATAGTAAAACGTGGGACTCAAAACAGTAACAAATGTAATCCGGATTAGCTACAGAAATCCCCCAAAGCCTGTTAGGAAAATTTGGTCTTTACTGCAGCAGGGAAAGCAACCGGGTCGACCTTTCTCCAGCCCTGCTGTTCCACCGGTGATGCTAGGAACTCTGCGACAGAGCATCTGGGCTGGCTGGAGGTATGTGTGCGCCCCCTCCCTTTTTTGTTATTCCTGCACTGTGTTAGTTCCCGCCCTTCTTGCTCCTCCCTCAGCCCTGGGAGTGTGCTTGGGGGTCAAAAAACTTCCCTGTTTCAGCTCCAGCAACAGCACCCACTTAGACCTAGACGCAGCAGCAGCAGCAGGCCATTGCCCCATCTCCTCCCCCATTGCTATTGGCTGCTTGGTAAACCAGCCCCCCTCTCTCTCTCACCCCCACTTGCTCTCCCAGGTCACTCAAGATCTCATCCGCAGGAGCCGACATGGCAACAGCACACGACAGGGCAGTTTTGCAAAGCATATTCCACCCCAATTCCCCTTTTGGCGACCTCTCTGATGAGCCGGAGGAGCAGGAGACCCTCAATGGGGAAGGTGAGTTTGGCTTCTGCGTGAGATGGGGCAGGGGAGAAGGACTTTCCTGGAGGCATCGTCTGTCTCTACCTTGAGCTCCCGGAGGCAGCAGAGCAGCTTCAGACTGCCAAGAAGTGGAGGTTCAAGGATGGTGAGGGGCTACAAAGGGGAAAGCCCCACCTACCCATCTCTGTGTAATTGGAGCAGCAGCAAATCCCTCTGTTTTTCATTAAGGAGGCCTTTACAAGGCTCTCATATCATGGCCCTGGAAGAGAGGGCCTCTCACTCACCACCAGCAGCATAGGAGCCAACTCCTCCTAGGGGCCAAGGTCCCTTTGACACCCTCCCCCCAATAAAATATTGAAGGGGTCTGGGGCCCCAAAAGTTGACGGGCATTGCCATTCAAATTGTGTGTGTGCACCATGTCTTGTGATCGATTATGGTGGCTTGGGGTTTATACCTGCCCCCCAAATATTTTATTCAAGTTGGCAACCCTGGTCTGCAGTGGGGGGAAGGCTGCTTTCAGAAACTTGCCAGCCTTTTTCTGCAGGCTTCACGTCCGTGGTGGTGCAGCCTGACCTCTGATCGTCACCTGACCACAATTCATTGCACTTTGCCCTGGAGAAGGTGGGTGGGCTTTTCCCCACAGGCTTTCTGTCCCCTTGTCCCTGAGAAATTTCTGGGCTCTCTTGAGCTGCTGCATTTTAGCGGTTGTGATGTAGTCAGCCGTGTAATTAGCACTGGTTTGGAGGCCAGTGGAAGTTCCAGTGGCTGTAGGATGGGGGGGGGGTTGCATACCTATATAGTCTAGCTGTCTTCTGTCCCCCCGCCCTTGACCTGGAGCTATTAACAAAACTGTGCTTCTCCTCATAATGAGACAGAAGCAACCTTTGACCCGGCGCTCCTGGAACAAGCCACTCAGCTAGAGATCCAGGGGATTGAAGCTGCCGAAGCTGGAGACCTGCAGAAGGCCCTGGAGAGATTTGACCGGGCCATTCAGCTGCTCCCTGAGCGAGCCGCAGCCTACAACAACCGGGCCCAGGCCTTCCGCCTCAAGGGCAACACAGCAAGTAAGTGAGCAAGGCAGTGCTGTTCTGTCTCCGCGTTTCTGCATTGACAGAGGGGCCCTCTGCCTGGGACAGGCACCATGTCTGCTGTGTAGCCTGAGCCTAGCAAAAGGAGGACTGAGCAAACCCCCTGGACAGGGAACACCACATCCCTTGTCCTCTTCAAGGGCTTTTCAGAGACCTTCCCATCAGCTGTTCTCTGGGCTCAATATTGGTGCTGCTGCTTGCTTGGGAACCCACCTACCGGGGCATCTCCCCATGGCACAGCCAACCCTACAAGGTCCCTGAGAATCAAAGCTCTGAGCTAAGAACCTGCTACCTAAAGTGGAACCCAAACCACTGGAAACAATCCCCCATCTTAATAAAACAATTGCTTTCCATTTCAACTCTGTCCATGCTGAAGATGGTGCCACTGTGTGGGCACAGCTGCTGCGACTTCCCCTTCTGCAATATCTCTGCTATGATTCACAAGGCAGGTTCCATGGCATTCCCCTCCATCATTTGCATGTATTTCTTCTCTCCCCGTCAGGTGCCCTGGAGGACCTGGGTATGGCACTGCAGCTTAGCAGGGGCATTGGCCGTGTAGCCTGCCAGGCGTTTGTGCAGCGAGGGCTGATCCAGCGCTTGCAAGGCCACGAGCAAGAGGCCCATAGGGACTTTGAGCAAGCGGCCAGACTGGGCAGTGCCTTTGCCCGTCGTCAGCTGGTCCTGATGAATCCGTACGCAGCCCTCTGCAATCAGATGCTCTCCGAAATGATAAAGAAACTGAGGGGCCCAAGCAAAGAGCCCCAGCTGGAGGCTTCCTCCGGGGAGAAAGTGTGTCGCTAGGGACAAACGAGGGCTCAGCCTACAATTTCTCTCCCAAAGGCAAGCTGGGGGTGCTACTCCCCACCTTTCAAGCTCCAAGGATAATATAAAAACAACGTTCCATCGGGTTACGGTCCGGAATAAACTATGCAAATTAAGCACCCTGAAAAACCTTTGTAATAAGCTTTGTTTCTTTCTTAATAAAGATCTCTGTGACAACATTGTAATTTTATGTTGTATTAATGGTTCAGATTGAGAAACAATACGTAGCTCGTTCCTAAGATGAGCTTTCCTACCTGAGGACTGGAACATGGTCAATGTAGCACCAACTTTTAGAAAAGGATTCAAAAGGGATCTGGGAAATTACAAGCCTGTTTGTTTATCTGCTCCTGGAAAACTGGTGGAAACCAATACAAGTCACAACATTACCATACAGGGAGTAGGAGGAGCTCTAAAGCAGTGTTGTTCAACAGATCCAGACCCAAGACCCACCTCTGAGTCCCAAGCTGCAACATGGGACCCACTTTCACTTTTAATTTATACTTAATATTGCTAATAGTGCACGCTGTTAATTCTAAAATGGCAATTAACAGAGCAATATACATAGTGTTGCCTTAGCATTACTACTAAATGAAAACCAGTGCTGCAATGTAGCACGAGAAAGGAACAGGCATGTGACTGGCCAGAAATATGTATCGTATTAAAAATTGGCTCCTGCCTTTCTCCTGCCACATCAGAGCACTTGTAGAAATTGATAAAATGGGTGTCTCACTTGACCTAGTCTAGACACACATGCAATGCTCCTTTTCATCTGCTCAGCCTAAGCTGGAATCCAGCTTCTCTGTGACCCACTTGGTGTGGCCTCACAACACACGAGATCTGTGCAAAGGGATCTCTCCAAACTAAGTGAATGAGCAGTAAAATGGCAAATGCAATTCTGTATAAGTAAGTATAAAGTGATGCACAATGGATTGAAAAATAATAATCCAAGTTTCACAGACCTGCTAAGGGGGTCTGAACTAACCAGGAAAGATCTAGGAGTCCTGATGGCAGAAGATGACCTGCCCCAAACACACTCATGTGACCAAGTTCTGCTTTATACACTAATAAAGCACTCATAAACCCCATTACTTCTCAGAATCACCAGTCTTAAACTCCAGGTGTTTTAAAGGTGGCCTTCCTGATGCCTGTGGGAACTCAAAAGGAGACGGAGTGAAGGCAAAAGCTTTCCCTGGCGGGGTGAGCTCGGGAGTCAAAGAATTGTAGAGTTGGAAGGGACACCCGAGGGTCATCTAGTCCAACCCCCTGCAATGCAAGAATGTCAGGGATAGACTGCTTTGGAATAAGGAGGAGCCAGCCAGACAGTTCTGGCAGAGCACCTCTTCGTCATGCAGCGGATAGGGGCCAGTGGAGGGGGGGGGGGCAGCTGGCAGAGGCGCCTCCCCTTCCCCCGTTCTCTGGAAAAGCTCGCGGCCGACAGCCCATTTTGCCCTCGAGGGTTTGCTACGAAGCAAATCTCTTCTGCCCGCCTGCGAAGCGTGGTCGTCGGCCAAGAAGAAGGTGAGGCTCCCGCCGCCGCCTCCCGCACACACGGCGGAGCGAAGGATCCAGACCGGGATTGCCAAGGAGCCCACGTGAAGGAGGAGGCGGAGCGGCGGGCGGCTCTTGCCGGCCAATCATTGCAGCCGCAGCCTCGACGGGACCGGGCTGCGCGGTGCAGGCTCCGCAGTGTGGGGAGTCAGAACACAGCGGGCCCCGCGTCCTGCCAGCTGGAGCCCATCAAGGTCGTCTCCTCGGAGCGCCTGCCTGCTGCCCGGCCGGCGGCCAAGGAGGCGTATGGCGCCCGGCAGCCCCCTCTCCGCCCTGCTGCTGCTGCTGCTCCCCCCGCCAGGTGAGAAGGGCGCGCGCTTCACCGAGGGGTCCCGGGCTATGGCTGCTCGCCCCCTCGAGCCGGCTAAGTTGTGCTCTGCTCTGCTCTGCGCAGGCCTGGCCGAGCCCGAGACTACCATCGACGGGCGGGCGCTGTCGTTCAGCAGCCTGCAGGAGGCGGAGAGACGGGCCTTCACCTGCCTTTCCGCGGCGCCCAGCCTGGCCTGGTACCTCAACGGCGAGCGGCAGGAGACCAGCGGTTCCGGTAGGTTCCTGGCCACGGGCGACGGCGGCAGTGGCAGTGGCAACGGCGGCGCCTTCGAGGAGAGCAGCAGCAGCACCTTCGTGGTGACAGCGAGGCGCCTGGATCGCCAGCTCAACTGCTCCGCCACCGACCCGGCCACGGGCCACGTCTCCAACGCCTCTGTGCTCCTCAACGTGCAGTGTGAGCAGGTTTCCCGGGGCCGGTGGGTGGGTGAGCGACTGATGGATGCCCAGCCACTTCCAAGCTCAGCCCTGCAACCGGGGCTTCCTACCTCCCATGAATATGGCGAGGTGTCACCTCCGCCTTATCCTTCTGTCCCCCCCACCCCGCAACCCGCCTGCTTCAAGACAGCACTTTGCTGGCATGCCTAGGGGTACACTGTCTGGTTTTGTGTCTCCCGAAAACAGTTAAACCAGAAATCGTGAAGATGGATGCCCACTATGAAGAGGCGAGGGAGCCGGGACTCCTCCTGGTGCTCTTTGTGTTGGTCCAAGCCAACCCCCCTGCCAACATCACTTGGGTGGACCAGGATGGGCAGGTGATGGTGAACACCTCCAACTTCCTCATTGTGGACACCAAAACCTACCCCTGGCTCACCAACCACACCGTGCAAGTGAAGCTCAGCAGCCGGGCCCAGAACTTCTCCTTCAGCGCCTCCAATGATGTGGGCATCATCAACTCCTCTATTCCGCTGCCCGGTAGGGGTTGGGATGTCACCGTCGGTTGGGGGTCCAGGTTGCATGACGGGCCCAATAAGTAAGTAACAAGTCCTCCCGTTTTCTGCTTGGGTCAGCCCCCACGGCAGTGAGTCCTTAGGGCAGCCTGCCCAATAACTGGTCTCCTGTCTGAGAGTCTGGGGGAGAGGCTCTCCCTTCACCCCATACCAGGCAAGGCCTCAGGGTGCAGAGCTGGAAGGTGGCAGACACTCTGAGAGCCCTGACAGGCAATTCTGGTCTCCTCAGGTTTCCTGGACACCCGCATTGAGCTCTCCCTTCTGGTGCTTGTGGTGGGGTGTGTGGCGGCCCTGGCAACTGTCCTAGCCCTTGGTGGTCTCATCAGCTGTGCCATCTATCGGCAGGGCAAGAAGGCGGCAGGTAGGTGAAGGGGAAGCCAAGCAGGATTCTGCCTCCCCCTGACAGGACTGGCCCTCCCCAATTCTCTTTCTTCACCCTGCAGGACTTGCCCCACCGGCGCCGCTGCCTCTGAGGTAACCTTCCCAGCCGCAGGCTCCTCTTCTAGCGGGACTGAGTTTGGGGTAAAAATGCTTTGCTTGCTCCCTGCCTTCCCCTGTCGTTGTTGTCTGTATGGACACCGCACTGGGACCCTGGCAGTAAGAGAGCGGCCCAGTTTGCTAGGCACTAGCCACAAGGAGACCACAGTCTGGTCCTGGCGTCAAAGGAACCAAGTTGGAAGGGTGCCAGCCAGTCTTCACTGGAACAGCCCAGAGAACCAGGAGCAGGGTGGAGAATCTGAAAGAATGTGGTCTCAGATCTGCCTTGGGGAAAGAGATGAAGCCTAGTCCAATGGGTTCTTCTGCTCTCACCACAGTGACTCCAACAACCTGAGGCCAATGGCAGCACGGCTTCCCCGGGCAAATATGTCCCTCCCTTCCAACCTACAGCTCAATGACCTCACCCCCGAGACCAAAGGTAGGGTGAAAAGGGGCCTGAAGGTCTCACCCTGGGGCTGGGATGTATTTGAGGGGGGTAGGCACTGAAAGGCCCCAGCCCCACACCACTTTCCTCTACAGCCAAGGTCAGGATGGAAGGAGCTGCAGTGGAACAGGAGGAAGAGGCCCGCTCTGAGCCAGAGAACAACTTCGCCCTTGTAGAAAGAGGTAAGAAGCGAGGGCTGGGAGGTGGCTGTTCTCTACAGCTAGGGGTTCAGGTTGCCCTCTTTACTGAACGCCAGTTTTATTTTGTTTTAATGAGGCAAGTTTGGGCTAAGGGAAGCTGCACCAGATATTGGGCAGGTGCCCCCCCCCCATAGATGCTTTCTTCTGGGGAGGTATCTGAAGAGCTGGGTCAGACAAAAGAACGACCATTTAAAACATTATGTTTTGACTTAACTAGAAAAGAGATCTTTAGCGCACGGTGACTAGAAAATGAAAATGGCAAATTCCCTGAAAGGTTATTAAGAAAGGAACTGAAATCAAAACAGCCAGCATTATAGCATCTCTATATACAAATCCATAAATACATAAAAATAGAGCATCCATTTCTGCTCACCTCATCTCAGAGAAGGTAATTGAGGAGCTGGAAAATGTTCAGAAGATTATTAAGGGCTGGAGTAGCTCTCTTATGACAAAAAGTACAAAGTCAGGGGCTTTTTAGTCAAGAAGATGATGAGAGTTCATAACAGAGGTGTACACAAGTATGCCTGTTATGACAAAAGTGGTGGGGTTATTCATAACATGTTAGCCAATGAATCTGATTAGCGGGAGCTTCAGGATAGAGGTAAAGGCCATTTTCATACAACACATAATGAATTATCAATTTAAAATGTTTCCCTACCTATGGGTTGTGAAGTCTGCAGGCTTTATAAGCAAACACAAAATAACCATTGCTGGTAATCCTTAACCAGTATGAAGAATAGCTCTTACAGCTTTTCTATTTCTTGATGTTTTATAGTCCTGTGTTAACACTTCTAACATCAGAAAGACTCGAGTCTTTCATTTTTAACACTTGGGAACCACTCTGGTAGCAGAGAAGACTTTTAAGGCCCAAAATTCATGTGATGTAAATCAAGGGGTTGCCATATCACATCAGTTTAGACTTGCACTTTGGGATCCACTGCTTTAAAAAGATAGCAAGTTTCTGAAGTCTTATCAGTGGCAATTCCTTGGAATAGCTAAACGGAACTTTGGCATTCAGAAGTAGCATATACCTCCATATACCAGGTTTTGGGCCAAATGATGACGGCTGTAGCCTTCTTCCCCAGTTAGACAGGATGACCTTTTTGGCTGGATTATGCTCATAGGGAGGGCCCTGAACCACCGGTTTTGAGTCTTGCAAATGCTATTTGGCTCTCCCCACACTCTGGCTTATAAGACACTGCCTACACCCATTCAGATATACATACTCAGCCCTTTCTTAACAAAAAGGCCAAAGAAACTGAAATCTGGCCTCTCAAACAGTATGTGCTGGGGTTGCATATCTGTCAGTAGCCCAATTCAGTTTCTCTGGCCCTGCAGGTTTTGGCCGATACCCTATGGTTGGATACATCTACAGAGCTTCCAGCATGAGCAGTGACGAGATCTGGCTGTGAGGGCTGTTGCTGCACCCACCAGCAGGTGTGAAGAGCAGCAGCGGAAGTCCTGAGGTGGCGGACTTCCAAGGCAGCTTGAACTGCAGGGAAGAGGCCTTGCACCTCTAAAGCAAGATCCCATGTGTGAGGCCCCAGTGCCTGAAAGAAGGATATTGATGACTGTGGTCCAAGGAAGACCTGCAGCTGCCAAGGGCTGCCCCCACCCCACCCCACCCCAAGCTGCAGTATATCTCTAGGCCCACCAAGTGACTCGTGTTCCCCTGAAGAACGTCCCTCCCACTATAGCCATCGGTTGGCCCACTCCTCCTTCCTCTTCCCAACCTCAGGGATGGCTCAATCTGCATGTGATGGCTCTTCCTTGGCATGAAGAGGCCCAGCCAGGCCACCGGGAAACTGGCAAGCCCCGGCGCTGCTGCTGCTGTCAACTGAGCTGAAGCATGCTGCTTTGTAGCTTCTGCACTTTACAAATAAATGGCTGTGATCAAAGTGCCGTCCCTGTCCTTCCCCTTCAGAAAGCCAATGGAGGGAACCAAAGCCTAAGCCCAGGCAAAAGAGGCAGGGCTCAGAAGGAAATACACATTGTGTCTGCTCGCCACTAACAGATTTGGCAACGCTCAATGGGCTGAGCTGGCCAGTGTCTGAGCTGGTAAATGACACTTTAAGAGCCCCAAATAGCCACAGTACTCTGAAATTGTTCTGAGTCCATCCACAACTCAGACTGCAGCCAACCCTCCACAGCTGTGAATCTCCTTCAAGGACAAAGTAGCACTATAAGCAAAACTTTAATAAGGCAAATTCTCACAGAAGCTGTACAAAGAAAGGTAGATGAGATGCTGGTGGCTTTCTGAGTGGTCAGGGGCCTTTGAGCCAGATCCTGACTGTGCTCCATTAAGTCCACTGGAAGCCTGAATAGCAGTTGCCCAAACAAGAAGGCCTCAGGCCCTGCAGCATCACAGGCTGGCACTTCTCTGGAACAGGTCCCACCTGGGGCGGGAAGGCAGGCGTCTCAGGTAAAGCTCAGGATGTCTGTCTCGCCAGCCTGTGAGGGGGGGTTGGAGGGAGGGCTTGCAACCTTCTTGCCCTCAGCCAGAGCCTTGAAATGCTGCAGGAGAGAGAAGGGGGGAGGGAGAACACCATCATTTTAGGCAGCTCTAGGGCAAGGCCACTCTGGGTGAGGCTGGGGTAAAGACTCAGGGAGCAATCCATTCAGCGGTGCCCCCACATGAACATGGACACCAGACCAGAGCTGCTGCTCTTCAGATCCTTGTGTCTCCTACCTGTGAATTTTTGAATTCCGAGTAGAGGGAGAAAAGGGTGTGCAGGGACTGGATATGGCCCTTGTAGACAGGAATGTCCAGAATAGCTGAAGAGAAAAAATAATGGCTATTTAGTCTGATTCCAACAAGCAAGGAGACTTTTGCTGGGTGGTGCATAGCTGAGGGGCATTTTGAGATGAGGCCAATTCCAACACCGACTGGAGCAGATCTCTACCCCTAAAAGGCTTGGAATAGGTGAGCACCACATCAGCAAAAGGGCACTCACCACATATCATGTCTGTGTATTCTGCCAGGCTGCAGTTAATATCTGCAGTGGGAAGGCTCACCTGAAAAGCAGAGGGAAAGGTCAGCTCAGTACTCTCTTTCTCTGCATGAATCTCTTTAGAGGCCCACAAGCTTCTCCCTCCTGCTGACAAGCCCCCTCTCTTAGGCCAGGCCAAAACTAGAAGTTAGAGAGGAGGACAGTTGGCAGACACTACCTTTCCCAGCAGCTCTTCAAACTCAGGGGACCACTCCTGCATCAGCGTGTCTATATCAGGCATGGGCCTACAAGGAAGAAATACCAGGGAGCAGCTTGAAATGGCCATGGTTCTTCCACACAGAGAGTGCATCTGCAGAGTGGCTTTCTTCCCCCACCCCCAGCACGGAGCAAAGGTGGGGCTGAGTAGTGGCAGGCCCAGGCCTTGCCCTTGCCCTTGCCCTCATCCCTCCCTCCAAGAGGCCCACCTAGCATAGTGGACTGTAGCTGGGGGCTTGCAGCGATGCAACTCACTGATGCTCTCAATCCAGCTCTCAATGGCTTTGGGATTCTTCTCAGCATTCTCCAGGCTCTTCACTTTAATCTGCTGCTGGAAACAGAGACCAGAACATGCCCCAATGTGCCTCCTCATCAGAGCCAAGGGCTGCCTTGCATCCAAGAGGAGTCGCTTCACACACACACACACACACACACACACACACACACACACCCTCTCCCACTTACGGCCACATTGTGCTGCTTAGAGTTTTCCGTTAACCAGAGGGAGAGAACAGTGGGGTCGGACTGCTTGGTCGATGGCTCATCCAGCACCAGCAATCCAAGATTATCTGGCTTCCCATCAGGCCGTGGAACCTATGAGAAACAAGCCAGGGTGTCCTTTGCACGTGAGAGTTCCCATTATTCTATTCTTCATGTACGCACCCAGGTATAAGACCAGTCGAGAGTTTCTGCTGGGAATGGTCAATCACTATAACAAACAAAATGTGGCCCTGCCTGCTGAGAAAGCCAAGGATCTGAAAGAAGCCTTTACTGCCCTGTCACACCAAAGGCCCCTCTAGTTCATCATTTTGTCCTCTCAGTGGCCAAGCAGATGCTCAGTGGGAAAGCCATAAGCATCACTTCAGGGCAACAAAAATTATTCCCACTTATCTACAAGGATTCTGCAAAGCAGCTAACCTTTCAGCACTGTTGACTGTGGGTATGGAGACAAAGCAATGACAGTGCTGCCCTGTTGCACCTCCATAGAGAGGCGACAGTTCTCTATGGACATTGCAGGGAAAGAGTCCTGCGTGGCAGTTCTCAGCCAGTGCTGCATGTAAAGGAGTGTCAGAATGTATGCAGTACCTTTAAGAAGGCATCAATGTCCCCAACAGCTGGAATGAAGTCTGGAATGAAAGGTTTCAGCTTGTGCTCCAGGTCAATCATTTGTGAAGAATACCTGAGGAGCAGACACCATGAGCAGAAGCCTGAAAAGAGACACGCCTGCCCACAATGCGGCCAAGATCCACATTACCGCTCACCTCCGGATGTACTGGAAAAGCTCCTTGATCTCCAGGGAGACTGGCAGGTAGTCATAATCTGCTGAGTTGTATGCCCTGGGGAAAGAGTCAGTGGTGAGGCTGGGCAGGAGGCAATGGAAATAGGATGTGTTCAAAGGAAGGGTGAGGGAGAGTCTGACTTCAAGGAGAGACAAAGAAAAGCCAGCTTGCATTCTCACTCTCCCCTATCCACCCCACCACCCTTAAACAAGACTGCCACCCCTATGGGCCAAAGATATTTCCTCCTGAAGCAAATAGCACCTTCCATAAGACCGCATCGGGGAAGGTTTACATTCTTCCACACCTGCTGCAATCTTAGCAACTGCATTATTCTCACAGTCCATTTTTTAAAACCTGTAAGTTTCATACAGATACACATTTAATGTAGCACACAGTTTAGTAGGGGTGGGTGGTGCCAAAAACAGCAAACAGACTGGTCTAACTAAGCCACTATATTCCTGGGACACGTGATCTGCTTGGACATTCAACCATCTTCTACCTGGCTGCTATATTACAGGACAGGTGGGATATCGGTGGCCTTTCAGAGGATGCCGGACTCCAATTCCAATCAGCCCCAGCTGCCAGTGTGGTTAATAATAATAATATCTTTATTGTCATTGCCCCCTTCGGGGACAACGAAATTAATTGACTGCTCCATAAAAACACTAATTAATCAATACAGTATAATACAGCAAAGGAGATTAGATGACTTGCAAAGTCCGGGCTTCCCATTCAGGGCCGAGATCGCTCTGGAGAAGAAGCTGTTCTTAAGACGGCTCGTTCTTGTCTTCATCGTCCTGTATCCCCGTCCCGACGGCAAGAGCTCGAAGACACAGTGACCAGGATGCGATGGATCTTTTACTATGTCCAGTGCCTTCCTATGGCACCTTGTGGCATAAATCTGCTCTAAGGTGGAGAGTGGGCAGCCAACAATGCTCTCTGCTGCCTTAACAACCCTGCACAACCCCATCCTGTCCTGGGTAGTACAACTTCCATACCACACACATAAGCCATAAGTGAGCACGCTCTCAATGGCACAGTGATAGAAGGCAAGCAGCAGTTTCTGCGGAAGATGGCTTTTCCTTAGTATTCTCAAAAAGTACAGTCTCTGCTGCGCCTTCTTCACAAGCACCCTTGTGTTGACACTCCAGGACAGATCCTCTTGTAATTCAATGCCCAAAAATCTGAACGTTGTTACCCTCTCCACACAGACCCCATCAATCAAAAGTGGCTGGACGTTGCTCTTCTGTCTCCTGAAGTCCACCACAAGCTCCTTTGAAGTCCACCACAAGCTCCTTTAATGGTCAGGTATAATGGGCGTTGTAGTTCAGCATCATCTGGAGATCCAGAGGTTCCCTAACCCAATATCCTACCCAAATGTCAGTATATGGGGACCTTTGGAAGCCAGCAAAGCCTCACTTAAAAGGTGTGACTTCAGTGCTTGAAAGAACTGTCTTTGCTATCACACAGGAACCTTCTCACCTTTCCAACTGGCCTATGCCGGGAGTGTGTGGGTGAAAGAGGCTGAAGGCCAAGGAAGGCTCCAGGACTTGTTTTTGCTCACTGGATTCTTGGCGGAGTTAGGCATCCCTTGCCCCACTAAAATCAATCGACTTAAGAAAGCATGTTCCTGGGCAGTCTAGTCTTCAAGGCTGGCACACGCCATGCCTATTGGAAACAAGGGCACGATTGCATGTAAGCTTACTAACAAGTAGCAAATATATCGGCAGCCAAGCACATGCCCTTCCTAGCCAACTTCCCCCTCCCCAAATGGCAAATACCCCTCTAGAGGAGCGCCGTGCTCTTCATCATCGTCATCGTCATCAGAGTCCGTTTCTGAAGAGTCGTCGTCCTCGTCTTCTACCTCGTTCCCACTGAAACGAGGCTGGGAGGCCAGTTGGGAGGCCTTCTTCTCCTGGGGGAGAGGGGGAAAGCGAAGGAGTGGGAGCCAACTCGGCCCTCAAGCAGGCCCATCACCACCGCGACCCCAGCCCACTGCTTCCTTGGCCCTCCAGGCAGGAGGCGGGGGGCGGGGGGGGGAGGAGGCTGCTGTTCAGTGGGTACCTTGAGTATCTCCTCGTCGTCCTCCTCGCTGCTGTTTTCGGCCAGGCTCTTGTGCTGGGAGCGGACGCGGCGAGGGCCTGAGACGGTGGCAGGAGAGAAGGGCCGAGTCAGAGGCGGAGGGGGCGACCCCCCGACGCCCCGCGCTGCCCCCGTTGTCCCAGCCCCCCATACCTGGCTGCGGAGGGCTGGGCGCGTAGATGCTGGCCACGTCCTCCGTCTCGTTGACGTCCAGGCTCTCATCGTAAGGCTGGTTCTCCACGATCCGCGTCTACGAGGTGGGGAGAGAAACGGGACGTGAGCCGGGTCCCCTTGAGCACCCACCCACCCAGCCCGCGAAAGGCTCGCCCTCCCTCACCTGTAGGCCGGCCTCAGGCGGCGCTGCGGGAGGCGGCGGCGCACCTGCCATATCGCCAAGTAGGACCAAGCCTTCCCGGCGAGCGAGGCCTAGGCGGCCCCGTCTCCAGGGAAACGTGAGACGAGGCCCTCGGAGCCCTCGCGAGAACTCGCCATCCTCCCGCTAGAGTGGCCAAGGAGCGAGCGAGGGAATGCAGCGGCCCCTACCGGCAGGGAGGGCGGCGGCGCTGCCACCGGCGAATGGGCTCGGGTGGGCGGGGCCTGGCGGACACCCGGAGGGGCGTGGCGGCGTGCCCTCTGCGTGCGTGACGCCGCCGCTTCCGCCTGGGAGACGTGGCTCAGGGCCGCCATCTTGTGTGGCAGGCAGAAGGAGCGGAGAGGCGCTCGGGCCCGGAGGGGAGAGGAGGAAACGGAGACGCCGCCGCCGCCGCTGCTGCCATCTTCGCCGTCACCTTCGCCATGGTGAGTGTCCGGCCGGGGCCTCCCGCTGCCCTCCGCGGTCAGCGGCTGCCACTGGTGGAGGAGGGGGGTGTCGGCGGGGCCTGCTCGATCCCGTTGGCCTCCATGGGGCTCCTCCTTCTCCGACCACCCTTGTGAGCAGCGGGCCGTCGGCCGTGGGTGCTCCTCGGTCGCCCGTTGCCGGCTGCCTGGCCGCCTCCCAAGACACCGCGGGCGAAGCGCTGCTCCCCGGGGCGAGGGGGGCGTCTTTCCGAGGCCGAAGGTGGAGGAGGGCCTGTGGAAGCCCCTCCGGAGCCTGTCTGCTTTTCAAGGGCCTCCGCCTGCGCCACCCAAACACCTCCCTCCGTGAGCCCGTGGCTGCCGGTGGAAGGTAACGTGTCACAAGAGACAGCCTTGAGGCTGTCGCGATGATACTACTTCCAAGCTGGGACTGAGAAAGGCGCCCTGCAACTGGTAGGCACAGAAATCTTGCAACTGCACTTTTCACTTGCTCCCCCCAAAAACCACCAGGTTTTCCTCTGGTAGGGAAACTGGACTGGGGGAGGGAGGAGGGTAAAAACAGCCACCAGTGAGTTTGCTGGTGTCAAAGTGTTTCACGATTTGCAAAAGCCTGTGTCAAATGCCAGGAGTTGTGGAGTATTTGTGGAAGCCGTCAGCTGGGCCAAGGATGAAGCAGCAGGGTTCTTTTTTGTGCAAATCATGTTGCAAAACTAGTTCAGAGCAAAAAGCTGGGGCAAGCTGAAATTTGGCTTCTGTCAGCTCTACAGTGAATTTTGGATTGGATAATAAAGAAAATCTCTCCATTTAAGTCAAGCATATGAATTATTGTATTGCCTTCTAAATTTGCATATATATTTTTAATTGCGAATTATTTGGGCATGAATCACAAATCATGGCAATTTCAGGTTTTTTAACTTTATGCCATGGTTCTCACAGGCCAGCTGATTTGGATCTCCTTAATACAAACCTCTGACTTTTGAGATGTTACAGTTCAGCACAATGGTGGTGGTTCACACAACAGCTTTCTGAGGTTGGTTAGGCTGAGTGAAATTGGCCTGATCAAAGCTACGTCGTGGCAGTGAATTAAACGTGGCTCTTCAGCACCAAAGTTCAGGCAGAGGCCTCCTTGAGTTGTAGGAAGAAGATGACAGGCTTTGTGTGAACCTTTGCCCCTTGCTTATAAGGCAGGAAAGGAAGGATAATGCTAATGAAGGCTATTAAGCTCAGTTCCTATGTATTACTTCCACCTCTGCTTACCAGTTGTCAGTAGGGCTGGGCGATACCTAGTTTTCAACATCATGGTATATCACCAGCTAAACATCACGATATACCAATATATTATGTCTGAAATAAGGATGGAACTACTATGTAGCAGCATTTGCTGGCTTCACAGTTTTTCCTGCATCGTGATTTTTGCCAGTGAGAGCTTAGCTGGCAGAGTTAACGGGGACTGCAGGAACCGAGAGTAGCTTTGGCTGACTTCATGGTTTTCCCCACATTGTGATTTTTGCAAAGTGTAAACACACACACACACCATGATTCACGATATATTGCCAGGTCAAAAATTATGAAAACAACATCACTATGTGGACTTCAAACCAGTGTTGGATGATATATTGATATACCACCCAGCCCTAATCACAAGGCCCTGTTCCAGGCTTCACATATGTATTTGGCTGACCACTGATTCAACTGAAAGGCCCTTATTTCTTCTATGTAGTTATGAGGCTGACAAAAGCTCTTGTCTCCGCAGGTGCTCTTGGCAGCTGCCGTCTGTACGAAAGCCGGAAAGGCGATCGTCTCACGCCAGTTTGTAGAGATGACACGGACCCGCATTGAGGGGCTGCTGGCAGCCTTCCCCAAGCTCATGAACACAGGGAAGCAGCACACATTCGTAGAGACAGAGAGTGTCCGCTACGTCTACCAGCCCATGGAGAAACTCTACATGGTCCTGATCACCACAAAAAACAGCAACATCCTGGAGGACCTTGAAACTCTCCGGCTTTTCTCTAGAGTGGTGAGGATCTTGCTTCAAGCTGCCTGGCTTGCAAAATACCCAGGGGGAGGGAGGGTTTGCACATGAAGCAGCTGTCCTATGGAGCTTGCTTTTTCCTTGGGTTGTGTTGCTGTGCTTACTTATTTGATACTGGAATTGGAAAGTGAAGAGCTGATCCACCTGATCACATTAGGATAAGTGTGGGGAGCTAGCTGGGAGAATTTTTGCCCTTGAAACAGGCTCCTGGACCAATAAGGTTCAGCTAAAGGCTTTGGGGACTTTGCAGGTCTGTGAAGGTGTGTGGAGTGGGTTTTGGCCACGGTTGCCTTGCCTCATTAGAATACCATTTTCCCTGACTCCCTCCAGATCCCAGAATACTGTCGAGCCCTGGAGGAGAATGAGATCTCTGAGCACTGCTTTGATCTGATATTTGCCTTTGATGAGATTGTTGCCCTTGGCTACCGGGAAAACGTCAACCTGGCCCAGATCCGCACTTTTACTGAGATGGACTCTCATGAGGAGAAAGTCTTCAGAGCTGTCCGTGAGGTAGGCCAAAAGCTTTCTGTGGCCTCCTACGCTCCAGGCCCAGGACTCTGGGGCATTTGGTCCAGGCCATCAATTCCTTTCTTGTCCTCTTCTTCTCATTTGTATATGTAGACTCAGGAGCGGGAGGCCAAGGCAGAGATGCGTCGGAAAGCCAAGGAACTGCAGCAAGCTCGAAGGGATGCTGAGCGCCGGGGCACCAAAGCACCAGGGTTTGGTGGTTTTGGAAGCTCTGCCATGTCAGGAGGCAGCACAGCTGCCATGATTACCGAAACCATCATTGAGACGGAGCGACCAAAAGTGACTCCAACACCTACCAGGTATAAAGGTTGGGCAAGAAGCAGGTGAGGGCTTGTGGACCTCTTGTTGCCATGAGTGGCCACCTTCAGAAGTGGGAGAGTTCTGGGTCTTTTTGAGACTATTGATGGTGCTCCAATCTGGATCCTCTGGGTTTCTTTGACTGTTCTTGTGGGGGGCTGCTTCGGTGTCTCCCAAGTAGCTGAATGACATGTTTGCTCTCTGGTGGCCATACTGTACATACGATCCGTGTGTGTTTCCTTCCTGAGAGGGCAACTTTAGAGCATGAGGATAAGGGGAAGGCTGTAGCAGCACTGCCACTATGAATCTCAGACACTCTCTGGGTTCTTTCTATGGAGAAAGGATGTCTTAAAAACGTCTGCACTGCTTTTTGTTTCTTAGGCCATCTGGTTCAAACAAGGCACTCAAGCTTGGCGCAAAAGGGAAAGAAGTGGACAATTTTGTGGACAAGCTAAATTCTGAAGGAGAAAACATTGTCACTTTGGTTGGCAAGCGATCCTCAGAAGCAGCCACTGTTCTAGCTCCACCCATCAACATGGAGAGGTAGGTTTTTGTGTTCTGCAGTGGGAGAAGACAGTGAAACTGTGGCTGGGATTCAGAGTGGTTTCCTAGACCACCTGGTATCATCAACCTTAACCTTCCTTTTGGGGCGTGGCTTTCTTGGGAGTTGACAGAATTTTGGGCAGGTGCCCAGAGTGTGTCCCAATGAGGAGTGAGAGATATCTCTTTGAGGTATAAGTCCTGCACATAACACGGTGTGGGGGAGGGGAGGTTGATCCAGTCACTACCCTGAGCCACAGGGATTGGAGGGAATGATGTTGGGGTTGGAGAGGGGAACAGGTTAAAGGATGGGAAATGCAAGCAGCTCATCTAGTCTAGCAAAGCCTGGGGAGATTCACTCTTGGAAGGAGGGCCATTCCAGTGGGAGCGAAACCTCCACATCCTGTTTGGGCCCGCCTACTTTTGCCAAAGGAAAGGCAGTGCAGAGCAATGCATGGGGGTGATTCAGGCTTTCTCTTCTCCAGTGTGCACATGAAAATAGAGGAGAAGATCTCACTCACCTGCGGCCGGGATGGAGGGCTGCAGAACATGGAGCTCCACGGCATGATCATGCTGCGGATCCTGGATGAAAAGTTTTCCCGGATTCGCATCCACGTTGAGAACGAGGACAAGAAAGGGGTGCAGCTCCAGGTATGGCTGGCCCTGCTGCTCCTACTGCCACCCATGCAGGTGGAAAGGTGCTGTCCGTGATACAAGTTGCGGGGATTAATTGAGCTCCATGGGTAGGGTGGAGGGCATACTTATTTAGAGTTCTGCTGCACTTGATTCTGATGTTAGCAGTACTCCAAGGTCTGTCTTTGAGGGAAGAATTTGATGGCGGGTATAAAGCCAGTAGGAGCTAAAGAGCATTAGGTTTGGAATAGGGCTGAAGATTTAAGTCAAAAACATGTGTGATGGGTTAAACAGGGCAGGGGTAGAACAAGACACTGAGAGTGCAAGAGCAAATTTCTGAAAACATAGAAACCAACAATTAAAAAATCTTGAGTAATGTTAGTATTAGAGACTGGCTAGGAAGGTGGCTTAACTTTTGGATGACAAGGGAGTCAAATGTGTGCTGAAGAGAAGGGAGTTACCAAAGAAGCTGAATTAATTCTATGTACCAGTCTTCACAGTGGAAGATATTGGGCAAATCTCTGTGCCTGAACTAACTTTCACAGGATGGGAGTCTGAGGAACTGAGGTAAACAATGGTGACAATACAGAAAAATTTTGTATATTCTTATGGGAGGCTTTGGCTACGAATGATTCACCATTCTTGCTTAAGGAGCTTCCCAGCCTGTCTATGCTGTGCATGGGCAATGCTTTCTAGATTTGAATGGCAGGCTAGTGTGCTAATCTAGTGAAAGTCTTCCAGAATTTAGAGCATGGCACGGTTAATTTTTGGATCTACAGATGAATCTTACCAGTTTTTTCTTTTCAGACTCACCCCAATGTTGACAAGAAGCTTTTTACGACAGAGTCCTTGATTGGCCTGAAGAACCCAGAGAAGTCTTTCCCCATAAATAGTGATGTGGGAGTCCTGAAGTGGCGGCTGCAGACCACAGAGGAGTCATTCATTCCACTGACAAGTAAGTGTGAGCACATCTGGTTGGGCGTTGAGGAGGGGCTGATGGACATAACACTCCCATTAGCCTAGAACCAGGCACAGCTCCCTTGGTTCAGTAGACATTCCTCCTGTCCCTGTTCAGGAGAGCCCATTGCTGCTGGCAGAAGGTCATGTGATGAGCAGGGGTGCTTTTTGTGTCTTAGTTAACTGCTGGCCATCAGAGAGTGGGAGTGGCTGTGATGTCAACATTGAGTATGAGCTGCAAGAGGAGAACCTGGAGTTAAATGACGTGGTGATCGCCATCCCTTTGCCGTGAGTACCCATTGCACCTCCTGATCCCCAATTCACCCACCAGCTGCAAGGTCAGCCTTGATGCAAGGGAGTTGAGTGGTCACTCGTTGCTGCTTCTGTAGGTCCAGCGTGGGTGCTCCTGTGATTGGGGAGATTGATGGCGAGTATCGCCACGACAGCCGGAGAAACATCCTTGAGTGGTGCCTGCCTGTGATCGATGCCAAAAACAAGAGCGGCAGCCTGGAGTTCAGCATCAACGGGCAGCCAAATGACTTCTTTCCTGTGCACGTCTCATTCGTCTCCAAGAAGAACTACTGCAACATCCAGGTGAGTCTGGGAAGTGCCTCGAGTGGAGGCTGTGTTCGCTGCCCGCTTCTATTTTGGAAAATACCCTGGCTTTCCATATGGCCCACAATTATGCTCTCCATCTGGCAAGTGCGATGAGCAATTGGCTTTCCTTTCCAACGTTGAAAATGCAGAGGTGGGAAAAGGATCCTCCTGGCAGTGGTATAGCTCCCAAGGGGGCAGGGGGCTGCCTGGCAATTGTGTGCTAAGGCACCCAGAACAGCTGGCAAGCCACACCCTTCCCCCTGTACCTGCACATACACACAAACACCGTCTAGGGCAGGAACGTGGGTGGGGATGCATAAGCTTTTTAACTGGAAGTGAATACAGGTCTTCTGCATGCAGTGGGGGGGGGGGGCTTCCCTTGAGGTGTGTCCTATTTGGCACCATGACTTTGTGTGTAAAGGACACGTTGGTGTAGATTGTCCTTGTTCCTTTATAGGCTAATAATGTTTCCTCAAAGTGTCTCCTTCACTTTGGGAGGTGGGGAGAGCCTTTAACTCTTTCCTTTTGAAGTGTGCAAGGGAGAGGCACAGGTCAGCATACCTTGAGAGTTGTTTTGGTCTCATAGCATGTGCAGTGGTACCTTGGTTCTCAAACTTAATCCATTTCTGAAGTCCGTTCCAAAACCAAAGCATTCCAAAACCAAGGCACGCTTTCCCATAGAAAGTAATGCAAAATGGATTAATCCATTCCAGACTTTTAAAAACAACCCCTAAAGCAGCAATTTAACATGAATTTTACTATCAAATGAGACCATTGATCTATAAAATGAAAGCAATAAACAGTGTACTGCAATCACACAATCAATCAAACTGTAGCTGAACTGGGTTCCACACAGTCACACAAAAAAGAGCCACAAAAACGTAGCAAAAACAGACAGACCTCAGCGTAACAACAAGGAAGTGTGGCACTCAATTCAGAAGCGTAATGCTCAAAACGGAGCACGTTCGCCTTTTGAAAAAAGTTTGCAAACCAGTACACTTATTTCCAGGTTTGCAGTGTTTGGGTTCCAAGTTGTTTGAGTACCAAGGTGTTCGAGAACCAAGGTACCACTGTACTACAAGAGCAATTTGATCCAAGACCAGTAGCTATTTCATCTTGACTGACCATATGGCTTCCTCTCTGCAGGTTACCAAAGTGACCCAGGTAGATGGGAACAGTCCTGTGAGATTCTCCACAGAGACCACCTTCCTCGTGGACAAGTATGAGATCCTGTAACTGTTGCTGCAGGGAAGCAGCAAGCAAGACTTTGAGGCTGTGGTCTCTTGGGAGAGGGATGCAACCCTTTCTGTGTCAGGGGACACTGACATGTTTGCTCGCCCACCAACATTTCCAAGGTCACAGCCAGTCAGGCAGGGAGAGGCTGCTTGCTTCTCTGGTTCAGCCAGCCTCCCTACTCCTTAGGCACACTCCTCCTCCTCCTCCTCCTCTTCCTGTGCTTTAATTCACAGTAACTTTCCCCTTCCCTGTCCCCAAGGCATCTCTTTTCGTTACCGATTCCTTACTCTGATGGGAGGTGAATGGCTCTTAATCCAGCATTGGTCAAGGGAGACCAGCCTGGACATCCAGCAACCTCTAACCTGGCAGGAAGCAGAGGTCAGCCCCTGGCACCCCTTTCCCTGCACCAGGTGCTGGGTGAGGGAACCTTTGGCCCCACTGCTCCTGACTGTCCACTTCCTGGACTGTTCTCTGAAGACACTTCACTCTCTTGAAGCTGCTGCCTGTCCAAAGGAGGAAGAAGAAGCAACTGTCTCTGACCCTCCCTGCTTGGGAATCCCTTGAACTGCCCATTGATTGGGGCATGTGGAGGCGGTGGCAGGCACTGACTTCCCAAGTGGCTATGGGCATGTGCCAGTTTGTGCCCACCTGTTAAGAGAAGTCACCAGCTTCTCCCACGCTGCCTCATTGCTGATGTGACCCTTTCCAAAATGCCCCCGGGGGTGGGTGGTCTAGGCCTGTACTGTAGGAGTAGCTACGAATCTTACTGATCCAGCTGTGTCCAAGAGTTGTCTTGTCTGATTTTTAAAATGGAGTCAAGTTTAGTTCCACCAAAGGAGGCTTTTTTCTTTCTTTCTTAAATTACATTGAGGAGGGTGGGGGAAGAGTGATATTTAAATAAGATTTTGTAACCCTGTAACATAAAGAGCTAGGGCCTATAACACATTCCAGTGTACACAAAAGAATCCCTGCCCCTGAATCCAATAAAGACTATTCTAAAATGAGATGCGTGAAGCTATGTAGCTGCCTGGAATGGGACGGGGGCTGATCTTAGAGCTAATATTGTAAGTGGGGAACTAAACGCAGAGCTGGCAATGGAAGAGCATTTGAAGCAGCTGTTTCTGGGTTCCTGTTGACAGCTCAGTTTGGAGAACAAGGAATCGGCTCAAGGTTTGAGTGGCGATGCTGGACACATGTGTATCTATAAGATATATGGACTCTCTGCCTACCTCTGCTACAGTTGTGAAGCTTGCTCTGTATGGCCATGCACTGACAAACAGCAAGGCTGGGAGCTACCAGCCTCCAAGGCCAAAGTGACTTCCTTGCCCTTCCGCAGAAACACAGAATGTGGGGTGGAGGGTCCTTGTTGCAAAATATCAGTCTCTGGTAAAATCTAGAAAAGAAAAGAGAAAAGTTTGCATATGTAAATACAAACAATGGAGTACTGTCTTAAGACTGCAGAGGCATCTGAGGCTGTGTCTCTGATTTCCATCATGGACCAAACTGCAGAGCCCAGGCACTATGATAACAGATAATGGGGCTGCTAACCACTGTTAGTCATACTCTTGAGTAGTCCCATTAAAATAAATGGGTCTTCTCTGAATACAATTCTGTTGAATAGCACGCAGAAATCAAAAGGTGCTGGGTACTTGTAACATATAATGGAGCTTCATTTGCACAGATTCCAGGTTCAGTGAACAGACCAATCTGGGGCTCTTGTGCACCCCTTTGCTACTGAGAGCAGTCAAACTCCATGGTAGAGGCAAAACTGGATAGGGCACCATGCCACACTAACCAAATAATGAAGAAATATAATGAATAAGGAAGTACCTTTCAGAAGGGTAAGGTGTGCTTGCAACTTGCCTTATGCCTATTAAGTGGCTAATAATTATTAAGTGAAAAATAATTATAGAAAGCTGATGAAGATTCCGAAAGGAGTTCACAGCTGATCTGAAAAAGTTCCGAATGTATTTTGCTATCTTTGAATTCTTCCTCACCCAGTGGAAGGATAAATGAGCACTGCCCTGACTGCTACCAAATTATAATAGTAGTAACTGGGATTTGCCCTCTGATAAAATGGCTAGTCTAGTCTCCCTTTTAAAGTTCTATTTAAATAGAAATGGAATATTACTCGCTAATGGTATGTTAACGGGAGGTTAAGGGGGGCTCTTCAGGAGACAACTGCCCCCAAGATGCATCACTGTTTCCTATAATAAGAAGCTTGGGATATTCATTTACAGTTCTCTGGAATAAGGTCCTGGGTGCAAACTTAATAGCATCGAGCTGCTTGACTGTAATTAACTTGCGGAGTCCTTGAGCCTCTTGGTCTGCTTGCAAACCTTTCAAGTCTGTTGGTCACAGGTGAGAGATGTTGCCCTGAAAGAGCCTGTGTAGAACTGCAATCTATCTAGCCATGGGTTATGAAACTGCCATCCACTCTCAACCCAATTTCTGGTTACAAGGGTGGCACCCAAATATAAATAATAAGGTAAAGCTTTATCTTTCTGCATTCTGAAATTGTAAACAATACATTTTATGGATACAGCAGACAGAAATTCTCAACTGTGTATGTGTAAAGTGTTTCAGGAAGCTGCACCTGCAGAATTGTAGATTACACATTTTGGGAAGAATTTGCTTATCTAGGGGGTTGTGTCCATCAATACTCCTATTCAGAGTAAACCCACTAAAAATAATAGATATGAATAACTTAATTTCAGTGGGTTTAATTGGATATAATTTAGGGCTCAACCACATTTTTGTTTGTACCAGTTTCTAGCATTTTGTAGCAAACAATAATAACAGGTTTGAGAGAGAGATTTTTTTGTCCCGCTGCTCCTCCAGGAAAACCCACTGTTTACCAAAGAATTGGAACAAAAGGAAATTAATAGAAAACCCAAATACAATTTTGTCCCTCTTATAAACCAGTCCAAAAATAGCTCCTGAACAAGAATTTGCATTTATTGGCTAACAACCCAAAGGCTCTCAAACTATGGTAGTTTTACTCATTTATTGTAATTTCTCCTCCTTTCACACTTCTGTGTTATTCTCTCATTCCAAACTGCCACTTTCTTCTCTTCTTTTACATTCACTTCATGTTTAGTATTCTTTAAAAATCACGTATCTACAGTAGTTTCCTTCCCACCCCCCACCCACCCCACCCCCAGTATGGGGGCCCACTAGTCTCTCCCAGGTGTCTCCTCCACTGTGACTTCCCATATGTTGTTGTAATACATCATCCCTAGCCATTGGTTGGGCTGGTTTGGGCTGGTAGGAATTGGGAGTCCAACAACATGGGGAAGGCCAGGGGTTCACCACACCTGGTTTATCTCCTGCTAGCTGGGTTGCCTGAGCATCCCTACAGCTTCTTGACAGGTCAGTGCGCCAGCAAAACCACCTGTATCCACCAATACAGAAAGCTTCATATGAGGCTGTCTCTCCCACTGCAAAGAGGAGCAACACGTCAGGCAACCAGCTTCCATGCTGGATCCTGTGCTCTGCTCTGAAAAACCAGCAGCAGTGCTGTTATTGTTTTCATTTCCCTTTTTGCTGGGTCTTCACCCCCCCTGTTCTGGTCCTCTCAAGAGGCTGCAGCTGTTGGCCTCCTGGCCTCGGAAAGGCGAATCCAGGGCGCATCCGGGCCCTTTAAACTCAACTATGCTGGAAGATGAAAGGATTCATCACACAGTGGGATTGCATCTCCCTCTCAATATGCAGGGGCTCCTTTTTTTTATTCAAAAGGGCTCGAGGGGGCAGGGAAAGGAAGATGCGCCAGGGACCTCCCTTCCCTGGGTGATGTAATGTTCAGCTATAATTAGGTTGGTCTCTTGTGTGAGCGAATTTGTTTCAACTGGGAAATATTTGAGGCTGTTTATTCTGTTTGCTCTTCCTCCGAATGGGGGAGGGGGTCCACTGGCGGGGGGAAACTGCCCAGATATTGGGGTATCCTGTTCTTGCCCACAGCCCCTTCTGCCACAATGCTGAAATAGCGCTGCCCAGCCCCGCAGAGCTGTTGTAAGGTTTGCTGCAACACATACTGCAGTGGTGGGGGACCGTGTGTGACCTTCCAGGCCTCTCTATTTTTATTTATTTATTGCATTTCATAGAATGAGAATTGTAGAGTTGGAAGAGCCAGCAAGGGTCATCTCGTTCGTCCCCCTGTTGTTGTTTAGTCGTTTAGTCGTGTCCGACTCTTCGTGACCCCATGGACCAGAGCACGCCAGGCACTCCTGTCTTCCACTGCTTCCCGCAATTTGGTCAGACTCATGTTTGTAGCTTCGAGAACACTGTCCAACCATCTTGTCCTCTGTCGTCCCCTTCTTCTTGTGCCCTCAATCTTTCCCAACATCAGGGTCTTTTCCAGGGAGTCTTCTCTTCTCATGAGGTGGCCAAAGTATTGGAGCCTCAGCTTCACGATCTGTCCTTCCAGTGAGCACTCAGGGCTGATTTCCTTAAGAATAGATACATTTGATCTTCTTGCAGTCCATGGAACTCTCAAGAGTCTCCTCCAGCACCATAATTCAAAAGCATCAATTCTTCAGCGATCAGCCTTCTTTATGGTCCAGCTCTCACTTCCATACATCACTACTGGGAAAACCATGGCTTTAACTATACGGACCTTTGTTGGCAAGGTGATGTCTCTGCTTTTTAAGACGCTGTCTAGGTTTGCCATCGCCTTTCTCCCAAGGAGCAGGCGTCTTTTAATTTCGTGACTGCTGTCACCATCTGCAGTGATCATGGAGCCCAAGAAAGTAAAATCTCTCACTGTCTCCATTTCTTCCCCTTCTATTTCTTCCCAGTTCGTCCCCCTACAATGTACAAATAACAGCCAAATAATTCCTGACAGATAGCCACCTAACCTGTCTGAAAACCTCCAACGCCACCTTCTGAGCTAGTCTTTGCCACTGCTGAACAGCTCACAATCAGAGAGGTCTTCCTAATATTTGGTCAGAATCTCCCTTCTTGTACAGGGGTGCCTCGGATTACAGACACTTCAGGTTACAGACTCCGCTAACCCAGAAAGAGTACCTCAGGTTAAGAACTTTGCTTCAGGATGAGAACAGAAATCATGTGACGGCAGCAGGAGGCCCCATTAGCTAAACTGGTACCTCAAGTTAAGAACAGTTTCAGGTTAAGAACAGACCTCCAGAACGGATTAAGTTCTTAACGCGAGGTACCGCTGTACTTTGAATCCATTGGTTTGGGTCCTACCCTCTGGAGCAGCAGAAAACAAATTTGCTCCATCTTCCATCTGAAGATTTATATCCCAGCTTTTTCTCCTAGGAGCCCAAGGTGGCATGTATGGTTCTTCCCTTCCTCATTTAATCTCCACAACAACCCTGTGAGGTAGGTTAGCCTGAGAGGCAGTAACTGGCCCAAGGACACCGCCAGTGAACTTCTTGGTTAAGTGGGGATTTGAACCCTGGTCTCCGAGGCTCTAGTCTGATACTCTGACCACTGTACCACACTGACTCTACCTGACACTCAGGAAGATATCCCAGTTGAGGGGGAGGGGGTCTTCTTTTGCCAGCTGTGGCTGTAGCTTTGTCCCTTTCCTGTGGGGGCTGCTGCTGCTGCTGCTGCTGCCTGATGTGCTCTGGGCCTCTGGAAGTCACTCTTTTGAACAGCTGTGCAGCCCGTTGTGTAACACAGAGCAGGGAGGGGGTTGATGGACTCCAGATGTTGCAGGGTCTCTGCCAGCATATTTGGACTGTGGGAAAAAGGGGAAATCTGGCCGGCACACATGATCTCCATCACCCCCTCCTCCTCCAAGCTGAATGATTGCCAGCTCCACACAAGGTGGTGGGTGGGCCACAACTTCACCTGCGGTGGAGCTGGGACCCAGAAGGATGTCTTAGCTGACCCTGCCCGGCCTGTCTGCCCCCAGCCCATGACTCGTACAGGAAACTGGGCTAGGAAAATCCCTGGGACTGTCTCTGGCCCAGATTCTGCCTCTAGACATTTTCTGGTCCTCATGCTTCCTTTCCTGCTCCTCTTCTTTTCCCCATACCTTTCTTTCTGAATCAGGCAGCTGGGAGAGTCCAGGCAGAGCTGTTGTGTTGCCTTCCAGTGCCCAGACACCAAAAGGAGGGGACTCCCTGTTTCTTCCCTCACCTGTGGAAGGTCAGACAGCAGGTGGTTCAGGAAGGACCACAAGAGCAGGTCCACGTGGACTCAGCTGCCCTGCTGCATCCTCTTTTCCAGCAATCTCACCTCCTGCAGGAAAATACCTCTGGGTACCGGCTGCTTACTAGGGCAAAGGAGTCTTTGTCCTCTACCTCCACTGGGTGTTGCACCCAGGGCAGCAAGACTGAGAGAGGGAGCTGCCTTGCCCGTTAGTTCCATCTAGCTCAGTACTGTCCACACAGGCAGGCTGCAGCTTTCCAGGATTTCAGACGCAGGGGCATTCCCAGCCCTCGCTGGAAGTGCAGACTGAATCTGTCACCTTAGCATGTCAAGCAGCTGGTGCCACTAAGCTGCAGTCTCTCTCCATTGCGACCAGGAGATCTCCCGTCTCCTCCGTACTCCCGAGAAGGAGGAGGCCACCCTCCCTCGGAGCACGTGCCGCTGCCAAGGGACCAGACGGGGCGTCGAAATCAGGCGCAGCCAGCCAGCCAGTTGCGCCCCGGCACCTCTCTTGATCCAGCCCTTTGTTCAGGCTCTCCTGCAGCGGCGGCGGCGGCGGCGGCGGCTCGGGTTGCAGCCAGCGAGCAGCGCCTCTCCGGTTTCCAGCCCTGCCTGCTCCTCCTCCTCCTCGGGCACAAGCCGGGGGGCACTGCCAGTCCCCGGGCGGGCGGCATCCGGCGTGCCTGGCAGGTCACGCGCCGGGCAGCGGCTCATCCCAGCCTGGCACAGAGCGCCCCAGGAAGGGCGGCGAACAAAGGCCAGGCCCGGGGAGAAGGGGCGGGGACTCCTCCGGCTCGCCCTCCTCCTCGGGCTGAGGCGGAGGGACGGCCCCTCGCCGAGGAAAGAGGAGTCCGGTCTGGGCGAGTAGGAGACGCGGGTTCCAGCGCTCCGCTCGGAGGCATCGCGAGCGAGCGGGCTCCGCAGGTGGGGGCGCCCCGTCGGGGCTACCAGCCAGGTAAGCGGGACGGGGCGGCGAAGGATAATTCCCTTCTTTGGACGGGACGCACCTGCCGGGGATGGAACTGGGATGGGGAGGGGGGCTCTTTCCTGGGCTTGGGGCGGTTCCCTCGCCCCTTCGAACCCCCTCCCAATCTTCCCTTCTCCCCCCAGCTATTGTTCGTATTCGTGTCTAGGTATATACGAGTGTTGGGTGGGGGCGAGATGTCCATGTAGCCAGCGGTGCCCCCTCCCTTATAGGCGATTGGCTCGACTCCTCTCTTGTCTATCTCCAAGGGAGCTCCTTCCTGGATGGCACCTGAAGGGGGCACCGGTGGTGGTGGGGAGCTCGCCTGCCCGCCTCCCTGCCTGGACGGACGTGGCGCATTCCACACATTTTTGGCATTTCTGTTCCCTAATCCGCGCAGCGAGCGAGTCTTCGGGACGGGAGAGAAGGAGAAGGGGGACCTGCGGCGTCTTGGCAGGAGGGGAGACTGGCAGCCGCATGCAGCCCCCTCCCCGCGCTGCTGGGGAGCAGAAAAGAGGGTTCCTGTATCCTGTGCCAGAATCCCGAGCGCCCTAAAGGGACGTTATGAGTACAGATCTCCTCCAACAGTTCCGGTGGAGACTTAGGGACAAAAGATCTGGGTCATCGAATATGGCTTGTGGACAGGATTAAGCCGTGTGCGTCGCTCTCCCCACCTGAAACAATGTAATGCTTTTCTGGCTTTTTAAAAAGTGCACGTTTCCTTTGTTGAGCTGACAAGGGAGTCGGCTGGAGACTTTAACGGTGACAGCCTCTTTCTGTTTGCCTGCGCTGCTGGTTTGTGGGAGGCCCAGGTGGGGAGCAAGGCGAGGGATAGCACCTGGACTCATTTAGGACAAGGTGGAGGGTCTTCCAAAGGCACTGGGGTGAAGCCACCCCAAAAGCCAAGGCACCCAGAGTGGGCAGCAGCAGGACTGATCAGCCATAACCTCCCCACACCCCTAGCAGAGAATCCCTGGGAATGCTCTCCCAGTACAGGAGAATGGCTTTGCTATGATGTTCTGGCTGAACCTGTGGAACTCCTGCCTGTCATAGTGACAGGAGGCATTGGTGGAGGATGAGTGGAGGGATGCTGTCTCTTACTTGCAGGACTCTTAGAGAGTTCCTCTTTGTAATGAGATTTCTATTAAAGTTTTTCATAATATAATAAAACGGCGGCTACAAAAAGCACACACAAAAAGAACAAGAATACGGAGTCCTCTTTTAAAAGTAATTCTTAGCCCTTACGACACACCAAGGATAGTATCCCTATCCTCAGGGAGTTTCTCTTTGGAGACCTTGGGACAGCAAATACTTTTAGTGCATCTTTAAGATCAGTTCTCTCTCTACAGCAACAGAGCGGGAGGCATCCGGTCCACCATTGAGACGGCTGATCCCTTTGGAGGCAAAGGACAAATTGTCTGGTTGCCTTGCCTAGTTGTGGCTAACCTCCTTGGGGCCAGTTCTGTTTTGTGCTCAGGGCGGTGCCCAGAATGTTCTGAGACTTTCTTCACAAATGAACCAGGGAGCCTGTTGCTCTTGGATCTGCCCCATGAAAGGGTTTAATGAGCGGAGGGCAATTCCCCCCTTCATTTAATCAGGATTTGCCAGTCCTGGGAATGAGGAAGGCGTGGTGTGTGCGTGACATTTTCTGGCAGCCACAGAGAGCCATCCAGGGTCACCTCTCTCTTGGTACTTGGATGCTTATCTGGTGGCAATTTTGAATTCACCCAGTTTATTGGTTTCTCTCCCCAGCTTGAGTTGGGTAGCCAGGATCTGAAATATCCATCTGCTAATGTTAATGTTGGAGAAGCACATGGCTGTGAGCATCCCATGTGGCAGTGGGCATTGGTGGGCTTCCACGGTTGCTTTTGGGGGCTGCAGCTGCCAGGTTGCTGCCTGACTTATTTGGGGGCACAGGAGCTGAAAGGAGACCTCTGCCCCTTGGGGAACTGGGGAGAGGGACTCCTGAGCCAGTGTGCCTGGTGGATAGATCTAGCTCTTGGTTTGTTTTCCAAGGGGAAGTGGCTGTTGCCCCTGTTATTGTCCGCTGTTGCCTTGGCAACCTGTGGCCTGGGCTGGGCCTCCCCTCTTCGCCTGTGGATGGGACAGGAAAGGCTGTTTCCTCCCGGTGACTCAGGATTGCAAAGGGAACTGGCCTCCAGAGCCTCTTGCCAGCTGTGGGAACGGCAGAGCTTTCGGGTGCCCCTCCAGGAGTCAGGATGGTTGTCTTGGAAGACTTTTGAGGTGAGTCTTCCTTGCCTGGAGGCCTTTGGGGACCCTCTTTACCTATAGGCCCAGACCGTGGAGGATGCACACATGCTTCTTGGCATCGCGAGGAAGGCTCTGCTGCTGCGTGGCTCTTTGACAAGCCCTCTTTAGCTTGGGCAAGCCTTGCCAATGCCATCTGTGCCCCACCACTGGCTCTCCCTCCTTCTCCTTGTGGCGGACTCTCCTGCATGAGGACTGGAGGGGTGCGGATGGGCAGAACAGTTCTCACTCTGGTCCAGCTCGATGTGTGTGGGGGGTGGGGGTGGAGCTGGTCACCCTGCTCTTGTGTCATCACAGGCTTTTTGGCAATCCAGCCGTTGTGGGCGGCCAGGGCTTGGCCCAGCTGCCGCCCCCAACTTTCCCAGGCTCTTTTCTGGAAGGGGGGGGAGGACAGGCCAAAAGCACCCTTGCCTGGGAAGGGAGTGGCCCACAAGGAGGTCTGTCAGCTTCTCCTGGAAGGGGCCACATCACAGCTGGGGCTCACAGGCAGATTTGCCCTTTCTCCCTTCCTTCCCCTTCCCTCAGAGGACCTTTTCTCTTCCTCTCTGTTTTCTCTCTCTGTGCTTTGTGTGTGTGGTCCGGCTAGGAGCCCCCGCAACTCACTCTGTCCCCAGGCCCAAGAGGAGGTTCGCAGCCGTCCCAGGCCCACTTTTTCTGGAGCTCCGACCCTTTGGCATTTGCTGCCTGGCCACTCCCAGCCACACAAGCGCCTCATTCTCTGACCTCTTCACGGAGAAGAAAGCCGCCTTGTCGCTGCTGGCAAGGTGGGGTGTCCACCCTCCCTCCCTTCTCCAGAACAGAGGCTGCTTGTCAGGGCTTGTGACCTGCTGGAGCAGCTCTGGAGGAGAGAGGGGAAGGCAAGGGAACAGGGAGACCACCCCCCACCCTCACCAAGGCAGTTCCTGAGGAGGTGTCCCCCCCCCTCCCTCAGACTTGAGGAGAAAGAAAGGCAAAAAGCCAAGACTTCTGGCTGCCTTTTCTGCTGATGAAGAACTCTTGCATCCCCTTAGGAGGACCTGTGTTCATTTCAGGGAGGTGGGAAAAGGAGGGAGGGAGGGAGAGTTCAGGGCAGAGGCAGACCTTTGCTTCTGCCCTGCCGCAGAGGGGGCTGTGGGTTGAGGGCTCCTGACCTGTGCCAGTGGTGTGTGAGTGACTGCTTTGCCTCTCTGAGGGGTCCCAGGTGGCTGCTGCAAGGTAGGGCAGTGTTGGAACCCAACCTGTAGGTGGCGTACTGTGGTTGTCATGGTGCCTTCCCGAGAAGGGGGCTGGGGGTGCAGAGATGTGAGGTGCAGCTGAGAGAGAGAGGAAAAAAAAAACAGAAAAGGGACAATGAAGTAGAATCGCTGGAGCTGTGGGGGCATTAAACATGTTGTCAGTGTGATATTGTTGCTTTTCATGTACACTCTTCCATGTACTTGAGAAAGCAACATGTCTTTCTAATAATCATGCCTGAGGGGCAGGTAGGTGTGTTTACAATCTAGATTTCAGATGGGGTGAGAGATCAGGGAACAAGGGGGGGAGGAATGTATGCAGACACAGTTGGGTGGTGAAGGTGGGGTTGATGGGGGGGGCAAGGGATTACTCTTGGTTAATCCCAGATTCAACATATGGGTCTGAGAAACCTAGATTTTATTTTAATCACCTGCTTCTGCACTATTCAAAGTGGCTTTGATGCAGAAGTCAAAACAAGATGGTCACTCAAGATGTGTTGTGGGGGGGAATTGATCTCCTAGGTGGAACTTTGGGTCATCTTCTGGGCTAGGATTTTTGACCTTCCCTTTTCCTTTAGGGGGACTGTTGCCATGGAGACCTGTAACCGCAATGTGGCCAGCCCAGCTGGTCGAGTGCAGGCACGTCTTCAGGTGAGCTGATGTTGTGAATGGAAAAAACAACAACTTGGAATATTGTGAATGGAAATACTTGCAAACAAAGCGGGGTTCTCACCCTCAGGCCAGAGAGTGAGCCTAGGGAGGGCAATACAGGGCCTTTTCGGTGCTGGCCCCTTATTTATGGAGTTGGCCTGGAGTCAACTTTGTTATCTTTTGGCAACGGTTGAAGACTTTCCCTAGTTCTGTGTTGTAACTGAGTGCTGTGCTATTGTTGGTTTTATTAGGATCTCTCCCCACAAGGGGTACCACCCTGAAGCAGGCACAGGGGCTGCAACCTTTATGTACATCAGCCCCAAATGACCAGGAGATGCTCCCCCACTGCAGTACCAATGGCCTCCTCCTCTCCTTGGCTCATCAGTCTTCTGGGCTTCAACAGAGCAGGGCTGCTCCCTGCTCCTCTTATTGTCCAATTAGGAGGATTGGCCCTAAATCCCTTAGGGTTAATTGGCTTGCTCTGTGATCCTATTAGAGTGAGCTACAGACCCTGGATACTGCCTGCAACTGGGGCAGTTCTCTTCCTTCCTCTCCCACCTTCTCCCGAATCTCAGCCAGCCCCATGCCTTGGCCATCCACCCCATTCCCTTAGACCCACATCTCGTGGTGGTGGGTGAAGATGGAGGCTCCAGAGGAGCTGCAGCCAGTTAAAGCTATTCTCCACCTTGCAGAACAGTCTTCTAGACCTGACCGAGACAGGCAAAGGCCTGAAAGTGCAGACTGAAAAGCCACATCTGGTGAGCCTGGGCAGCGGGCGTCTCAGCACTGCCATCACTCTCCTGCCTCTGGAAGAAGGTAAGTACCTGCAGGGCTGGTTGGGAAGCCCCTTCCCATGCGGAGGACAATATCAGGGCATCAGCCAGGAAAGGTGGCACAGCGGAATCTCTCCAACCTTGATGCACTGGCACATCCAGTTTAGGAATCTCTTTTGGGCAGCCTTGGCTACTCTCAGGCCCCTGGCTGTCAAGCTCCGTAGGTGAGAGGGGGCACCTGCTTCTCCTGCTGGGAATTAGCCAGGCAGAAGAGCCGCTTGGGGGGCAGTGGCTGCCCCACATCCTGCCCTGCTGAGCATCTGCCTGTGTCTCCTTGCAGGCAAAACCATGCTGGGCTCAGCCGCCGGAGACATTGTGCTGCAGGGGGCCGGCGTGGCACCCAAGCACTGCTTCATCGAGAACACGCACGGGACTCTCACTCTGCACCCCTGTGGCAACCCGTGTGCCATAGATGGCTTGGCAGTCACACGCCCCACACGCCTTTCTCAAGGTAAGGAGGCCGATGGGTTGGTGGTTTTCCTTGTTACTAATATATCCCTCCCTTTCTACGGGTGGGAGCAAACAGCTACTTAACACTGTAGCCCGACAATAAAAAAAACGACTCTAACAACCTCTGTCAACCACATATACAGAGGAGCTTTGTTGGCAAGGAAGCTGATTACATTTCCAAAGGCCTGGGAAAGCAACAAATGTTTTTGCCTTGTCCCAAAATGAAGCCAGTAGGTGGGACTCCTGAAACTCCCTTGGGAGGGCTGCAGTGGGGTGTGGTTTTGTTCTCCTCCCCCAGGTAGGGGTCATGGCAGCTGATGAGCAGAGGCAGCAGCTCCTTGGAGGCAGGAGGTGCCTGGAGTTGTGGGACAGGGACCTGCAGACCCATAGGATGTCCTGCAGGTCCAAAGGGTTATTGGAGGATCCAGGATACCAAACATTTTGTTCATTTTCTTAAGATTTATACACTGCTCGAATGTAAAAAAAAAATCAAAACAATAATTCTCAAGTGGTTTACAGAAGATAAAATATGTGCCCACATTCTTTCGAGGATCAACCTTGGGGGAAGGGAGAAGAAGGGTGGGGGTAGCATCCTGATTTCTGGTGGGGGCTGCGGAGCTCATTTTGCTTTTACCTTATTAGAGTTTAGCTTGGCCATGCAACGCCTGCTGCGGCCAGGTAGGTCCTTGGCCTGTGGACAGCCAGGCCTGACTCCAGCATAGTCATAGCTGTCAACTTTTCCCTTTTCTTGCGAGGAATCCTATTCGGAATAAGGGAATTTCCCTTAAAAAATAGGAAAAGTTGACAGCTATGCCATAGGTGGCTGCTGGTCAGGCACTCTTTCAGTTTGCCTGTGTCTGGTACTTGTTTCTGAGGCAAGGCTGAGTCGCTTGGGGCCTACAACTAGGGAGGACAGCAGTGAATCTGCTGCCGGTGTGGTTTTTCATAATCTGCAAATGAATTTTGGCTCCGCTCTGCCTGATGATTTGCTGAGTTCTGCCTTTGGCCTGGCCTGAGGAAGCTGTGGGGAGGGGCTGCTGTCAGGCGAGGCCCCTCCTTAGCAAGGATTAGACTGCTGTCAGATATCAAAGGTCCTTCCTGACAGCTGCAGCGCTGGCACGTGGGCGGCCCAAACAATGGCCGAGACTGTCTGTGCAGAAGGACACTTGAGGAAAGTGGGCGGCTGGTGGGCTCCAGGCCAGGCAGTGCCCCAAGGGGGACTTGGGGAACCCCCTTCCTGGGGGGTCTGGAGCATCCACTGGGACCCCCAAAAAAGTGTGTGCTGCTGTTGCTGAGGAAGACTCACTGATGGGGCCGCACCAAGATGCTGGCACTGCAGCAAATCTCTCTTCTCTGTGGCTTTTTGTCCTTGGCAGGCAGGCAGGCAGGCTCTTGCTGGCACAAACAAAGGGAAATTCAACAAAATAGGAACAGTGACAAGTCCAAGCTCGGAGAGGGAAAGAATGTCTTTAGCCTCCCAAGTTTGGGCCGGCTGCTGGATAGCGCTTTGCTACACTCTTTCTCTGCACACATAGAGAAGGGGGGGAAAGAGAGAAGCTGTTGCTCGTCTGCCTGTCCTTGTCCCTGGGGCTGCCAGGGACACAGCAGGGGAGGAGGGGGCTGTTCCTTGGCGGATGCCAAGCTGGCATTTGCTGGGAGTCCGTGAAACTGGCAGTTCTGCAACACTCACTTGGTGGCTCCAGGCAGACTGGGAAAGCCTGTGTGGTTCTGCAGCTACCTTGATAGGTAGATAACTGACTCTGGAGAGGACCAGAGGCTTTCTCCCAGCTGGGGTCTTCCAGACCAGGCCCTTGCCTTCGCTCAACAAACTGGCCCCCTTGGGATCCACTCCCAAACATCACTGGTGGGTGGAAGGTGGTTTGCTGAATGTGTCCACTCGCCAGTGTTTCCTTCCCTTGACTGTTTTGCAGATGCTTGAGATGCTGCTATTAGATGTTACTCTTTCTACTGCCAAAGGAAGGGTAGGACTGAGGCTGCATCCTGGATTCTTGGGAGATCTTCTAGATGTGTGGTCCCGAATGTCCAGGTGCTGGTCCCACCTGGCAAAGTAGGATGGAGTGCACCTGGGCAATTACAACCAGAGTAGAAGGGCATGACACGTCCCGATCAATGGTGCAGATACTGACCAGTATGGCAGGAGGGAGGCAGCTGGTTGGGAGGCAATTTTGCAGTAGGACTGGGCTGTCTGCAATCTACAACCTACAACAGCTATGCAGCTTGGGGACAGGGAATGGGAAGGTGGATTAGGGAATGGGAAGGTGGATTTCAGAATTCCCTGGTGCTTGATCTTTAGTGACGCTTTCACCAGTTATCTGTAGTGAACTTGCACAGAATTCCTGGCTGGGTGAGTACAGTGCAAGAGCCAGCAGAAAGTCCGACTCAGATACCAGGTTCAGAGAGAGGCACCAGTTGTGCACTTTTTTCACAGGTGCCACACACTGGGTTGACGTTTTCATTGCACTGCCTACTGTGACTGCAAGACTGCTTTTCCGGGCAGTCACTAGCAGTTCAGATCCCATTAGTGTGTAAGTAAACTGAGGACTTTTTGCCCCATAGTGCATCCCTTTAGACTTGCCTACATGGAAGTGGATTTGCTATTTCAACGCCCAGTCATCCAATTTGGAAAGATCCTCATGGAGCTCCTTGCAATCCCTTTTTGTTCTTGCCAGCCTATTTTATTTTACTATATGACTTGCCATATGGAAACTTCTTTGAAGTCATACATGTTGGAAAGTGGTACTCTGACTGCTCACTCCTAAATCCGGGTGATTGATAAACAAGTTCAAAAACACAGGTCCCAATACAGATTTTTGGGGCACCCCATTTCTTGCTCCCCTCTATCAGGAAAACTGCAATTTTATTCTTTTTCTTTTGCTTCCTGTTTCTTAACCAGTTTCTGATCCATAAGAGGATCTTATTCCATAACTGCTATGCTTACTTGGGAATATTTGGTGAGGGACTTTGATCAAATGCTTTTTGAAAGTCTAAGGATGTACTCTCTGCCAAAACACCCTTCTTCATGAGCTTACTGACAAAGGTTAATGAGACTTTTGACTTTCCCTTGCAAACTTCCTTTTTAACTCATCGCCTCATTCTTCAGAAGTTTCCTCTTTTGAAGTCAAATGTGACTGTACTTTCTTGGAAACTGCCTACTCACATCTTTCTCCAAGTCCTCCTTGGTGCTACTTAGGATTATGTCCAGGGTCATCTCCTCTCTGGTTGGTTCCTTGACCAGCTGTTCTAGGGCAATCAATCATTTAGGGTACTGTATCTATAGACCTTTTTGTCATGAGCAGAGCATACATGAGCCCAGTCTTACTTAAGTGGAATTCGTTCAATTTGCCCATTAGTACACCACTTCCTCCCTGACTTCATTCTCCATCTCCCAGAACACTTGTCAGGAAATTGACAGCATGTCTGTCACCAATACTAGTCACCCACAGCAGTTCCATGGAGAAGTCTGCCCATTTAAGTCAATCTAATTCAGGCTTTTTAACACTGCCTGGCAGGAAGAGGCTCTCTAGGAATTCAGATGGAGTCTCTCCCAGTCCTATGTGGAAATGTCACTGGGGATTGAACCTGGGACATTCTGCATGCAAATCAGGTGTTCAGCTGTGGCCCTTGGAGATTCATTTCCCTCTTTAAAAACAGCCCTGTTGGGTTAGAACAGCCAGTTAAGCACCTTCTTCCTCCCAGTGACCAAGTAAATGTTTGTGGGAAGCCTACAAAGCAGGACAGGAGTGCAACAGCTTTCTTCAGCTATTGATGATGGTGATCTAACCTGATGTTGCAAGTTAACGTGGCTGACTAATTTGAGATTTAAAGTATTTATTTGACACATCGAGTGACATGTTCAGGTCACATAAAAAGTAAAGCATAGTCGTATTGGTCCATAAGAAAATTAAAAAATAATGTTTAGGCCCACCAAAATACCACAAAACAGTATGCACTCTTTGTGCCTAGTAATGCAATGGCCCCAATTTGGTTTTTGAACTGATGTTCAGGATGCATTATAGCATTGTACATAGAATTTCCTGCTCTTGGGGCCTTTGCTATTTAATAATAATAATAAAACACCAAACCAACATACTCTTTGCATTGGCCTCGGACCACAGTGGAGAGCTTTGGTGCCTCCCCAGGAGGTCTCACCTGCCTGAAAGGGGGCTGCAAAACCACATGCCTACATCAGAAAGGTGCTAACACACAGGCTCCCATTTTGCACCCACATCTGGGCATTAAGCACGTGTTGGTTCCAGCCCCTAGATATAGCACTGCCATTCCCTTTCTCCAATATTCAGTCCTTTATTTCCTCCTCCCCCTGTTGTCATTTTCTCTTTGGGATTGGGTCAGTGTCTGTGCTTTGGTGTGGACTGAAGAAACCGTTAAGCGAATTGTTGCGTTCTGCAGAGCAAAGAATGGGGATCTGGAACTAGTGACCTCCTTAAGGACTTCCCCTGCCTCCGCCGCCCTAAACACACACATTTTCTAGGGAGCGCCTCCACACACCACTGGGTGCAGCAGCAGCCAGCCCTTTCATACAAAGATCACAGTGTCAGATTTTCCAAGAGACTCCATGTTTCCTGCCTGAATCACTCTCTTTCCCACCCCCCTGCCCGCCCAGACCCTGGAAAAAGAATCCCATTAAAAATATTTTAAAAATTAATAGCCCCGAGGACTCCCCTGGGCAGAGAGAGGAAAATAGCTGAGCTACTTCTCTCCATAACTGAGTCAATCCCAGCCACACACACACACAAATGCTTTCGCAAGGCGTGGGCCGAAGCCTGTTGTGCCTGGCTGGAGAGAGCGAGCAGACTGCAGACACAGATGTGCTCTTATAGATGCCTCCCCCCTCTCCTCCCCCCCCCATTGTGCTGCTAAACTGTGATCTCACATGTGGGAGGGACGGCGGCGGCAGCAGCAGCAGCAAGCCAGAGCAGCCCATCACCCTTCAAAGGACCCTGCAGTTGCCCTATATTTTCCATGCTAGCAAATCCCACCAAGGCTGCCCTAGTTCAAAGCACATCATTGCCATGTCCCTTGAAAGCTCATCCCAAATCGCAGCTCAGGAGGCTGAGGTGCACCCTGACCAAAAATGGGATCCTGGCAGGGGGCAGAAACTCCCAGGGGCCGATGCACCCAGAGATTTGAAGGCAGGGGGCCCCTGGGAGTTTCACTCTGGCCCCTTTTAGCCATAGCTGGGGTACAACCTGGCCTTTGGATCGCTCCTGTCCCTTTGTCCAACCTGGGGGTGGGTGGGAGATGCTTTCTAACCGACAGCAGCCTCCACCAATGAGGTCCTTACTCCATTTTGAGGAAAGGCTGGACCCAGTCCATGCAGCAGGGGGGAGACCTTGTGCCCAGAATTTCCTCCTGGAGAGACAACTGGTGGCTTGTGCTACTACTAGCCTGCGGACTCTTGCTTTTCAGGGGTGATTTGGCTTCAGTTTCTGCCGGCTTGTCCAGGCCATCCAAAGCACTGGGCTTCTCCAGTTCTTCTTTTGAGGTACCTTCTCTTTCTCCCAAGCACTGTTTCTTTTTTATTTATGCCACCACCGACATCAGGCACCATCTTCAGCAGGTTTCCAGAGAGGCTTAAAAAGGTAAAGGGACCCCTGACCATTAGGTCCAGTAGTGACCGACTCTGGGGATGCGGCGCTCATCTCGCTTTATTGGCCGAGGGAGCCGGCGTACAGCTTCTGGGTCATGTGGCCAGTATGACTAAGCCGCTTCTGGCAAACCAGAGCAGCACACGGAAACGCCGTTTACCTTCCCGCTGGAGCGGTACCTATTTATTTACTTGCACATTTACATGCTTTCGAACTGCTAGGTTGGCAGGAGCAGGGACTGAGCAATGGGAGCTCACCCCGTTATGGGGATTCGAACCTCGGCAAGTTCTAGGCTCTGTGGTTTAACCCACAGCGCCACCGGCTGAAAAAACTTAAAAAGCACACCTATGTAAACCAAGCTTTAAAACACTACCATACAAAAGAGCAGTTTCATGCAGCCAGCTGAGCTTTAAACGGACCAAACGGTATAAAAGTCAGGGGAAGTGAAAAGAGGTCTTGCATTGAGGCAGGCACCAGGGGAGCCTCCATAGAGGAGCCTGCTGCCCCACTCCTTTTGTGCCCCAGAGTGGTCACCTTGTGAGGGTTTGATCTTTCCAGTGAAGGGAAGAGGTGGCTGCTTTGCTTTCTGTGTCTGTCAACCTTTTCTCCTGCCCCTCTTTCAGGGCTCAGTGCATCTCACTCTCATTTTCACTTCACAATGGCCCTGCAAGGGAGCTTAAGGTGCACGATAAGAGCAAGCCTCTCCCATAGGTATCTGATGTCTGCTGCACCCACACTCTCTAGGGGAGCTTGTGAGCTAGCTGTTCAGGCACACTACTATCTCCCTTCAGGCAACTAAACTGATTTTTTTGGGAGGGAGAATTCATTAAATCACACTCCTTGATCAGCTGAATCTGGAGGAAGTCACAGTGAAAATACTACAATTTAAGCAGCCTGGCTCCTGCATGGTGTCATTCAGCAGTACAGATGCGGGTGGGCAAGGTCCACACTGCAGGGGGTGATTTCTCCCCCTCCCCACAAGAAAAGAGGGCATTCAAAATAATGCTGCGATGCTCTTGCATTTGGCAGCCGCCGGCAAAGAAGAGTCCAAAATTGTGTAGAGCCTAAATGGGGAGACAAAAAGGGGTTTTTTTGGGGGGGGGGGGTGTCTGGCGCTGTTTTTTCGCCTAGAACCCGCTTCTTTCAAAGGGACGTTGAAACTGTTTAAGGACCCACCAGCACAGAATTTATTGGCAGAATAAAAGCGGGTGAGAGCGGCGCCTTTCCGCAGCTCTGAGCTGGTCATGGCTCCGGTTTTCTCTCGGGCACCTTTCCCAACAAGCCTGCAAGGCAGGCCAGTATCATGGCTGCCACACCCCCCACCCCCAGCCGGAGCTGAGTCGAGCGAAAGGGCTGCTGCTACTAGCGAGACCTCCGAGTGGGGGCGGCCCCCGAGTCCCAGCCTCGTTTCGGCCAAGCCTCGACGGGCAGTCTCTGTCCCTACCGACCTGCGCGAAGTAAAGCCCGGCCAGCCGCCTCGTGGCCAGACGAGGGCGCAGCCCTTCTGCCGTCCAGGCGCTGCTCCCGGGGAAGCGCCGGTGGCGACCCCGGCCCTGCAGAGCAAGGGCCTTCGCCGCAATCCACCCCCCAACTCCAGGGGTCCCGTCGCTGCGCCCCCTCTTCCTGCCGAGACCTCCCCCAGGTCCGCCTCAGCAGCGCCCCCTCCCCGGTCTCCCCTGCCCGGCTGCGCGACGGAAGCAGGGGAGGAGCCGCCCCCTGAATAGACCCCGCCAGCTGGGGCCGGGCTTGGCACCGCGAAAGGCGCGGCCAGACCGGGATCGGGCGCGCCGCACTGAGGAGGCGGCGGCGGCGGCGGCACGACGGGGGCAGGTGAGTGCGCCGGGGGCGGGGGCGCGTCCTCCTCGCCGCGGTGCCTTCCGAGGGAGAAAAGGCGGCGGCCGCCCCGGCCTCGGCGGGCTTGCAACAGGCGCTCCAGCCGCAGGCGCTATTTTTAGGAGTCCCCAAAGTGGCGCCGGCGGCTGGACCTGGCCGGGCGCAGATGCCGGTCCCCTCCCCCGGCGTAACGCGCTGTCGCTGCCGGCGCAGAGAAGCTGGGCGGGCCCAGGGAAGCGAGGCAGGCTGGGGCCCGCAATCCGGTTCCGAGTCGGCTCGGCTCGCCTTGCGCGCCTCCCCTCTGCCCTTTCCCCCGGGGACGGCTTCTGATCCTGCTCCAGGCCTGGCGGCCCTTGCGCTCTTTGCCGCCTCCGCTGCCCACAGGAGACGTGGCACCCGACGGGGGGGGGGAGGCATCACATGGTCTTGGAAGCGACCAGGGGGTTTGCCTGGGCCGCGTGGCCCTCAGGCCTTCCCTGGACGAGTCCAACCGCCTCCCTCTCTTATGCCCCCCCCCATGCTTGGGTAGTTATGCCACCGGCCAGTGGGCGGCGCGCTGGCTAAGAGGAGCAGATTGCGCTCAGAGTGTGGCTTCTGTTGAGGGGTCTCTGAGAATTGAGGGAGCAAGGTACAGAAGGTCAGCCAAAAATGGGCAGGGCAAGGGGCTGCCACGGGGTGATAATGATGCTTGGAGCCCACCTGCACCCTGGATGGCTGGGATCGATTCCCTGGTTTGCATGTTTGCATCTGCTGGCTGACTTGCGCCAAACATCAGATTTCCTGGTAACTTAGTCGCTTTTTCTGTGCCATCCTGACTGAAGTCTCTTCAGGGCTATGTGGTCCTGTGCTGGGGATCCACTCAACCCTATAACATTGGTCAGACTTGAAAGTTAGACGGTGAGCCTGTCAGGACCAGAAGATGAACAGCAGGTCATGCAAGGAACTGTTTTCAGCCACAGTTTATCCTTAAAAAGGAACGTCAGTGGTCTACCGTACACAGTTGTTGTGAGCAAGGTGGAGGCCATGATTTATTGCTGCATAGTTGAACTGCTATAGACATTATAATGAGAAGGGTCCATTTGTGCCTTTCCCAGGCAGCCATCGGGATCAGAAGTCCAGATGGGGAGCAGCTCAGCTGTGGGTGATTTATCTCTGAGATCCCAGCACAAAGGCCCAGCGATGCTGCCGAGGAGGGAGGGGAGCAGAGAGATTTACAGAGCAGATTGTTTGGGGGGGGGGGATTTGACATGTGGCAGTTCTGGTGCTCCAATGCACCAGAGCTTGGTGGGGCACAAAGCCCTGGGGACGTTCCCGACTGCCCCTTTCCTCCCCCTCCTTGGCTGTGTTCCACATGCTGAGCCTTGTATAGGGATGGTAGAGAGGCACAGACTGCCCCCCCTCCTCTGCAGGACAGCCACCTGTTATTTCGCTGGCTCCTGCTTTTACGTACTTCCGCTTCTTCCCAGGGTTCAGGCAGGACAGAGGACAGAATGGTTTCCTCTCCTCTCTCCCTCCCTCTCCCCAGAGTGATCTTTCCTGCCTCCTGACTGGTATGAAGCGTTTGGGGACTCAGGAAAGGTGGGATGGGAACTCTGAATTTGTACATGTCTGTGTTGCCCGAATAACTTAAGTCATTTGGGCGGCCCAGTGGAGGAGATGCTTTAGCTGACCCCCTGGGGAAGTAGCTTGCCCTCAAGTCCTCTCATCCTGCCTAAAGGAGGAGTGGGGGGGGCGCTACCAATGCTTCCCCGGGCCTTTCCTTGAGAGGAGACATATTGTGTCGCACGCACAGAGCTGCAAGATTCATTGCTGCGTTGTAAGATAAGCCTGGCAGCTCCCCTCTGGAGCTGTGGGGGTGGCTGGTCAAGTTGTCCTTTTTGAGGCTGTGCAGAAGCACCAGTTTTGTCCCTGGGGGAGAAACATGCAGGGATTGAGCAGCAATTTTCACTTCTCCAGAATTCTGCCTAGTAACGTGATCCATAACATCGAGTTTATTCGCCAGCTCCTCCAAAATGCCCTCTATTCCATTACCAACCAGCAAAGCCCTCCTGCACTTGATAGACAGAATAATAAAAAGACACACAAATCAGACATTAGCGATGGCAGCATTCAGAAACCAGTTGGAGAACATTTCAACATACTGACCTTTACGGTGGCCGTCCTTGGAGAAAAATGCTCTGTTCCTCCAACATTTTCCTTCTTTACGTGTGTGTGGGTAATTCTAACTTTTTAGTTTAGATAAGAGGTGACACGATAGAAGTATATAAACTAATGCATGGAGAAGGTGGAGAGAGAAAAGTTTTTATTCCTCTCTCAATGCTCAGACTCATGGCAGGGATTGTCGACAACCTAAGTGGCTTTAAAAGAGCCTTAGGCAAATTCATGGAGGATAGCCCTAAATATGGCTAGTAGCCATCGTGGCTATGCTCTGCGTCTCCAGTAGGAGGCAGTGATGCTTCTGAACACTCTCCCGCTCCCCATGTGGCAAGGAGCAGATATTAGGGTTGTGTGGTTCAGACTCCTGAGATTAGCTAAACATGCAATCCCATTAAGAAGGAGGTGGGATGATTGTGATGTTTGCACATTTGATCTTGGGAGCCATGTGACTGCACCTGATTAACAGAAAGCAGCAGCTGCACCCCAGAGGAAGTGCAACCTGCCTGGAAGGTGCTCCTGGCTTGAGCTCACGGCTGTCTTTGCATCTAGTCTTGCCAGGGGAAGGGTTGGTCAGGGTTATTATGGAGCACCCAAAGACTCCGTTTTTAGTAACCTTCAATTTCCTTGGTTTGTTTTAAAAATGGCCAGGAACGTGCTTGCCAACACGGCAGTTTCTGAAATCCAGGAATGTGTGTGTGTGTTTGTGTATCTTCTCTGGGGGGTGTGGACCTGCCCTGGCCAGGCTCTGGTGAGTCCGGAGGGATTTGACGCTGGCATTTGGGGAGCTCAAGACCGGAATTAGTTGTGGGTTTTTCTCCTTGTGGCCGGGAAGCCGGCAGCCGCCACTGCAAAAGGAGCAGCTGCTGGTGCCAGTTTTTTTTCCTGTCCCATTTCCCAAAAGAAGCTGCTTCTACCGCCTGCTTTGCTGCATGACCAAGGGGTCCAGAAGGGGGCTGTGAATTTCTGGTGAAAGCCAGGGGGTCTGCATTGGGGTGGGATGTCAGCCGAGCCACCCAACCTTTGCATAAGTAAGATAAAGAAATGCCCTTCCTGGCTCTCTCTCTGGACAGGTCCCAATCCCTCCTTAGAAGCAGGGTGGCCTCTGTGGCAGGTGCTGGGTGGGCAAAGTCGGCGCCTCTGCAAGTACACCAGTGGTGTCAGGAGGAGTGCGCAGGAGGGGGTGTGGCGGGCCTCTTCTTTTCCACACCTTGCTCTCCGCAAATGCTGCCTCACATTCCACAGCAGCGCTCCAGGCAGGAGCTGGCTTGTCGGCCAGCCAGGGAGCTGGAATCCTGCCCCTGCAGGCATAGAATCCTGCTGCTCCGCCTCTGCGCACGAACCTCCCCCCCCCCCGCCACACCTTTTGTGTGCACAAGGCAGCTTGTCATTGCCCTGTCATTCACAGAGCTGCTCACAGACTTGGACAGCTGGGCTGGAGTGGGAGTTCAAGGCTTGGCCCCCACAGCATTCACAGTGGAAACTGTTGCTGCTATTATTTAACCTCAGCCTGCTTCCCAGCATCTGAACCCCGTCAGCAGGTTGCAGCTCTTAGGGTGGCCTCATTTGGCCTCCTTAAGGCCAGGCTGGTCTTGTCCTATTCCTTTAACTCGGGGTTGGTCACAGTTGTGGACCACCAAATGTTGCTAGACCAGAGCTGCCATAATCCCTGGGCATTGGCTGTGCTGGTTAAGGGCTGGTGGGAGCTGGGAGTCCTGACAGCATCTCAAGAGCCACAGATGCACCCCCAACTCCTGGTTTAACTCTTCCCAGTAGCTATTTCTGCGTTTCGTGGCCTTTGCTGTTCCTTTTCTGCCCACAGCTTGTTGCCATGTAACATCTGGCACCCACTAGATAAATTTTGACACGCTTCCAAGATCATATTGTATGCGTTGCAGCAACTCCATTAAAAGGGACCCGGCTGGACTCTCCCTTGTGACGCTGTCCTTGGAAAGTGACAATGGGCTGTCTTGGTCCTGGGCCCTTTGCAGGGTCAGTCATATCTGAACCCCAAGCGGTTGGAAGCGGCCCCAAGGCAGGGTAGTCCTTTTTGCAACCCCTGTGGGACGTGGGTTCAAAGCGCAGGGAGAGGGGAGATTGCTGTGTGACCCCCAAAGTATGTTTTAATAGGGTTGATTTCCTGCTCAGTCTGTGAGATCACTGTGAATCTTCCCCCTCCCCATCAGTCCTCTCATTTTCTTCCAGGGTGTATGATCTGCCTGGGCCAGTCAACCTTCCTTCGGTTCAACCACCCAGCTGAGGCGAAGTGGATGAAAAGCATGATTCCCAGCGTGGGGCGAAGCCCTGCACCCCAGCATGGGCTCACAGCAGGTAGGAGAATTTCAAGGGTGAGGTTTAGGTACAGCACAGCCCTCTATCCTTGCAGTCACTTGGAATAGCCACATGACCCTTTGCCCCTGATGTTCCCTTGGCCTTCGTAACCATGGGGTTGTTGGGGGTTGAGTACCCCCAGCTCCCTGTCCAGGGATATTATTTCTGGGGTGGGGGAACCTCTGCTGTTGTGCTGTGGTTTGGAATTCCTGCAGCTCCTTGCAAAATGTGAAATGTGAGGCCCTTCTTTGGGTGCCTCCTCCATGAGAGATCTGGAGGAGAACATGAGAACGGGCCTTTTCTGCAGTAGCCCCCTGTCTGTGGAATGTTTTGCCCCAGGAAGTTCACCTGGTGTCTTCATTAAACACCTTTAGGCACATGGCAAAAACATTGCCTTGGCCGATTGACATCCAATGTCCTTTTAAAATGTGTTGAGGAGGGTGGCGATATTGGGTTGTTTTTGTTTTTATTATGTATTTTGTGCTTTTATATCATGAGCTTATGTTGCAACCACCCTAAGACCTATGGGTATAGAAATTTAATATGCAAATTTATACAAATTTAATTAATGTTGGTTGTGATGCCTCAGCTGCTAATGCAGAACTTGGTGACTTGAGTCCAGAGAATTTGATAAGCCTCGATTTCGGGGGAAAGTTTCCCACCCGCAGAAGTTGAGCATGGCTCATAGGCAACGTGTGTGGGGTTACGGAGCTGCAGTAGTTGCTGGAGCAGTGGGGTGGGAGCAGGAGCAGTGGAGGGTCAAGAGCTCCCCCAGCCCAGCTTGTCTTTTCTCTCCACAGAGGCCCAGAGCCTTCTGAACGGCAACCAAGATACGGCGAAGGCTTCCCGGCACAGCCACAGCGCCCTGGTCAGCTCCATCGAGCGGGACTTGCAGGACATCATGGACTCCCTGGTGCTGGAGGAGGAAGGCAGCACCCCCAGGCAGCTCCCCAGCAGCCGTGGCAACGCTCCGTCGCCAGACTCCTCCGTCGTGAATGGCAGGGGTGGACGCTACCTGCTGTCGCCTCCCCAGAGCCCTGGCGCCATGTCTGTGGGATCCAGTTATGAAAACACCTCCCCGCCCTTCTCTCCCCTCTCCTCTCCCGCAAGCAGCAGCAGCTGCGCCAGCCACTCGCCTGGCACCCAGGACCAGGGCCCTTCCCTGCCTCCGGTGGTGCCCGTTCGCTCCTCTAGTTTCAACCACACCATGCTGACTTCTCATGGCGGGGCCAGCCTGGACCTGCCAAGCAGCGCCGGAGGCCCAAACCCGGCCCGGGGGCTGGGGAGCCCACGGACGGCTCGGAGGGCTACACAGGAGAGTCCCCGGAGCCCCACACCCAGCCGCAGGGCCCGGCCCTCGGGGGAGAACCCCCGCCCGGGCCCACGCAGCTCCCCTCCACCTGCATTGCCCGCCGGCCTGAGCGAGAGCCTGCCAGGAAGCCCTCGGGTACAGCCACCCAACAGCCCACGCCTGGCCCCCAAATTCCAGTCGCCCTCCACCCCACGGACCAAGGCCACGGCTCTGCAGGAGAGGCCTCCCAGCCCTTTCCGGGAAGCGCGGGACACACCTGCTGGCACCTCCCGCCAAGGGCTGGGGAAAGGCTTCCCGCCGGCTGAGCCTGCCGGGTTTGTGCCTCTCAGCCAGTCGAGCCGGGCCCTGCAGCCCCCCGAGAGCCCCCGACTCAGCCGGCGGCCTCTGGAGAGCATGCGGGAGCTGCCTCCTCTCAGCCCCGCCTTGTCCCGCCGGGCAGTGTCGCCAGCCCCTCACGGCAGCCCCCCAGTGCAGGCCAAGGCCGGCGAGGCCCCCTGTGGCTGGCGGAGGGAGCCCACTGAGGACCTTATGTCTGCCTCTTTCTCCTGCCTGCGGGGACGCAGCCCCTCGCCCACCCTGCTCGCCCGGGAGCCTGGCCAACGCAAGCCCAGCTACGCAACCGGCCTGAGCCCTGCCTACAGCCTGGGCTCCCTGACCTCAGCCTCGCCGCGTCAGAGCCCCCGCCTGCACCGGAAGTTGTCTGGGGGGCTGGAGCTGACGCCGGGGCCCCTGCGGGAGCGCAAGCACAGCATCTCGGAGCTCAGCGGCGACGAGGGGGAGCTGAGGGAATACCATCGCTGGCAGCGCCAGGAGCGGCTCCGGGAACAGGAGATGGAGCGGCTGGTGAGTGGGGCACCTACTCAGGTGGCGGGCACAAGGACCTCTGTAATGACAGGGGGGTCTGCCGGTGCCTCGGAGGTGGTTGGGCTGCAGTGTTAAAAATTAGCCAGGCACCAGGCGTGTTTTGCGACTTGCGTAGGACCTTTTGCAACCAGGTGGAGATCTCCAGACACCTGGAGAGGTCAGACTGACATCACCATCTGTCTGACCTCTCCAGCTTTCTTGAGCAGCTAGGCAGAAAAGCTTGTACACTGCAGTTCTGTTTCACTTTATTTCTCTAAGTATGGTTCACACACACCCCTCAGTTAATTCCTACAACAACCCGGTGAGGTAGGTTAAGAGGCTGTGGCTGACTCCAGGATCACCCAGTGAGCTTCGTGACTGAGCGGGGATTTGAACCCTAATCTCCCAGGTCCTAGTCTGACACTCTAACCATTAGACCACACTGGCTTCCTACAGTGCTTCTGGTGAGAGGCAGCAGAATTAAGTAGGTAAATAAATAAGGGGAAGGCAAAATGAACCTTAAAGAACGAACCGAAGCATTTTTCTTGAAGCTTGAATTTGTTGTATTTGATGTTTTAGTGTGTTGTAAACCGCTTTGAGATTTTTTCTTTAAAATATAAAGCGGTAGAGAAATGAAATGAATAATATTAATATTTTTTTCAAAAATCCACCACCGATGTGGCAGCTGTGACCTTGGTTTAAGGTACCATTTGGCGATTAGCTTGTATATCTGAGTTTCTAACATGTTAGATGTGGAATGAATGAGGGAATCCTGGGCAGGCCGAAGGAATAACCGTTCCCCAGAGAGAAGGGGAGTTTGGGGGGCTGCCCTGCCAGGAGCGTTAGGGATCTTAAGCGAAATACATGCATTTCCTTGCAGCCAACAGCTAGGGGTGCTAATTGTTTGAGGGGGATGGGGGTGGAAGTCAATGATATTTCTGGAATTTCCAGCTTCGCACATGCCCAAGCCTTGAGCTGCAGTTACCAAGATGTGTTACCAGGGGGTGGGCAAAATCAGCCTGTGTGCCAGGCAGGTAGCAAGGTGGTGGCAGAAATAGCTGCGTGGAACAGTTTCTGTACAAAACACAGGGGAGTCAGACCCCTTTGCAAGAGTGTCTGCCTGGGGAAGTGAGGCAGGAATGTGTGGGTTGTGGGTCCCCTGCAGATGAAAAACAAGCTTTCCCCCCAAGGCACACCTGTCTGTGGGATGAGGTGGAGCTGCGAATGGGGGGAGTCGGCTTGTAACCCCCAGGCCTGAAACGGTGCATTCTCTGGGATTTTCCCATGCGGCCCAGACTGAGCATGCTCCGTTTGGCATTTGTCGCTTTGTTTTATGCTCCGCCTGCCTGCAGTTAACTCTTGCGGTTCCTATCTGGTGATAAGCACCTCCTAACCAAACATTCGGATGTTGCCCATCACGGGCCCCAGTGCTCCCCGGGAATGGCACAGAAGGGGCCCCAATGCACTCCGATGAGAGAAAGCATTTTTCATGCAGAGTGCAGTTAAACTATGGAACTCCCTCCCCCAGGAGGCAATGATAGTCTTTAAAAGAGGATTAGACAAATTCGTGGTTATGAATGGCTGCTAGCCATGACGGCTGTGCTCTGCCACCACAGTTGGAAGAAGCAGTGCTTCTGAATGCCAGTCGCTGGAAACGGCAGGATGGGAGAGCGCTCTTGTGTTTGAATCCTGCTTGCGGATTCCCAGGCATCTGGTTGGCCGCTGTGAAAACCGGATACTCCATTGGCTGGATCCAGCAAGGCTCTTCTTATGTCCTTAACTGTTGACTCTGGGCGGGACCCTCCCTGGCAAAGCTAACACCAGGGTGGGGTGCTTTGTGTGCCTGCCCAGCCTCTGAGCCCAGCTGCACCACGCAGCTCCTAGCCGGAGTAACTCTGCCACCTTTTTGCCCAGCCGGGCCTGGGTCTCAGGGTTGGCTGTGTGCCTGCCTGGCTCAGACTGGTGGAGCGTGCCACCTTGGGCTGCTGTGCCAGCCCCCAGCTACACCCTGCAGGCTGCCTGTTGTCTCGCCAGTGGCTGGGCACTGACTCACAACTGCTTGTTTGCACAGCTTGTGTGATTCACGGGGGGGGGGGGGGAGAGGCTGTTGCTGCTGGGCCCGCACCCTGCCATTAGCCTGGTCACGTGGCGGGGCAAGCGGGGAGCGTCTTTTTTGGTTCTCGACTTTGTTGTCGGAGGCTGGAGGTGTTTGTGTTCCTTGCCTGTGAAAGGCCTGGAGGGATGTGTCTGTGAGATGAGAGTCACTCCGGACTTCACTGTGAGTACCGTAAGCCTGTGTGCATGTTGCACACTGCTCGCCTCTCCATCCCACTTGGCACTCTGTACAGCCGAAGCAGCGGCAGGGGTGGGGATTGATTGGGGGCTGTTCTCCCAGGACAGAATTTGCTTTGATCTCTTGTAGAAGTTGGGGGGGCGGCGGCTGGGAGAGATGAGTGTTGGGGGTTGCCCACGAAAGCCTGCTCTAGTCCTGGTGATGCTTAGGTTGCCACAGGATCCTGTGTGTTCCCCCCGCTGCTCAGCTGAGCTACATACAAGCTAAAATAGGGGTGCTCTCCTGAGACTTGGATTTCACTGTGTCCTAGAGGGAAAAGTGGCAGAGCTTCTCCTTGGCAGTTTCTGGTGCTTCCCTGGTATCCCTGCAGCCTCTCTTTCTCCCCCCCCCCTTGCCCCCCCCACAACGCCTCTTCTGTCCTTCATTGGTTAGCAGCTGACCTGGACACCTGTGCAGGAGTGAAAAGGTGCATAGGCAAGTGAGGCCCTTCTCCCAGTGGGATGGGTGAGGTCCAAGGGTGCCAAACTCCTCCTTCCTGCTGGTGGTTGGCTTCTCTCTCTGCCAGCTCTAAAGGGCACCTGTTGTAGCCCAGTTGAGGTGGCCCAGCCTTGAGTCAAGGTGTATCAAGCTCCTCAAGGGGACATACTCTGAAAGCACACCTGTGGAGCCTTCGGAACCCCATGATGTAGCTCCTTGCACCAGAGCAAGAGAAGGGCTTTCTTTCCCCAGGGCAGCTGCTGCCATTGTACAGTGGTACCTCGGGTTACATATGCTTCAGGTTACAGACTCCGCTAACCCAGAAATAGTACCCCGGGTTAAGAACTTTGCTTCAGGATGAGAACAGAAATCGCACGGCGGCAGCAGGAGGCACTATTAGCTAAAGTGGTGCTTCAGGTTAAGAACAGTTTCAGGTTAAGAACAGACCTCTAGAACGAATTAAGTACTTAACCTGAGGTACCACTGTACAGGCAGCTCCATCGGGAAGTTTCCTGAGCCCTCCCTGTTCTGACCATCTTCCTGCTTGGGGAGGCTCTTTTAATTTCCTTGGAATCCTGTTTTAGGTAGCTGCTGGCTTTATTGTTTCATTCGCCGAATCAGATGTACTTGCTTGCTTGAAAGTATTTTATATACCTTCAGTCCGCACCGTATAGCAGGACAGTATACAATTTTATGGGATGCGGAGGCGCTGTGGTCTAAACTACTGAGCCTAGGGCTTGCCAGTTAGAAGGTTGGCGGTTCGAATCCCTGCAACAGGGTGAGCTCCCTTTGCTCGGTCCCAGCTCCTGCCAACCTAGCAGTTCAAAAGCACATCAAAGTGCAAGTAGATAAATAGGTACCGCTCCAGTGGGAAGGTAAACGGTGTTTCCGTGCGCTGCTCTGGTTTCGCCAGAAGCGGCTTAGTCATGCTGGCCACAGGACCCAGAAAAACGGTCTGCAGACAAATGCGGGCTCCCTCTGCCAGTAAAGCGAGATGAACCCCGCAACCCCAGAGTCGTTCACGACTGGACTTAACTGTCAGGGGTCCTTTATCTTCCATACAGTTTTATATATATGATCATTAAAATGACTGGCTGCTCAAGAAAACAGATGTATGGGTCTGTTGGCATAAAAAGATCTTCATGAGGCACCTGAAAGTCAAAAGTAAAGGTGCCTGCATGGGAGCAGCAGTGACACGTAATACCCAACTGCTGGGGGAGGCCAGTCGGGCATCTGTAGCATGGGGGGGGGGGCAGGGCGCAGATAGCTGCTAGCACTTCTCTGAAAGATCTCTGTGATACAGCTCAGATAGAAGGGCTCATACAAGCCTTAATTTTCAAATTGCATTAATGTCAGATGAATATTGTAAGCTGCTGTGTGAAGGCTTTCTTTTTTTTTTTTTGCAAGTAAATTTTTATTCAGAATTTGTATAAAGAAAAGAAAAAAGAACTAACAAATACAAAAATAAACATTTTAACATAAATTATTCATCCTATTTTCATACTATACAAAAAGAAAGCATATGTTCATACAAAAATAATAATATAACCATTAGGCTCTCCTTAGCCTTTGACTTCCCTTCACCCTTTTGGTAAGTATCAAATAAGTCCCGGGTTGCGTAATTAGTTTATTAAAGTTTATAGTTATTAGCTGATAAAGTTTTTCTAATACCGCCAGTTCCTCCTATATATCCGTTCCAATATATTTCCAAAACTTACTCCAATTTTTTGAAATTTCTGGTCGTCTTGGTCTCGTATTCTGCCTGTTAATCTATCTAGCTCGGCATAGTTGATCATTTTGACCTGCCAGTCACTTATGTTAGGAATAGTTTCTATTTTCCAGTTTTGTGCCAGCATAATTCTTGCGGCTGTGGTGGCATAGAGAAATATTTTTTATCTTCATTTTTATTTCCTTACCCATTATTCCCAGCAAAAAGGCCTCAGGTCTCTTGGGAAAAGTGTATTTAAAAACTTTTTAAGTTCATTATAAATTGCTTCCCAAAAACCTTCACCTTGCTGCATTGCCACCACATATGGTAGAGGTCTCCCTCCCCTTCACCACATTTCCAGCATGTCTTATTTTCTGATCTATAGATTTTAGCCAATTTTGCCGGCGTAAGATACCATCTATAGAGCATTTTCCAAACATTTTCTCTCAAACTCGTACAGGCCGTAAATTTAATGTCTCTATTCCACAATTTCAACCACTTTTCAAACTCGATGTTATAACCGAAGTCAATTGCCCATTTAATCATTGCCTCTTTGACTTCCTCGTCTTTTGTATGCCATTCCAGTAATATGTCATATAATTTAGACAATGTTTTGTTTTTGCCTTCTATTATTTCTATATTGAATTTTGATTTCTTGTCCTCAAAGCCCATTTTTCTTTTATCTTGTTTTAACATATCATTCACCTGATGATATTGTAACCAGCCGGTGAATTGATCCTTTATTTCCTCATACGGTTTAAGTTTAAGCCCTTGTTCTGATTTTCTTAGCAAATCTTCGTAGGTGGCTGTCTCCCTTCCATGTTGGTTTTTTTATTGTTAAGACCTCTACTGGTGAAATCCACCATGGTGTTTTTCTTTCGAGAAGGTTCTTATTTCTTTCCCAGACCTGATATATTGGTCCCCTGAAAATATGGTTTAAGAAAGCCCTGTGGACTTTCACCTTCTCGTACCAGAGATATGCGTGCCACCCATACCGGTTATTGAAACCTTCTAAATCCAGTAGGTCTCTGTTCTCCAATTTTATCCAATCTTTTAACCAAAGTAGGCACGCTGCTTCATAATATAGGCTCAAATCTGGGAGGGCAAAACCTCCTCTTTCCTTTTTATCAATTAGTATTTTCATTTTAATCCTTGGTCTTTTCCCCTGCCAGATGAATTTCATCAGGGTTCTCTGCCATTCTTTACATTGTTTTAGACCTTTAATAACTGGAAGAGTTTGAAATAAAAACAACATCCTCGGCAAAACGTTCATTTTAACCACTGCTATCTTCCCTAAAAGGAAAATTTCATCCTTCCCCATATTTCCAGATCTTTCTTTATTTTTTCCATGTAACTTCATAATTATCTTTATATAGGTTTATGTTTTTTGCCGTAATCCACACTCCCAAATATTTCACTTTTTTCACCACCATGATTTCCACTTTTTGTTCTAGATCTTTCGTTTCTTCCTTAGTTAGATTTTTAACCAGCATTTTAGTTTTATTCTTGTTTACCTTAAAACCTGCCACCTCTCCAAATTCCTCAATTTTTGTAATGCTTCTTTTACACTATCTTGTGGATCTTCCAAAGTCAAAACAATATCGTCGGCAAAGGCTTTAATTTTGAATTCCTTCTTTCCTACTCTAATTCCTTTCACTTCTGTTGCCTCCCTCAGTCTCTTATTAAGTACTTCCAAAATTACAATAAATAATAAGGGGGACAGGGGGCAACCTTGTCTGGTCCCTTTATAAATGTTAAAATATTCTGTTGTATTGTTATTTATCACCAGCTTTGCTTTCTGTTCTTTGTATATTGCTTCTATGCCTCTATGTGTAAATAAAAAGTCCAATGGCTAGCTGCAGCAGTTGGACCAGACCTGAGTGGTTCCACTTAGTCTACCCTATTCTTTCCCATGGTAACCCCACCCCGAGGCGCCAGGTGCGTTTTGCTACTGGCGCGAGTCCAATTGCGACTATGTGGAGATTTCTGGGCTCCAGGTTGGGAGCCGCAGTTTTCAAAACCTTGGTCTTGGTTAATACCATTTCCAGTTCCGCTGTGTGTGTTTCTCTTCCTTGCATACTGGGACAAGTGAATGGAGTAAGCTACAGTCAAGCAATGTAGTTGGGATCATAGAATCATAGAGCTGTAGCGTTGGAAGTGACCCCCAAGGTGAATAGACGTTGTGGCGACCGTAACCTAGGTTTAAGGTGCCGTTTGGCACCTCGCTTAAATATCTGAGTTTCTGCCCACCAGAAGGACCACGGCTCTCCCCTTTCTGTCTGTAGTATTTCTGCCCCACCCTCTCTGCCTTCCAGGGGATTCCAGGGCAGAATTTCATTGGCCTTGAGTTTCCAGCCACTCGGTTTCATGAGATGACACCCCAGTTCTTGTGGTATGAGAGGGAGAGGGAAGCCTCTCTCTCTCTGGGTATGTTTCTCCTCCCCTTCTGTCCTTCTGCTGCAATGAACATAGGAGCTCCAAGACCTTCCTGGCAGATATTGTTTAGAATTTTATTATTACGGTCACAGACCAGTTCCAGCTCACTTACAATATCAGGAAAATCATAAAACACAACAGGAATACATTGAATTGCAGTTGGATATAACAGAGACAATTCAGATATAGCGGCAGTTAAAAATATATATTAAATCTTGATCACTAAAATATAACCTAAAATTGTCATTTAAAACCTTAATCATTTTGGTAGTACAGCTTGTTCCCTAAGTTTTATGGCACAGAATTTGGCCACCCTTAGCATGATCTCTAGATCCTTGTCCTCTACCAGTAATTTTAGACATTGAAGTTCGGACCCATTTGGAGACTTTTGTATAACAGGAGTGATAAATACCGAGCATATATCCCTGTAGAAACGGCAGCGTAACAAGGCATGAGAGACAGTGGCAGATATTGTCTCAGGCTAGCTGGAGTCCGTGCTTGCAAAATGCCTTTGGGTCTTCTTTGCTCACGCACCAGAATGTCTTTCGCCAGCTTTGGTCTGTGCTTACCGAAGCAGCTGCGTGATAAGACCCTGAACAGGTTGGCCAAAACCACGAAATGCTACGTTCTCACTTTTCCCTTGTGAAAAGGCTGGGGAAAGCCAGTGGTTGGGGAACCGGCCAACCACAAGAGCCAAGAGGTTGGAGGGAGCTGGGGTGGGGTGGGGTCAGCTGTGGCTCCTGCCAGAGCACCGAAAGTCTTGGGGATGCTCTGGGATGCCGATACTGACAGTTTTCCTTTCACCCCTCTGCCCTTTGCTCAGGAGCGGCAGCGGCTGGAGACCATCCTGAGCCTGTGTGCTGAGTACACTCACAGCGATGGGGATCGGGGCCAGGAGCACAACACCTTCCCCAGCGCTGCTGCCGAGGGCACTGGCCAGCCGGGAAGGAGGCCCTCTAAGGGCTCCATCAGTCTTGGACGAGCGAAGGAGCAGCTGGTGGGAAGCCTGGGCCTGCGGGAGAGGGAGAGCTTGGAGCGCTCGGATGAGGACCATCTGAAAGAGGAAAGCAGCAGCACGGAGAGTGCCGGCCAGGAGGTGAGAGGGCCATGCTTGGAGCTGGGAGGACAAGGAGGAGCATAAGGGACTGAACTGGGTGGAGTGCTCCTTTGCTCCCCAAACTGGCACTTTCCACCCATTTTTTGGAATACAGCTGCCATCTTCCCTGACCAGACTGGCTGAGTCCCACAACAGGTTGAGGGCAGCTGACTTGGCATGTAAACTTGGTAGGCTCAGAGAGGAAAGCGTGGCTTGTGCATTCCTCCATCTCTTTGGGGAGAAGAGTTATATGCCTGTCCCACATCCAGTGTGTCTGGGAGACCTCTGGCTAACAGAGTTCATGGCTGGCGTTGTGGTATGAATTTTAGATAAAACTTTATTCACATTAGCCAATGGCCAAAGCAACAGTAAAACATTACGGTATACGCAGGAAAGGAAATTTGATATAAGAGCACAATTTAAAGTCCTGAATCAGCTGTCCGTTAGTGGCCCTTATTCTGATTGCCCCTGCTATGAACCTAGCAACCTTTGCTATTATCTGCTCATTTTGATTGCAGATCATTAAGGAATGGTATGAAATTATTTCTACCCCACCTGTTTCTTACACAGGGAACACCTATTAAACAGAACATATGGAACCAAGAGAATTAGAAGCAAGCTTCAGCAGATCCAGTTTATTAGAGCTATTGCAATAGGACAGCCTCTCAGCAGAACTGCTAGTTAGGAGAAATAAATAAAAAAATTGTCCAGTATCACCTTAGAGACCAACTAAGTATGTTCTGGTATGAGCTTTCGTGCATGCACACTTCTTCAGATACACCAACACGGCTACCTACCTGATGCTAGTTAGGAGGACTGCCCAGAGCAAATTTGTAACAAAGCTTATGCAGGATTTCAAGCACAGCAGACAAGGAGTCATAAACATCAAGCATTCTTCTACATACCTCAAAAAAGGTTACAGGTCATGGGATATAAAGATACTTGACCTCACACTGGTAATCAACTTTCCTGGGGTGTCCCAAACCATTTGGTCCTAACTATTCAGTGGGGGCTGTTGACATTCCTTTCCCATGCCTGTCTCAAGGAAATGCCAGTGCTAACTCACAACAGACATAGGAAAACATCCTGCCGTTTGTGCCACTTTCAGGATAAGATAGAAGAGATGGAATGCAGCCTAGGAATGAGGCATGAGAGTCACAAAATGCAGACATGTGGGAATCATTCATGGATGCATTCTAGCCAAAGGTTAAATGCACTTAATATTGAAACATGATTAAAATCAAAAATATACACCTGGGGTCACTGATTTTTTTTCATTATTCCCCCCTTTGATTATAACCTTTCCAAGGTTTATAATCCCACTTTATCAAAGTCGTTAATCTACCAAGACATAGTCCCTCTTGGACATATTTACTAGACCATTAACACTGACAAGCACTGAACACCACAACATAGCAATATAATACAAAGAATGACTGAAAGGAATACAAAGAATGACTGAAATGAGAATTAATAACCCCCCTTTCAAGGCTTCCTTGATGCAACTAGCCTGAGGATACCAATATGGCAATCCTTTATGTAATGGGTAGGCAAACTAAGGCCCAGGGGCTGGATCAGGCCCAAACGCCTTCTAAATCCAGCCCACAGACGGTCCAGGAATCAGTGTGTTTTTACATGAGTAGAATGTGTCCTTTTATTTAAAATGCATCTCTGGGTTATTTGTGAGGCTTGGGAATTCGTTCATCCCCCCCCCCCAAAAAAAAGGTCCCCCACAAGGTCTGAGGGACAGTGGACTGGCCCCCTGCTGAAAAAGTTTGCTGACCCCTGCTTTATGTTGTTCTTATTAAATTCTCTATGGTTTTAAAGACCCGAGAGAAGCATTCTCTCCCTTTTTCTTTAAACATGTCAGCTTATGCTTTACATGCAGCAGGGAGGCCTAGTCATCAAGGACACATGAGGTTTTCTTGCATCAGCTTTATTTTGTGCCCGGTGTCAAATTAGTCTTCTAATTAGGCTACCCTCTCTGCTGATTTTTCCAAACCCTCCACAGCACGAAGAGCCACCCAGCACCAAAGCCAGCCAGGAGGCGACCCTGCTGGAGGAGGAGCGCACCCGTGTCCTGGCCAGCGTTGATCAGCTGAAGAGCCGAGCTAAGGAGCTGGAGCAGCAGCTGCAGGAAACAGCCCGGGAGGTTAGGCAGGGATGAGGGCAAAGGGTAGAGTTCCTTCCTCTTGGCTGTACCCTGTTTGGTCATGCTGATGGGCAGGGCACAGCCCAGGAGGGGCCCAGTCCAGACTTCATTCATGAATGAAGAGTTGGCTGGAGCTCAGGGAGGCCTCGAACTCACCCCCACCTCCCGATGGCTCCTCCTGCAGAGAGAGGCCTGGGCCCTGAGTCTTAGCATGATGGGGCTCCTTGTCTCTCGCCCAGGCGGAGATGGAGCAGGCCCTCCTGCAAGGCGAGCGGGAGGCCGAGCTGATCCAGCTGCAGCAGGAGCAGAAGGCAGTGCAGCAGTTGCAGGAGCGCATGTCTGGTCTGGACGCCGCCATCCACCGGGACAAGGTAAATGGCTGGCGCCCGGGGCCTCTTGGCTTCCTCAGTGCCACCTGGCCACCCTTTGGGAAGGCACAACCAGGCCACATGTGGCCCTCGGCTTGGGCTGGCCCTGCTCCGCCCAGCTTGGCTGCTCTGTTCCTCACCCCCCGCCCCCAAGGACGCTACACTGGGGGGAACTGGGTTGCCAAAGCTGCCCTGGCACTTTCCCTCGCCTCTCTGCTGGGTTTTCAAGCCGAGGTGACTCGCTCGGGAGCTGAACTCAAGGCGGTTCCTCTTGGTGCTTGGTGGCAAGCTGGAAAAGCGCTTGGGGGGCTCCAGAGGGGAGCCCTCTCTTTCCAAGCTGTGGTGTCTGAGGTGTCTCTTCTCAAGCCAGGCAGTGCTGTTTGCATCCACCTCCCTGGCGCTGCTCAAGGCTGGGCCCTTCCTTGCCCCAATTCATCTTTTCAGACCAGAGGCATTAAGAAGATGTTTGCCTGCAAGACAGGCAGCTCCAAACCCAGAACCTTGGCTGGCTGGGGATGGAAGCAAGTTGCCCCTGGGACCTGATTCCCACCATGCCCCTGGACTCCCTGGCATTTAGCCCCCCCAGGTGCTTGTTTTGGGGCTGCTGATTCCCAGCCTTTCTCAAACCTTTGCTCCCGCAGGGAGCCCGAGGGGACGCACACACCTTGCGAAGCGCTGCCACTAACCCCCCGCCTCGCACTAACCAGCTCTAACCCTCTCTCCGTTCTCTCTCTGTCTCTCTTTCTCTCTCTGACTCTGATTGCTTGGATGCCTGCCTGCCTGCATCTTGCTGGTGGGCCACCCTAACTGAGACAGTGAGGCGGAGCATGGCTGAAGCCCAAAAGACAGGCGGAGGAGGAGGAGGAGGGAGGGTCTATTGCATGTGTACAAACGTCCCACCCCATCGGAGGCTGCTTGGCACCTCCTGGGGAGTTGGGGGGGGCTGAGGGGGCTTGGGTGCCTTCAAGGAGCTCTGCAGTGCCCTCCCTCTCCCCCATGCGGGTGCCCATCCCAGCTGCCCCCCAACAGGCAGGGTGCTCTTCAGCACTTCAGTCTAGCTGCGGGGAAACTTGCAGGTTTGTTAATGCACAACTGCGGATTTGGATGCACAACTGCTGATGCCGTTGAAGGCGGACTCAGGTCTTGCTGTTCTGTTTCCCGGTGTGTAGGCCTCCCCAGCTTTGGATTATTCCTTAAGGACAGTGGAGAACCACCCAGTCTGGCACACTAAATGCACTATAAAACTCAGGGCGACGTGGAGACTTTGAGGACTGTGCAAGTGATCTAATTTCACAGGGTCGTGAGGACCAAAGGCAGGGGGTGGGGATCAATACTGCACAGGACAGTCTGTGTGGATGGAGTGCCAGGGCATGACGCCTAGGCAAGCTGACTCAGAATTGAAAAGCGGCAACTGACACTCACCCACCCTCCCTGAGCAGTGGTGGAGCTTCATGCTCCGGCACCAGGGGGAGGGGGCGGAGAGTAGGCGGGGGCGGGGCTGGCACGTGTCCCAGGGGCATGGTGCACGTCCTGGGGGTGTGGCACCCAGCGCGGGCGGGGGGGGTCAGCCACAATGGCACCCCATCGGGATAGCGCTGCTGGGGGTGGTGCGCTCCCCCCGCACGCCTCTTCCTCTGCCAGTGACCCTGAGATTCTGCCCCAAGGAAAACTGGATGATACATTCTATTGGTTTTTATTGTGTGTCCCTGCCGCATTCTGTGGACTCCTGCGAAGTCAGATCCGGCATGCAGCCTTGGCCACGGGTGGCAAGGCGCTTGCTGCCCCCAGTGTGGGCCTGGTGCCTCTCTCCTGCTGCCAACTCACTCACTGACATGTACCCCAAAGTGCCCAGAGCCCCCAGTAAACGGCGCTGCACTAACTCCAGAGAGGTGTGAGCCTAGTTTTGTGTCTCAAACATAGCAATGCTTGTATATCCTGAGTCAACTCTGGGGTGGCTGGGATGGGGCTGGAGGGAGGGTGTGTGTCTCATCCTGAAAATGCCCATTTCCTGGACTCCTGAGTATCTCTAGAGATCTTTGCGGCAGCTGACATGGTGGACTTTTCTGGGCAGGCCAGTAATTGGCCGGAGAGGACTTATGGGTGGCCAAGACCGCCCTTTGGGCACATGGTGACTTTGAGACGCAAGGCTGAGGTTCCCAGTAGCTGCCCGGTAACCCTGTTAGAGTTTGAGCCCCCTTGCTAACCTCCTGCCCCCTTGCTTTGCATGGCCTGCTCTTGAGAAGTGTGTTTTCTCTCTCTTTCTCTCTCTCTCTTCCGTGTGTGTTGTTTTCTCCCGGATTCAGGAGAGGGCAAAGGTTGATGCTGAAAGGAAGGAACTTGAGCGACTGCGGGCACTATACTCTGAGCTCAAGCGCCAGCTTGATAACTGCCCTGAGTCAATGAGGGAGCAGTTGCAGGACCAGATGCAAAGGGTCAGTGTCTCCTCCCTTGCCCCCCACCATCTCCCCGCCTGCAGCCGGGGTCAGCGCCTGGCTGAGGGTAAGCATGGCAGGCTGGCTTGGGTTGGTGGGGCACCACTCAGCAGGGCCTGGCGCCCTGGCAGCTCTTCTTGGGAGGACGGCTTTTCCAGAAGAGGGAGCTCAGATCATGGGTGGGGGCCCTCCTCTCCTTGAGCCCTGTTTGCGGAGCACGAAGGGGCTAAGACTGGAATGAAGCTGAGCCCATCCTGGCAGGGAGCAAGGGTTGCCAAGGCCCAGCAGCTCCTCAAGAAACCCACCCTACACCCCTTTCTCATGGCTCTTGCTGGCACCAGAGGAGTCTCTGTGAGGCTGCCAGCTCCTTCGTCCCTTGAATGCCCCTCAGGCTATTTTCCTCCTTGAACCGTTTTGCTGGTTACGTGTCCTTTTGCTTAAAAAAGAGCTCGCCTTCCGCCATTTTGTTTTTTGGGTGTGTTTTTTTGCAAGGGTTTGCTTGCAGAGGAGAGCCAGAGCAGCCCTGTCCTTCAGGTTGCCTCTGCTGACTCTGCAGCCTTTGGACCCTTGTCCCACCTGCCCTGTGACCCTCTGGAAGGCTTGGACCGGATGCACCTAGAAGGTCCTAGGTCCAATCCCCAGCAGCATCTCCAGGAGAAAAACCCCTGGAAATCCTTGCTGAGCTAGATGGACCAATGTTCCTTCCCCCCTGCCCAAGCCAGCCGCCTTCCCCGAGTCCCAGCTGAGCCACTGTGTCCCTGCTGCAGGAAGCGGAGGCCCTGGAGACGGAGACGAAGCTGTTTGAGGACCTGGAGTTCCAGCACCTGGAGAAAGAGAGCCGCCTGGAGGAGGAACGCGAGATGCTCAGCCAGCAGCTCCTGCACAGCAAAGCCGAGAGCCACCGCAGCGTGGCACGGAGGAAGGTGGGTGGGCGAGAGTGGAGAAGGAAGCCCTTTGAGCCGGGGGGGCACTGGCCACGTGGCACTTGCTCAGCCCCCAACCCTGCTCTTTCCGTGTCCCCGCAGGAACGCCTGGCAGCGCTGGAGAGTCAAGCCAACCAGATCAGGCTGCAGGCTGCTCAGGAGGCTGACCGGCTGGGCAAGGAGAAAGCCACCACCTTGCAGATGCTGCAGAAGGTACCGGCTGGCAAGGAGGGCATCTGGCAGAGCTGGGCGAGGCATTGCAGGCAGGGCAGGGCCACCTGGAGTGGCGCTTCTGTCCTGCCAGAACCATTCCCCCATAGGGGTAAGGTTAGGTGGGACCTGGGCTATTGACATGGGGGAAGGCGTGGCTCTCCCCTTGGCACTGTGCCATAGGGGAGAGGCAGCTGGAGGCTGGCAGGTATGACTGGAAGCACCCCAACAAACTTCTCTCTTTTCCTTCCCTGTGGTAGGAGAAGGAGACCCTCCTTGCGCTAGAGAGACGGTACCGGGTGCTGACTGGTGGCTCCGGCTTCCCCAAGGCCTCTACAGCTCTGCGAGAGGTAAAAGGACCTCTGTGGGTGCCCAAGTTCTTTGGTTTTGTGTGTGGGGGGGTGGGCTTTAGCAAAGCCCCAAGGGTGCAGGCTTTTGCAGCCTCCTGAACTTGCAGTGGGAAGTGAGCCCTTGCCTTAGCAGGGCTTGTTGTTTCTGCCTTTCTCCCACCTTACCTTGCTAACAGCGCAGAGTTTGACGGCAATCTCTCCTTACTACGGAAGGAGGCTGAGAGGGAGGTGAAGAGGCAAACCCTGCCCAGGAAAGCTTGGTGTGCTGGGACCTCATGCCCGGAGCTTCTCCAGCCAGTCTCCCATAGTCCGAGATAGTTAGTTATTATTATTTCCCATTATTGAGATTTTCCAGATCCATTTAAAAAAGGACTCTTCCAGTCTAGAGCGTGCTGAATTTTTCAACCTTCAAATTCCAAAATTGAAGGGTGCTAAAATGTTGTATTGGGAACTCAAAATATATTTCGTTTAGTTTTGGTTGGTTAGTAAAATGTGTGTAAAATCACATAGAAATCATTAAAAATGATTGCCAAGTACTTGCAGTTTTTATTATTATTATTATTATTATTATTATTAAACATTACCTGCCATTTTCAGAAGATAAAATTAAAATTCTTTGGTTTTCCAAAAGCAGTTCATGTGCTTCATCATCAAACTTGGACTTGCCAAGCTAAATGTTGTCCAATCAAGAAAATAATAGCAGATTTGAATTCCTCACACCCAAAAACATATTTTTAAGACCCTTCACTGAAGAAATTTGCAAAAATTAAGTTTCAGCCCCTAACTTCTGGAGTTAAAGGAGTGTACACCTTGTGCATTTAACAGAAACTTCCCAGAAGACAGTGAGCAGTTCAGCCCAAAATATTTAGAAAACCACCTGTCTGGGCCGCTCTCCTGCGCTTTTATTCTGTAGCTCTGTCTTGTTCTTTTGGCTGTTGCATAATTACCACCTGTTTAAGATATTACAGGGGTTATTTCTCTTTAAAATGTGTACATGGGGGGGGGGACGCTGCTGGGGCTCTCCTGAAAGACATGTTCCCTCCCCGTTTTTCTTCAGGCGACAATATCCCTGCAACCGTTTTCTATATTGCCTGTGTGATTTTCAGACTCCCAGCAGTAACCTCCTTTCTCTGACTTGCCTTCTTTTTCCCTTCTGGGGAAGCTTGAGGGCGGGGGCCTCTCATACTGGCGATGAGGCACAAGAGCACTTAGTGGGGGAGGAAGCAGAAGAAGCCCTCTCTGCAGCCCCTCCATTGCCTCCGTTCTGAGAATAAATTGCCCAAACAGCCTGAGGGTTCTATTATTATTATTATTATTATTATTATTATTATTATTATTATTAAATGTTATTTATACCCCGCCCTCCCCAGCCAACACCAGGGTGGCCAACACCAGTGTAAAACAATTGATTGAAATACAACATTAAAATGCAGCCTCATTTCAGTAGGAACTCAATCAAAAACTTTGGGGGCGGGGGGATGAAAACGTCGAATCTTCACCAAGGCCAACTATCCAGACTGGTCCTACACAGGCCAGAAAAGCCAGGGAAGTCCCCAAATAGGAGTTCCATCACAGTTCCATCACAGAAGAAGAAAGGAAAAAGGAAGAGGGGGAGGGCGGGACGGCTGTGTGTGTTCCCTTTTCTTCCTCCCCCCTGCCCTCCCCCCACAACCTGAGCTGACATTTTCAGGGTTCTCCTGCAGTTCGGCTGCCATGGACAGACCCTGCCACCTTCCTCTTTTGCCCCCCCTCTCTTTCCGTGCGTCCTGCTGTTCTTGCAGCTCCCTCACCGCTGTTCCCATCCTCGCAGGAGACGCTTCCTTTCTCTGAGCTGGGGGAGGCGGCTGATTCTGCAAGCCCCTTCTGTGCAGCTACTGCTTCCTCCACCCAGCTCTATCCAGGGAGGACAGAGGTAATGCTATGTGGCTGCCTGTCTGCATGCCTGCCTGCCTCTGAGCTGCTTTCCCGCTTGTTGCATGCGCTGCAACATCTCCTCCCCGCTTGGCTTGGCTGTGCCCATCGGTGGCTGGACTTTGCAGCGTGCCTTAGATCTGTGGGCAGGTGTTTCAGCCCAGACTTGACTCTGGAATACATCACTTCTTCCGTCCGACTTCCATGTTTGCGCCCTTGCAGAAAAACGCTCCTGCCTGCTGACTTTCCCTGCTCTCTGCCAGTGTGATGTCTGCTCCCCACAGATCCCAAGAACTGCATTGAGCAGTGGGCACCAGTGTTCCTGGGTTTGGCAGAGGCACTCACAATATGGCCTCACTTGGGCAGGATGCTCTACTCTGGTGAGCTCTTGCAGGTAGATGCCACCTGGCACAGCTGTGGGCCACAGGCCACGGGCAGGTTAGGCCCTTCCCAGGTTGCCATGCTTGTGTGTGTGTGTGTGTGTGTGTGTTCGTGTGACATTGCTCCCTTGGCTCAGTGCCCCAATCCCTCTCTGATTCTCCTCCTCCTCCTCCTCCTCCTCCTCCTCTCTGCCTGGCTGCTTCTAGGAGTACGTGAGACTTTCTGACGTTTTCCCATTTTGCGGCTGTGGGCCAGATGCTAGCACCGCACCTGCCGTCCCCTCACCTGCGCCCCCACTGTCCTATGAGGTACCTGCCTTTCCGGTCCCATTGCTGGGGCTGGTGCAACAGTACATGCAGCCGAGGGAGATGTCTAGGGGCAGGTGGGAAAGGGGGTACGTCCATATTCCATGCTACCTCCCAACAAGAAGGAGCCTACTCTAGCCCAGCCCAGTTTTTGGGGGGTCCCTAGCATAGCCTCCTCCACAAAAAGGCTGCTGTGGGGGAGGCTGGTGTTCTCCCCCCCCCCAACTCCCTCTCAGCCTCCTCCCCTCCCCGCATTCTCCTCCGGCTTTGTGCACTCCCGGACTGCTTGCAGCCTGCCTCTCACTCTTTGCCTTTTCCTTCCTGCCCAGTACGTGACAACTGACCAGCTGGCAGTGATTCTGGGCAGCGTCAGGTCGGCTGTAGGGCTCGCCCACTCCCCCAGCCCCCCCGTGGCAGACTCCGCTGCTTCTGCCCTGCCGGCGGCGCTGCTCTGCTCCTCCAGCTGCCCCCAGGTTTGTGCTTCTGCGGCAACCCCCACCCTCTTGCTACCTCCTCCATCGCTTCCTTTGGGGTAGGCGGGCTGCCCTGCACACTGTGGCAAGGCACTGGGGCAGGGGTTGAGGAGCAGGGGGTCTTGAGTTATAGCTGTGTGTGTGTGTGTGTGTGTGTGTGTGTATGTATGTATGTATGTTTGTTTGTTTGTCTGTCTGTCTGTCTGTCTGTCTGTCGGGGGCAGTGGGAGAGAGAGGGAGGATTCTTTTGGCCTTGAGGTCTATTTATTTAGAATACTTACCGTATTTTTCGCTCCACAAGACACACTTTTTCCCTCCTAAAAAGTAAGGGGAAATGTGTGTGCGTCTTATGGAGCGAATGCAACCGGGAGGCAGGCGGGAAAAGCCCCCAAGAGCCGCACTCCCTTTCACGAGCCGTGTGGAGCGTGTGTGCAGCTCTTGGGGGCTTCTCCCTCCTGGGGAAAAGCCTGCAAGCGCCGCACACACACTCCACGTGGCTCGTGAAAGGGAGCACTTTCAAAACTTTTTTCCCCCTTGCATTCCCCCTCTAAAAACTAGGTGCGTCTTATGGAGTGAAAAATACGGTATATCCTGCTGCTCAGTGAGTTCTCCATTAGAAGAATAAGGTGCAGGAGAGCCAGACCCACACATCTCTGCAGGCTGGGCAGGGGCTGGTGCCTAACATCTGTCTGGCCTGCGTGCTGTTGCTTTTCGGCCAGCTGCCCGTCCGAGTCTTTCACGCTGTCTCCTTCCTCTCTCTCTCGCCCTCCTTCGCCACCACCCTCTGCCCGTCACCCTCAGAGAGAGCCGTGGTGGGCAGAGAGCGCAGTGCGGCTGCCACTTTTCGCACAGGACCTCCCAGCTGGCTTTGAGGCTGAAGCAGACCCCCCTGCTGCTTGTCTCTCCTCCTCCTCCTCCCCTCCTCCTCCTCCTCTGCCTGCTAAAGCTCACTCGTCTCCAGACCCACGACAGGTAATGAACCGTCCCCGGATGAGGTGCTGCTGTGCCCCTTGGAGCCCCCCCCCACGTCCCACGTGGGCGCAAGCCACGCCCTCTTTGCCAAACCTCTTTCCCTCCTGCAGGTCTATCGCTCCAAGATGGATGGTGGCTCCAGCAGCTTGGCTTGGCCCAAAGGAGGCAGCTCCTCCTCACAGCTCAACATGGCCACTCTGGGACGCAGCCCCTCGCCCAAGGTACAGTGGGGCAGCGGGCGAGGTGTGGGGGGAGCCTCGCCAACAGCCTTGTTTAGGGAAGCTTTTAATGTTAAATAGGTTATTGTATTTTAGTGTTCTGTTGGAAGCCGCCCAGAGTGGCTCTGGCCAGATGGGTGGGGTATAAATAAAAAATTATTATTATTATTATTATTATTATTATTATTTATTATTATTATTATTTGCTCCTAAGCCCCTTACTCAGGCCCTTCTCCCTCTTGCATCCCCTGAGGTCCCTCATTCCACCTGCACCCCAAGCTGGGCCTAGTGAGTATCTTCAGAAAACCCTCCTGTCTCTCATCCTCCCTCCCCCCCCCCCACAGCAACTGCCACCCCCCAAGATTTGGCCAATGTGACTGATGGAGCTGAGGAACTGGTATCAGTGGAGCACAGCACCCCTTCCTCAGTCAGTGAGCATTTGTCAGGGACTGGGCAGATGAGGAATGATGGAAACCACCTCCCCAGCCTGACCCTTCCAGAGAAGAAGACGACAGTTCAGAATTACAACAGGGGTTTGAGGGAGATCACAGTTCAGAGGCAGATGGAGGGCGGAAACTGGGAAATAATGGGAGAGGAGGAGGAAGAGGAGGAAGAAGCACGAGGGGAGAGACAGCTGACAGACTCAGTGTATTTAGAAAGTATTCCAGACCCCTCTTCTCCCAGAACCAGGTGGGCATTGAAAGTAGGAGAGCAGAGAGCTCAGAGGCAGAAAGCTCAGATCAGCCACCATGGGGATGACGCATAATGGGAGAGAAGGAGGGGGTGGGGTTTCACTCGGAGCAACACCATTACTCGAAGAAGCCGCATTTCTAATCCTCTCTCTGTGAATATTGAATAAAAAGCATTGGTAAGAACTTCCTTATCCATTTCTGGCAACCTACCGTGTGGGGTTGGATCTTCTGAAGCCTGACAGCATAGCACCCTGCTCTAGGGACAGGTGGGACTGAGAAGTCTGGCTTCCAAACTGCTTCTCTCCCGCAGAGCTCCCTGTCCCCACAAAGCAGCACCGGCAGCCTCCCTCGGAATCTGGCCAGCACCCTGCAGGATATTGAGAGCAAGCGCCAACTGGCCCTTCAGCAAAAGGGTGGGTGCTGGGGAGCAGGAGAGAGTGGTTTGGGGTGGGGGGCAGGAGAATGTCCGCAGCCCAGCCAGCTCCTTTGCTCGCTGGTCTGATGTTGGCGAGGGGTGGTGGCTTTGGCATCTCTGCCCCGGACTGGGGTGTGTGGGTGTCTTCCTGGCGTAGGAATGCCTTCAGGGACTGGCGGGAGGGCGCTGAGCTGCTGCCCCTGGCGCTCAGCCTGCTTTTGTCCTGGGCATCTCTGCAGGCCAGCAGGTGATTGAGGAGCAGCGGAGGCGCTTGGCTGACCTGAAACAGAAAGCGGCGGCCGAGGCTCAGTCCCAGTGGGAGGCCCTGCATGGGCAGCCCCTTCCCCCTTCTCCGTACTCCCCCCTCATCCACCACTCCATCCTCCATCACCACCCACCGGGGGGCCTGGGCCTGCGCGCCAACGAAGACGGGGAGCGTGCCTACGACACCCTCAGCCTGGAGAGCTCCGACAGCCTCGACACCAACCTGTCCACGAGCGGCAACTCCGCCTGCTCCCCGGACAACGTCTCCAGGTACAGCGGGACAACAGCCGCCGTCCCTGAGGCCCGGCAGAGCAGCTCAGCCCCTTCCCTGCTTAGGGAAGGAGGAGGACACTCTCTTCCTCTTCCTCTCTTGTGGATCAAGAGGCAACCCTGGGCTTGGCTGCCTTCTCTGCCCCTGCTACTCCCCTCTCCCCATTCCCCTGCCCCCCAAATGTCTCTATCAGCTTCTCCTGGGCTGAAGGCAGAGCTCCCTGCAGGGAGGCAGAAACTGAGCTGCCCTCTGGCCCTCCCCGCAAGCAGTGAGTATTCCCTCCGACCACCATCCATCCATTTCCTCCATTTCTCGCATGGCTCTTGAGCGTTGCCTCTGCCCAGTCTGGGTGTTGCCCCGTAGCAGAGAAGCCCACTGGCATGGCTCGCCGCTGACAGCCTGGCTTTGCCTTGCAGTGCCAGCGGGGCAGATGCAGGGAAGATCGAGGAGATGGAGAAGATGCTGAAGGAAGCCCACGCAGAGAAGTCGCGCCTGATGGAGTCGCGGGTGAGAGAAAAGCTGGTGGCTGAGACATCCCAGCCACCTCCCCTTATCTCTTGTATTCCCCCTACGCTCCCTCCCCTTGGTTGGGCACTGCAGCCCCTTCTGCATTTCACGTGGATGTTGGGTCTCCACCAACTGAAAATGTTCCTTCCCCTTGGCAGGGTTTCTTATCAGCTCTCCTTTCTTGGCAAGCAGGTGAGGGATTATTTCCCTCTGGCTGATGCCAATCACATGGGCTGATTGGGGAAAATGTTGGTGCAGAGTCAAGAAGGGAAGGGAGACTGTAGCTCATTGGTAGTGCAGAAGGTCCCAGGCTCAATGCTTGATGGCATCTCCAGGTAGGGCTGGGAATGTCCCCTGCCTGAATCCCTGGAGAGCCACTGCTGGTCAGTGTAGGCAGCACTGAGCCTAAATGGACCAGTCATCTCATAAGGCGACTTATGTTCCCATTAAACAGCATCCCTTTCTTCTGAACCATAAGCGCTGGAGTCTTACAGCAGACACCTCAAAAAGAGAGTAGCTCACTAGGTAGGGCTAAAGCTTGGTGCTAGAGGATCTGCTTTGCAAGCAAAAGCTCCCCAATTGCATCCTCAGCATCTCCAGGTATATCTGGGGAAGATCTCCTGCCTGAATCCCTGGAGAGCTGCTGCCAGTCAGTGTAGGCAGTCCTGAGCTACATGGTCCAACGGGTCTGACTCTGCATCCCTGTATGGGTACATATGGGCAGGTGGCATCCCAGGGTGGGACAGGGCAAGGTGCTGATGTGGGATGCCCCTTGCAGGAGCAAGAGATGGAGCTGCGGCGCCAGGCCCTGGAGGACGAGCGGCGGAGGCGGGAGCAGCTGGAGCGGCGTCTGCAGGATGAGACGGCGCGGCGGCAGAAGCTCATTGAGAAGGAGGTCAAGATGCGAGAAAAGCAGTTTGCCCAGGTATGGGGGCAAGGGGCTGAGCACAGCTCCTATTCTTCTGGTCCCAGTTAGGAGAAGCAGAACAGGTGGCAGGGAGGCTTCTGCTTCGCTGCCCAGTAAATCATGCCATGTGGCTTCTCCCACTGGACCTTGGGAAACTCCCTGGGGTTGGGGGGTCTGAAAGGACAACCAGCATTTAAGAGGGGAGCCTGCCAGGATTCTTCATAGCCAGCCCTGCTGAGCCCTTCCTTCCCTCCATGGGCCTGGCCTAAGTCCGGGTGCCGCCATTTTGAACGAACCGTTGCCACTCCCTGACACGGAATGAAGTTCATGCACGATCTGACCTGCTCGGTCATCAGGCACAAAAGCAAAATATGTGAAATGAGGGCATTATCGGGCTTCTAGCTAAACGGGCTTGGGGATTGCAGCTGGTTGCGCTGAACAAACTTGGGGTCCCTCCTGGCTCTGGCATGCAGCTCCTCCTTCAGTGTGGCTCCCATGAGCTGGGAGCCCTGGAGGCTGCACTGGGCCCGACATGGGAACTGCCCTCTGCCCCACACAGGCCCGCCCTCTGACGCGCTACCTGCCTATCCGCAAAGAGGACTTCGACCTGCGTTCGCACATTGAATCATCTGGCCACAGCGTGGACACCTGCAGCCATGTCATCCTCTCTGAGAAGATGTGCAAAGGCTACCTGGTCAAGATGGGGGGTAAAATCAAGTCCTGGAAGAAGCGATGGTTCGTTTTTGACCGCCTGCGGCGCACTCTCTCCTACTACGCAGGTAAGCCCTGTTACTTTAAAAAATTAAGGGGTTTGGTTTTTGCTGCCCAACTCCCCAAGGGACTGAGTCCTCTAAGTCCATGATTAGTCAGAGATAATGGATGGAGGCAAGATCCATAGAAGGCAAGGCAGATCTTTATTTTTCTGTTGCAATGGAGTTCCCTCCCCTCCTTGCAAAAAGGTAGAAGAGACCCTGATCAATGGTGTGCAAGCCCCTATAAAGACTTTGGAAATTGCCCACCCTGGAAGTAGCCTAAGACCACCCCCCAAAACATCATACATACATCACAGGAGGCAGAGGTCTCCAGCAGAAATTTGAGAGTGTTGCTTCTCTCCTGTCTGCCAGGATAATGCTTCCTTCAATGGAATTTATGGGTAGCCTGGTCATTCCTTTGAGATGGTAAACACTTTAGTTCCTGAAACTCTTACACATATTGATAGTTTGCTCAGCTTAACAGATACTTGCCAGACTGTATTTGCAGGGAGGTGTAAGCCCCTACAGTCCAAAGACCATTGGAAAGCTTTTCCCATTTTCTCCCTCCTTGCAGAGAAATATTTTGGGACAATTTGAGAGAATCAAAATGGCTTCAGGATTGCTCTCCTGTACTGTTTCAGACACATGGTTTATATACTTATGTACAGTGGTGCCTCGCAAGACGAAATTAATCCGTTCCGCAAGAGTCTTCGTCTAGCGGTTTTTTCGTCTTGCGAAGCAAGCCCATTGACGGATTAGCGCTATTAGCGCTATCAGCTGTTTAGCGGCTATTAAAGGCTTAAAGGCTTAGCTGCTAAAAGGCTATTAAAGGCTATTAAAGGCTTAGCAGATTAGATAAAGGGGAAAGCGAAAAAAAAATCTCAAGACTCGCAAGGGATTTTCGTCTTGCGAAGCAAGCCCATAGGGGAATTCGTCCTGCGAAGCAACTTCAAAACGGAAAACCCTTTCGTCTAGCGGTTTTTCCGTCTTGCGAGGCATTCGTCTTGCGGGGCACCACTGTATGCGTGTTTACCTGAAACATTGATGAACATCTATTCTGTATCTGAGACCTTAGAATTCTTATAACAGCCCTGCCCTCTCTCTCCTGCCCAGAATTAGCCTCACTCTTCTGACTTCCCTCTTCTCTATCCTATGCAGACAAGCACGAGACGAAGCTCAAGGGCCTCATCTACTTCCAGGCCATTGAGGAGGTTTATTACGATCACTTGCGCAGCGCAGCCAAGGTGAGCGAAGCAGGGAATACAGGATCCCTTTCTGGGGGCAGCCACTTCACATGGGGGCGGGGGCTGGACGGGTAGTCAGGGTGTTGCTGGATTTAACGCAGCCATACAGCCAAGCCTCCTTCCCTCTTAGACTCTTACTTCCCTTCTCTCTCTGCCCCTTTCTTTCTTTCTCTCTCTCTCTCTCTCTCTCTCTCTCTCTCTCTCTCTCTCTTTCTCCTCCTCCAGAAGGGATTCTTCTCTCTCAGCCTGGCCAGTGTAGGTACCATCCTCTTTTATAGGCATGCCTGGTGGCTCCCCCTAAATGCTGCGCTGCCTTGAGCATTTGAACTAACACGGCCTCCTTGTACTGGAGGGTTTCGGCTGCATTTTGACCTGAGCTCAGTGCCTGTGTGTGGAGCGGGAGACAGGATTTAACAGCGTGCCATGACTTCTCAAAATAATAATAATTAACAACAACCCTCCTGGCTGTCAGAATGGCATTGAAAAGTGTGCAGGCTGGACACTGGCTGGTATTCCCTGGTGAAGAATTCGGGTCCTCTGAACGCAGAATAAATCTTAAAATGATGCAGGCTGGAGGGCAACATTCACAGGGCCCTACCACCGACTGCAATCGCAGCCCAGCTTCCTCTCAGCCATGTTTCATCCTGCAGTCAAACTGGCCTTGGGCGCTTCTGCTACTAACTTGAGCCATGCCTGGTGGCTGCACCCAGCCTTCAAGCCCAGCTCCTCCTCCTAAGGTGCCTTTAATTCTCTCCTGTTTTTCTATTCTCTTCCAGCACCTAGCCGACTTTCTCCCTGCCCCCTTCAGTGGAGAGGTTGGTCTCAACGCTCCTTACCGTGCATTGGGGGGTGGGGGCAAGATGGGGGGTGTTTGTGGAAAAGCAGCCTCTGCTTAATCTTACTGGGTTCAGTGATTTTTGGTCAGGGGGTAGATATGGCATCTCTCCGTTCCACAAGCTGGTTTCTTAACACACTCCCTCTAGCTGCCCTGAGTCTCTTTCCAACTTCCTTAGTGCTAACGGAACCAATTTTTGGGGAAAGGCGAGAGACCTTCTAGCTAGGGGAAGCTTGCACAGCCAGGTGAGCCTGTCTCTTCTCTCGGCAGAGCCCCAACCCTGCCCTCACCTTCTGCGTCAAGACTCACGACCGCCTCTACTACATGGTGGCCCCATCGGCCGAGGCCATGCGCATTTGGATGGATGTCATTGTGACAGGAGCAGAGGGCTACACGCAGTTCCTGAACTGACGGAGGGGAGGGCCAGAGGATGCCACCGTGAGCCCTGGCCTGGCTGCCTCTTCCTCTGCGAGGGAGGCAGGAAGAGACACCAGTCGGCCTCGCTTGGACTGACAAGGCCCTGCCAGGCCTCCATCACTGCCGCAGCTGTAGGAGGGCAGCCTCGTGGGACCACCTGTGCCAAAGATCTCGCGCTACCCCAGAGGGCAGGCCCAGCTCTGCCCCATCCTCAGTTCCTGCAAAAAAGTGCTCAGGGCCCAGGTAGCAGCAGAAGTCAGCTGGGGGAGACGCAGGTGCCTTCTGGCGCTTAGCCCAGTTTTCTTCCTCCTAAGGAAGGAAGCCTGTGCCAGCTGCCCTATAAACCGCAGGGGAGGGTGGGCTTCACCTACCACCATGTGCCTTGTTGGGGGGGAGAGAGTAGCATCCGACGCCTGTTCTCCCTGGCTTTGTCTAGTCCAAGGCTCAGGGTAGGGTACTGGGAGCAGGCAGACCTCTCCCCACACCTTCCCTGCTGCCAGGCGAAGGTGGGATCCAGCTCAGCCCAGTCCTCTTCCCATCCTACCCTCGGCCAGAAGAGGTGGATTTCTTTTCTTTTGCCTCGGTGGTCACTTTTATACCTTGCTTTAAAAAACTACAGCAGCTCTCTTTCTGTGCCTCAGGGCTGTTGAGGTTGCTGCTGTTGGGGGGGGGGGAGGACAATAAAACCTTTTATGTAACTAGAGCCTGATCATTTGCTTCTTTTCCTCCATGTAAAGGGGACCGCCAGGAGGTAACAGCAGCATCCCCCCAACTTCACCCACAGTGCGCATCATGTAGTGTTCTTAAAGGGTGGCAGGTTTGCATCTGTCCCCTGGGCAGGGGGGGCCTGTCCTGAGAGCCAAGCTCTAGCCCCTCTTGGTTGCCATAGCCATGCCCAGCATTGATTTGGGCATTATTAGAAACAAGTTCGAAGTCTGCTTGTGTTTAAACAAATCCTGGAGGGAATCGCACCTAGGGCAGGCACTAGTTCCACAGAAACCTCTGAGCGGCCTTTCTTGGGCAGAGCAAAGGTCTCACAGTGGCAAAGGCACAGTCTCAGGCAGGACAGTGGCTGCTGCGTTAAGGCCTGGTGCTTCTGCCAGAGGCAATACCAGTACAGTGGTACCTGAGGTTAAGTACTTAATTCGTTCCGGAGGTCCGTTCTTAACCTGAAACTGTTCTTAACCTGAAGCACCACTTTAGCTAATGGGGCCTCCCGCTGCCCCTGTGCCGCTGCCGCGCGATTTCTGTTCTCATCCTGAAGCAAAGTTCTTAACCCGAGGTACTATTTCTGGGTTAGCGGAGTCTGTAACCTGAAGCGTATGTAACCCGAAGTACCACTGTAAGTGCCATCAAGCCTGTCTTTTAGAAGTTACTGATACTCCCATTGTCATCCTCCAGGAATTAAGTCTAATCCCATTTTTAAAGCTGTCTTAAATTACTGGGCGCGTCAGTACTTGTGGGACTGAATCAGGAAGAACTTTCTGACAGTAAGCGCTGTTCAAGAGTGGGACGGACACCCTTGCGAGGTGGTGGGCTGTCCTTCCTTGGAGGTTTTTAAGCAGAGGTTGGATGGCCATCTGTCATGGATGCTTTAGTTGAGATTCCCGCATCACAGGGGGTTGGACTAGATGGTCCCCCCTTATGATACTATGAACGCCGTAGTTTAACTAGGCCCTGTTTGAAGAAATCCTTCCTTTTGTCTGAATTGAATCTCCCGACAATCCCCTTTGTTGGGTGGCCCTCAAGTCCCAGTATTACAAGAAAATCTCCCTCTTCCTTTTTCCCACAACCCAACATAAATTTAATACCGCAGTCCTGTCCCCCTTAACTCCCCCTATGCTAAAAATGTTTGCAGCAGCCCCTTGATGATTGCGGCTGTTCTCATCCAAACTTTCTCCTTCTCTACAGTGTTCTTTATTTTAAGGGAGAAATCGGAGATGTACACAGCATTGTAGCTGCTTAAAGGCAGTGCAGTGTCAAAGCTTCTGGTAGGACCAGGCAGACATGCTCTAGTTAGCCTTCCTTGGCTCCTGCCTCTTTTCCTCAAGATCTGGGAGTGATTACAAGGCACTGTCCCTAGGTCAAGCCCCTCTTTTCAGAGGCAATATACCACTTGCTGAGACAGCCTTTCCCAACCTGTGGGTCCCCATATGTTGTTGGACTACAACTCCCATCACCCCTAGCTAGCAAGGCCAGAGCTGAGGGATGATGGGAGTTGTAGTCCAACAACATATGGGGACCCACAGGTTGAGAACCACTGGTCTAATGGATATTTGTGGGAAGGGACCAATGTTAAGCAACATCCAGAAGGAGGAGGAGGAGGACGGTGAGTGACCTGATCTCCCAAGGCGCTGATTTAGCCATTACTGCATTTCTATTCCCAATTTTTCTCCAAGGAGCTCAAAATGGTGTACCTGGTCTTCTTCCTCAATCAATCCCCAGAACAACCCTGTGAGGGAGGTTCGGTTGAGAGGCAGTGGCTGGCCCAAGGACACCCCATGAGTGTCACAGCCATGTGGGGATTTGAACTCTGGTCCTAGTCGAACACTAACCACTGCACAACACTGCCTCGCTTCCTGTAGGCTTTGCACAAGTGGAATGTGGTGGTCAGGGCGGGTTATCGCGTGTAGAGAGATGCAGAGGAGAAGCAAGCAAGTTGGCTTTATTCTCTGGCCCCAGCCATGCAGAGCACCAGCCCACCCAGACAGACATCAAAAGGACAGCCACTTTTGGTGATGGAGCAACATTCTGGGCCAGCAGCAGCCGCCACTCCTAGATCAAGGACAGAACAAGGCAGGCCCCAACGCAGAGCCAGGAGCGAAAGAGCAATGTGCCTGCAGAGGTGAGGCGGTCGCCATAGAGATGCAGGAGACGCAGAGCCAATCCATTGGTCCAACCAAACCCCTCCTGCAAAAGGAGATGGGAAGGTTAATCCAGGCTTCACAGCGGCTGCAGCCAGGTGCCCCTACATCCAGCCCCATATGTGGTGGAAGCAGGCACCAGTTTATGGCTTTGGTGGGGGAAAAGGCTTAATGCCTCTCACCTGTACTTGATACTCTCCCCCACCACCCGGTTTTCCATCGCCTTCGACATCATACTGGAGAAAAAAAGGGGGGAGTTAGGGCAGACAGGCAGGTACACAACCTCAGTAAGGTGTGGGTAAGGATGACGCTGGGTATGGAGTGTGTGGCAGGACAATCACTCCACCCAGAGCAACACGGGGAGGGTTTTCTCTTCTTGTACCCGAAGCAGGCTTGGAGGACAGCTAAGAGAGCTTGCAAACGCCTGTTCGCCAACCCCATTGGGAATAAAGGATGGCAGTGGCTAAGAGTACCAGACACGGGATTATGTGCTATGTAGCAGCAGCAAGACAAGGCTGGTCTGGGAGCACAGAGGTTGTGTGTGTGTGTGTGTGTGTGTGTGTGTGTGTGTGTGTGTGCATCTTACCTTCTCATACATGTAGTGGTATTTCTCGTAGACAGCCAGATTCATGCTGATCCAGCGCTGTGCCAAAGTGAAGGCCAGTTCTTGTGCTCGAGGCAATGAGGACTTGGCCAGACCTGGCGAGCACAAAGTGCTGTCAGAATGCAAGCAGGGGTGGCAGCGGCCCTGCAGAGGAGCAGTGCAGCATCTTTCCCTGGGTGAGGCAAGGCTGCAACTGGCAATAGCAGACCAAGAAGGGGTGGGTGGAAACACCCCTTCTGTGCAATTGGCAGAGGGGCATATATTTGCAACACCTGGAACTAGTAAACCTCCAAAGAGAGAGCTCTGTTTTCCCTTTAGAACATTTCAGAACAGGGCTTTACCTGAGATCACCACGTCCTGGAGAGGGGCCCAGGCATTTGGCAGGTCCCACTGCTGCTGTGTTCGAACCAGAGAGGTGGGCACTCCGTGGGGATAGGAGAGCGCTGAACTCGACTGCGGGCACAAACACACTGTGTGGTTCAGAGGCAGTTTTAGGGCAGTGCAACCCGTTTGGCCTCACTGCAGGGGGCACCTCAACAATGCTATAGAGTGGAGCAAGAAAGCAGTGTGTGTGTGCCAAATTTCGGCATTGCACAGGGCACCATTTTAATAATTGAGAGCCCAAAGTCTGCCACTGTGTGTCTGGAGCAACAATGAGCAGAAGGGCACCTTCAGGAATCAGGACAGAAGGGACCAGTGGCCTGGACAGAGGGTGAGGCTGGTGTAGCAGAGGGTGCCATGGGGTCGCCCATGCAACACAGCGCATAGAGTTGGGCAAGTGCAAATCACAGGTACTGTAGGGAGGTAGAAGTAGCAGGTGAAATTTAGCGTGTTGTTTTATTATATATGTATACCACCTATACCCGCAGGTCTCAGGACGGTTACAATATAAAATCACAAAATACATAACAAAAACACACACACACACTTTTTAAGTGGGCATTGGATGTCACTTTAAAGTAGCATTTTTGCCTGGCACCTAATGGTGTATCGTGTAGGTGTCAGCTGAACCTCCCTGGGGAGAGGTACAGTTGGTAGCTGCCTGACCAGGGACTTGGTGCAGGTTTTCCACAAAGCCTTCCTCTAAAGGAGAAGGCCTCATGGTTTCCCTGGCAGTTCATTCCACCACTGCTCTTTCTGGTCAGAAGTTCTTGCTCAACATGCCTCCTGTTGAAAACCCAGAGGGCTTCTCTCCCACTAAACTTGGCAAAGCGCTTGGAAGGCTTATTTCAACAGTGCTCCACTCACTGGTGGAGGAACGGGAGTGTGGAGGGAGCGGACCGCCCCCGGTACCACTATTCCGGTAGGGTGCCATCGTAGCAGCCCCCGGACACGCACCACCACCCCACACACCAGGTGCCACGCCCCCCTCCAGAAGGCATGTCACGCCCCCAGGGGTGCCAGCCACGCCCCCGCCTGCTCTCTGCCCCCAGTAGCGGTGCATGCAGCTTCGCCACTGGCTCCACTCTCCTTCCTGCACGCCTGCTCTGGCAGATTTCCTTTGAAGCCTGCCTTAAACTCCAAAGTGCCCCCAAGAGCACCCAGGAATCCATCTGGGTGAAGAGAAGGGTGCCCACATTCCCCAGCTCTTGGAACTGTTCCCAATTCCCTCCAGCTAGCTGGAGAGGTCCCAGCCTCCACCTCTGATACTCCCCTCTCCCCAGCCCAGTCGCACCTCCCTACGTCTGCTTACCTCCAGGTAGCGAAGGGCTTTCTCAGAAGTGGCCACATCCACCCCACATTCCATCCACAGGGGCATGAGGTTGGTTGGATAGAAAGCCTCGTTGTGCCTGTGGTGTAGTAGGTTGTAGTCCAGCCAGACCTCAGTACTGTTGCTCCAGAGGACAGCACGGATGGCAGCCACCCGTTGCTCGTGAGCAGCCTGGAACAAGTTGGCCTTCTCGTTGTTCCCTGGAGGGGCAACAGCAGCCTCAATTTATGCAGCTCCAAAAAACCTCTGTCCTGTAAGCTCAGCTTCCAGTTAATCCAGGGTGGATCCTCTCTCCCCAGCTGGCTAGACCTCCTTTCCCCAGCATCACACAGGGATGCCAGCTCACCTCTGCCAAGGTGGCACTCACAGCAGCTGTGCAACACCAACTGCAGGGGTGGACTACGAGGTTCCCCCTGACTATGCAGCTGTGTCATCCTGTGCCTGGGAGCCAGTCCAAGAAACCATTTGCTCTGCACCTACCAGGGATGTGGGCTGCACCATTCAAGACCCCTGCAGCCACATACCCCATAACTTTAAGCATGACATCCAGGAATTACAGAAGTCATCCCAGCTTCTCATTGGATCCCGAGATGTCCTGGTTTGGCTCCCACAAACCTGCCACCCCAGAAGATACACATCCCAATTTTCCTCTGCGGCGTGTTGGAGGCTATGTCCTCATTGGGCTCCCAGGGGATACCTCATCTCAGATGTCTCACCCAGAACCCCATAGAATGTGGCCAGAAGCTGTTCCACCCTGCAAAGGATGGCGTTCAAGTCCACTGGCACGATGGCACTGGTTTTGGTGTCTTTCAGAGAGGCCTCAAGCAGGGATGACTTCGGGAGGAACCAACGAGAGGAAAAATCCCAGCCTGACTCAGCTGCACTCTTCAGCTCAGCCCAGAGGATTTCCCGGGCTCCTGTGTAAAGAAACAGGACAGGAGAAGAAAAAAGATAATCAACGAGGCAGGGCAGGGAGAACCACCCCAATGTGCCTTGCACTGCCTTCAGTATCCCAAATAAGGCCTAGATGGAGCTCTCCTGTTGTCTCCCCCTGGCTTACAAGGCCAAGCAACACCCCACCAGGTCATGAGGGAAATCCCTGGGACCCTGTTGGCTGGCTGGGGAGCATGAAACCCTCCTCTGCCCACAGGCTCAGCTCTGGGTCCAACCTAGAAAGCAGCCCTACAGGGATGCAAAGGGTGGAAGCTTGCAGGGCTAGTTACCTTCATCTAAGCCAGCAGCAGTTTCCACATCCTTCATGTAGGACTCTGGTCTGGGAGGAGGAGGAGGAGGAGGGTGAAATAATGTGGATTTAGTGAGAATTCAGTTCTTAGAAGCCCATCGCCACCTCAGAAGATGGGCATGTGACTGCCCAACCAATTCCAAATGTGATGCATTGCACACCTCACCTGGGCTCCCCAACTTGGACATTGTAACAGTTCAAGGTGTATTCCTTGCCCCAAAAGGAGACATTGACAGCCCGATGATCTTGCCAAAACTGGTACTCAGCCTCAAGGAGACGAAGATTGTTCCTGAGGTAGGGGGGAAAGAGCCAGAAAGAGCAACTGGGCACAATTGGCAGGGTATGTCCCGGCTGGGAAAGTTCCTAGAGCAAACCTTTTCAGCAGGGGGCCGGTCCACTGTCCCTCAGACCTTGTGGGGGGTCGGACTATATATTTTTTTTTAAAAAATAATGAACGAATTCCTATGCCCCACAAATAACCCAGAGATGCATTTTAAATAAAAGGACACATTCTACTCATGTAAAAACACGCTGATTCCTGGACCGTCCGTGGCCCGGATTTAGAAAGTGATTGGGCCGGATCCGGCCCCCGGGCCTTAGTTTGCCTGCCCATGTCCTAGAGGCAACAGGAAAGGCACTTGGAAGCCACATTTGAGCACAGAGGCTGAAACAGGTGGAAGAAGATGGACACCTTTCTGTCCTTCTCATGTCACCAGCTCCATTCCTACTTGAGCAGGCAGCCCAACCCCTGCCCACACCCAGCATCTCAATAATAATAATAATAATAATAATAATAATATTTTTTATTTATACCCCGCCCTCCCCAGCCAAGGCCAGGCTCAGAGCGGCTTACAAGCAATAATAAAAACAAGTTGGATGATTACAACTTAAAAACAAGATTAAAATACATTAAAATATTGAAACATTAAAATATTAAAATGCAGTCTCATCACAGGAGGAGAAAGGAAAAAGGAAAGAGGGGGAAGGGATCAAGTTGATTCCAAGGCAAAGGCCAGGCGGAACAACTCTGTCTTACAGGCCCTGTGGAAAGAAATCAGATCCTGCAGGGCCCTGGTCTCATGAGGCAGAGCGTTCCACCAGGCCGGAGCCAGTGTTGAAAAGGCCCTGGCTCTGGTTGAAGCTAATCTAACTTCTTTAGGGCCCGGGACCACTAGGGTGTTGCTATTTATGGACCTTGAGGCTCTCCGTGGGGCATACCGGGAGAGGCGGCCCCGTAGGTACAAGGGTCCTAGGCCATGAAGGGCTTTAAAGGTCAAAAGCAGCACCTTAAATCTGACCCTGTACTCCACCGGAAGCCAATGCAGCTGGAAAAGCACTGGGTGAATATGCTCCCATGGCAGAGACCCCGTGAGGAGCCTCGCTGCAGCATTCTGCCCCCGCTGGAGTTTCTGGGACAGCTTCAAGGGCAGCCCCGCGTAGAGCGGGGGAAGAAGCAGAAAACTGGGTTCCCCCCCCATGCCCCCTGCAAAAAAAAAAGGATGGGGACTGGAGAGAACCAGGGCTCTTACCTCAAAAAGTCGGTGTCGTTTGTGTGTTTCCAGTAACTCTCCACCATCAGGGTGAGGAAGGGGGGCTGACTTCGGCGCTCATAGTAGACCCTTCCCCCATTTGGGATGTGGCCCAATCTGTCATCAGGAAGCAAAATTGGAGCAGGAGTGTGTATGGCAGCTTGCGCCAATGAAGTGTGCGCACACAGTGCGCTGATGGGGTATGTGTTTCCCTTCCATTCCCAAAGATAAGCCCAAACACTTCTGGCTGGCCATTCGTTCCCCCTTCTCATCCCTTCGGGAGATAGCCAGAGCAGAAGGAAGAGACCCGCCCTGTCACCCCAGGAGAATCTCACTTGTCCACAAGGTAGAGGAAATTCTCAATCATGCCTTTGGCTGTGGCCGTCATATTGGAGAGCAGCAGCCCTTCAATGACCCAGAAGGAATCCCTGCAGGAAAAGACCAGGGTTCTAGAGGAAGGCAGCAGCAAATGAGAGACCGAAAAGAAGCTGCCAGGCATGGCAGGACCCCCCTCCCGCCAAATCCTTGACTCTACACACTTCTCACCAGTAGTAATATTCAATGAATCTCCCACCAGGCACTATCAGTGGGTTTGGCACGTAGATCAGGGAGTGACGGTCAGGGCTAGTTTTGACTTCTGGTTTCATCTGAAAGGCAAAGCTTTTTCATTTATTTATTTATTATTAATGTTGCAATACATATATGAAATCTTTACATGATGATACATATACATTATATTCGTAAATTCACATTTTCGCATTTCCTTATGTACCAGCATTTATCCATTTATTATTTCTTGCCCTGTGTCTTCCCTCCACCCATGCGTGACTTCCTTATTATTTTATAACTTTATTATTGAGATTGTATTTTTGTATCTTAATAATTAAACATTCAGTCTTATATATCTGCTTAGCTTAACTTGACTTAACTTTGTGAAATCAGTCTATACATATCAATAAATTATCGTTGGAACATGTTTTGGCCATGTATTCTTCTACACATTTCCATTCCTGTTTCGAGATTTTGATTAGATTGCATTCTAATTGTAGCCGTCATTTTTGCTAATGCAATCATTTCAAAAAATTTATGTAGCCAATCTTTCAATGTTGGTACTTCTGATTTCCAATTTTTTGCAGTCAATAACCTTGCGGCAGCTGTTGCATATAAAAAGATTCTCTTCATGTCTTTGGGGATTTCATTTGTTATAATTCCTAAAAGGAATGTTTCTGGCTTCTTTCCAATTGTTGTTTTAAACATTTTTTTCAGTTCCTCATGTATATTTTCCCCCCAAAAAATTATTTTATCACATCCCCACCAGACATGATATAAGGATCCCTCTGATACCTTACATCTCCAACACAGATTCGATGTTAATTTATAAATTTTAGCCAGTTTTACAGGGGTTAAGTACCACCTGTAAAACATCTTCATAATGTTTTCTTTGATAGTAATGCATGTGGTGAAATTAATATCTGATTTCCAAAGTTTTTCCCAATGATCTAATGAAATCGCAAAGATTTGTCTGTCAACCTCTGCTGGGGCACAGCCAGCCCTCAGCTCTGGAGGCCCTTGGGAATTACCTGCCTGCCTAGCTGCCTCCATATGGCATTCAGATCCCGGGCCCAGGACTGCAGTTTCTTGTCCGCAATCCCCTGAAGAAGTGGGGGGCTAGAAAGAGAGCAAAGAGAGTGATGGAGAGGCCAGTCCAGCTGCTCAAGGGCCACATGGCAACTCCCAAAGAGAAGGCAACAATTGAGACCTTGAGGCGCTTCACGAGGCTCTCTCACCTAGTTCTCAAAACCTGCAAGAGCCCTGGGCAAAGGAGAAGGACGGTGCCAGGCACACCACTCAGAGATTTCCTAAGTCATGATGGCTATGCTCTGTCAGCATGATGGGAGGACTGCAATGCATCTGAACACCAGTTGCTGAAAACCACAGGAGGGGAGGATGAACTTGTCCTCAGGGGTCCCGTTTGTGTTTTTCCCATTGGCAGCTCGTTGACCACTCTGAGAACACGATACTGGACTAGATGAGCCCTGATCCAGAAGGGCTCTTACTATGTTCTCATGACAGGGTGTGGTAAGAATGGACTTCTAAACCACCTTGTTGAGGGAACACAACAGTCAGTGTGGTGTAGTGGTTAAGAGCGGTGGACTCGTAATCTGGTGAACCGGGTTTGCGTCTCCGCTCCTCCACATGCAGCTGCTGGGTGACCTTGGGCCAGTCACACTTCTTTGAAGTCTCTCAGCCCCACACACCTCACAGAATGTTTGTTGTGGGGGAGGAAGGGAAAGGAGAATGTTAGCCGCTTTGAGACTCCTTCAGGCACTGATAAAGCGGAATATCAAATCCAAACTCCTCTTCTTCGTCTTCTTCTTAAATAAAACGTGGAGCCAAGGAAATAAAGCAAGTCCAGTTAGGGACCCAGCATTTATTTCTTCTATTGCAATGGGGCAGTGCTCAACTTAATGTGGTTACGGTGTGTTCCCTTAAGCAATGAGCAAGGTGGCACAGAAGCCCATTCTTTCCACAAGGGCGGCACCTTGTGTATGAGTCACCACCCAACTCACCTCGGAAGGTGGCAAAATGAAGAGGAGCCCCTGAACTTAGCAACCAGGCAGGTTTGTGGGAGAAGAGGCAGCCCTTCTAGTAACCTGGCCCCAATACATTTAGGATTGGATAGGTCAATGCCAACATTTTGAACAGAACCCAGAAAGGACTTCGAAGCCAGTGTGACTGTTGAAGACCTGGTAGTCCCACTTAATAGTTGTGCTGCTACATTTTACAGCGAAGTTTCTCAAGAGTCCCAGACGGCAGCTCCACATAAGAGCACGTTGTAATGCTCTGAAACACCTCACAGTCCGAAAGGCATAGAACAGGAGCACACAGCGCCCAGCCCCAGCTCTTTTGCTCCCCGAAACCTGCCCCCAAGCTGTGCTGGTAGAGAGAGGAAGTGGGTAGAGGTGGTCAACACTGAGCAACAGAGCCCTACCTGTCTGTCCAGTCTGGAGGTTCCCAGTTCTCAAGCTCCTGCCCTCGTGGGGAAAAGTTTTCATCTACAAATACTTTCAGCTGCTCTTGGGACAAGTCCCTGCCAGGCGTCTCGTTCACCAACTTCTGGAATCGCTCCAGAACCACCTCTGTGAAGGGAAGAGATATCACAGCAAAGACCAGTCCTTGTCTAGACTCAGGGTATAGGAGATAAGGATGGTTCTAGCAAGCCCCAGCCTTCGATCCCCAAGAAGTCTAACCTCACAGCACCAGCACATTTCTTGCCGTGTGAACAAGCAGCAAATTAGGCCACTCCAACAGAGGTTGGGTGGCTGTCCCCCAAGACCGCCACACCATTCAGGAGATGACAGGTTCCACCTGCAAGCTTGTCTTGCTGTCATTCCGGGTGTTATCCAAAGCTGGCACATTCCAAACTGTGTACGTTTCAGACTTTGAAAGCTCCAGCAAATTGCCTTGACTTGTTACAGAAACCGGAAAACCTGGTATTCAGTAAGCCAAATAGATACACCCTTTGGGGGGAGAGGCTCTGGCCTCAGCAAGAAGAGGGCTGGGGGAATAATGAGGGTCCTCCCCATTGGGTGGAGGGTGGGGTTGACTGGGCCTTGGCCATTCACCTGGACTTTCCTTCAGCGGCATGTCCACAAAGAACTTGTCATCTGTAAAGAGCTTGGCTTGCTGGACCTGCCTCAGCAGCTCCCCGGTGCAGTAGATCTCACTGGAGGGGTGGGGAGAAAGAAGCAAGTGCAAGAGGGTCAGCAAAGACCGCTACCAGCAGAATCCTTCCGTTCTAAAGGCAGTGGGGAGCGGGGAGGGAATTGCCTGCCAGACCTTGGGGTTATCCTTTCCTACAGTGAGCATGGGCTGCACATGGATCCTACAAATACACACTAATATCTTCACCCAATCAAAGTGACTTGAGAGCTGAAAGATTTTTCACAGCATACAGCTGAGGAGGAAGAGGTGACACAATGGAAGACCAGAGGGGAGAAAACTGCAGTCATCCTGGAAAGCGAGCAGAGCAAGGCATGGAGGGGACAGAGGTTCTCCACACTCTGCCTGGCAAGTAACCAGCCAGCCACTTTGCCTGGCACAGAACATCTGAGAACAACAGGACAGTGTGGAACCAGTAGGGGGAGGCTCAGGCCACTTGACACTCTCGCAGCCAACTTCCCTCAAGAGATGAAAGTGAGCCCTGCCTGATGCTGGCAAAGCAAGGGGCCCTTGCGGCTGCTCCTTTCATCAGATCAGCAACCATGGTTCAGAGCAAAGAGCATCTAAGCCCCCTGACTGGGGTGCCTCCTACCATCCTGGGAGAACCTACTGTAACATCTCTGATAACCTCATTTATTTCCTGCTGTTCCCCCAGCGAGCAATGCAGTTCTCTCAGAGGGATTCATGGCTGAGAAGGGATCTTCCTGTATCTTAGGCCAGCACTAACCACTGCAGCACACTCGGGATCCCTTCGGTTTTAGTGCAATGGCAAGGTCTTCAAAAATGCTCTCCTGGGTAGAACCTGAAGAAGCTCATACTCCTGCCCCCTACCCTACCCTCACCCCCGTTTCTCCATAGCCCCAGAAAACTCACTCACCTGTCACAGGGTGGTGGTAAGCTGCTTGCCACTGCCTGCTGCCCAGCAACAGCTACGCAGATGCCCAGGAGCACCCACCAGGCCATCCTGGTGGAACAATTATTTGCTGTAGAGAATTGCTGCAAAGAAAGCTGTTGGACTTTACCCATGTGAAGACCAAAAAGCAACTCTGGAACCTGACCTGGGACTTATTAAGAGAATGTGTAGGTGTGGCTTGTGTACCACAGGCCAATAGCATTTGGCTATGGAAGTTGGGTGGAGCCTGCTGCAGACTGGCACCTGTGGAAGGGACTGGAGCACAGTACTCTGAACTAGGAGTCTAGTTTATGCTCCCATGGCACTCCATGTAAAGAGTAGCAGAATCTGGCACTTACTGATCTATAAAAAGGAAGTCCTCTCTCTCTCCCCCCCCCCCCCCGCTCATGAATGCAGATGAAGTGCTTGCAAAGAAGGATCACTTTTACTTCTGCCTGGCTACTTCTCTTGACCTCCCCCACACAATTGGTGTTGCTCATTCCTTTACAAGGGGCACAAACACCAGGGAAGGCAGCATCCAAACACAGCTGCTCCACTTTGGCACTTGGGTGAAAGCCCTAATTCTACCAGCTGGGCTTGCTGAGATACCTGACGGGAAGTGTTCAGCTAGACCAGAAGCAGGTGCCAGTTCCTCTGGGCCTGGCTTAGACAGTATTGGCACAAGGCAAATTGGTGGCGGCAGTTGAGGGGGGTAGTTTGCTGTCAAGGTCCTGTAGAGAAGCCTATGCATCACATCTTCCCTGGACTTAAATGCTCTCACCACCCCACAAAAGTAAACCACCCCCACCGGACCAAGAAAGAAACTGAAACAGCAAGATTGAGTCCCAGTGAGCTTTTATTGAGCTAATTCTCTCTTGAAAAGTAAGTCAGGCTTTTATCATCCATCACTTCTGCCCTCTGACACAGATATGGTCAGCCTTCTATTACATACTTGTGTGCGCAGACACATATCAAACCAAAAACATGAGCTCTACTGGACATTTGCCAGTTACCAGTTCAAAAAAAGTTTTATTTTCCCTCCCACCCCACCCCATCCCGTTTCCAAATTCTAGTCCCCACTGTTCACAGTGAACATGGCCTGGACCGAGGACTAATGAAATACAATGTTGCTTGAACTGAAAACAAAACATCCCTCCCCCTGACGTTTTCCAGTCTTGTTTCAATAAGGGGAATAGAGACTAATTTTTCTTCCAGATACCCCCTCCCCACAATTCCTGGTTAAGACACAGCAGAGCCGTTATCTTTGTATATTTTTGCATCCCCCCCACCCCCATCACCTGCACAGAACTCTGGAATGTTGCCAAAAGGGAGATCCTGGCATAGCAGAGGCGCATCACAAATGTCACAGCAGATCTAGCGTGCTCCCACTTGGGATTACCCTTTCCATATTCTGCCAGGGAAGAAATGGTAGCTGTGCCCCACAAACCCACGGCATGCTTGGCACCAGCAGCATAGGTCAGCCTACTGCTGGCAACAATGGCACACCGTGGCAAAGACACTGCCATGCACCAGAAGCCGCACAAGGCCTCCCTTCACTGGCAGGAGTCCACGAGTCCTGTGTAGGTAAACCCAGCCCCAAAATAAAATAAAAATAAAAAATAAGAATGAGATGCCCGATGTTAGCACGTCTGCCTTTGTGTCCTGTTTACATGATCTCATCCAGCTCCACAACAGACACAAAAGCAGGTGAAGGAAAGATGCTCCCATCTCATTCTGGGTATTATTTTTTTCAAAAAAAAAAAAAAAAAAGGCAAATAAGACCTACCCACCCCCACCCACCCTCATGGGCAATCTCTGGCGAGTGCCAGGCATTCTGGAAAGAACACACTGAAGTATCCCAAGCCTGGCTTTGCCCCTGTCCAGCTCTGGGGGGATTTATCATGTAGATTGGTTACTCCTTGCACAATCCAGGGGGATAAGCCAGCCACAAGGTACATCAGTGTTTTATTCTCTTTGGACCCAGCTAGAACAACATAAAATAGATTGCTCTAGGCTGCCACAATGAATATTAATGGAGCTACATTGGCAATTTAGGAACACGAGCCCATAATCTTCAGGGTTTCTATTCAGATTAAGAGGGGAAAATGGGAGGGAGACCAGGGTCTACCTAGTCAATATCTGGAGCATCTTTCCATTTACATGTCCCTCTATGCCCTAGAGAGGGCTTCCAACCAGCACCAGGTGGCTTTCTGACCCAACAAAAGCCACCCAAGATTGGCGCTCAAGAATCTAGGCAAATGCTGCTCCCCTGCTAGGAGGCCACATTTAAAGTAATACTTTCCATTTAAAAATGCTGTGCTTCAAGAGTGACCGGCTGAGCATGGCACAGGGCATGGGGGCCACCTCAACTCATGGCACCATGTCAGGTGTGCATGCTCCTACGAGGTTCTAGATTCCTGCACACTTGTCACCTTTGCACTAAAATGACCCCCTTACCTCCTCTGCTAGGAAGACAGAAGACTGGCTGCAGCAGAAGAGCAAGATTTTGCTTTTGGTCAGAATTTCCCACCCACAAAGCATCCCTCCCCCCCTCCCACCCCACACAGAGTACTTGCCAGTCTGATGCAGCTGCAGTAAAGTCCCCAGCAGTGGAGCTATACTTTAGTGCAGCTTCTGCTACGTTACTGTGGAGTTACTAGACAAAACATTTTCACTTTGAAAGGTGTTGCCAGGAAGCACCTGGTTCTAAGCACAGACCTCTAAGCAGTAGGCTGGGTAAGGTTGTCATTTTCCATCGTGGGAGAAATCAGGGTAACTTAGCTCCTTGGGGCAAGAAAGCAGGATGGTGTGGCAAGTGCAGCTTCTGACTATGTCTGAGCAAAGAGGGTCTGTGCTTGCCCTGGTGCCTCCTGGCAGCCTGTTGCTGGTCAGGCTGGAAGGGAATTCTTAAGAAGTTTACAGGTCGAGTTTACTCACTCCTTTTGCCTGCAGATCAGGCCAAACATCAAGCATATTGGGAGGGGCACAATTTAAAGCAACACTACTTGGACCTAAAGCTTTTGCCTGTCGTAATCAAGGCATGCGGGCCACCTGCAGCAGAGAGGGGAGAGGAGAGCAAAGGCTTGGGCAGGGGCAAGGAGGGGCTTGCCCTGGCCTGCTCCAGTCTCTAGGCAGACAGGCTTGAGACAAAGTCAAAAAGAAGTCGAAAGAGACAACGCAATCCAAGAGAACTCTGGAATTGGCCAACAGTTTTTGCTCTTTTTAGTCCCAAATCCACACTTTGCATGTCCTTTTCTATCTTGCAAGAAGGCAAAGGAGGACTGTGCCCCCTCCAGCACAGATGCCACCTTCCTGGAGTTTCTTGTAGGCAGGAATCCAGGTGTGCCTCCAAAAGGGCTCCCCAGACACACTTCTACCCCACCCCCAGATCTCTTCCAGGTCTGAAGTCGTAGTGCTTGGCATGGAGTAGTGTTGCAGAAAACTGAGCCCCTCTCACCTTTAGCTGCTGTCAAGATCTATCTATAATCCCTTTAACCCCAGCAAACTTCATCAAAACAGGAAAAAAGAAAAAAGAAAGTTATATATGAACCCATAACAGAAAAAAACACATATTTACAGAGTTTATACAAGTATACACATCCAATTTTCTGTGGAACACGCTTCAGAAAGGAAAGAACACCACGGCTCTGAGACAAGTCTACCTAGCAAGTGCTGTGACCACCAACGGAGACTCACGGAAACCAGTCTGTAGTGTTCTACAAGAGCACAAGGAGGGCTTTTCGGATGGCTCCATATTGCAGGTGGGTGGCAAGTGGCTCTTTCCTCCTGGGGTGTTGATGTTGCACTCAAATCAACCCAGGTGGTCCGGGTTCTTTTGTTTAAATACACGTATTTACAGAGTGGGTGAACTGCATCTGCATCTCAACTCCTCCATTTAAAAAAAAAGTTGAACAAAAAAAAAGTATTACTGACAAGTGTCACCTCCCGGCCCAGCATGTGTGCGAGAGGGGAAGGGAGTTGAGGTGGGGAGAGAGACTTTGACCTGAACCAAAATGACTCCTTGGGCTGTATCTGAAAGGTGATATTCTGAATGGTCTCATAGCATAAGGCACTTTGCACAAATAAGTAACAAGCTCTTTAGCTTAAAAGACAGATGAGGAGCCAGGGAGAAGTTGAAATGCACTCAGTCAGGCGGCTGTGGGTGAATCTGAAATTGCAGAGTCAAGCTTGAATTTGGGAGTCTTCTCTTTTCAGAGTTCTTCTTCTCCACCACAAAGAAAGAAATTAAAACCAGCAGTTAGTGCAACTAATGTTCAGTCAGCACACAGTGCAAACATGTGGGAAAAACAAAGGTATTTCCTTCCTATTTTCTGCTTCCATCCTCACAGCCAGATTTAAAAAAAAAAAAAACAAAACCGAAAAAAACTCAGCTCTTTAATCTTCATAGTTCCAAAAACAATAGATGAAAAACCCACAAAGAGAAGGGCATCCCGAAAGAAACAATGTATCACATATCCGGATCAAAGGGCTTTAAGCTTGTGTGTTTAAGCAAAGCCTAGAAAGGAAGAAGAAACACTCATATTAGTATCACACAAAATGCACTGAAAGTTGACACTTTCGCTATAGGGTGTGTAGGCCAAAGCTGCGATCACAGCTCAAAACCAGGTAGCAAGGTGTGTGCTTTGCTGCCTGCCTGCAAGGCAGCATAAATAGAAGGAAAGATGCTTCCTGGTTAGCTCCCCATGCATAATCTTTTTGCCTCCTGCATAATATTTTTCTCTGTATACTTTTAAGAAGAATTATTTGTATTTTGAAAAATGATTACAAAAATAATTCCCTGCTACTTCTTAATCAAGAAGCTTGAATATTTTAGTCTCTTCCAACTCTACAATTCTATTATTCTTTTGTACATTCTTCGAGCTATAGGAATGCCCTTTGATAGGAAGACATCCTTAAACTCCTCTAACACATCTACACTCCAGTACATGTGAGAAATTGTTTACACACACACACACACACCAACAACTTAGGCACCCAACAATTGTACACGTCTCTGCAGCCACAGCAGGTGCTGTGATTCTCCAGCAGTTTGACTTCACCCTGGAAGGTGCACTCCATTGTCTCTCAAGACAGACGGATGTCAACAATATAGGAAGTTGCCTTATACTAAGGCTGACCAGTGGTCTTATGTAACTCAGTACTGACTGGCAGCACTTCTTCAAAGTTTCAGTTCAGGCGTCTTTACCTACTCCTTCCCTGGGGACTGAACCTGGGACCTTCTGCATGCAAAGCAGATCCTCTACCATTGAACTACAGCCCCTTATTTCTATCAGCTGCCCCTCAATTTGTTCTCACAGCCACTAACAGAGCCTGAGAAAGAAAATTCTCTCTAGCCACTGTTTGTGGGGAAAATAGTAAACTTGCCCCCAGGCTCTTTGAAAGGTGTACATCCAAGAGTCAAGTAGAAAATTTGCTCACTCTGACACTCCACAAGTCCAAAAGCCACAAGAAAGCAGTGATCCTTATGACCAAGCTATAAACTCTTATCAGACCTCATAAATATATGGAATTAACAACTAATAAGTGCAAAGTGCGGAGACAAGTAGCATTGCTTTGCACAGGCATGCATAGGACAGGCAAGTGAGCAGGAATGGCCTATTCAGCCACCTCTCCAGAAGTGATTGGAAAGTCTAATTCAGCCTGCTTCTCCCTTCAGCCCCCAAGTCAAATACATACGCAGCAGTTAAGGTTTTTCATCTTCTACAGGCTCACTGTGGTATTCTGCCACATACAGGCTCTTGTCAATGTTACTGGGGATGGGCTTGATTTCTGTACCCAGCTGTTCCTCAATACTCTTCAGGTTGAACCGATCATCATAGGTGATCAAGTTGATGGCTAGCCCAAGGTGGCCAAATCGACCTTTAAGGAGAGAAATTGGCTGACATAAGTTGAGAAAATCCTCAGGCTTGCAGCAGCTTTTGTCCCTTGTCAGTTAATGCATGGCTGGTTCAGCAGCAGTGCTGAAGACTGTTCAACCCCAGCGCAAGACCCAAAGGCCACCCAGTTCTCCTCCCCACACCCTGTATAGCTGAACTTTCAAGTTTCACATCCCCATTTATTCTAGTATTTTCAACTTTCAACAAAAATAATAAAAGGGCATTTTACTATTCTCCTGTGAGGAGGGGTGAAGTACAAAGTTAAGAATCAAGCAAAGCTAGCCCACTCACATTTTGATCTCTGTAATAAAGCTATTTGCATGTTGTTTTTCTTGTTCAATCCAAACAGATTGAAATATGAAATATGTTGCTATCTACAATAGACAGATAATAACTTTCTATTTGTGGAACTAATTACTGCATAGCAATTGAAACAAGAAGAAAGATTAGGTTATTTCCGTGCAAAGCTTCCTCAAACCTGCAGTGAGCAACCAACAATCCCGATGGGGGCGGGGGGAGCCTGCTTCAGAATATTCCCTCCAGCTCTTCTTGAAAAGGTGCCCATTCTCAGAGTGTAATGGGTTGGGGTAGGACCACAGGGAGTATGGTTCACAGAATCATGCAGAACCTGGCCTGAGTAGGACTACACTGTGCACTGCATTGTGCTCCTAATCAAACTGGCAGTCAACAAAGCTGCTGCAGAGAATGCATCTGTGTCAACCCACTACCACACCAGGTGAACTGCAACTACGCCAGCTGAGTTTTCAAGGGCGGCCCTCTGTAAAGCGCACCAGGAGGTTAGGAGACTGCATAGATGATGGGAACTCAATAAGGCTTCTCTGTTTAAACTCTGGGATAGAAAGCATGAGGCCTGCTGGATTTTGTGGGACTCCCAACTTCCATCAGCTCCACCAAGCATGTCCAATGGTCAAGGATGATGGAGGCTGCAGTCCAACATCATCTGGAGGTATCATGACAGCTACCCCTGGTTTAACTTCCTCTGAATCAAGATCGCTGAATAAGCGATAGTGATACCCCACACATTAGCTTCACCCCTGCCATTATGTTTCACCCCATGCTGTCCACATATTGTAGAAAGGTTTGAAGGAAGAGAAGCCTCCTAAACCCACATGAGCTGCAACAATAAAAGCCTACATGTTCCCCAACACATGGGTAGTATCAGTGGAGGGATGACCCACATGGTCCCATCTCCCCTCTCTCTATGCAATCTGAACTGTGCAGAAATAAATGACTGAATAAGGGCAATTTTGCTCACGGACTGTTTTTTTCAAAGGAAAAGAGCTTGATGACATCAGCTCTGCTTAACAGAGGGATGGCTGGTGCACCAACAGAACCCTAATCTGACCACGGTCTCCAACATGAAGGACAAAGTCAAAGTTGGCTGCTGCTTGCTCACTGAGCAGTATTTGCCGAGAAGCTACCAAATAAGCTGTCATTCTTCACTGCACAGCTTTCTCACCTGATCTGCCAATACGGTGGAGATACGTTTCTGCCAGCTTTGGAAAATCAAAGTTTATCACAACATTCACAGCTTGGATATCAATACCTCGGGTAAACAGATCTGAAAAATGAAGTTTTCAGTTTAGATAATTTGACTAAAGTGACAAGGACAGCCCTCCTCAATCAAGAAGTGGTAAGATGGTCTGCCAACAGGCATTAGCAGGGCAGGAAACCAAGACACAACTAATTTTGCACTAAGTTTTTCCTTTAGCCTCAAGAGCTGCAGGATTCTTTAAAGGACTAACCCTGAAGGACCATTCACAGCCACACAGATATTTATGATGAACAATACACAGTTGTCCCATAGCTAACTTTTCCCAACCAAGAAAATTCAGAACCTGGACAAAGCGTTTCTTGGCTACTCAAACTGTTGCACCATTCAGTTGCGAATGCTCTTCAAGGATAACTACTAAGCCAACAAGAAGCTGGGGGAGGTTATCCAAACTGCTTTCCCCCTAATTCATTCTTATGTCCATTCATAATAATGCCCATACCCCTCTTGCATTTTCCTATCGGACTGAAGGTGCTTAATGAATTTCCAAAATGGAAGCACCCAGAGAAGATATTCTAAGTCTACTTTCAATTTGATATTGAATAGTCACTAGGCTTGAGACATGAGCCAGAGAGAAAACAAAAGGGGTACTCACCAGTGCAAACAAGATTGCGGCATAAGCCATTCCGGAAATCGTGGAACACACGATTGCGGTGCTCCTGGTAAGAAACAGGAAGAGATTATTCACCAAAACATCCCCTGATGTTGAGAGACCAAGCAGCTGGGAATCTCCAGAGAAACAGCAAGAAAACAACAGTTTGCACAATTCATGCCACAAAGCATAACTTACTGCAGGAAAAACTGCTGCACCAGATATTGCAAGTCTGAAGTGCTATATTTGGGGCCACTCCCTATCAGTTCCTGTCTTCCACTTTCACACTAGGTTACCCCAATTCTATCTTAATTTAGCCATCTGTTTAGCCCCCCATTGTGCCAGTACCAATCTGACTCTCATTTAAGAACTGAAGGAAATCTCTTCAAACACTGGCATACTTCGGTGCCATACGAGTAGTAGTAACAGAACTAAAGGTGGTTCCAGAGAGTATCTGAATGTGTCATGCAGCAAGAAGGGAACATCTGAACAGCATCTATCTCCTCATCTGCCCCCCCCCCCAACCCTTAGTATCAGGAACCAAGTTGCATTAAAATCCTATAGATGCTTGTTAATTTTTAACTTCATACTGACCTGTCTCATCTTTGCATGGATATAGAAGCACGAATACCCCAGCTGGGAAATTTTCTTAGCTAGTAGTTCAACCCGTTGGGAAGAGTTGCAGAAGATGATTGATTGGTTGATTTGGAGCTAAATACAAATACAAAGTGTTCAATGTCTGAAAATTCCAAGGCAATTAATCTTTTTAAAAAGACAAAACTATCACAACAAAGCATCTCATTTATAAACTGCACAAACACTTCCCACACATAACCATGTATCATCCTCCCCTGGCTGAGGCTGATAGGAGTTGGATGTTCAAAACATCTGGATAGCATCAGGCTAGGAAAGGTGGTTCAAAGTAGTTCTAATGGTTCTGGTAAAAAGAGTTACCAGCTGCAAGATGAACAAGTGGTGCGGCTGGTTCAGTTCAGCATAGTTCCTGAGCCCCTCACAACTTAAGCCCCAACTCAGGAAAAAAATGTAGCTTCAGAACAATCCAGAACATGAAGCCTACAGCTATGTATAGCCTCTTAAATGACAATTTCTCATTCAGAGTTCTATTCTACGGGAAAAATTATGGGGGATGGGGTGCAGATATGCAAACACAGCTTTTCATTTGGACTATATTAGAGGAGGCCACCATGTAAACCCTCATTTCCTCTCCAGGAGTCTTCAGACCTGTGCTTTCTAGATGAACGGCTTTTATTTAGTTTACTGTTTAGTTATATGACTTGGTCTATCACAGCTTACCCTGGAGAATAGTGTGTTGAGACAATGAACTTTCTGGCGCTCAGTTACGTAGGCATAGTACTGAGTAACTCCCTTCAGTGTCAGCTCTTCCATCAAGTTAATCTCATAAGGTTTCTGCAAGTGGGAATTCTGAAAGAGAAGCATTTTGACATTTGGGCATTTTGACATTTCCTGTCATTCAGAAAAGAGGGATTTATCAAATGTTGTAGCAAGTGCCAACAGTCCAAGAAAATAATCAACGCTGCACTTACCATAAACTTCTGTACACTTAAAGGGAAAGTGGCTGAGTATAGCAAGATCTGTCTATTTTTAGGTAGCGTGAGAATAATGTCCTCCATTATTTGAACAAAATCTTGGGACAGCAGCTTGTCTGCCTGCAAATACAAGTGGACCAATTTAACACTGGAGTCTTCATGCAACATATAAAAGCTTGCTCAACGTTCAGAGATCCTTACTGGTCTGTCTTTACAACTACTGTAGTTCCAAATAAGAGTTCCAGCTTCACTTTAACATGCCTGCCTAAATAATAATTTAGTAATAATAATTTATTATTTCTACCCCAGCCACTAAAGACATTAATGTTTCCCAGCCCTTAACCAGAATCAACTTGACCTTATTTTTCCATGCAGCCCCTACCCCTTTTAAGCAGAAGAATCATCCTTTGCAAGGGTACCAGGATACAGGCCTGATTTCAAAATGCATTTCAAGGAACAGGAGTTGCCACGTGCTGCTACTTTAACTTGCAAAGAACAGATTCCAGAGTCTGGCAACGCTAATATTACCTCATCTAGAACAATCATCTGGACATGGTCCACCTTTGCTACTCCTTTCTTGATGAGATCCAGAATCCTCCCTGGCGTAGCTATCACCACATGCACTGCAAAAACACAGAAGCACACAGAGATGAGCTGCAACTTGAATTATGGAAGTCTGAAACTAAACAGTCAGGTGCCACATAGGGCATCCAGGGCTCTACACTTCAGCATCACAAGATATCCTACCTGTATCATCAAGCCTCATTATGTCATCACGCAGGTTGGTTCCTCCTGTGGTTGCCATCACTTTGGCCCCTCCCATATGTTTGCTGACCTGGATGCAGATCTGACTGACCTGCAGGGCAAGTTCTCGTGTGGGAACAATCACCATTGCTGCAAGAAAGAAGAATATTCAGGGCAGACCAAGGATTTTTGCATTCATATATTGTACCCTTTAAGAGCTCAACACAAGACTTTCAAAAATCCCATTGTCCTTACCAGCTTATAAAGAGATACAATAAAAGTGTTAATTGTAAACAGAGGCAATGGAAAGAGAATTTTTCTTCAAACATCTAAAAACCTAGACTACAAAGATCAATGAAACAAGTTGGCAGCAAGCTCAGGACATAAACGTTATTAACAAAATGAACAATTAATTGATTGAATTCACTAACATGGTGGTCTTAAGTCACTAGCTCAGAGAGCTTCAATAAAGGAAGTTTCTCCTAGTCCAGAAGCAATTATTTCTAAGCAACAAATATTGGGGGCTGTCTATCACCTTCTTGCCTGGTATGCAAATGAGCTTCCCTGAGGCATCCAGTTGGACCAAGAATATTGGACTAAAGACAGACTGATTCAGAAAATAAGTTATATTCTTAGCTGGCGGGAGCATACTGTAACAAGAAACACTTAATTGCATCCCATTGTAATTTTCATCAACTAAATCTACTCTCAAGCATTTTATCTCTACAATGCAGAGAAAATCTCAGCAACTGTTTCACGACTCTGGGGTGGGCAAGTTTGCAGTTCAACCCTTCAAATTTTACTTCCTGTAAAAGTGTGCTGTAAATCAAAGGAACAGCCTTCTTAACAAGTGCTGCTAAAGGTTAAAGGGGTGTTGTTGAACAGGCAGGGATAAAGCAGCATTATCAACCTTGAGAAAGTCTGTCTAATGCTTTGTTTTCCTGACATCTGTGAAGTGGGAAGTTAAAGATTCAACACAGCCATGGGTGAAATTTAAAGATCTGGACAAAGTTTTCATGGGGCTTACTTATTTCCCATCTTCAACTCACCTTGTATGTTATCCTTCTTTAAGTCAAGCCGTTCAAGTAAGGGAATGAGGTAGGCGCCGCTCTTTCCGGTTCCATTCTTAGCTCTAGCCAAGATATCCCTCCCAGACAAAGCAATGGGAATGCTCTCCTCCTTAAAAGAAATAACAAGGATCAGCATAAGAAAACACAATGCTTACCTCTACTGGGAGCAAAGGGTGGGGGGAAATGCACTGGAGCTAATGTAGCATTAGTTAAGACCCTAGGGCAAATAAGCACATATCTTCCATGCATGACCACGCCACCCAAGCAAGAAGTCTACCATCATGAACTGGACCTCTCACAAGCAGAGTGATAGAAGCTACAGAGGGCTCTCACCCTGTCAGTATGGTGACTAACAGGTAACTAACGAGCTAGGGGTTTTTTTTCCTTTTCAAAAATGGGCAGAGATAGCTGCTTCCAGTTTCTTCAGATGATATACAGTTTTCAGGATGAACCAAAGTCAAAGCACAGGAGCCCTGTCCTCCAGTAAAACAGAGTCACAGAAAAAGCAACGAGTCAAGATTTCTCCCTGTTGCCCTCCATACAGCCAAGGACTGGATGCACAAACAATTTAATACAGAATCCACATAAATATTTTTCAGGCTATTGCGACACCAATGGCCTATTGAGAAAATAATGGCTTTCCTCCTAGTTGGTCAGCTATAAGAAGTTTATAACTGCTGAAAAAGAATGACTCAAGCAGGAAAAGTTCTGCATTAACTGTATTGAACAATAATGTTCCTGAACTCTGGACATACATGGGTGAGGGAGGAGCCTCAGTTATCCACACAGCAGCTAGATAAAGTTTGATCTATTAGATATTGCCAGAGTGCCAGTGAAAGCAACATGGCAAAATAAAGCATCTTGCTCAACAGGAATCTAAAGTACCATATCATGCACCATCCAGCTCAAAAAGTCCTCTACCAGCTGAATTTTCATTCACCAGGTAAGCACCTTACATCTGCTCCTGTCACACAAACCAACCTGAATCGGAGATGGTTTTTCCCAGCCCATTTCAAAAATTCCCATCAGCAACTCCCGTTTCAGGCAGTAATCTTCAAATTCATTTCCTTTTGTGGATGTCACATCCTGAACAAGCAAAGTAGAACAGTCAGCTCATGCCCTCTCACACATTCAATTTCAGTACCAGATAAAAGCAGGTAGCAGAGTGATACTTCAGTGGGACAGCACCTCCTTTGCATGTAGAAGCTCCCAAGTTCAATCCCTGGCATTCTATAGGGCCGAGGAGACCCCTTCCTGGAAGCTTGGACAGCTGCTTCCAGCCAGTGTAGAAACTACTCAGACAGACAGACCAACAGTGTAAGGCAGCTTCCTTGGCTTCTTGTTCATTTGCTCATCATGGAGAATATGTACTAAAAGATGCTCTTGCTTGCATGCACAAGCCCTTCGGTCCATTCTACACAGCCAATGTGATTAGTAAAAGGTAAAGGTACCCCTGCCCGTACGGGCCAGTCTTGACAGACTCTAGGGTTGTGCGCTCATCTCACTCTATAGGCCGGGAGCCAGAGCTGTACACGGAACGCCGTTTACCTTCCCGCTGGTAAGCGGTCCCTATTTATCTACTTGCACCTGGGGGTGCTTTCGAACTGCTAGGTTGGCAGGCGCTGGGACCGAACAACGGGAGCGCACCCCGCCATGGGGATTCGAACCGCCGACCATGCGATTGGCAAGTCCTAGGCGCTGAGGTTTTACCCACAGCGCCACCCGCGTCCCCTAATGTGATTAGTACAGCACGTCAAAGTGCAAGTAGATAAATAGGTACTGCTCTGGTGGGAAGGTAAACAGCATTTTCATGCACTGCTCTGGTTCACCAGAAGCGGCTTTGTAATGCTGGCCACATGACCCGGAAGCTGTCTGCGGACAGAACGCTGGCTCCCTCGGTCAGTAAAGCGAGACGAGCGCCGCAACCCCAGAGTTGTCTGTGACTGGACTTAACGGTCAGGGGTCCCTTTACCTTTTTTAGTCCAAACACCTACACACCTCCCTCAATTATATTTAAAGCCCAATATTTGCATGCTTTCTAGGTTTAGGAACTCCTTACCGAAGTTTTAATTCTCAGATCTTTTGGAGGGAGTTTTAAAGTCTTCTTCCAGTCATCGCCAGGTCTGAAGTGAGAAAATAAGACTTGTCAGCCGCTGATAGGATGCACCATTCCACTCTAGACTGAGAGTACCACAGAGCCAGAAATGCAAACCAGAGAACATGACAAAAGAAAAACTAATGCTTCCTCAAACGTACCCCAAGGCTTAAATTCATATAATAGCCATCTTCTCTCATAGGACTGTGAAGGGAACAAGAGCTCTGCAATGGAAAATATTCAGCACACGCCAAACTACAATTTCCAGGACACTTTGGGGAAGGCATGACAATTAAAATGGTGTAAAATCTATACTGTGCAGCTATGTCAGATGAGGTCCATATACTGTACTTACATTATGCATGTGGCAGATGCAAAATCCATGCCTTAGAAAACTTGTCAGAATTAGTTAACTGAAAGCAATAGCGGCAAATTTAATCTAGCTACTAACTAAGCAAGACAAGATTCCCTAGACCGACAGTGCACCACCTTAGTCTGTGTTTCAGGACGCAAAGTTCTTCTGACATATGATCCAAAGCCCTCATTATGCAGTCAAGTACCCAATAAATGTTAAGCAAGCACCTGAAATTGTATTAAAAACCAAGAAGTTGTTTGATTTTTGCTGAACATAGGTGCAGAAATGGCAATTAATGAAGAATGCAGCAGCCAGATGATCAGGCTACAAGTCTAACCCAACCACATTAGCTGCCTATGTTTCCAGGCCAATTCAAGGTTCTGATTTTAACCCATAAAGCCTTGTGTGGTTCAGGGCACTTATCTTTGTAGAAGGTGCCTATTGACGTGAGTCTATTTGGTCAGCTCCAATAAATGTTCATGGAAGGCTTCTTCAGTGATGGTTCTGCACATCGGTAATATTCTCCAAAAGCTCACTTGGCACAGAAATTGCTGTATCTATATGGTGCCAGGTAAAAACCTTCTACACCGTGTGCATTTGACAGCACATTAATAAATATCTCTTCTTTAAGTGTTTTCTGCCACTGTTGATTTTGTTATTTATGGACAATTGTTTTAATTATGGTTTTAAATTTTATAAGCCATGTATTTTGTCTTGGGTCTTTCCATAAAAGTTGTCTAAAGAGATTTAATAAACACTATAATCAATTCATAATATAGTCAATTCTTCATTAGGGGAAATATGCCTTTCATCTAAACCAAAAAATTCTATAGTAAGACCACTTTTAAAAAAATTCCCCGATTACCATAAACTAAGAAATTTTAGGCCAATATTCCTAATAGCCAAAGTGGTTGAGTGAACTATAGATAAGGAGCTGTCTATCTAGGTCCATATCAAACTGGCTTCTGGCTGTGGTTTCAGGCAGACTGCCTTAATCACCATAGCTGATGACTTCCAGTAAGAGACATGGGGAGCATAACTCCAATAATGCTCTTGAACTTCTCAGCAGTTTTTATAACTAATGATTATGGCATTTTTCTGGAAGTGCTACACGTTTTGTGAATAAGGAGACCCAGTGCTTTTTTTTAAAACAAAAATGATATGGGGTACTCTCATTTTGACTCAAGAAAACCACCATTTTATAGTTCAAATTGGGGAAAATAAATACATTAAATGGACAAAAGTACAAAGATTCACAAAATGTTTAGGGGTATGCGTAGCCCTGCATCTCCCCCAGAAAAAAGTACTGGGGAGACCACTTTGCGGTCTTCCATTACTGCCCTATCTGGCAATTACAGGTGATTATAATGAAGGGCTTTTCTTTCCTGCAGAAGCTCTCTTATGGGGTCTTGCATGTATCTCTTTTGTCCCACCATATTAATACAAGACAAGAAACCACTGGGAGAGATTACCCAGTTTCTATTCCTTTCCTATCTGAACCAGATAAGATAATTCTTAAATGACTGCCTGAAGTCAGTAATGATCAAGATGAGGGTCAATATCAAACTTTGTCCAGACAAGACAGATGCTCATAGTAGGTAATCTTATAACTGGAGAAGAGATGGAACTGTTTGCTCTGAGTGGGGTCACACTCCTGAAATAAGTTAATTGCTGGAGTTTCCTCCTGGACTCTTAGGTGGAAGTTACGGACAGCAGTACATTTCAACAGTTTCAACCAATAAGGCAGGGGGCAAGCAGCCTTGCCACTGTTATGCAAGTCTGGAAGCCTCACTCTTCCAATATGCAGCTATGTGTAGCTGACCTTGAAGATGATGCAGAAACTTCAGTCCATCACAAATGCAGCCACCGCTATAATCACCAATGTCAGCTACTGGGAATACACAACACCAATTCTGAGTAAGTCCTCTGGTAGCCATTGAGCTTGTTTCCAGGTGAATATCAGTATGATGGTTCTTACCTCTAAGGCACAAGTCCAATATTCCTGAGATTGTGGGTTTCACTGTTCTCTGGGGTAGCTGGCTTCAATTATTAATACAGCTCTCTCAATAGTGTTTCTGTGCTTGCAGCAATTTGCTATTGGATCAAGGAGCCTATGCTACTCAGAGAAGTAGTCAAAGCTTCTCTGATTAGGAAAGCTTTTCTGCAGTTACATATACTGAATTATTGTGTAAACCATATGTTATTAATATGTTTAACATGCTTAATTATTATTATAAGCTTCTCAGGGTTCTCTAAAGCACCATGTGCATTGATGGATACAAATACACATTAAGCAATGAAGTACAAGAATCCCAATTAAGTATTTGCTGAAATCGTTGAAGCTCCACAGAATCAGAGAGGTTAAGGGTGATTTGTAGGAAATATAGCCCACCTCCCTGTTTGATGCTAGAACCATCAAGAGGGCTCTCCTCATTTTCAACCAAAATCTATCCACCTGTAACTTAAGCTCCTTAGACCTAATCCTGTCCTCTGGTGCAGGTATGTGAAGAGTGCTGTCATGTTACCACTTAGGCTTTCCTCCAGGGCATTCACACTCAGTTTTTTCAACCATCCTTCATATGACTCCCTTTATGGCTGATCAGCTTTGTTGCCCTCCTCTAAATCATTTTCATTTGCCTGCATCCTCCTTAAAGTATAGCACCCAGAACCTGACACAGTACACTAGTTAAGGTCTGATTAATGCAGCTATGGAGTCCAAAGTGCTCAGAGCCTAGCACAACCAAAGTGGATTTTGTCAATCTCATTAACAATGGAAACACTGGGTTTTCTGTACAAACACATGAGGGCATTTCATGATCAACAATTAGAATGCATGAAAACTAACAGAACAGAAAGGATGGCAGTTAAGTCTTGGCATCAAGTACTGCTCCGGTTGGCAAAACAGGCCCACAGGAAGAACTCTGGAGGTCATCCTTTAAGCACCAACATGGCTGCTGAGTAGTTTGGCAAGTACTCACTTGATAGTGGAGGCCATGCTCTGTGCTTGCTGCTGAGTGCCGTTATTGATTGTGTTGGGATGTTTCAGCTGGTTCATCTGTTGCTGAGCCTGTGTTCCCCCGCCTCCTGGGCCACCAGTGGGTTTTACGGGGCCCCTCAGCTGTCCATTTTGACTGGAGAGACCCATTATAACAGGGTTCTCTGTTCTGGCTGTACTCATGTTTTGCTTTATAAAGATGTCTTTTTCAACTTCAAAACTTTGTGAGTACAGAAACTGTAATAGTTTATTAGACTCTCCAAGATGAAGAGATAAATAAGGTCCTGCTCAATATATGAGTCTTTTATTGCAACGCAGGCAAGCACCTGTAAAGTCACTCAAGAGTAAAGCAGTAACTTGCACTGTGGAACAACTCTCTTAAAAAAAAAAAAAGTCTTCTGACAAACTTGAGTTCTATCCAAAAACCACTCACTTCAATCTGAAAAAGATAAGATAATACTGTTAGTATTTCTAATTATTTGCTGCAAGCTATACCAGTTGGAAGGATGTCCTCAATGATGCAGACCGATTAGGAGAACTATTTTACTAATAGACTACTGATAAGGAAAAACCCCCAATGAACAGTCTTGTGGTGCCTTAAAGACTTAACAAATTTCTTATGACACAAGCCTTGATGGACTAGGGCCCCCTTCAAACGCACTGAGTGTGCTCCCGGGTTGGTGGATATATATACACATGAGGGAAAAAAGAGAAATATAAACATTGAGATGAGATAGAAATAAAACAAAAAATAAAGCCAGAAAATTACATTAAAGTAAAATAATAAGTTATCATCATGATCACCCTGCTTATTTTATGTAATTTTATGACGTTTTAAACTTTAATGCAATTTTCACTTACTAGGCTTTCTGCATTCCTTTCTATCTGACCTCATTGTTTACATTTCTCTCTCATTTCTCTCTCTACACCCAGATGTATATAAATTTGCCCACTGAGAACAAACTTACTTTATCTGATGAAGTGAACTCTAATCCACCAAGTAATATTTTTTTTTTACAGTGATATCCCAACTGTGGCAACGGGACTTTCACTTGGGCAACTGCAAACACTGAAGGACCCTCTGGGGCCGGTGGGGGCTGTAGGGGGTGGAGAGAAGAGAGAATCCTTTGTGTCCTGATGGATCTGACCTAGTGTCATGAGGGTTCTGTAAAACTCATTTTTGCTGCAACAGACTAACATAGGCACACCTCTGGAAATGAGAAAATTCGATACACATCCAAAAAGACTCCCACTAGTTCCCCAGCAACTCTGCATTGCAAAAGGATGCCAGCACAGATGGTGTATTGTCTTTGTTAATAAACTAGCCATAAGCTCTCTAAACTTTGTTTCCAAAACTCTTACTAAAACTACAAAATTTTTGCTTAATATCCTGAATGTACTGTCTTCTTCTTTTCAGTATTGTTTTTATTACACTACCTCTTATCTGCTGAAAATATTGCTGCAAATGAAGTCTGCACACTGGTGTGCTGCCTTTTAAAAAAACTTCTAAAGGGGAACTTGTTTTGGAAATGAAATGGAGGCACACAGTATGGGGACAGTGACAAGTCCCCCCTCCAATTTTTATGAAAGGGTGACTTTGAAAAGCCCTTTCCTGTGCACATATAGAATTAGTGGCCCCAAAACATGCTTGCAAATCATGTTAAGGGAAAGGAGCTCTAACTATGACACTTCACAGACACAAGCAAGCTCTCCAAGCAGAAAGTTGGCTTCTGAATTGCAGAGCACCTCTTCAGCTAAAGCCACCTGACTGGAAATAAGGAGTGAAGTTTGCCAGATGCATCTTACAGGCTTACAAAGATTCCAGAGCAAAGCCTCTTTATGGATGGCACATGCTGAAGTCTTGGTATTGAAGTTACATGTAAAGAGAAGGGTATGTACCCTCAAAACTCAACGGTTCCTCTGAGAATATGTTACAAAAGTATAGTCACTCAGGAGAGGCTGCAGACCACCAGAAAACTAAACAGAAGCTGCTGGGAGGCCTCTGAAATGTTTGTGTTACTGATATTGCAGTGTAGCTAGCTTTCTTACTACTCTGCTGAAAAGTGACTAAGATAAAACCACTCTAGGCCTCCCTGAGCAATCCCCAAAGTGCTTGCAAGCGCTCAAGAGTGTAGCTGATACAAGCTTGATTATACAAGAGTGTACTCAATAAAGTCTGCATTCCTCCTTTTGCAAGTGTTGTGATTTGAGGAACTAATTTACTATTTCTTCCAAAATGGCAAGTCCAGAAATTCCCAGGCCAAAATGTCACTATGTGCGTGAGCCGCTCACTCCCCCAACCGCATCTCAATACGCCCAAGGCAGAGAATCACAAAAGACCCACAAAGCAACCCCCTAACCCCTGCTGGAACTACAGCACTGGTCAGAAGACACCCCCCCCATCCCCCGTTTCTTAAGACTGGCTGACCAGCTGCCACAAATGAAAATAAAGGGCCTGCTACCCTGAAAAAAACAACCGAAAATTTTGGTGTTAGAAGTAGCAGCTTTAAAAACATTTTTCTCCACAGCCAGGCTGCGGAGCGAAGCTGCATATTATGGCTTGCATCCATTACTATTCATACTCAGAAGGGGCCCAGTGAAATGAATAGGCATGGCTAGATTATATCCATCAACTTCAGTGGGTCTACTCCGTGTAGAAGCCAGTTGGCTATAACACTAAGATCATTTCCCCCTTTTGGCTTTTTTTGGGGGGGCGGGGCTGCAACGTTTTCATTACGAAGGCTTCCAGGCCCTTCAGCTTCCCTCCGAGGAAGGAACAAGAGAGTTCCAGGGCGTCTCTTTCTCTCCCCTCACCCTTTCCCCATTTTGATTATGTGTCGGCAAAGCAGAGCGGGGGTTTGAAAAAGGGAAGGGGTGGGGAACCACCTCCACACCCTCCGTTCCTGGCTGGACAAGTGAGCAGCCACCAAGACCTAGGCCAGAATCCCGCGGGGCCACAGCCTCCACCCGGCGCACTCCAAGAACCCTTTACCCGCAGAGCGCCGCTTTTAAGGGAAACTGCTGCGACTGCCGGGGCCTCCGCGCGCTTTTCTGGACCGAGAAGCAGAGGGAAGAAAGGAAGGGGAGGGGGCGCGGCCTGAAGGCCGACAAAGCCGCCGCCCGTCCCTCAGCAGGGGTAGCTTCGTCGGGCCTCACCGGGCACCCGCCGACCCCATAAGCCGAGGCCCGTCGGCCGGCTGTCCCGCTTTCTCCCCGCTCCCTGCTTCCTTGTCGCTGAGGGGCGTGTGAGGAGGAAAAGGGAGGCCCCGATCCCAGGCCCAGCTACGCACGCGCGCGCCCCATCTTCTGCCGCCCCCGCGCCTCACAGAGGGGAAGCGCCTCACCGGCCCTGCTGCCTGCTCGCCCGCTCTCTCCTTCCTCCTTCCTTCCTTTATTTCTTCCCTTCTTTCGCGCCTGCCTTGCTGCGCTCGGTCTCCCGCTCCGGGTGTCGGCCTATCTCCTAGCCCGTCACTCGATGGGTCTGCTCCGGACTATGGCGGCGGCGGCGGCGACGCGACAACAAGATGGCGGCTTCCTCCTTCCTTCCTCTCTCAGGGCAGGCCCCGCCCACGCCGGAAGCACCACCCCCTCGGCGTTCGAACGCTTGGGCGCGCATGCTCCGAGCGCCGCTCCGTTGTCTGCGGAGGGAAGAGGCTCCTGAGGAGTTTTCGGCCGCGCTCGAACGGCGACGCTCGCCCCCTCCCTCCCTGCGCTCCTCGGACCGAGCTGCGCGCGCCTCCTTGGGCCGTGCTCGACGCGGGTGCTCAGGGGCAGACTCTGCTCCTGTACATGGAGGCTCTACTACGCCCTTATGGCAGATGGACGCTGCTTCCTCCTCCCCCTCCTCGTCAAATGTACCTACAGTACTGTAGTTTCAAAACCACTTAAGCACTGTTATAAGAAAATACCTGTAATTCCCTTGTGGAATATCTAGATTCTGTCTAGAGTCCCTCAGGAGAGCTTTATCGGTCGGAGAGAAAGCAGAGGCCCACCAGAGTATATGAAAGCAAAGCCTGATCTTTATTAAAGGAAATAAACTTGCAACAAGGTCCACACTCACCGCATGCAGGAGGGAGGAGAACCCCGAACAATGCTGCGGAAGCACCTATAAAGACACTTGAAATTGCCCACCCTGTAGCCTAAGATACCCCCACAAAACATACACACAAAACAATTTGAAAGCGTTGCTTCTCTCCTGCCTACCAGGATACCTGATAATGCCTTCCTTGACTGCATTTTCCCGGTAGCCTGGCCATTCCTTTGAGATGGTAAATACTTTAGTGCCTGAATCTCTTAAACATATTGATAGTTTGCTCAGATACAGTGGTACCTCGGGTTACATATGCTTCAGGTTAAGAACAGTTTCAGGTTAAGAACGGACCTCCAGAACGAATTAAGTACTTAACCTGAGGTACCACTGTACTTGCCAGACTGTATTTGCAGGGAGGTGTAAGTCCCTATAGTCCAAAAGCGATTGGAAAGGCTTTCCTTCCTCCTTGCACAAAGAAATATTTGAGGTCAATTTGAGAGAGTCAAAAATGGCTTCAGGATTGCTCTCCTGTACTATTTCATACACGTGGTTTATATACTTATGTATGTGTTTGCCTGGTACATTGATGAACATCTATATTTGAGACCTTAGAATTCTTATACCAGTTGGTGGCAACAGTTTCCACAAGGATACATCATGTGTGCTGTGAACAAGCGCACTGTCTGCACCCCACATTTTCCTGTGGTCAGATCAGGACAAAGTCCCATCTAATCCAATATCTCTTCCTCACAGTGGACGTGGGTGGTGCTGTGGTCTAAACCAGGGGTCGGCAACCTAAGGCCCATGGGCCACAAGCAGCCCACAGGGGTCATTTAACCGGCCCACGAGCCACCCCCAAACTGAGCCGCCTGCTCAGTGAGTCCGCTAAACCAGCACAGGTATGGAGACTCGCTTCTGCGGCACCGGAAATTGCGTCTGCGCAGACACCAGAAATCGCATTTGCGCAGATGCAGATGCCCGAAATCACAGGCGCATGCACGATCTGGCCCACGGAGGGATCTCCACTGAAGGGAACCGGCCCAGGCAAGGTAAACCTTGCCGACCCCTGCTCTAAACCACTGAGGCTCTTGGGCTTTGCCAAACGGAAGGTCAGCGGCTCAAATCTGCGTCACAGGGTGAGCCAGCTCCCTCGGCCTGAGAAGCGAGATGAGCACCGCACCCCATAGTCTGGCCTTAACCGTCCAGGGGTCCTTTACCTTTACCTAACCTCAGAGTGACCAACCAGGCAGACACCCCAATGGGAAGCCTTTGGATGGGTCCCACTTCTGACTCTTAAGTGACTATTATTCAGAGGCAGACTAACTCAAACAGAGGTGGAGCATAGCTAATAGCCACAGATATAGCCTTATCCTCTTCCATTAATTTGTCCGATCTTCAAAGCCACCGGAGCGAGTGGCCATGACTACATCTCATGGGAGCAAATTCTAGTTTATGCACTATGTGAAGAAGTCCTTCTTTGTGTCTGTCCTACAGTCACCACTCTCCAGTCATCTGATGGGTTAATTAGTGTTATAGGAATTCTAAGTAATAGTTCCTAATCTCAAATATAGAATAAATGTTGATAACTGCACAAGGTAAACACACATACATAAGTATATAAACCAGATGTCTACAGTAGTACAGCAGAGCAATCCAAAAGCTATCTTGGCTCTCCTAAAGTCTCTAAATATTTCCTCTGCCTCCTTAGTCCCCCTTGCCTGAGAACACTTAGGCCAGGCATCCCCAACCTTCGGCCCTCCAGATGTTTTGGACTACAATTCCCATCATCCCTGACCACTGGTCCTGTTGGCTAGGGATCATGGGAGTTGTAGGCCAAAACATCTGGAGGGCCGCAGATTGGGAATGCGTGATTTAGGCAGATAGCAATCAGGGGAAGTTCCTGAAGGGGTTCCTCTTCTATATCTATGAACCTCCTTTGTATTAATTGTCATTGTTTGCCCAGATACTCTGTATTAAGGGATGTCTGACAGACATCCTGGTTGCCTTATCAAATGCTAATATTTTGTGTAAACTGTCTTGTCCTGCCTGAGGCAGAGTAACCCCACTTTATGTACTTTCTGACAGTTTGTAGAGGGGATGTCCTCCTTCTCCACGCCAAAATGCAAACCCTTAAAAGAGATGTTTCTTCTTGGTTCTGGGTGGGAGATGTTTCAGAAAAGTTTACACAAAAGTCCAAAGTTATGCCTTTCTTGCTTCAAGCTTATGCCTAGTACTTGAGGCAAAATGGAATCTCTTTGGTTTTCCTCTTCTCGTGTTCCCAGCAATATTAACCATATTTTATCCCTCTACAGACCCGTGTGTGTGTAAACCTACAAAAGGATCACCTTACTGCTTGCATTTAAAAGCACGGGGCTGAGCAGAGTTTAAATCCTATCTTAGGCAGTTTAAATGAAAGCATAGGAATTAGCCGTTAGGTCGATCTTCCCCTTTTGTTACCCTGTTTATCAAAGAAACAGGCTACAAACTGAAAAGTAAGTTTTAAAAGTTTACTCACAGTCAAGCATTCGTCCTGTGCAGCAACAGCAGTAAAACAAATGAGGACAAATACTAGTATTTACATCAAATGTGCCTGATGCAGGAGTAAGCAGACATACATCTACTCCCATGTCTGGTTAAAGGGGGTGGGGGTGGGAGAAGGAACAGGAAATACTTATTTGCTTCTTCCTCCCAGGAGAGGAGGGGAAATGACATCACACAGAACCTTCTCTACCAATTACCAGTATGTTTCTATAGTCTGAGTCCGCCTATCAGCAATACAGCTCTGTGTTCTTAACCTTTTCACATGCTAACTAGCAATAATATGCACTGTTAGATTTGACTGCAAATCTCCCACATCATCACCCCACCCAAAGTCCATTCAGTTTTGCTTTGTATGAGCAGAGTTTTTTTCCCCTAGAGAAGCACTACAATCCACTAGGGCAAAGTGGGACATGCACATTTATCGGTGTAATTTTCAATGAATTCAACAGGAATTGTTTCACATCAAGATGCATAGGGCTGTGCTGTAATACTTCAACCCCTCAAATTATATTTATTCTTGATTGCTAAAGAAGCATTCAGATCGAAAGAGGCCCTTCAGATTTTCACTTCTTGCTTTGAGACAATGAAAGTGTGTGTGAAAGGAAAATAATGAATTATTGGATTTAGAAGGTTATGATAATAGATTCGGTTGGCACGCGTATTTATGGTATGATAAAAAAAGAATACATAAAGGGTTTGAGAACCACATCTTTAGAGGATCTTTGATTGGAGTTTGGAATAGGTATAAAAATGTATTAGAACCAAAGATTCCACATTGGTTATCACCATTAGAGGTTATGAGTATTAAAAAGATAAATATGAGCAGGAGATGGATAACATATGAGAAACTATTAAAAAAGGAAGGAAATAAGTGGAAATTGAAACCATATGAAGAAGTAAAAGAAAATGTTAAGGATTGGCTGCATTATTTTCAGTTAAATGAAATGTTTAAAAAAGAGGTTTTAGAGAGGGGATATTCTGAAAAAGAATCTAGATTTCAACAGGAAATCTTAAACAATGAAGTGAAAATTTTATCTAAAATGTATAAAATATTGTTGGAATGGAATACTGTGGACGAAGAGGTTAAATCTGTTATGATTAGTTGGGCTAGAGATTTTGGATATAATATTGAATTTGAGAAATGGACTAAATTATGGAAGGATGGGTTAAAATTTACAGCTTGTACAACGATTAAGGAAAATGTTATGAAGATGTTATATAGATGGTATATAACACCAGTAAAACTGGGTAAAATGTATAAAGTGTGTAATAAATGTTGGAAGTGTAAGGAGACAGAAGGAACATTTTACCATATGTGGTGGGAATGTAAGAAGGTAAAAAGCTTGATCTATAGGTAAAAAGATGATCTATAATGAGTTAAAGAAAATGCTGAAATATATTTTTGTTAAAAAACCAGAAGCTTTCTTGTTGGGAATACTGGATAATGAAATTAGTAAAAAAGATGTGAAATTAGTTTTGTATGCAGTAACAGCAGCCAGAATTTTGCTGGCATAGAAATGGAAACAGGAATAGATGCCCACGAAAGAAGAATGGAGGATGAAACTGATGGAATACGCAGAAATGGACAGATTGACAGGGAGAATTAGGAACCAACGTGACCAGAGATTCTCCGAGGACTGGAAGAAATTTACAGAGTATATCAAAAATTTCTGTGATGAGCAAATAACGTTCGTTGGCTTTCAAGAAGCTCTGTGAAATTACTGTTAGAAATCTTGTTTAAATTATATGATGTGATTAAGTTGATATGAGTGCAATATAATATTGGGAAATGTGAGACGAGGATAAAAAATAAACGGAGAATTATCAGACAAGCTGAGGGAAGTTCTGGAAAAAAGGGTTTAAGTTAAAAATGGATGTATAATTTTGTAAAAATGGTCGGAACTAAACACTATAAATTGAGAGCATTTGCAGATGACTTAGTACTGACGTTACAGGAGCCAGAATCTAGTACAAAAAGGGTTTTAGAACTGATTCAAGAA